CATCTAGATGAAGCGGTCGCTTCGGACAATCTCAACATCCTGCTTCTAATTACCTAGACTTGATGAGGGTGAGGGATTGATCAGCCAATCAATCCATCTGCTCTGTACTTACCGGAGCATGAACTTGCTAGAGAAGATGCAGCTAAGCAAGCTAACGCCGTGTGTATGATTGTGTGTGTATGTGTGTGTGTGTGTGTGTGTGTGTGTGTGTGTGTGTGTGTGTGGGAGTAGGTAGGTGTGGGTGTGGATGGGATATGGGTGGGTGGGAGAGTGGGTGGCCAGACAGACGATGACTGGCATATAATTTTAGATTTCTCGATAACTAGTCTTAATGAGAATCAGAATGGTACTAGTGATCTTAACGATCAGGATCAAAATCATTCCAAGGAGAATCTATCCCCGTCTCGACAGTCCAGACCGATTGGCTGATTCTCCATATTATTCCTTATTATTATTATTACTGTTCTGATTAGTATTCTAGCAACTGAGGAGCGTGGAATGAAGATTGGCGCCGGGAGGGAAAAGGCACCGTACAGTAGTCGTCGTTAGCCTGATGGCTAGCCTGGTTTTGGTGAGACTGTCTTCATGCCCGCCATTCTTAGTCGAAGTTTACTCGGTCCAGACAGTTAACGTCGACTTGGATCTCGCAGCGACCAGACCAAAATTCAGGTACCACGCCTTTCCCCCTGTTCCACACGACACGAGTCTATCCCCGGTCTATCTGTGGATGTGGGTGTTGACCCTGGTCAAATGCAGGATGATGTACGGAGTACGGCGCGAAGTAGGGTTCTATCCATGGTGAAGAACATGGACCATATCAAGAGTTAATTTACATAGCCAGAAAAGACAGTGAACTCAATTCATCTCCGGAGTTGTCTGGCTGGTGCCCACTTGAGGTGCGCCTCAAGTGGTGCATGGGCCGTCCGTTGCTGTATCGAAGGGATCGTCGGCACCCCTCCCACAATGGTTGATATGGCCAAACATTCAATGGTCTTTTTTTTTTGTCTGTGCCAGTCTGCCAGCCACTGTCAATCTTCAAACGTTTCTTGAATTGATTTGGCTGATTGATGACACAATGGTGTTGCTTTGGTGGGATTCCTTCCCTTTTGGTCTTCCCCTCTTTTGATGTCATAACAATAATATAATATATAGTCTATAGTATACTATACTATACGATATATAATATCGATCTGGACACTTCTCAAGTACGGAGAACAATCGATCTGACTTGTTGTCCCGTCAGCCTTGTTCCCACATCCACAAGCGCCACACGCCAAACCCACCCCCCTCCCCGAGCCCTCCGTCAAATGACAGGCGTCGGTTCCAGGCCTCGTCACCTCTCCCGCATGCTCAAGGAGGGAGCTTTTGTTTACCATCCTCCGTGATGATGCAACCTGCCTGTTCTTGACTCTACCGAGCCCTTAGTTGATTAAGTTACAGGGTCTAGCGCTCTCCTTCCTTAGCCGATTGATCCTGTCCAAATAAACTCGAAACAGCGCTAATAGAGTCCGCTCGGGTGATTCACTTGAATAATAATTATTATTCTCCTCTTGATAATATAATCAAATGAATCAAAAAATACACGAGTAAATAGAAAGAGGAAGAATAATCAAATGAAGAAAGATAAACCTGACAAAAGGAGGAAAGAAAAGAAAGGCCGTGTAACCCCAGAGGGAAAATGTGCGAGGCAACTGATCAATCAGTGGCTCTGATTACTGCTGCTTCCCGTGGACTGCGCTGCGAGTAGTAACACTGCTAGCCTCCTGCGCCGCATCATCGTCATCATCTCCTTCACCATCACCATCGATCTATCTTTACAAATACTTCTGGTGAAGCAGGTCTGCCTGCCTGACAGCATGCCACTCAACCACGTGAACTAAGTGCAAATGTCTCACAATGATGCTGGAAGTTAAATCTTCCTACCCCCCCAAACCAGCGTATCTGGAATTGATGGCTAGAGGACGGGTTGCATGTCGGGGTCGGGAAGCTAATCACCGACCTAGTACATAATATTCCGTGCATATCACAGACCCTGCGCTCTTGACCTTGCGCCTTGTTCTGGACATTGACTATCTAGACATATTCACCGCGAGCCAACTACCCCCTCCACCAACTTGATAGCCACAAACTCTGACCGAGAGTACTATTCTACCACGGAGCCCTCCTCCTACTACTAAGTATCAAAGTGGACACAATACTTCCATCAATCGACCAGGAGGAGAATTAGGCTTTTCCTCACTGGGTTAGTGCGAGTAGACTCGGTCAGAAGTGGATGCTTGTGCGTTCCGGCTCTTCGAGGCTTTCCATGGTATAAGGTCTGCCAGCCACACTGTAACCGTCATTTCCTTTATTAATATTGCTTGGCGGAGCAGACGACGGAGTATGTTTGCTGGTTTTGTCTGGAGGATTTTCCGCTTTCGGAAAGAAAGAGATTGACCCTTCTCGTGCATTGTCTGATATTATGATTTTTATTATTAGTTAGGACTAGTAGTAGGGAATCGAGTCCTTACCATGTGAGACTATTTATTCTCGTTCTATCTTCATGAGGGACAGTCTGGAGATATAACATCATCATCTTCTGTGCGCTGTTATATGAAATATACTATCAGCGCACTATGTATGTATCCTTTCTCAAAAAGTATAACAACAGTATCACAACAGACACAGTCCACACGCGCACTCTTTAAATCTAACCCAAAAAGGCAGAACTCCAGATCGATGCCTCATCATAATAATAGTATATTCGAGCCATGGGTACTCCGTAGTCCGTACAAACGATGGAGTACCATCTCCTCCAAAGGAACAACCCAATACACTAAGGCAGGTCGCTAGTGGAGTCGTCGTAATCGGACCTTTTCCTTTCCCCTCTCATATGCACAGTAATATGGGAATTCGCCTAGACCGTCAAACTTGTTGTTGTGTGAAGATAGATTGACTAGAAAATAATATAAACGGAGTATAGTAAAATAAGTATAATAGACAACAGTGATAAACAAGAAACGACCAAAACAATAAATAAATAAAAGTAAGCAAGAAAAGAAAACAAAAAAGAAGGAGGGTGGGATACGCCCCAGTCCCACCCACACCCACACCCACACCCCCCGCGAGGTTAGCTTCCTGGTTAGCCGTCGGGCGGGTGGGGCTCACAGGTGGAGGGCACTGGAGGGCAAGGCAAGCAACCACAGTACTACCAGTACCAACTACTACCAACTCCTGCCTAGCTAGCCTAGCGGGAGGAGTAACGGCGTCAAAAGACGTTCATTTTTTCTTTCTTTTTTTTTTTTCTCGCTACCATTGGCAAAGTCGCCATTGTGATCGATGCAGGGTGCTCAAAGACGTGTCCTTTTTGATATTTTCCATTTTGACACGGTTTACTTTTGATATTTCTTGTCCGTTTGGTGTCTTCTTCGAATACTCCATACTAATTAGAGGATTATTTTCCAGAGTACGGAGTACACCGTAAACCAGAAGAGAAAACCGTTTAGGAATCTCATCTCATCTCAGTGGTTTCATCTCACTCGTTGCTGACATGAATGCCATGTTTTCTTTTCCAGTCTTGCTCCTTTTGTCAGATTCACATGGCTCAAATAATAATCAGCAATAATAACTGTCATACTCGGTCCTCCCCTACTTCCTGATTATATTTCGCAGCCCCCCTCTTCGGAGTGTTTTTGATCATTATCTCTATTTATTTGATCCCTCGTATTTCACAGGTTCTAGTTGTATTTCACAGGTTTTATTATTGTTAGATTGACAAACCCGTATCTATTTGGCCGGGTTTATTCATTCGTTGATACATGCTATATATGCTGTATATGCTGATCTCTGTATATCCTATGGGTCCGCGGGAATGGCCGTTACAGGGTATGTTTTAGAAAGAGAGGAGAGGAGGGGGTCGACGGGCGAAGCTTTCACGAAGTCAGCATAGATAATAACAGGTATAATAAATCGCGAAAAAAGAGTGCGGAGCCGAACTCCTCTTTGCCCACCAATCCTAGAACAATGTACTGTATTGTACTGAGCAGTAGGGAAGAGAGAGAGTATTCCTCTTACTGCCCATTGCCTAGGCCCTAGGCCCTAGGCACACGGTAGCTGAGGTAGTGAGATACCTAGGTCTAGTCCACACACTAGACGATTGATCGATTTGAGTCGAGATGAAGGAGCCAATCGATGACAGTTCAATTGAGATTGCGCCGTTGGTTGTGGCTATTACCATCTTGTGTCTAGTGCACTACTATCTGTCTAGTATATATCGGGGTAGGTACGAACTCAACCAGTTTGAGCTCGAGTTGGCTCGCTTCGGGACGCCATCCATCCTTGTTAACGATCAGGCGTGTCGATTGGGCTGTGGGAAGCCATCTCCCCTCTTCTTCCCCGCCTCTTCTTCTAGTTCTCTTGGCTGTGGACTGGGTAGACTGCATGGAGTAGGAGGAGAGAATAGATAATATTCCGTGTGAGGGCGGAGTACGGAGACTATGCAAGAGCACTGTGCAGTTGATTAATTAATTATCTAACTAATTAATTAATCAGGCCTCTAGAAGAGACACAAACCATGGAGGGCGACATGCATACCCAGGATGCAGCAGCCAGAAGAGATCTGTACCTGTCATTATTGCCACATGCTTCCCACCAAGACTAGGATTGACTTTCGACTCGATGGCAGACAGACAGACAGATAGGCAGTTGACAAGCCCGTTGTGACTAGTACGTTTGTCTTCCTCCGCGGAGGACACGCATTAGCCTGGGAGGATGAACTCAGTGAGGCTATGCTTTGCTTCAAGTTGTCTTATCCTGTGCCTCCCACATGCTTGCTACGAGATACTCTACTTACTAGGTACGGAGTGTAGAAGACTATTTTATCGACTTGTTTGTTTCATTGTTGGGGCTAGCTTGGTTGAGTTAGTGTGGTATCACCCTGGCATGCTTTGTCGTTGCACTCCGTACCTACTTTTCCTAATAAGGTACTATGCCGAAGCCACTCGCTGCACTTACTGCGCTGCGCTGCACTGCGCTGCAGTTCAATCGTACTTGCGAGGGATTCATCTCTCGAGTGATATTCTTGTGGAAAAAAGAATCAAAGAATACACTCTCAATTCAAAAAAACACAGTGGATAGAACCACATGTATAGTATAGCGGAACCCACCCAGACCAACGAACCACGGGGGGCAGCGGTCCCGGATCCCGTCGAGGAATCACAACCCCTGGGCGGATCAACCATGGAACCTGCCATGATCTCGAGGACTTCCTTCCGTCTTTCCCCTCTCGATATCGCCGGATCGACTGGCGGCGAACGGACGACAGTTTGGATCCATCCATCGTGTTTGATTAACTGAACGGCAATAATAGGATTATTATTATTATAATCATTATTATTACTATTATTTATTCTATTTAATTCATTTTAACCGTCGGAGCTGTCCCCACCGGCATCTTCGCATGTCTTTTCCTGGCTGACGGAGTAAATCGAATATTCCGGTGAGCATACTGGACATAACATAGGACTAGGCTATATAGGTAGGTGGGAGAAGTTTGCTCGACCTCTCGAAAACGAGGGCTCATCTCATGCAGGTGGAATGTACATGTAATCTGCAATCAAATTAAAAGGTCAAGTCATTAATAATAGTAATATATTTGAAGAAAGTAAAATAGAACATAATAATTAATTAATAAAATAGGGCAGATGGGAAAAATCCTGTTCATAAGCAGAACTGTGCGAAGTAAAACCACGGGTGGCAGATAGACTTTCTCTCAGCACGGTTTATGAATTTGATTTTTTTTAATTCACATTTTCCATGTTATATTCTATTTGACTAACTTTCAGAAAATCCGTTAACGACTCTAAAACTAACTTCCTTTAGGACGGGATCGGCGACTAGGGGGGGAAGGGAGAAACGGGTGGTCGAACATCAGGATTGCCCGTGTTATAATTATTCCTAGTCGAAAGTCAAAACCACCCTGGTCGGTGGACACGGAGAAATACAGTAGAAGGATCAGAATCTAATAAACTAAAATCTATCCAGGATCAGGTCCACGCACGTTGGGTACGTTCTTGACCGTTTCGCTCAACCGAACCCGTCGGGAGGATCTCGGTATGGAGCGCGACGGGATATTATCGCGCGGTGAAAGAGGCAAGGGGAGGGAGGGAGGGAGGGGGGTGGAATTCCTTGCCGTCTTTCCGGGGCTGCTGTAGCGCCGCGTGGATCAGGTTGATTTCGTGTCCAGTTAAGTTGAGTCGAGTCGAGTCGAGCGAGTCTCGAGGCGCCGTGATTGATTGGGAGAGTATTAGAGGTACTTCAGTGATGGACGGATCTGGTAATAGGTTGGCTATGCATGCCGTCCTATTACCCAAGGTACGAGGCGAGGTATAGACGAAGGTGTCATCATGGATCATATTCTCTCATAACGATGTCATGCGATCAGCATAGTGCGGCGTGATATGGATTGTCTGATTTGCACGGCTGGGAACGCCTTCAGGCTAATGAGATCCGGCTGAGCTTGCGGGAAATAGCAGACGTTGTTATGGCTATAGAAGTTGACATTATGATTATGATGGACGAGAGTCCTTGCCGCTGTCTCACGGTAGGGAAGAACCATAACATCATTTTGCCCTCCGGAATAGATCGTAGAGCCACTAGGGCGAGGCTGGCCGATGGCCTAGGGTGACCGGGGTAGGGATTGTCGGTATTTCCACCGTTGTGCAGTTATATGCCTCGGTGGGTCGGACTTCGACCTCTCAGCTAACTTATACCGAGGGTAGATAGATACGTATCTATGCTCCGTGTCTGTTGTGTCTGTACTAGTCGTCGAGAATGAGACAATCTGCGCGTCTTTGGAAGTCGTCCTTATCTAGAAGCAAAGCACCTGGACAAAGAGTGACCTCTACTCCGTGATAGACGTGTCAGTGTTCGATAACCTGCTTCCAATGATACTCATGCTTCCAAGCCGTTCTCAAGGTCGGCTACAGCTAGGGCAAAAGCGAGGAGGGGTAACCAACCCCGGCGATTCTCCGCTCACATCTCTTTGATATCTATCTGCCGTGCGCTGCAGCGCACCCCTGCGTAGTATCCTCATGGCGCAAAGCGATCAAGAAATGAACCGCATCTCAATTCCAAGTCTAGACCTACCCATAGTCACTGATCACCATCCTGGGCTGGCCCTGGAATGCTCCACACCAGCTCATCCTCGCCCACGACCCTGCGCTTAGGACGGGCTCTTGAAGCTAGGTGTTACTTATTTTAGAGAAACATGTGCCGTGCCCTAACCGACCTGTACTATCCCCCTACTATCATGGTTTCCGTTCGTCATGGACGGATTATGGATCATGTACTTCTGTTGCCACGCACTTCCTCCGCCGATCCATACTCCAAACAGCCATCCACTCGGATCAAATCGAATGAAATTGGCTTTTTTCCACTTCCACGCTCCCGACGGATGGAGTCATGGCTTGAGTGGCTCCTCCAATCATACTTCCCCACGGACATTAAACAAAGGGAATGGACGGGTAGAGAGGGGGGAGGGGGGAAGCCTATCTGGTACTTACTTTGGCGTAGTGTCTTAATGGTTGATACTATATCCGCTGCTGTTTTCTCCGCAATCCAGAAACAGCCAATCCGTTCTACTAGACACACACGGACCCGAGAGCCGCCTTCCGACCCCGGTCAAGGCCAAACCAAACTTTTTGAATTATGATATGCTTGGTGATTACCATGATCTTTCACCTGTTTAACTCTCGATGAATGGGTTGATTATGGACCAGGGAAGGTGGAATTAATCAACTTAACTTCATCAGCTTATCCGGACCCACCCTCCTCCTGGTCTTTCATTCTGTCTCTCTTTCTTCTCCCACCCATCATCCATCATCCATCCCCCTTCGGTCATAGTGGCCGATTCCACTAATAGTCCACCCAGCTGGTGCGACTTCCAGCGCGCTCACCATCGACCCATGCGAATCGCCCAACCACTAACAACCAGGCTCGGTAGCCAAGTCACGTCAGGATCTCATTTCAGTGCCGTGAGTCAATTCCTTCGAGGGATCCTTATACCTTTTTTTTTTTTTTTTTACTCTGTAGGGAGCTTGAAGGAGTATTATTGCCGTTCTTCCTCACGAGCCGTCCGCGAATTGGCCGATTGGATGGACGGGTTGCTTCGATGCTGCTAGGTACTCGGTAGTGCTGGTAGCGGCGCGTGGCATCCGCGAATCACGAACTGGTCGTATCCTTGTCCGATCTCTATCTCATCTGGCTGTCTGTTGGCATGGATGTGGTGTCTTTGGGGGCTTGATGGGGGAGAGAGGGTTGATATGGTCTATCATGTTGGGTACTGATTCAGGACAATCTCATTATGACAGTAACATATAACGGATAATTGATTATTGAGATTAATATATGAAGATCGTGCTAACATATCTTCAACAAAATCAACCACTCGGAGATTAAAACATGACAGAATCTACGGAGCAAAACAGGGATAACTATAATCAAAGAAAGAAACAAAAACAAAAAAAAAAAAAAAACAGTGGGCCTGATAAACGACAGATAAAAAGAAAGCAAAGATAAATCACAGACCAGCTGGGAGAATGGAGACAAGTCCGATTAAACCCATGTTCCTGTTTCATCCTTCCACCCACTAACGACGGATGATTATCGGAAGGCTGTCCACATTCGACAGAGTTCAGTCGATGGAGACTGGAGAGACCGAGGTCTGCCAAAAGAAAAGATGAAACGGTGGATTTAGGATTTGATTATATGGGGGTGGTGAATATTCACCGACTGTCGAGCGATGTGACCTGTCCAAAGCTTCGCTTGCGACTGACTACCTTTTGTATGAGACTTACCGGTAAGTATCCCCAGTCACGAATATACATATTCCCCTATATTATAGATCAAATCGATATTATAACTAGTTAACAATTCACGCAACAATCCTCCGCAAGAGAGTAGGGAATTCCATGTACTGGATCAACCACCGCGGACAACCCGTTAACTAAATTAGCGATGTCTTGGATTGGCACCCCCCCCCTTAGCGCAACGATAGACAATGCGATTTACCCGACTGGGACACCATCTAGGTCTCGGAAAGGCCCAGCGCCACGGAGATCAAGAACGTTCTTGAACTTGTTTGCCCTCGTTACCGAGTGGTCGAGATGCGATCAGCCAATGAATCATATTGACCGGGGGGAGGAAGCGGACTCCGTCCGTTGTTGATTAGGCGATCCAATCAGTTAATGATGAGGTTGCCACGGATTGAATCAATACTTAGGTTTACTGCTGCTGCTCCTGCTGCTACTACGTTAGTGTTTGTCTTGGGGGATTGTTTGATGACGGTCGTGGTGTAAGTATTACGTTATGTCGAGACCTGCCTGTACCGGGGATAAATTTATTACGGAGAGGAAAGTTGATGGTGAGGTGATGCCACCTCATACTTGCATACAGTACTATAAATGATATAGATGTCAATCAGTAGATTAATAATAAATCGATTCGATGCATCGAGAAAGAGACCTGCTAGACGTGCAGAGAATCAAGATATCAAGGGACCCATGCTTACCCGTCGATTCCCTGCCGGTTGGCATGACTGGCCTTGCCTACTGATTGTTTCTAGTCTATTACCTAGAACGTCTCCCTACTCTGTACTATAGACTTTCCTACCACTGAGTAAATATCTACTCCGTATTCTCTTCATCCTTCAACACCATGAACAAGGTAGCAGGTAAGGATGGAACACCAGGGACAGAAGCAGAATATACCCTAACCACCCCCTTGGAACGATCGCTCTACTCTCTGACCCAACCCACGCCGTCTGATTCTCACTTTCGCTGCATGGGTAGTGTGCTACATACCACCTACATACATACTGCGTCTGTGTCGATATACATAGTACATATATGCCAATCAATCATCAATCACTGCTTGGGCTCTTCCAAGGGTATGCACAAACAAGTATACATGTATAAACCAAAGAAGACTATTTATCTCTGCAGAGTATCCTTATTACGAGTAGATGGAAAAACCAGTATATCCACAGATGTACAGCTACCCAATGCACACAATAAGTTGACTATATGACACCGAAACCTCATCATCAAGCAGATGACCTCCTCCTACCTACCAGTACCAGACTTCCCTCACGCACTGCATACCTGGATAATCCTGATTTTCTCCTTATTTTTGTTTCTTTCCCCCCTTTCCTTTCCCTTCCCGTCTTCCTTACTTCTCCTTCTCCTTTCACTCCGGATATTGTCTGGGCCCGGTCCGGTTGCACAGTGTCACCCCAATCTCGGTTTTGTGGCTGGTGGCAAGCAGGGTCAGGAGGGCGTAAATCCTTTTTCTTGTTCTTGATTTATGTAGTATGGGGCGCGGATCTATTGGGTGAGAGACTGTCTGCGATTGTTTGCTTCAGCAGGGTTTGCATGACATGCGACCTGGGTAGTAGGTAGATGCAGATGAACGTGAAGGTGAGCGTGAGCGTGAACCCACGGGTGGAATCATCATCATCGTCATCATCGTCATCATCATCATCATCATCATCATCATCATCACGATAATAATAATCATGTTTGAAAAAAAAGAAATAAGTAATGTATGATTGCTATATTGCTTCCCTGCGATTGGATATCTTGTGCTAACACCTCATCCCGAGTAACCCGAATATAAATCCACTGTCAAATCAAATCGTTGCGCGAGAGGTTATTGTCGTACATGCACACGCCCAGAGACAGCAGATGCGTACTCCGTACGCGCTGTGCATCCATGCGATTGATCTTCGCCCGCCACATGATCACCAGCATTGCTTGCTGAGGTTGGCCAAAAAGGGAAAAAGAGGATATATTGAATAAAAAGAAAATAGGGGAAAAAAAATTATGCAGCCGCTTTTGCCGGCTCAGTCATCGGTTTCGACACCCTCGCGGACTTGGAGTCAGACGTTCCCTCAATGGCCAGAGGCGCCTCGTCGTCGTCTTCCTCGTCGCCGCTGGAGAAGTCGTCTGTGATGCGACCGTGTCGTCGGTCTTCTTCGCGTCGGCGCCGGCGTTCGTTTACATACTCTTGGTAGCGCTCATCTGGCTCGCGTTAGTCACATATGGTGCGCTTTGGAGGCGGGGTGGAGACGGCGGCTTACCTCGGATCTCTTGCGTCTTGAGCGCGTACGCTTGGATCTCCTCCTTGCTTAGCACCCGCAGGACAATCACGTACTCGCTCCGTTCTTCGAACCGCTCGTGACCGGCTTCTAACGCCGCTGGGTTGACCAGTCGTCGATCGATCTTGGTCCACCGGGCTCCCGGCGGGATGCCTTTGCTGTGCGCGTCTTTGAGCGGGGCGACGCCCTCCCGCACTGGATTGGGATCTTCGGGGAATCTGGCCTTGGGGCGCTTCAGAATCCCTTTGGGCGGCGTGTCCATTATGTCCTTGGTTGGGGGCGACTCGATCCTGCTGAGCCTGCCGGATTGCCGCGGACTAGACACGTCTCCGGTCCGTCGCCGCGAGTGCGTCCGGTGTCGACGTGGTTCAATCCCCAAGGACCGGTCACTGCCGCTGGGCGATCCGTTGGGGCTCGGCAGTTTGCGCGGGGCGGGCGGTTCTCGACGGTAGTTCTTGAGGTCCTCGTCGGAACTATACGCGTCAGAGTCACTCCCAGCCCGGCGTCGGGACGGTCGGCGCGACCGGCCATGACGCGGACGGCCGTCGTGGTCGTCTGGGTGCGGCCGGTCGGGGCGGGGCGACAGCTCATAGTCCCCCGAGTACCCACTCGCCAGACCCGCCGTCCCCAGACCGGGTGCGCCCCCCGAAAGAACCAAGTCTTTTGTAGCGGGCGTCCGTGGCGAGCGGTCGTCTCCGTGAGAGGGCCGACTGCCCACCTCATCGGGTCGCTGGGGTCGTCGCCGGTGGCGTCGATGATGGTCCTCCTCACGGTCGTCCCGGTAGGAGTCGTATACTTCGTCGGGGTCCTGGTGCAAAGCGACAGGCGGTCGTCGTCGCCGTGCGCTGGTGAGATCAGCGTCGCTGTCGCCGGACGTGTAGGTGAGACGACGGTCCGGATCGAGCCTTTCGAACCCCCTCTGGGACGGAGGGGGGCCCAGCGCTCGGGGCTCTTTGCGCTGCGTCCATTGGGAATCGTCAATCCCCGTCAGACTCAGTGGTCTATCGCGGCGGTAACCGCCCCGGTCGGAGCGCAACCTCGCCGCCGAATCTTTCTCAAACTGCTCGCGAGGATTGGTGTAGGTGTAGGACTCGTAATCGTCAATGTCTTCGCCCTTGCGAAGTTTTCCCATGGGCGGGTATCGCCACCGGTCATTATGTTCGTAGCCCCGGTAGGCGCCGTGGGCCGTCCGCGACCTCCCAGCTCGCGCATTGGGATCCAGCCGCCCGGTATCACTGGAATAATCCGTAGGCGCAAGGTGGTAGTGCCTTTGATGCCGACTCGTAGACGCGGGCACCAGGTACCGTTCGTGGTTCGGAAGAGGACTTGGGGTCCGACCATAGCCTGCCGTGATTACCGGGGAGGCTCTGGGATGAAGATTCTCTGGTCGTCCATCTGCCACCGAGGTCGTGCTGCTCCGCGGCCGAGAACGGATAGCGTACTCAGTCCTCACTTTTGTGCCATGATCCGAGTCTCGATAGGACTTGGATGAAATCCGCTGGGCCTCCAATCGCGGTTCCCGCAGGTACCGGGGTTCATGAACCGGGGAAGACGTATAAGACGCCGGAAGCCCCTGACGGACGGCTGAGAGGTCGTAAGGGTCGTAGGGGGAGCTGAGCGGGACCGTTCCGGTGGAGGCACGCATGGGGTCAACCATGCGCGAACTACTCGGAGACATGGTGCGATAACGCGCTCCAGGGCTCATCCTGCACACACCTTTCCAAGAAAGAAAAAAACCAGAACAAGCGTGACCGCAGTTCTGGATGATGTTGATAGTTATTTCGATAGTGAGAGAGGGCGAATCCGATCAATTTGAGTCCAGGAAATCGCACACAAAAGGTGGGGAGACCTCGGGAGCTCGAGCGCTCGAGACGATCTTGTGAACCACAGCTTAAGTTGAGCGATGCAAACAGTGGATAGGGAAAATTGAGTCAGAGCACAATTGAAGCAGGGTCCGGGCGCAAGAATTTTCCTAGGGCCAGGGCCAAGGCGCACAATCGAAAGAAAGAAACAAAGAGAAGGGAACAGATGATTGCAGAAAGTGAGGGGCAAAACAAAGAAAGAGACTGAAGCGCAGAGAGAGAAGAGAGAAGATCCAGTGCGGTCGTGATCTGTCAGTGCCTGATTCGCCAGGCGCCGACCGAGGGGCGACCGAGTTGTCGATCGTTTCGGGGTACGGTTTGGAGAGAGTCTTGTCTCAGTATCAATCGAGTTGACACGATGGACGATTGGGAGAGTTTCAATAGAAGAAATATCTGGTTGAAGAGATTCAGAGGTCAGCAGAAGATAAATCGAATCGGAACCCATGCAGATGGCGACCGGACTCATCGGATCTGAAGCCCAGAGTGACGAAATCGCGTCTGACCCGGGCAGTAGAGTAGGACGAGACGTACGAAATAAACGAGAAAGCTGGAATCAAGCGAATCACAGTAGACTCACCTAGCCAAAGGGATACGCATTATCCATCGTTCCTTGTATGTCCCTAGGTAAGCAGGTAGATGTTGAAGTATATATCTGGATGGTTGAGGAGAAGAAGAACCATGGAAATGATCCGCTTGGGTGTCCCCGATCACGAGATCCAGCGGTTCATCGTCTTCTTTTCTCCACTTCAATACTCTTTCACTCTCGTCCTTCTCTCTCCATTCCGACCATACGGATTCCTCCCTCCATGAAATGAGGCTCTGCATCATCACTTGAGGGTTACACTTCCTGGTCGATACTACCGAGGTGGTATGGTTTCGACTCTTCCTCTGATCCCAGCGATCGGGGCGTCTCCACATTCCCCTTCCCCGGCCCCGCCCTTGGTCCATTCAGATCCGTCATTTCTTCATTCCAGTTGTAGGCGTGGTCAATCTACGTCAATCATTGGCACACACGGCTGAAGTCCGACAGCCTTAGTCCGAACTTGGCATGCTTCACTTCCATTCCTTGTCATCATCATCGTCATCGTTATCTTCTTCTGGTTCCCGTCTCGCACTATCCTTCCATTCCGGTGCGGTCGGGGTGGGTTTCCTTGTTGCCCGACGGGCGAAGCACCCCTGTCGCATATCCCCACTCCTTGTCAAAAGTCACGAGAGACAAGACGTCATTGCATTCTATTGGATCCCTCCGGCTGGGTTGGACCGGCCCCGAGGAGAATTGAGGAGTCCGGGGCATCGTGCGGCTGCAATGTTCCGTGTTCTAGAAGGACCAGAGACGGGAGATATGCATGCCTTCCATGCATTCCCCCGGTGGGTAAGTCGATCTAGACTCCCCGGTGTTGGATTACATGGTAACGCATCGGCTTAGCTGGTGGCCTCCCGGCATTGACCGTCGTCCGGAATGCGGGTCGTCGGTCGTCTATTGTTGGGGTTTCCAAAGGGAAAGAAGATGGGCTCAGCCCCAGCTGGCCGAGGGTACTCGAGCGCCAGCCTCGCCTACCTCATCGCCTGGGCGCCTGATCCGTCGCAAGGGCGTTATTGCGCCTACTTTTCACCCCTGCCCTGCGCGTCTACTACGCAAGATCGGCCTTGGGCAGCTATTACCGCCCTGGGACAGTCGGCGAACCGGTGAAGCTCCCACTAGGGTAGTTCCACCTCTCATATCGATGCTACGAGTCTCAAGTGCCCTGATGCCTCACCGACATTCACTGCGGCCGGTGCGGGATTTTCCCTTAATTCCCCCTGTTGCCGTGGCGGAATCGTCCCCGTGAATTCACGCGGTGCTCCTCCGTTTCATGTAAACGGGAGGGGGGCGCGGGGGCAACCAGGCGACACAGGGGTGAATATCTACGACGCTTGGCACGGCAACAGAGGGATCTCGGGGCATTCTTCCTTAGAGGATCGTGGATCGACTGATGTATCATCGTACCCATGTCCGAATATGCTCGGCAAACGGCCCAGAGTCCCCCGTCAGTTTCCCCTCCACATCCCTTCAATGAGAAACATCGGGATTCCAAGTTGAGGTCCGACGTCCTTTCTGTGGGATTTTGCACTCCCCTGGGCGGGTATGTTAAAGCTCTACCACACTCTGTCGGTATGCCGTCGCATGGGCTAGTTCTGGCCAATGCCGGATGGGTAAAACGCCCTTCGAACGGAGCCCGCCGAAACCAGACACCATGCAGGACGGGCACACGAAGATCTACAGAGGTTGTTCACCCGCAACATACAAGCTCAGCCACACTCTCTGCATCTGGGGGAACCGATCTGGTGACAAAATCGTTTGGGTGGAAGGGCGTGTCTAGAGTGGCTTGTCCTACATTGTCATGAGTACGCGTGAGGCCCGTCGCTCCTGGTTGAGTCATCTTTGGAACTTGAAACGAGCCACACCAGCCTCATCTACAGTGGCTGCGCGCCTTTGACGCCCTATGAAGTCTTGGTTTCTAGCAGACCGCTTGGGTATTCAGGCAAGAACGTCTGGTGGTTAATCGATGGTGGCTGATACAGATGCAATGCGTGTATCCCCTGGTTCTGTCTCCTGGCCGTGGCGATTGCTTCATCAATGCGCGCCTGAAGGGCAAATTGGGAACCATATGCGTATATCCGCCCTGTTGGGCCATGGTGCTTGAAGGTACAAACGGCCTTGACGGAGACAAACATGGTTCTTGGATGTTTATAAAATGGGACGACACCTCGACCAAGACGAGGATATTGATTCAATCTAACTTCCTTAACCAACCAAGCTTCCATATCAGTCGTTTCACTAGTTTGGAAACAGCTGCACCACCTGCTACTTGTCAATCCTTGATACCAATTGCTTTGAAGGCCCTCTCCACTCCCAAAGCGTCCCACCTCATTCATCCACACGGTTTTCCTACAGTGCAATTCACATCAGTCTCCAACCTCACCTCCTCGCGATCATGACTTCCAGCATCTACATCCAACCCACCACCGTCCAGACCGGTTATCGCCACCCAATGGGGGGTTGGTGGTACTGCTGTCGCTGCGGTTGCTTGAACAACCCGGACTTGAGTCCAGAGCGGTGCGTCGACTGCGGCCATCCACAAGACTCGACCTGCCGCGGCGCATAATTCATCTTCCACCTTATCGACCTTCCTATTCTGGTCGACGCGTGTATTCTAGAAACGATGTTCATGATGGGATGTTTCTCAACGATGCCGACGTGTTGATAGATTTCATTTTCCTCCTCTTCTTTTTCTTTTCTTTTCTTTTCCATGCTTTCTTCAATCTTGTCTACTCCAGACACTGGATTTGCTTTCTTCAGAGTGCAGCGTTCACAATGTACAAATAGACCATGCAAATTGATTTATTTCCATCCGCACTTACCTACTTACTTACCTCCCGTGTCGTGCATGTATGCATATATGCATATATGTATAGCGCAGATCATCCATCTTGTATCGAAATTTGAACCTATCAAGATGGGTAGGCACGCACTTTGTATTTGAGTTTCCAATCACCACTTTTATAGATGTGATGGCGGGTGTCTAGTGGCTTATTGGGTGGGTAAGCAGATCCTACGGAGATAATTGGAGATAAGCGATTGGAACACGTGATAATTATGTATAGAGGGAGAGATGGAGAAGAAGGGAATAAGGAAAGGATATTAAGGGAATAAGAGGGGACAAGAAGGGGACAAGAAGGGGACAGGAAGGTAACAAGAAGAGAACAAGAGGATCAGAAGGGAATAAGAAGAGAATAGGAAAGAGAATAAGAAGAGAATAACAAGAGAATAGGAAGAAACTAATAAGGATGGAGGAAGGAAAGAAGACAATAAGAAGGAAGAGAAGGAAAGTAAACAATTAATTAGTTAATGACGAATAGGTCACGAAGTGCGTGACTCAAGTGAGTCAGCTAGCCTGACCATGCTAGACTAGGATAGAATAGGATAACCTGGGCTTTATAAAATAAGATACACTAAACCAAGCCAAACCAAACCAAGCCGGGGTATGTATGTATATATGTATGCAACTGTGTAGGGTGTGTGTGTGTGTGTGCATGGATGGGTTGATGATCGATGGAAGAAAGGATGGATGGATGGATGGAAAGAGAAGAAGAAAAAAGAAGAAAAAAAGAACACCAAAACCCATGCAAAACCAACTAAAACCAATCAATCAATCAAATCACTTCTCATCTCGCCTATGACTCCTCCTCCGGTGCCGGTGTCTATGACCAGGCTTATGCTCTCCCCCGTCGGGCGTGAGGGAATCGGGCGCTTCGAGCCCTGCCTCGCGCTTGAGGCGGTCAACGACCGGTCCGAGCGCAAAGGTGCTTTCGGGGCGGCGGTGGTGGTCCGCGCACGGGCTGTGCTTGAGGGGGAGGAGCCAATCGAGCAGGGTATAGCCCATTATCTGCTGTAGGTTTGTGATCGGGCGGCCGAGGTCGAAGGGGTTTTCGCCGGGGAGGGTCTGTAGGACTGCGAAGACGTGCTGCTTTTCTGGGGGTGGGTAGGGGGCGGATGGGATGGGTGCTGCTGTTGGAGGGGGCCGCTGGGGCTCCGAGTCGGGCGGTGCGGCCGCGTTGTTGTCCGCGGGTGGTGGTGGTGGTGGAATGGGGGATGGCAGAGGTGGGAGAGGATAGGTGACGGTGTGGTAGGTTGGGGCCCATTGGGAGTTCGGGCCGAGTTTCGCGAGGATGCGCTCTGGGATGCGGATGGCGAGCGTCCAGACCGCCGAGCGACGGTTGAGGTTCTCGATGGTTGTAAGGTTGGACGTCGCGAGTTGGAGGGAACTGAGGGTCATGCCGAGGGTGAAAAATCCAAAAAAGCCCGCCCTGTTGTTTGTTAGTGGGTGTTTAGAGAGGCGCGCTTCCAGACAATACTTACAGTCCCATAGCAACCGCCCAGTGGGCATTGGCTGCACCGGACTATCGTCACAGTCAGTCAGGTATTCCCACGTTCTGGGCCAGAGCTCACTCACCTCTCGTTTAAGCTCTGCCGTGAAGACAGCGCAGACGATCAAACAATAGGAGCAAAATATCATCGTGTAAGTTACAAACTGGATAAAGAATTTGAATGAAGTTTCAGACACCACGCCGCCGACCCTAGGTCCCTCGTTAGTTTGCGCCCAGCGCACACGCAGAGAATCCACTCACCAAGGGCAAAAGTGGTCCATCTTTGCGACGCATCGGTCCACCTCGCGACAGTGGTGCGCCCGGTCCGGCTTATACCGACGGCAAGTCGAACAATAAAGCGGCCTTCCGTCGGGCTGGCAGACAAACACATCTTTTGTGTAGAAGTCTTCCAACCCGTCCGTGTCGGTGGAGAACGCGCCATCACTAGTCGGGCTATACTGGAGCCCGCTCTCTAGATCCACATCGGGCCGGTCCGCCTTCTCCGTTGTCCTCGACCGCCGACGACTCTTCTTCCTCCGGTGGCTTCCTCGGTGGTGGTGATGTTTCGACGTCTCGTCGTCCGGCTGTGGATCCGAATTCGGCGGTGCGGCTCGAGGCAGGAACCCCGGGGCCCACATAACATTATATAACAGTCGAAGGTACGTGCCCAACACGGGTATTAGAAGGACGTAGAAGACCGCAATGATGGCAGCGCCAGCGCCCGCCCGTCGGCGGTGGTGATATTTCGGGAGTGGATTGATAAGATAGTCGACTGGAAATGGGGTAAGCCCGACGGACACTCCAGCTGAGTTCAGGGGTGGAGCACTCACTGCATAACGGCTTCGTGATAGCATACGCCGCATAAATGACGATCCCTAGCAAGATCGGAGGAATGGCCCTCGCTACGGCCAGGTTCATGCGCCTGTCCGGCCGCGCCATCTGAACTCAATTGTCGAGTGCGGACCGTGGGCGCCGCATAGATAGAGTTGGGTGTAAGATAGACGGCGTAAGGGATCAGATAGGCTCCATCGTATGACACGACAACGAATTTTCAGCTGGGTATACACCACCAACAAGGCTGGGAAATAACCCCGAGCGAGCTGTGGGCTGAAGCGACACGATAGCGCAGGATTCGATAGTTGATCAGGGTCTGTGGAGAGCATCAGGAGCAGCCGGAGAAAAAGGTCCAGCCGGAACGGGCACCGAGAACAAACAGGACCAACTGGACAAATATGCCAAATTCGACAAGCACAGCCGCAATGACGTCATGGAGCCTCACGCGCTGATAAGATAGACGATCGCGATAGTCGCGTTGATCTTCGACTGTCAGGGATGTTTCTACATGCTACGGGGAATAGTTTGGTTCTCGAAGCGATTTGAAGCGATGGAGATGTTTACGACAGTCCCTATCACCACTTTCAATGCATCGTGTCTAGGCTACGTCGAAAAACCTCGCGCAATGCCCACCAGGTCGTATTGCTCCCCGCACTATCCCTGATCTATCACCAAACCAGCCTTTTCGTCAGCAATTCCGCTCAATAGGCAGAATACCGAACAGTCGTGCAAACTGTCCACGTCGACTTGTCTACCAGCTGATGCCTTCTTGCGTAGGCACCAATCTTTCCGCCTAAGATAGTTACGAATTCGATGCGGGAGAATCTAGTGCAATCTATGTGACGTCGAGGTTCGAGCCCAGGGCAACGCAAGCGCATGGCGATCGTAGACACACGAGGTGTAGGGTTGTTTGATCGATGTGACTCTGATACGGGACGTGTAACGAGTCGAGGAACCCTGTAGCATAAGCGCAACCATTGTCAATAATAATACATCTCGTAGATCAGCTTCGCGACCAGAAATCACGCAGGATCAACAGAGTAGGAGGAAGGAGGGACGGGGACGGGGGCCAGAAGTTCCCAACAACCCGTCGCAAAAACCTCAGGGAGTGTAAAATCGGGAGACCGTTGGACAGACCCAGCCGGTGGGTGCAAGATCGCAGTCTGACACATACGACACACACATGACACGGCAGCTGACCGGAGACACTAGACGAATCAGAGGAAATACGCGATCGAAGAAAAAACAAAAAGGAACAAAAAGGAAAGTTTCCATGGTTGCGGAAAGATGACAGGAGACAGGATTCGTTCTTCCCCTGTCCCTGGGATGAATCATCAGGGCTGTTGTATTGGAATGAATAATAAAAAAAAAGACATAAACCTCGAATCATCAACATAGCCGCGACCCCGACGCCCAAAACGAATAGTGTGTCATACTTCGTGAAGCTGGAGCAGGATGATGATGATGAGGATGGCTGAGCGACAGGGGGGGGGGAGGGTCCAAATGATGGCCTAGTGGCAGATGAGCAGACCGCAGAAAGCATGAGTAAAACGCCCTGGGAGGCCCGACAAACCGTATCGAACTGACGGTCAAGATCACCGCCGAGTCGAGTCAGAGGAAGGTTTTCAGCAGGTCCAGTCAGGGTCTAAGATGAAAGAAGTATGATTCCAGTCGGTCTCTTGTTCGCGGTCAATCATGGTAGAAAATCGGGGTTAGCGGGGAGAGAACGGTAGCCTCGTTGCCTCAGGTCGAAAGTGGAGCCTTATAGGCAACCAACGCCCCATAGAGATAAATCAGTAAATTAAATTAAATACAAGAATAAAAGATAAAAAAAGGAAGAACTGTTGGAAAAGAAGGAGTCTGAAGAGAACAGGGGATATTCTCAACAATCAACAATTATAGAATATTGCATTTCTTTCTTAATTTCATTGTAATCATCGAAGCAGTAATCAAAGAATGAAGGGGAATAATATTCATTCAAAATCACCCGAATGGCGGAGAAAAAAAAGAAAGAACGAGGGTCTCCAGGGCAAAAAGCTGGAGTCCAAGCCTCACTCAAGTCCGCCTTTTCGACAGCACTAGTGAACCTCCGTTGACTCAATTCTAGCGGTCTTGAATCAATTCCATTCACCTCCCCCCTCCAAATGTCTGTCAGACGTCATTCATTCGGCTCGAATTGCTCAGGAATCCATCTGGGTCTGCCAACGGTCCAGAATCTGCAATCATGCCCCCCCCTGGTCCTGAGGGTCCCGACAGCAGCAATCGCCCATTGCCCTCCAAGCCACACCACCTGCATGGTCGCTGATCAACCCTCAAAGCCAGTCTTTTTCAGGAGTCGGAGAGATCATTGAGGATGACTGAGATCAAACGGATTAGCCCGATTGGGGCACAGGCTGAAGCCTGCCTATTTCCTAGACCTTGCACTGGATCTTTTTGCCTATGGCTGCACCCAGGGCGAAGAAAGGGTGCCTTGTATGAATCATCGCTGCCATTCGTCTTGCGCAGCTTCAATCGTCTCTCTCAATTCTTATATATATCACTCTGATGTCCAGTCCTCAGGCTCTTTTTTTCTTTCATCATCATCTCAAACCAAATCCAATCTTGACTACTCTTATCCATCTATACTCTCCTCCAAGCTCTATTGTTAGCTTCGTGTCGTGTCTCTTGATATCTACCTCGTCTATACAATTGCAACACTGCTGTATCAGACCTCACCGGATCGATCGTGACCACATTTCTGTCTCTTGTGGTTATCCTTCCTGCCGGTCTTCAAGCTGCTTCATTGACACGTCGCGGTATTCTGTGACCTGTTCCTCCCATCAACAACCCTACCTTACACAATGTGCATCTCCACGAACTACGGCGCCTCTCCTCTGGCCTCTGCCATCCCGGCGGACATCCCCAACTACCACAGCCACGGCTTGACAGAGCCCGTCATGAACAGCTCGTCCACCCTCTACTTCTGCTGCCAGTGCAACGACGGACCCAAACTCTACAACATCCAACCCCAGTGTGTGATATGCAGCCACACCATTTGCCCCGGTTGCCGTCCTGCCAAGTGAGTGGTGTGGCTGTTCTAGCTTGCTACTATCTCTTCGTCAAGGTAAGATCCACTGCTTACACCCGGGTCCGGTTGATGCAACCGAAGCTGATTCATGTTTTTAATTAGATTCTGAGGCTGCGCCTTGAATCCTGTGCTTGTAATCCTCCTTTGAGCTTGGCTTTGGCCTTTGATTGTGTTATTTTGAGCGGCATTGAGTCTATTATCGACATGAATTGGTATGAAACGGTTATGTGAACGATTGTTTGTTTTATTGTTCTGTCTTTCTTCTTCTTTTTCCTTTCTTTTGCTTTCTTTTTCTTTTTTTTTCCCCTGTTAAACAAGAATATTGCATTGGCATGCGACATAGATGAGAGGGTGTTTGGCTTGGGATTACTGTGTTTTGTTTCTTTTTTTGTTTAGAATGGGGGCGGCTAGCTAAGCTGTGCTTGCTGGGCCTGGATGTGCTATGCAGCCGCGAAGAACGCCTTGGGGTTGGATCTGGACCGTCAGATTGTGGGGTCTGCCCGTGTCTAGTATCTGACCCCTTTTACGACGACATCAAGACTGTTAATGAGCGTGTTCTGATTTTATCTTCTGTTTTTTCTGACATCCCACTCTGTGGCTTTGTTTTGTTTAGTCCTAATAGACAATTCATGACTTCGTTCGACCGTTGCTCCCTACTGTAAAGATCTAGTGTCTAGTGGGGTGGAAAAAAGCCCTAACCCGAATGGTCTTTACTATGGAGAGCCTTGCTGCCCGCTGCCGTGAACAGCCACCCTGCCGAGCCACATGGGCAAGCGCTCACTCGTATTCTGATATTAATGTATTGATTTTATTCTGTAGTGTGGGTAGGTCATACCAGACCCATGGTTCAATCAATAGATCCATTATTGAGGTAGGTAAAGTCTCAGGTACCCCGACCGCCCGACCGACTTACCGTCCCTGGTAGTAGTCATCCATCATCCATTATACCTAGGTATGAGATGGTGGATCGGCATTGAATTGGATTGGATTGATTTGGATGGACAGGATTGGATCCCACCCGAACCAGACAGAGCCTCAATGACCGTAGACCCGGGGCTCTCTCTTCCACTTCCAGTGCCCGACCGACCGGCCGAACCCGACGGACAGTAATGAGGCGGTTTAGGACGCAGATCATTTTACCATATGCACGCTGCACCTGACCAGCCTGACCCTAGTGCCTGCTATTCCACCGCCCTTTTCCCCCGCGTGGGGATTCTGTCACTGGTTAATTCCGGGCGTTTTGGCGGTCGGTCTCGCTGGGCGTCTTTACTATATTATTGTTGTGGGCAGTGCCTTGTACTTTTGTTTTTATTCTGTTGTTTATTTTATTTAATCCTACGATCTTTTTGTTTTCTCCTTTTAATTGTTTCTGAGGGTTTATACGATCCCTTCAGCTATGATGTGAGAAATATAATTAAAACAACCCCCCTATCTATTGTAATATATATATATAACAGGCTTACACCCAAGTAAGGTACCTTTGGGGGCCAGTTTCCGGAAAAGGGGCAGAAAATACTCTACTCTTCCTGGTCGATCCCGATCCGATCATGTATTTGGCCCCCGTAGATCTCAACAGCCATAGGCAGAGTATAAATATCGAAGATTAGACAATGTACCACCCATACATATATCCCCTGTCATTATCACACACCCAACCGCTACAACCATGTCAGCGTCAAAGCGTATATTATGTCCTGTTGTACCTGATCACCCAGACAGGTAGGCAGGGAAGTATATGCAGAGAACACCGGGCGAAGTTTCCAGGAGATCTAGTTTACTATTCCCACCGCTCTTTGCATCACCTGGCAATCAATCCATGCTGGATGTACCATGTAGAGTTGATATACGGTGCGTCGAATCAAGAATATCATGCATATTACTCCAGCTGGGGTCAGGAGGGACTCGTGCTGGAGATTGGATGGGGAGGGGTGGGCTAAGATCAGCCTTGTCTCTCTCTCTCGCGCGCTGTCTCCCTCGTACTCTACTCTGTCTCCCGCTTCTCTGCTCATCGGGCGCAGTCATGCAATCTGCAGCTGTCTGCAGCAGTCGGGCCAGGAACATGTCAGGCCGGCTGGGGTCGCACGAATGCATTTACGGACTGGGGGGGCGGGCACCGGGGATGGGGGGTGGCTTATCGTGGTTGACGCTAGATACTTGGTCTTGTTTACAACGTTTATTGTATGTTTATCTATTTATTTGGAGATTTAGTTATTTACAGATTTATTTATAACTCTGGGATTTAATTATACGGTGTGTGAAGTACGGATACTGCTGAAGTGATTGTTGTACGAGTGGAAAGTAAACGGTAGTATATATATAGAAATGCGTTGTGTTATACCATACACATTATACTATCCATCTTTAGCATCATCCCAGACCCCTGAATAATCCAAATCCATCAAGTCGGAGACTACAACTAGTCCTCGTGGAAACTCCCCGAGACAAACAACCTCAGCCTTACAGATCTACCACCCATAGCCACGTTGTCCAGTTCATCCATCCGCCCCCTCATCCTGGAACCATAGGTAATCCTCTTCCTTGCCAGGATCCGTCTGCACAAAACCACCATCTCGGTTTGGATCTTCTAGTCCTACCCCCCATCTCATCCTACCCTCCCACCATGTGGCCTGACATTATGCATAATACCACGCTGCTATAGAGGGGTCTTCCATCATCGCTGATGCTATATATATATTTGGCCCCGAGTTTCGTATCCCTGTTTTGTCTGCTTTTGGGGTCTTCGTTTGGTTCTAATTTGGCCTTGGGGTGGTAGGTGGTTCGGCTTACTTGAGGATGGGGTGGTAACTGTTGCATTTGGGGGGGTGGATGGGGAGGGTTATGTTTGGGGGTTCTTTTATGGGGGGATAGGATTGTGATACGGGGCGGTTTGATGGCTTTGATTGGCATTGTTGGCATTGGAGGGGTGTAACGTTGTGTTTGGGGGTTGTTTTGTAAGAGATAGACTGCTTTATCAGTCTATTATTTGATGATGATATTGCTTTGTGTATTCTAGCCCTGATAATAGTCTGATATCTACAACATCACAACAACATCGTATACTACAGAATGGATTCCTATCGAATAGACCAAGTCTACCCAGACTGACAGTCAAAGGATCAAAAAAGGTGTTTGAATGCAGATTATGTTAGTAGGATAGACTTAATGATCCTGCTGCTATGGTCTTCTCATCATTAACTTTCTCCCTCTGATCTCAGCACACTCGCTAGCGATCCGAGTCCTTTCTAGACAATATTATGGCTGCAAGGACTGCCTGCAATAGATACCGCGGGATCTACTGCGAATGAAAGCAGATTGCATAGACTGCTGTCTATTGTCTTTGAGAGTGTCTTAACTCTTCAGTCTCGTCAGGACGAGAATATCAATATCGCATTCAATGGTCGATCGCCTGAGTGATTCAAGATGGTTATAGGACGAGTTGTGGATACTCGATCAAGATATATTTACTGAACTCCACTCTCCTGTCTGGTCGCTCGTCAGCATAAAGAAAAAGATACAGAGTTCCTTTGACTGAGATAAGTCCACAACTGTCTAGCAGAGACCTTACTTATCCAGGAGTACCAAGAAAGTCCTCCGAGATGAGAGACCCAAATGAGGATGCATGGACCACAGATCTGCAAACTGTGTCCTCGATTCTCTCAAACCATGGCCTAGTGCCCGTCGTTCAGCTTGGGCATCACTCGATTGGTAAAAGCGTGGTGGGTGTGTTCTTCAGAAATCACCGATGCAGAGGAGATTATCTGATTTCAACTGCAGAAGGAAAGAAAAACACCTTGCAGTGGAGATGAATATATGATTCACTTGGCATGATTGTTCATTCCCATTGTTGTATGACGCAATGACGGGAGTTTCTTTTGAGTTGTTTGTTTTCCATCCATCTTGGCACCGAACTTCAATCGTGTCGTCGATCTGCCTTTCTTCAAACTCTCTCGTCTTCTATCCCTGTCTCGTTCCTGTTCTTCTTCTCCTCCATTTCCCCTCTTTGATTTCTTCTTTCTCTTTTCCCTTTGATCGTTTCTCTTTTCCGGGTTTTATCATCGGTTCGACTTATATATTGCCATATTACTCAGACTGTACTATTTATCATCATTAATTTATTGATTCAATGATTGTCTATTGTCATTGAATTATTACTATTGATTATTTCAATTAATCCCATCTAAACCCGAATTCCCATCTATACTGAATATATCTATCGACATCTGGACTGGTCTCCTGCACATCTGCGGTTTCGTCCTCCGTGGTCGCCCCCGCGGCGACACCCGGTGCATCGCCATGTTTCGTCGTCGGAAGAGCTCCTCACATCACCGGGTTGGTCCTGGACTGTTTCCTTTCCCTTCTCACTCCATTGGCCCTAGAGCTTTTCTAATCCACACCTTTGAAGCATTCACTATCCCCATCCAATACCCAGTCCGCCCATTCCGCCGCCTCCCACGCCTTTCTCAATTCCCAACCCTCCTCCAGCAGCTTGTCCTCCGCCGCAGCCGCCACAGCCCTGCGCAATCGCACTCCGACCCCGACCCGCGTGGAAAATGTCGAGACCAAACGCATGGTCCAGCGTCGCTCGTCCTCCTCCTCCCAGCACTTGGCCAGCCCGAGTCTGTTGCGCCCCGCAAGTCGCCAGGACCTCCGTCGGACGCGCAGCTCGGGGTCCATGACCACCCGGACCTTTCGGGACCAGTCGCCGCACCGCCCCTCGTCCACCACACTTCCGCGACGCCCGACACCACCGATCCCGTCCATCCCGTCCGAGTATACATCGCGCAGTCATCCGAATGGGCGATCCTACAGTATGGGTCCCACCGTGCGGCCCCCATCGCCCGTCGTGGATACTTGGCGGGGGATGAGCGTCGATCGGGGGCGGAGGGGATCGTCGAATGGGGTTCCGGAGCTGCAACGGCCGGAGAGCAGGACTTCCATCAATTTCTCATACCCCCTGAATTCGCGACCTACCTCGCCGACCGACCCTCCGCCGGTGACAACCTACGAGCGGCGGGACGCGGCGTCTGGCGCTTCACTGGCCGCCCGGGTGTCAAGTGCGCCGCTTCCTCAGAGCCAACAAGTTGCCAGGCAGCCGGTCAACACGTCGCCCGGCGGGATAGCGAAGGAAAGATTCGTCAGTCCCGGCCGAGGGACGACCCCTGTGGGTGGTACGGCAATTGCCGCTGCTCAGGCGGCGATCGTCCCCCGCAATGATGAACATACCCCCCCAGCCCCCATGGTTCGGAGCGTAGCGCCGCCTGCAGAGCGTGGGGCTCGGGTCCCTCAATCTAAGCTGGCGAAGGTCCCTGATCGCAAACCGTGCCCCTATTCCGGTCCGACCTTATCACCGCCAACAGTGCCAGAAGACCACCGGGAAGACGAACGTTCCCTCCAGAGCGACACGGAAGACAAAACGAGTACCCCTCCACCGGTGGGACTGGCGTCCCCGGAACCCCCGGCAGGCGCAAAACTGCCAGAGACGCCTGAACGGCGACAGCAATCAGGATCGTCACCTCTCAGCTCGCCCGAGTCTCACCGTTCGCCGGTTCCGACCCATCCACTATCGCCGCCTACCTCGCAGCCCACGAGTAGCCCAGAGCGCCTTACCCGCTTCTCCGACCATCTGTTGGTCGGGGGTCTAGCGACCGAAAACCTGCACCGTCCCCCGCCTCGATCGGTGTCGCCCGTCAAGTCCGCGATGAAGGATTCGCGGAAGAACGCGTTCTCCTCGGACGGGATAACGGGGGCTACAGCACGCCCTGGTCCAGCCATGAGCGAGGGCTCCGACGGGACCTCTATAGCTTCGGATGATGGCGTCCGCGCAGGAATAATCCGCAGGAAGCCAGTGAAAGTCAGCTTCGACGACGAAGCAGAGATCATGGGAGTGGCCGCGAGCCCCCCGACTTCCCCGGAGGACGTCTGCCCGGATTCCCCAGGGCGGTCTAAATTGAAAACGGGCTGGTTTGGGGCGAACAGAAGGAGGACTGGCCCGTCGGCGCTGGCGGACGAGTTCACTGAGATGCTCAAACCCCGACGCGCTCTGCCTTCTTTCGGCAGCGTTCGACGAGACCGAGAGGGAGACCAGTATGCGGGCCCGCCTGTCCATGAGGAAAGCGATAATGAGTCTACGAGTTCGTCTGAGCTCGATGAGGTGCGGGACACCTCGACTGAACCTGCCGTCTGGGGCATCATGCCAAACGCTCCGATGCAGCCGCTGAGGCAGACGCAGCTGAATCGCGTGCCGTCACCTGTTCCTGAGGACTCTTCTGAGGTCTCCTCAAAGCCAAGCCTGTCCAAAGAAAATAGCCCAGTCACGGGCGCGGGCGAGGCGAGGGCCCCTGCGGAACAGACGGCCACAAATGGTCATCCCAAGCCGCCACGCACGCCTCAATCGGGCCTGGACATCCCTGGAATCGCCATCCAGCCCGCCACTCCCGAATTCAAGAATGAGCGGGCGAGTCTCGAGTGGTATGACGTGCCCGGAGGGTTTCCCCGCACGTCGGTGGAGATGGACCGGGGCAGACACAACAACCCGAGACGATCCCTTGAAAAGAGCGTCACATTTCCGTCTGAAGGGGCAGAAAGTGATGACGAGTCTGGAGAGAGTGTTTACAGCGATGCGGAGGAAACCTTTGACGGCAATGGCTTCGGCTCCATCAACGCTATCGTGGACACGCGCCGGCCTCAGCACCGGTCGGAGGGCCCTACAGACCGGAACCCGCTGAGGCAGCAGCCCGAAGAGATGCCTGAGGTCCCCGAACCCTGTCAGATAGCACGTGTGGTGACTCCAGCGGAGGGTGCGAATGTCCCGCGCTCATTCTCACCCGATTCCCCGCACCGCCTCCGCCCGTTTTCGTCGGCCTACCCGCCTTTCCCCACACGGCCCAGCGGCAAGGTCCGTTCCACGCCCGGGGATGGGACAATTACGGGGCCACCGAGACGGTCTATGTCGGCCGACGCCCGGCGGCATGCAGATGACGACGCCTCGGTGCAGCCTACCGCGCGTCAGCTTGCAGGACCACGAGGAAGAGGGAGACCTGTCTCGTGGGGCCCTGTCTCTCTGGCTGGGCCTGCGGGTCGGGAGCAGATGCACAGTCCGCTCCAGCGCGTGCCATCCAACGGCAGCGATTCGTCCAGTAGCTTCAAGCGATCGCGCCGCGCGACTCACAGCCCGCACCATAGCATGCGGCGGACCTTGCGGACCCCTCCGACAGAGACACCGTCCACACCCAAACACCAGACGCCGATGCCGTTATCCCACCGCTCCTCCACGCTTACCCGACCAATATCATCGGGGTCGATCTCAGGGTCAGGCACCTTACGTGCAACACTACGAGGCCAAACCCCTCGGCGAGAAAAGCGATCCCTCTTTTCCAAAGGAAAGCTCCCCAGTATCAAAAATTCCAAGCCATCCAGCGTACCCTTCACATCCCGCTTCGCCGACTCCGACTCCGACACAGGCGGCCACGCATACCCACGACTAGGGCGCAAAGTATCCCGACGGTTTGAGGACGTCGAAGGTCGCGCCACAGACGATCTCCGCCCGGTGCGTGGGATTCCCCGCCGCTTCGACGATGGCGACTCGACCGAGCTAGAAGACAGCTCGGACAACGAGTCACGAGCCGCCCGGCCCCAGAAGCCACGCGCGGTAGCAAACAAGGCCGCAGACCCCAGCGCGTCTCAGCAGCCTGCCCTCGCAGCCGTTGCCAAGTCCCGCGGTATGACGGAGTCGCAGCTTGAGGAGTTCCTCCGACAGCCTGTGAGCGGCCGCAAGCCTAGCCTGCTCCACCGGTTTAGCATCCGCAAGTCGAAGTCTCCGGCTAGGGGTGGTCTCCAGTCGAGTGTGGATGCCCCGCCAGTACTGGAGTCGGCTCCGGTCGGCGGGGTCACTACGACGATCACCGCGAATGATGGCGTCGCCGCCCCAACCCCCCGACTTCTCAAGAAGAGATCCTCCAAGTCGGCGACCGACGAGGGGAGCGGCAGCGGCTGGCCTCTGCGGCCCCCGCCGGTGGAGGGAAGCACTTCTGCGTCTACTAACGGCCGGCCGCGGACGGCAGATGGAACTGTCGGTGCGGGAGTACCAGGACCAGCATCTGCACCGGAACCAGCGGCCAGCCATGCACTGGACGTGGGATTTGCAAGGGGGCGGAAGAGCCGGTTTCCGCGGTTGCGGAGGGCGTTTGGGTTGTAATTTTTTTCTTCTTCTTCTTCCTTCATTCTTCATTCTTCATTATTACTTTCTTTATTATTTATGTTTTTTGTTTTTATTTATTGGGATTAATCTATACGTTGGAGGACAAGGTTGTGGGTGGAGACCGGATGATGATACCCTCGTTTGATACTATATTATACGATACTATACTATACTAATACTGATGGATGGATGATGGATATGGTACGACTAATGATAATAGGACTGCTATGCAATGCTATGCTATGCTATGCATGATGAATCAGAATGGAATGAACAATCTCACTTCTACAGAGTCGTCTCCGTAAAAAAATAACATTAGAAAAATCAACAACCATAGATAATACTAATAATAATAATAACAACGATAATAATAACTGATAGCTATAAACAAAACACCACAGAAAAAAAAATAAACAGCCAAGATAAGAGACCTACACGGAAACAGGAAGCGATCCAGCCCAGCAACAACCTCGGGCGTCGGGCCAACCCAGTGCCCACAACCCATCTGGTGTCCGTCGTCCGTCCGTGTTTCTGTTTTTCCTTTCTTCCCGGTTCCATCTCCACCGCGATCGTTGGTCCATCTGGGATCCACCCGCTCAGATCCAGATCGAATGAGTGGTGGTCTGTGGTGTTATCGGACCCACTTTGTTTGGACCAACCGGTTCTTTTCGCTCAGCTCAGCTCAGCTCGCCTCAGCCGTACTAACCTCTCGGCACCTACCTACTGTACTGGGTTAGCTTGCTGGCTCCTGGTGAAACCGGTGGCTAGACTTTGAATGGCTAGGTCTGTTTCTGGTAGATGGTTAGTTGGTATCGTAGGGTGGTTGTTAGGGAGATAGGTCGGTAGGGAAGAGATAGGTAGGGAAAATCAGGCGGTTGGGAGGGGAGGAGGAGGTTGGGGGTGGGTCTGATTAGCACGGTCTGGTCTGATCTAGTCTGATCTAGTCTCCGATAGTGGAGACTGATGGATGCGTTGCTGTGGGAAGGGAAAGACCAGACGAATGGGGGGAGACCACGCTGGTGGCTGGGGTTGTCTTGCTTTCTTGTGTGATTGATGAGTGATTCTTTGGGTGGTTGGGGATTGGAATCATGTAGGTATGATGTGTGTGTGTATAGCTGTGGATGAGGTGGATGGTGTATAGTGTATAGATTGAGTCAGACTGTATGTAATATATGGATGGATTCATGTTCTCTCTCTCCCTGTTCTGGAGGGTACTTCATGGACTGTTCTCTGTAAGGTCTGAGTGTCTGTGATAGACATGAGATGAGGAAGATCATCGGGATGATGCTATCAGTTGCCGTGGGAACTCCCCGCTCGGTGGTTAGAAGACGAGAGGATCGGAGAGGATCATGAAGTGGAGAGCATGTGATCTGTCTGTTTCTGTTTCTGTTTCTGTTTCTGTTTCTGTGTTTTGTGTTTTGTTGTGTTCTGTCTGTTGAGCGTGCGGTGTGTTTTGTTCTGTTATCCTTCAGTATATGAAATATGAAGTCAATCGGGGATTCTATATCTTCTGTTGCGTATGCATTGACTTCGGTATATTCTATCCTATATCTGTAGTATTGGTTATCAATTATACTCCGTAGAGAGATGAGTAGATACTGTAGATCAATAACCTCGGACAATAGAAGAGTAAATAAATAAATGCGAGGTTGGACCAAACAGGCTTGGCGAGTCAACAAACAAACGCCCCTCCCAGGCCTATTTCTATCTCTCTTTCTTCCTCCTTCTTTCATTCCTCTCTTCATTCCTCATCTGCATTCTTCCCATCATCTGTCATCTCCATTCCTCAGATCTATCATATCTATCATATCTTGCATCGATCAATTGATTGTTAGATCAATCCATCCTTCTCTCTTCCCCTCCAGGAAAGAACAGAAGTAATATAGTCTTTTCTTGTCGCCTTTCGAGTTGAGGCCAATTCGAAAGGCTCTCGAGAAAGGACGCCCGAAGATCAGCCAATCTGGACTTCGACGCCCGCGTCCCCATCCCCTTCAGTGTCTTCCCGTCGTCGTACCGGAGTGACGCTGTTCCCCATCTGACCCCGGAGAAAGAAGAGGGTCAAGTCCATCTCGATCACACTTCGCACGTCGACCGGGAAGATACTGGAGCTGCCCGTCTTCCCGAGCCTCGTGTTTACGGTCAGGAAGAGGTTGATCTCCATCTGCATCGAGAGAGTCATCCGTCGCCCAGAAAGAACAAGGCCCGTCGTGACGAGTTTGTGGACATCTCTGCCAGCTCGCGTGTCTCGCATCCGGAGGTTCATTTGACCCGTGAAAGGTATTTTCCCTTTTCCCTACTGTCTTTTCGGTTATTTCATTTCCGTACTTTTGTTTGTTTTGTTATTGTTTTGTTATGTTTTCGTTTTCTTGTTTTGTTTTGTTCTATTTTGGTTGGTGTGGGCCAACAAGCGGTGTCACCCATGCCCGAACTAGATCTAGTTGGAGAACTAGATCGGTTACGTGGCGCCCAAACATCCATCACATCAAAACAACCATCCTGTGTTTATATATGCTCGGTCTTCTGTCTTCATCTTGTCCTACTCTTCCTTTCTCCTTCTCCTTCCTCATCCTCTTATACTTCTTCATACTTCCATCACGTCCTTCTATCATCCTTACACACCTTCATACCTTCTTACCTTCTTTGATATACTAACATACATAGCTACCGTGAACCCTCGGTCCGTTTCCAAGACCAACCCACCTACGACAAGTCCGTCGAGAGTCAGATCGATATCACCGAAAGGGAATATCGTCGTCGCGTCCACCCGACCTACGACGTCAACCACTCCCGGGATTATCCTTCCGTCCCCGTAGACTCCTACTCGAGCCCTCCCCAGGCCACCGACGTCTCGTACAGTCGCGCTCCTCGTGAGGACGTCCCGTACGACCGCGCCTACCAGCCCGCCCCCGTCGACATCTATCCCGCCGCCTCGGCCTACTCCCGTTCCGCCGTTGACGCTGAGCCTGCCGGTCCCATCCCCGCAGTCTCCCCCCGCTCTAAGGTTTCTTCCTCAACCACTGTAGTTGACCAACCCCCTCGCAAGATGGGTTACTACGACGACGACGGTAAATACCACTCCTTCCGGCGTGGTGTGGAGCGCGCTGCCGACCGCATCATGCATCCCTTCCACCATGACCACCACCACCATCATCACGACAGTGAGGACGCCGTCGTTGCTGACGACCGTGGTCCAGTTCGTTTCCGTGATGGAGTCCGTGAGGAAGTCCGCGTTGTGGAGCCTCGCGCCCGCCCCACCAAGGACACCGTCCCCATTCCCTGCCACTACATCCGCGTCGGCGACATCCTGATCCTCCAGGGCCGCCCCTGCCAGGTCATCCGCGTCTCCGTCTCCCCCCAGACCGGCCAGCACCGCTACCTCGGTGTCGACCTGTTCTCCCGCCAGCTGCAGGAGGAGTCGTCCTTCGTCTCCAACCCCTCGCCCTCCGTCGTCGTCCAGACCATGCTGGGTCCGGTCTACAAGACCTACCGCATCCTGGACCTCCTCGAAGACGGCCGCATTGTCGCCATGACCGAGAGCGGCGACGTCAAGCAGGGTCTGCAGGTTGTCACCCAGGGCGGTCTGTTCCGCCGCATCCGCGAGGCCTTCGAGGAGGGTCGTGGCAGCGTGCGCGCTCTGGTCATCAACGACGGCGGCCGCGAGCTGGTTGTGGACTTCAAGGTGATCCACGGCAGCCGTCTGTAATTTTTTCTTTCTGTCCTTTTTCCTAGGTATGTGGAGCGTTCTTCTGTGATGAACATGTGTTGACAGAAGTAGGCTACGATTTTGACAATGAATGATGGATGATGGGGTTATGTACTTGCTATGTAGATGATAATTGACGATTCTTTACATCTGAACCTAAGTACTTACGTAGTTTTGGTTATCTACCTCATGTATTAAACTGTATTCATTCTGATTCCACATCTACATACTAAAGTACATCCATCCATACATACCCACACCCATTACCCCACCCCTCTTCTCTCTTCACTCCCAAAATAATACAATTGAAAGGAAAAAAAAAAACTTAAACCTTAACATACCTCAAATAATCCCTCACAACCCTAACATCCCCAAACTTCTTCCTCGCATCCTCATTCTTCACCGAAGGCGGCACAATAACATCCTCCCCAACACTCCAATCAACAGGCGTCGCCACCCCATTCCGATCCGCACTCTGCAACGAATCAATCACCCGCAACACCTCCGCCGTGTTCCGCCCCGTCGACGCAGGATACAGCATCGTCAGCCGGATCTTCTTCGCCGGGTCGATGATGAAGACCGAGCGGATCGTGAAGACGATTTCCTTCGGGTTGGTCTGCACCCGCGCGACGTCGTCCGCGCTGAGCATGTCGTACAGGTAGGCTATCTTCCGGTCTGCGTCGGCGATGATCGGGAATTGCACCTGGGTGCGGGAGATGTCGTTTATGTCGGAGATCCAGGTGGAGTGGGAGGTTAGGTCGTTTGCGCTCTGCATTATCCTGTTAGTATATGTACCTCCATGTATACCTCCACATACGGCTCTCCATATAGACAGATATAGATAGAGATATATCCATATATTCGAAAAAGAAGGAAGGAAAGAAGGAAGAGAGGTACCAATCCAATCATTTTCACGCCCCTCGCATCAAACTCATCCTTGAGCTTCGCGAACGCGCCCAGCTCCGTCGTGCAGACGGGCGTGAAGTCCGCCGGGTGCGAGAAGAGTATAGCCCAGCTGTCGCCGATGTGGTCGTGGAAGTTCATCTCGCCTTGGGTTGTTTGGGCGGTGAAGTTGGGGGCTTTTCACATCTTATCAGTATCATTGGATGTGTCTTCGGTTTTGGATATGTATAAGTTGGTGGGTTGTGTTATATGATTGGATGTGTGTATGTGTGTGATGTTGGATGTTGGGGTGCGTGATTATAGACATATGGAGGAAGGAAGGATAGGTACTAATGATACGGATGATAACTACTAACCAATAGACCCCAATCTCAAACGAGGCTGCTCGGACAAAAAGCGCACGCCCATACCCAGTGACCCCGGAGGCCCCTGGCGTAGGCCCTGGCGTAGACCATGCTGGCTCAGGCGGGGCGCCAGGAACGCGGGACGCGGGGCGATGCCGGTCTTGGGGAGGGCGGTGCTGGTGCAGGCGCGGAGACTGCGGGAGAGGATGGAGGACATTTTCTTCTTGATTTCTTTCCTTTTGTCTTGTGAAGAAATTATACGAATTGGTTGGATTAGTGTTCGATTGATTGATTAACTGATGGAGATGGAAGGTTGAAGTCGAGGGCGGTGCTGGGCTGGTGCTGGTGGAGGATTACATCATTGGAGTGGCTGCTTCCGGCGGACCGAATTGGCACGGTGCCTGGTCGTTTTTCTATTCTGGGATATATACGCCGTGTATTTCCTAATAGATATTATGTAAACTGTACTTCCTGTTATTGATCATATCCAAAATGTTAAGATTGTACTATATCGACAATCAACGCCATCCCGTAGTCAAACAAACACCGTAAGTCCCTCCACCCAGTATAAGATCACAAACCACATAAAAAATAAAAGAAAGAGATAGAAGAATAAACGAATAACAGAAGGAAAGGAAAACAGGGGAAGGGGTAAAAAAAAAGAGAAAGATGATATTACGCCTATGGCGCACCAACGCCAACACCAGTCTGATGCTCCTCCGTATTATACATTCCTTGCTGAAGAGACAAAGGACAAACAGGGTATCGCTGATTTCGCAGTATGTAGGTTGCAATTGGAGACAGATCACCGCTCCCCGAACTTGCCATACTCTTGCTGCCATTTCAAGAGATGTCGCGTTAGCACGTCCATCATCTCCACGCTGCTGAGTCCCTTGAAGTCTTTCTCGGCCGACGCCGGCCCCGTTTCGCCGTCTGTGGTTGTCGTTGCTGACTCGCCGTCGCTGAGGGATGATAGCTTGGCATCTAGCTGCTCCGCCATTGCCCGGATACTTCCGTTCGGCTGGTCGCCTCCCGGGGGCGAGGTTTGTCCGGCTACGGCCATTTCGACTTGCATCCGTGAGATGAACTCCAGAATGCCAGCCACGCGTCTCTTCATCTCGTTCATGGTTGTCCGTTGGTTCACGTAGCGGGGTCGGCTCGGCTTGCCCACCTCTCCGTTGACATGACCATTGGGTCCGCCTATTCTCGGCGAGTCCCCGCCGATATCATAAGACTGTCCGCGCCGCGGCGAATTCAGCGTGCCGTTCGAATCGGTACCGTTCACGTCGCGATCCCGCGTGTACTGATTGCGGCCCACGCGGCCGCCACGACGCGCCGGCGGGCGACCGGACTTGCGTGTAGAGGGGCGCGCGGCCGTTGTCTCTGGGGGCGGGGCGGGGGTCTCATTAGGGCTGGGTGGTAACGGTTCGGGCTCGGGGGCCACCGGCTTTGGGGGAGAGGCTGCCTCAAGGTTGGATTCGGCTTCTATCCCGCGTTAGCTTCGTTGGTGGTCTGTAATTGGATCAACACGTACCACCGTCATCTTTCTGAGTATCGGTTCTCCCCTTCCGTCGGCTGTTTTCAGACGACTCTTCTTCCGGCTCTTCTGGCTCTTTAGTTTCTTTGTCGCGTTGGCCTCGGGACGTCGCTCGCTGTCGTCGGGTGCCGTTGGTGGCTTCCTTCTCCTTATCGTCCTCGGACACCGGCTGGGAGACGGGTTTGCTCGGTTCGGGAATCCCGGGCGACGGCGAACTCGTGCGTTGCTTCTTGGCCACCTGCTTATGACTGAAAACCTGTTAGCGTTACCCTTCACGCAATGGGTTTAATGACTGACGCTTCGCTGTCACTGCGACTTCTTTTACCCCGCCGGACAGAGGCTTCGTCGGTGTCCGGCTGGTTATCTTCTTTGCTCTCTTCGATCGCACGGCGGATCAGCTCCTCCTCGTCATAGGCAGCATCGCGGCTGTTCATGGTGGAGCGACGTTTGGGGTTTTGCATGTCATTATTGCGTGATTTGGAATCTTTGGATCGTTTGGAGGGATCGTGGGAGGACTCGCGGGAGGAGACCGCTGTGGAAGAGGGGGCGACGACAGGAAGGTAGGTGGAAGAGCGTGAGCTAGAGTCAGGTTAGACTGTGCTTAGAAGGTAGAAGGAAAAAAATTGACAAGACGGAGGGTATGACACCGGTGGCCTCCGGATGAGAGAATTTTCAACTCGCTCACCCTGCCCCCAAAAAAGAAGATCTTGAGGCAGAAACAACCCGGCGACAAATGAGAAAAATAAACAGAGAAACTTACCCATTGAGTTCGCTTTTGATCCTGTGGAGCTCCTTGCGGCACTCCTCACAGTAATACTCGTCCGGGCTCATCGCCTCATCCATGATCCCCACACAGCCGCCGTGCTGCCAAACTTTGCAGGAATCACATTGGATGAACATACTCCCCAGATCATCCGACATCAGTTCGGATGAGTCGGGAGGCGGGTTCAAGGACGCATCCTCCTTGACCCGGGGCCGCATGCCACTGCGACCGAGAGCTTCCCGACGGGAGGGGGGCAGACCAGGGTACTCCTGCTGTCCACAGAGACATCTTGTGACTTCCTCTTCCTCCTCATCATCTTCGCCATCTTCTTCTTCCCCGTCTCCTAGAGAGGGGTCGTCGTCACCGCGGGCGCGCTGGCGCTGGCGCGTCTGTGGGTAATCCATTTTCGAACCCGCGTCAACCTCTTCGGCAGACTGGGAACGGTGGCCGGAGGAGCCGGGAGGGGAGGGGATTTTGTGGTTGGATCGGGTGCTTCGTTCACGAGTCATTGAGGATGAGGAACTGGATGAATTTGTGTGGTGTAGGATTGCTGGTGAGGGTTGAGAAGTGCGGGCACGAGAAGATCGACGAGGTGTCATGGTAAGAAGCAGAATCGGCGGGGGAGGAAGGGAGGATCTAAGATGAGCAACGTATATTAGATAAACATTTTTTCTTCTTCACAACTGGAGAGAACGTACCAGAGATCGAGGACAGACAGCCCGTAGGCGAGCTGTCGCACGGTGGAGGAGGAAGCGGACGGGATGGGTGGAGGGAGAATGAATGAAGCGGGAGAGAGAAGAGAAGAGAAGGGGAGGACAATTGCGACCCGAAGAGGAGCGGTAGAGCAGAGATAAAGAAAGCGACCTAGAGCTCGCAAGCGAACGGCGAACTACATAGTCCGAAGAGAGGATGAAGAGGGAGGGGAGGGGAAGAGAGGGCTGAGAAGAGGAGAAGAAATGGAGAGGGAGAGATTACTTAGTGCTGGGACACTCTACGGGTATTACTGCTCTACTACTACTGAGTCCTGGTACCTACTGCTACTGCTGGTGCTCTGCGCGGCTTTCTCAATTGGTCCGTTCCGTCCGCCGGTTTCCCCGCTCGAGTGTTAGTCATCCATTCTCTTCGCCTTTTTCTCTTTCTCTCTTCAAGTCTTTTTTATCCTTCCCTCTTTAGGCTTTTTGTTCCGGTTGAATTTTATACGGTCCACTGTGGGATACATATATACCTCTATATGTGTCTTATATATCTGCATTGTTGAGGGGTTTGGTAAAAATCCCTGGCTTACTGGCAAACAGATTCCCGATTGCATCCTCCCCCACTCATCTCGGATACCTGCCGACTCTCGAGTTTTTCAAATACAATTTATCATGGTTATCCGATGGTCTCGAAGCACTCGATTGTAGGATGGACATAATGGACTACCTCTATCAAGGTGTCGCATCGGGCAAGCTACGGAACAGAGATCGGACGCTCGGATCGGCAATGGCTGTCCACATACTTGATGGCGGTTCCTCAATTGATCCGATGCAGAAATCTCTCCTTCTACATGGCTCTGAGAACCCCTCGACATGTGTCCAGTCGTGCATTTCATGTCCAGTCGCGTATTTCGATGCGGCATGCCAGCGCAAACGGTCCCCTCAACTTGGCCCTGACAGCGTAGTCCGGTATTGTGTAGTCGCTGGAACCACCAGTCATCTGGTGGAAAACAATTCTTCAACGATCACTGACCCACGTCAGAACATGGAGGTCGTTGTCCATGGATCGCTGGTTGGGCACCGAGGATGCACGGTTATGTTGGTGTTCGTGCAGTGTACCTGGAGGAGCAAGTCCCGGCCCTTGCGGCGAGGTGATCCTGCATTGGTGAACCAGAACTACCCATTCTCAACCTATCCCCTGGACAGACAGGTGGTTCTCCTTGTTTGGACATCGGATATGGTTCTAGGGTCATTCAAGACAGCTGTAGTGTAGAATTAGCCACGACCTCATCTTGAAACTCAGTCATAAACAACTGTAAGATAACGTGGGGGAACGAGTCGCTCGCTTGAGAAGGCGGTGAGAGGATATGACTGATTACATCACCTCTACCTGCATAACTCCAAAGTCAGGCCAAGCATAATTGGCATGACTAAGCCCGACAGGCATAACTAGTTAAATGATAATCCCCATAATCAGTGGTTGTTCATCCAAGATCCCGACTTGCCATTTCACCCCTCCTATCCCCCTATCCTCTCCCATCCCCCTCCCCTCCTGGCTCGTGGTGATCAGTGAGGTTCCCTCTCGGATTACTTCGAATAGTCCGTCCTTTCTTTTCTGATCCTTATTTCCTCCCCTCTGTCCGTCGGTGGTGAGGTGTCGGTCGGGTGTGCCTGGCGATTCCCCTACCCGACACTTGGGCTGTCAAAAAGTCTGCAGACGCGGTCCTGGTGGATGATTCACGGGTAAGCTCCATTTCCATTACGTCGATCGAGTCGGTAAGACCGGGTCGTGCGCCTTGACTTGGTCCTGGGGTTGAGACTGTCGGACGCACCCGGTCTGTTCGGACCTGGCGCTCGGTTGAACAACATGCCAACTGACAAGTGGGTTGCCCCGATCCAGGATCCGTCACCGTATTCACTCCTCTGTTCCCACCGACCCCCTGTCAATTAAATCTTCGCTCCAATAATTCTATCCCGCGGTCGATCATACTGGTGGAGGGCCTTCATACAGGAAGGGTAAATTTATAATTGAATTCCCTCAACCCAGAAGAATCAAGCGTGGAACAATCATCTTCCGTACCTCCGTTGGTCGAGCCAGCAGGAGTCACCGCACCGTCCGGCTGTGGCTGTGACGGTCGAGAGACGAGAGATCTTTGCATTATGGCTGCTACGCTGAGTATGTGTCTATTCACCAAGGGTGTATGAGGACTACAGATTTCCCCGGACGTCCCCAGGTCTAACTGGGTGGCACTGAGTGGCCGGGATCGGGACCTGCTAGTTGATTGGTTACTGATATTGCCTGCCTACTTGTAGATGGGATGTGCAGCTCGGCTCCGGATACACCGTCCCCCGTCTATCCAGATCGACTGATACGTCCTCTTCCCAAACGCCCGCTGCGAACCCGACTCTCCTCCGACGCCGCGGACTCGATCCTCTACCCCCCGGCTCCCCCAGCAACCCAATTGTTCTATGGTGCATGTGCGGATAGCGGGGAGGTGGTGAATGATGCCAAAGTGTATGTGCAGCAGAGCGAAGGCCATGATCACAGCCCGGAACGCGATCACCTTCCGTATGAGAACGGCGTAGATGTTGAGAGCGGGGACGAGGACGGTCCCGTGGTGGTTCACCGAAGTGCTGGCTTCCGCGGGTCGCCCCTGTCCCCGTCGGCGGTCAACTCGCAGCCACAACCCCACCCGGGCAACGGGGAAGGTACCCCGATCAAGTCTTCGGCAGGGCCCGACGGGTACGACGCTTTCGAGAACACCAACAACAAAAAGAAGCGCAAAATTCCCACGCCGGGAAATTTGGGAAGTCACTCCACCCTCTCGCCCGAGTTCTCGACTATGGGGTTGACCCCCTCGGCTCCCACGACGGGGCCTCCTGGAGATGGAAGCCACGTGAGCACCTTCTACGGCACCGGTAGCCCCGCCTCTCCTGTCGGCCATGGGATGTCAGGTCCTGGGAGAGGCCGTCTCGGTCGTCATGCGCATCGAAACAGTACGGGGCGAGGTTCTTTCTCTCACTCGAGTCCGGTCGCCTGGTCGCAGGGACGGGGGCCGGCTCGCCGTGACGGTCTGTCCTCGCCTGGCTCCACAGGTATGTTCCTTCGGGGTGGTCATTTTCCCTACCATCCGGCATCCCGCTAATCCAGTTAGGGGAATATACGAGCTCGGACCAGGGAATCATCTCCGCTGCTATCGCCAATGCGGCCGCCTCGGCGTTTCCCTCCCCTCCCCCCGGATCGAAGGCGGTCAGCATGCTCGAGCAACAGGCAACGACCCCTACCAAGACCCAATTTACCTTCACGTGCGAATCGGATTCGTCCAAAGGCATGGCGCTGCAGCCGCAGAGTCCGTACGCGGCCACGCACCGCTCGCCCGGATCGATCGCGGCCGCCCAGAATCAGCGGCGCTTCTCGACGCAGGCGACACAAACCAGCCCCAACGCCGCGTCGCAGATGAGCCAACAGCCTGATCATTCGCCGTCTGCCACGGGGGTCGAACCCAACACCACTGGGCGGAAGAAGAAGCGGTCACCCGGCAGCATCTATGCGTTGGCCGCGCGACAACGCAAGATCCAGCAGCAGTATACCAACCTGCACCATCCTCCGAATCTGGAAGACATCTGGATCTGCGAATTCTGCGAGTACGAGAGTATCTTCGGCCATCCCCCGGAAGCTCTGATTCGACAGTATGAGATCAAGGATAGAAAGGAGCGCAAGCGATTGGCGGAGAAGAAGCGACTGCTGGAGAAGGCCAAGATGAAGGGTCGCAAGAACAAGAAGACCCCCAAGGGGGCGACAAAGCATACCGCGAGCCACCAGGGGTGCTGCGATGGGAGTCACGATCGGGCATCGGCTGACCATTCGTCCTTGGGAGGTGGACCGGGGCAGCATGACGAAGACTACGACTACGATGATGAACCCGTTGATCCACCCCCTACCGCACCTCCAACCGGAACGTTCAAAACACCTTTGCCCCCGGGGACTCATCCCAAGGCACCGGCGAGTGCATCCGGCGTTAAAGGGGCTGCGGACGCAGGCACGTACAGGCCGCCCTGACAGTAGACCAGCGGCGTCTAGGTCTGCCCTATCATATGAAGGCAATTGACCTGCCGTCGCTGTCTCTATTTCCTTTGTCTTGCATGGCCTGTTCTTCTCATTAGCCTTTCTTGCTCTTTTCTTCTTTCTTCCTTTTTCTTTTTATTTTCCTTTTGTACCCTCCCCCCGTTTTCTCCCCCCTTCGGTTTATCATTTTATCATTTTATCATCATTGCCAAAATAGCATCAACGAATCCCCGCTCTACACACCTGAGCATCACGTCTCATGATACAGCATGGTTTCTCTCTCATATTTGGGTTATGGTATGGTCGGTTTGGTTCTCACGCCTGCAGATTCACGATGGGTAACGGCGTGGTGAACACGATAGAATGTGATATGGAAGTATGACTCGTTTCGTTTCTTCGGTTGGTTGGTGTTGACTGTATGTATGTGCATGTGGATGGAAGGGCTTTACTAGGATGGACGGACGGACAATCAGGTGGATTGGTGCGTCGCTTGAGCATAGGTTAGGTTTCGGTGTCGGTACGGTAGCGGTGTCGGTCTGAGATGAATGAATGAATGGACATGGTTATTTGAATTTACCTTATTTGTAGTTGTCTGAGTTTGGAGACCTCGGCTAGAGAAGAAAAGAGAGTGTACGTAGGTGTAGATCATACACTGATATCATATAGATAGGTATATACCCCTGCATCCCTGCATCTGCATCTGCATCCTACCAACTACTAGTTCCTTTCTTTCTGTCTATCAACAGGGCTAGGTCTTAATTAACTTTACTGTATCAACGGATATTCCCACATGTTCTTACATACGGACAGTGCAATCCTACCCACAGTGTAGTGTAATTAACAAACCCTGACCACCAGAATTCGTCTTTACATTGTATGCCGTCTTAGTCCTCTCAACCAGTGCGGGCTTGCTCACCTTGCCGTGATATCTCCCAGCTAGACATCTGTGTTCTCAGCTTCTTCATTTCACTTCACTCCACCTGACCTGGCTGTATGTACATCCATCACTCACAATCCGCAGCCGCCCTAGAAAGAACACCCCTGACCAACCCTACAACCCCCCATCAGCACTCTCCCGTCTCCGTCCCCGCGGAAACACAACCCCCCCGCAGCATCTCCACGCACGGAATCAAGGGCCGGTAAAACGGGGCACAATGCCTTTCCATGATCGTCGAAAAATCGCGCGCATTGCACACTATGCCGGTTTTGGAGAACGCCAGATGGGAATCACTATCGTCGTCCCACAGGTTGAACATGGTGGGCTGGAAGTTCTGGTCTGTTCCGTTGTGGTGGATGCATATCCAGAAGAGGACCCAGAAGAAGGATTCGAGGTCGTGGTGGAAGGAGGGTTGCTCGTTGAGGAGGAGGCCGATGGCTGTGAAGGGTCTTGTTCCTGTTTTTCTGGTTCTTTCTCTAGGCTCAGTGGTACTGGGGGATAGGGAAGGTTGTTCTCTATGTGAGAGGTCTAGGCCAATTAGGAAGGATGGGTAGGGGTAGTTCGTTTCTTCGTTAATTAGGAGGTTGCTGGGGGAGATGTCGCCGTGGAGGATTCCTGCTTTGGTGTAGAGGGATTGGTGGCCTGGAGGTATCAATCAGTAATGAAGTATTGAGACGTGTCCGTCTGTGCCCACCTTCGATACATTGCTCGAGTGCTCGTAGTAGGACAGCTGGGGAGCTTGCTTTGTAGATTGGTTTGCCGTAGTCGCGGGTGAATATGCGACGGTGTACACGATTCTTAGGGAGATGTTTCGGCTCGTGCACTGAAGAGTCTAGACGAGCCCCTTTGCGAGGCCTGGCCCCGCTGGACCATATGGCGTCTCTGGTCCTGTTGGAGCTACCTACAAGCAACCACCCTTCCGTGTTAGTTGACTGAGCATGGTTTGTGCCATAGTAAGTCCCCTGCGTCACGTCGAGTCCCTTGCGGATATTCTGGATATCGTCGACTTGGCCGTTTATAGTGACCTCCTGGTGGTGGTAATACCGTGCGACGTTCACGACGCCCTTCTGGGTAACTTCCGGTAGCAGTTCGCCTTCGTTGGGACAGTCTATGTCCTGCCATGCATCTTTGATCACGATGCGGGTTTTGTGCCGATCGTCCAGATGGGCCTTCCAGCATCTTGTCGCTCTTCCCAGCAATGCGTGGTGATTGATTTATAATCTCGTCAAGGACAACACGCTCAACTTGCCCATTACGCGTGATCGCGATTGATTTCTCTTCAGCGTCTGACTTCAAAATGGTAGGGTCAAACCCGAGTTGTTTCTCGCTCATATGAAGGAATCCCAGCATCGTCGAAACGAAGAGTAAGCCTTCCTCGTTGATGTCAAACGAGGAGGAGGATATTGCTCCCGAGCGGTCAAACGCCCACAGTCTCATGATAGATCCGCACAGAGTAAAACCCAGAACAAATCGCCTGTCTTGTGCCGGAAACACCTCTCGCACAGAGCGTCCCAGCTCAAGCCACGTCGTTGAACAGCCATCGAGATCTGAATCGCTATCTAACTCGCCTGGAATTAGTATATCCGACCACCGAGCATTTCTCTTCCGCGCATCAATTTGGCTTGTTGCAATGGCGACATATAATTGGCGTCGCGCGGCAGATCTACAGCGAGACTGAGAAGCCTGGACGAAAGTCTTGTCATCAACCGCGAGGTTCTGTTTCGTGGCAAGGTCCCGTAACAGAAAGAACTTTTGACCAAGCCAGTGATGTACATCCTGCTTCTGAGCGGCTCTAGGCCAGTCTGTCCAGCCCATGCTATTGTCGTAGATGCTATCTTCTCCGAAGCTTCGCATGATCGTTGCAGCCGCCGTCTCCACCTCCTCTGCACGCCCCAGATAGGCATCGAAAAAACCAGGGACGTCAATGTACATAGAACCTAATTCCTGTTCCAGCATGGCATCCGCTCGTCTCTCATATTCGAACGAGTCTGCCATAGGCCACATCGTAGGCGAAGACGACGCTTCATTGCGAGTGACCACGGGCCTAGGAGGAGGTGTCCTGTTGATAGCGGCGCTGTAGGCTTTGCGCCAGATGGTTACATCAGGCTCGTTATCCAGAACGCTACTGAGTGGGGAAAGAACTCGGGAGATATCAGATTCGTTAGAGAGAGCATCTGGGATCAGCCATCCGAGGTCGTTTCGGAATACATCCCGTCCGGATAATGATGGGAGGTGGGCTGTGGCGGGGAGGCGTTGTAGGGTAGAGACCAGGTCGAATAATATTTCTGAAGTGGTTTATACGGTGAGCTACAGCTCTGTAGATAGGATGACAAACTACCTTTTAGATCGTCTGAACGATCGAATCGAACGGTTGGTGTATGTTTACTTCAGTACATTGAGTTCGGAAGGCGTCCAGTCCGTCCTTAATTGGCTCTGCTTTAGATAGTTCGGACAGTGCTGGGTAAGACATTCTGTATAAGATACACAGTTGGAATATGCGATGTCTCAGCTCAGATTACCCTGGAGCAGCGTAGATGAAGAATGGAAGCGCTTCGAAGGATGCTTGCATGACAATAGGTATACTGCATGATAGATCTGACTAGTCCTAGTTTGGCAGTCAAGTCATGTGATTCAATGAATCGATCATTTTGCAGTTACCACCATACAATAGGATTGATTTTAAATAATGAATAGAAGGATTCGATCGGATAATTACAATATACCTATTGTTACACCATCATCACCTAACCTTAGGTCCCTAGCCACTGAAGTAGGTCCTACTACCCTGTATGTAGAAGACAGCGGCTATAGGGCTGATCACACCCCGTGACCCACCCAATCACATCCCATCCCTTCCATGCGCCAGCCATGAAGAACAGCCAGTCCACTCCGCTGCAGTATAGGCGCCTGCCGAAACACATTCCCCAAAATAGGTACCCAGTTTGCCACTAAGACCAGCTCCCTTGAAGAAACCTTCGCGCGCGCCATCCTCTTACGCGAGAAAAACACCCTGTCAAACATGGCCCAGTTTCATCCTGAGGAAGGTTGGCGCGATCACTGGATGGGAGGGATTCTTTGCGCAAGGGGATATTTTTAGATATTGCCGGCTGGGATAGCTCTAGAGAGAATGGAATAGTATAAAGGGAGGGAGTAGTCGATAGATATTTGCATTGATCGATTCATCACTGGTAACTAGCACTCTTTCTTTGTGTGTTTCTCCTTCTTTCGTTTCTTTTTTACCCTTGCTTTGTCGCTTTCTAGAATATTTAGATTTCGCCATTGTTCTTTATACTCTTTTTCTCTCTTTGATGGGATTCTTCTTTTGAGTCTCTCTTATACATAATCTGTGATTGCGCTGGCGCATTACTTCCTTACTATCATCTATTCCACGACTCTGATATACGATATACTACACCCACCATACATCAACCACACCAACCAATCTCTTCCAAACAACAACATCATCATCAAAAGCACCAATAGAGAGAGAAAATGTGGTTCATCCTCCTCAAAGTCCTCCGCTACGGCTTCAAAGCCGCCAAATCGCACAAAGCCAACAAATCCAACCCTAACAACCCAAACGACATCACCCTCTCCAACATCCCCTCCACCACCACCACCAACCCCCCAAACCCGCCCGCAACGCCCTCAAAACCAACCTCGACAAAATCCTCTTCACCCTTCAATTCGCCCTCGCCCTAACCGTCATCGGCCTCTACAGCCAAGACATCAACAGCGAGGACGAGGACGCGCCCGCGAAATGGGTCTACGCTGTCATAACGGCCTTCCTGGCGGCGTGCACAGCGCTCACGTACCTGATTCTCGTGTTTGCGATGAAGGCGCGCCCGCTGCCGATGAGGCAGGGGGCGCATTTGCCGCTTTTCGCGTGGGAGGTTGTGCTTTGTATTTTGTGGCTGGTTGTGTTTGGGGTGTTTGGGGAGATGTTTATTGGGGTGCGGTATGGGGGGATGAGGAGTCGGAGAGGGCGAAGAAGTTGGAGAGGATGAGGAGGGCGGTTTGGGTGGATTTGGTGAATTTTGGGTTCTGGGTTGTGTCTGCTGCTTGGAGGGGGTTAGGTGGTGGAGGGGGAGGGTTAGGGGGGTGATGCGCAGAGTGTGTTGGAGGTTGGGGGTGGGGATGGGGTTGAGAAGGAGGTGGAGAGGGTTTGATTCAATGATCAGCTGGGTTGGGTTTTGGAGGATGGTTGGGTTGGGGGTTTGTATCTTTTTCTTTTGTTTTATGTTTTTAGTTTGTCTTTTACTGTCTTTTTGTTTTTGTATTTATGCATTGGAATCTCATCTGGATGGGGTTACGTCGGTCTGGGTCTAGGTTATGCATACTGAAGGAATGAGTGCATCATTATTCATGGTATTTAGTCCGTATCTCATCGCCAATCTCGTGCAGTCATAGTATCCTAATGCTACCTATCACGCCCTCCCATGGCCTCCTCCAGGCGACTCTTCTCCAGCAAGAAACTCAGCTGGCTGCGTCCCTTCGATGACGGCGTTACTATGGACATTCCATCCGACGTCCGACGTCCACTCGGCGAGAACATGGAGCCATTTTGACTAGGCGTCCTGATCGGAATACCCGAACTCGTAGCCATCGACGTCCCCTGCGAGGTCGGCGAGATGGACTCCATGCTTTCGCCTCCGGATTCGTTGATCGGCATCGAGGAATCTCCCGTGGTCAGCGACGACGCGATCAGCTCTTCCTCCTGCCGCTTGCGCTCGGTAAACCGTGTCCGGAAGTCCTTGTCCACCAGGGACGCGGACGACGGCTGCTCATAGTTCTCCGACTTGAAGAACCGCGCGTCATAATGCGTATAGTCGTCGATCCGAGAGATCAATCCGTATTTTGGGGGAGACGATTGGGCGCTCTGAGACGGCGACTTCTTCTGGAGTATGTCTTTTAGGTCGGCAAGGAACGTTTCCGGCAGCTGGACGGGTTTCTCGAGATCGGCTGGGTCCACAGGAGCCACAGTAGGGGCCACTTTTTCTTTGACATCGGTCAGCACAAGATCCACCGAGTCTGTCGACTCCGTACCTGGAGGGTCGACGTCGGGCTCGCCGTCGTCCAGTTCCATTAATTGGGCGGATGCTTCGACTGTCAGCGGAGTCAGAGCCCTGTTTGGACTGTGGTTGCGCGTGTTGGACCCGGATGAGGCCTGGGATGACTTGCGCCGCATGATGACGGGCCGTCTCTTACTAGACTTGGCCTTGGCTTTGGTCGGGGCGACATACGTCTTTTTACTTTTCGTGGTCTCCGGCTGGGCCTGAAGGACAGGGGTTGGCGCGTTAGAAGATGGCTTGCGGGTGACGCTTGAGCCGCCTTCCCCTGTAAGGAGCAGACGGGTGGTCTTGGGCGACTCGCTGCGGGTGTGGGTGAGGCTGGGCTTCTTCAAGATGGGCTGGAGTGGTGTTTGAGATGCATTGTCCGACAGCTTCCGCGAGGGCTCCGGCTTCTGTGGACGGTGTTCTTTCTAGGGCCACAGGTTAATAGGAACAAGTGATCGAAGGGGCTCACTCTTACCTTTGTGCGTGGCGTTAGCGAGGCCGATGGGGTGTGCTCCGCGATGCGCATGAAGAGCCTAGCCAAGGATGTACCGTCGAGGGAACATCGGATCCTTTCGTTGCCCCATATTCTCCAGAAGAAATGAGCCAGTCGATGTCCCACATCGCCTTCGTGCACTGCCGGATTGGTACTGTACACTGCCCACCATCAGTCAAGATCTGCACAAGCCAACAAGCGACATACCTTTCCAGAGTTTCACAATATCATCCACATCGATGGGGGCCGAGTCATCCAGACCCGACGGCAGCTGCGTCGAGGTCGACACCAAGCCTTGCGGGAGGTTCTCCATCTTTAAACCAGCGATCCACAGTGACGTGATTCAGTGAGGTTCCAGAAACTACATGATTTGGGGGAAGTCGACCGATGATTTGACGATGCCGAGACCCTTAGAAGAGAGAGAGGGAGGCGGAACAAAGAAAGCAGACGGGGGAGAGAGGTCAGCAGGAAAGTGATCGACTGGGGAATGATGCGTCTGGCGGTGAGTTCAATTGTGTGGCCAAAGAAGCAAAGACCAGGTTGCGTTGACAAACGCAGGGAGGCAGGAGAAGGAATCCGGGGAAGGAGGCGGGTCTGTGTCTGTGACCAGTCCCGAGTGATCTGGGGAACAAACAAAGTCGCAAGGGCCGATGCTATTCGCAATGGTGGATCTGCAGCGGTGTAACAATCGAGCCCGATCAGGCAAGAAATGTGGTCTCTCCCTTACTGCTGAGTCGCCGCCGTAATATTGACCATCTCCGCCTTCAGCCGCTGACCAGGGAGGAGGGGGGAAGTGGGGGTGAACAGCAGGATAAGGACTAGTGTGTATGGATTTGGTGGTTATGAACAAAGAAGTGAGTCAACAGAGCGTCATCCAGACCGGCGGGGGTCTTGGGATTAATCTATCTGCAGAGGTGGGTGAGCCATCATCTATGACATGAGGTGGATGATGTTTATGATGTGTATGGTCACTGAACTAGGTGACCAGAAGAAGAAGAGAAGAGACGTAAGAAGGTTTGACAAAGGAAGAACCGAGGAAGAGAAGAAGACGAAGAATGAAAAAGAAGACAGAGTAGAAGAAAAGAAGAGAAGACCACGGGACCCGAAAAGTGTCATTATCATTGGAGAGAATCACTAGTCGAGGGAAACTAGTCCCATTCGGTGCAAAGAGAAGTATCAATCCAGCCTGGAATATCAGGCCTGGTGGGTTGCCTGAAAAGCGAGGTATCATAGGCCAGACTAACGCGAGGCACTCAGGCACATCAAGTAGACACGGATCTATCATCCAATGCCGAACCTAATCGTCCCCCTTACTCTACAGCCGACTAGGTGCTACAGGAATGCGCCAACATTCCTTCGAGTCAAAAAGAAGAAAAAGAGGGAAAAGGAATATGTGAAGATCACCCAACGGCGGTTACGTCGGCTACTCCGGATTTAATTTATTTATTGATCACAAGTTCCTCTCAAATGACTGACTGAGCTTGTTGGTCTTCCCCATGTGGAGACGGGCGAGTGCTCATCTATCCACTTTAGGGAGTTGATCTACGGTGGACCGAGAGCTTTGAAGAAGTGGGAAGCGGGCGCTAAAGTTGTGGCGACTTTCAAGGGCATCAATCCACCGGGTGGGGTCTTGAGATATATATGCACTCGGGCTGGATACAAGTACTTGGTTGCCCTGTCTTCTGTGTGGGCGGCACAGATTTTGAGACAAATGCCGAAGAGACTGGATTTCGGTGATCGGGCACAGCCACGGTATACCCCTTAGCTGTGGCTGGCCAGTTGCGACTACTCCTGTAACCATGTTTGATCGGCCAATCCGCCCGCAGCTCAAGTAGATCTAGCCACACGCTGTAACAATGAGATTAATACCAATGTGCAAAGTTTCATTGTAATAAGCTCTAGCAAAACAAACCAACAGGACGGGAAAACAAAAATTCAACGCTATTCAATGTTCATATGTCATGACCACAGTCAATGAATGAGCAACGCATTATTCACAACATTGTAATTGAGGTGGATTCTGTACATCTTACGGTCTAAATTCTAAGTCAGGGTGTAGCCACCGTCGACACGGAGGTCAGCACCAGTGACATATCGTGAGGCGTCACTAAGAAGGAAGGCCACGGCGCCCATCAGGTCCTCCGGCGTGCCCATCTTGCCGGTGGGGATGAGCGAGATCCACTTGTCGCGGAGTTCCGGATTCTCATCCAGAATCTTGCGCGTACTGGATGTTCATCAGGGGTCATTCAATAGACTAACGCCGAGTGGAGAGACTTACAGCGCAGTCAACATGTAACCCGGACTGATACAGTTAACTCGGATCCCATGGCCGGCCCACTCGACGGCGAGCGACGCCGCCAGATGGCGAACGGCAGCCTTGGCGGCATTGTACGGCGCTTGTGGCTGCGGCACATTCACAACCGCCCCAGACATGCTACCGATCATGACAATGCTGCCGGGGGCCTTGCGCTCCATAAGGTGTCGGGCGACACCGGTCGCGAACAGGTACGTGCCGTCCACATTGACGCCCCAGAGCTTCTGGATGCGATCGTAAGGGTAGGAGATGGCGTCGAAATTCTCGGTGAACCCAGCCGAGGTGACCAGTTTGTCGATCCTGCCGTGCTTATCGATAACCTCAGCTAGTACGGTGCTCACTGAGTCCGGGTCGGCCACGTCTGAGTAATGGGCGGTAACCCTCGGCATTCTATGGAGTGGTTCAGTATCTGACGTCACGCATGCCGCCCAATGGATACGCATACTCGTCATCTTGGACGCCCGGGTTCTCCTTGCGGAACTGCTCTACCAGTTTATCGGCCTGTTCCTCGGCTTCCGTCTCTGTATATAAATTCCATCAGCAATCGCACTTCCATCTCCACAAAGGCCCGTTACATTGAACCAACTTACTATTTAGATCAACAATCGCAAGATGTGACCCCGATGCCACCAGCGCCTGAGCCATGACAAGACCCAAACCACGAGCACCACCCGTCACCACGCTGACCTTATTCTCGAGGGAAAATGCGGCCAGGGTCCGTTTGAAATGCATACCTCCCCGGCCTTGGACGACCGGAGAGCGAGGCATATCCTCATCAGGCGGGTACTCGATCTGCAGGTTCTCATCGACACGGGCATTGCGGCCCTCTTTGTCGCCCAATGTGCCCTGGCGTGCTCTGTCGGTTGCGGTCAAGAGGGGATCTTTTGCGGCTTTATCCTCTTCTTCTTTGCTGGCCCGGGGGGAGGTGGATGAGAGGGGACGACGGGTGATATTGACACTGGATGATCGGGGGAATACTGAAGCTGGGCGGACGGCGGTGTGATTGAGATATTTGATGGCTTGACGAGCGACGGTAGTTCTAAACATTTTGGCGTGTGGGCAAACAAAGTATAGACAAAGAAGAAAATAAATGAAACGATCGATGCAAGAAGGAAAGAAAAATACTACAGTAGAATTGAGATTAGACCCCAGCCCACAAAGGTTTCTTACAATATAGAAAAAATTGAGACAAATTCACCTACCTTGTAACACACAACAGACAATGCACAAATAAACTAATGCCAACAATGGGGGACGGTTTGTGTGTCCTCTGCGGGGGTGGGGTTATTTGAAAAAAGACAAACAGGATGACAGAGGACTCAGCACCACCCCATATGGAGTCTTGGACCCAATTGCTCTCTTGTCCACCCCGGTCAAGGACATGGTGAAAGAGTGATGTCAGATCATACAAGATCCCTGAAAGGACTGCAATTGTTTGCCTTCCGCGTGACTCCGGCCTGTGTCTTCAGGCCGATCACAATCTAGACCGGCTCTGCTGGGCTGCATGTACTTTTTCTTGTCTGCGGGGAATTTTGGAGAGCTTCATTTCTGTACCGAGGATATCTCTAGTATACAGACAGATCCATACTTAAAGGGTAAATTCGAGACAATGTTCCGTTTGAAATGTGTCATCCATGTTTCATTATTTAAGCAACGCTGAATGATCCTCTGTATGTTCCATGTTCCCCATAAGATAGACCCACTGATTGAGCCGTCACTGGGCGAGATCGTCTCCGCTTCAAGACCCACTTCCCCAGCTCTCGGCACGCCTGCCTCCTCATTCCTGATTTGACCGATTGTAACCGTTGGATTTCACTTGAATTGTATATTTTCACGAGTGTACCTCCGTATTCGCTTCTGTACCTATGCCGAAGACTCGGCGTCCTCTTCGGTGAATTCGACGAGTGGTGTACCACTTTTGCATTGATCCTGTAGGACAGTTTGTTAGTGATGGCTCGTAGTTCTGCCAGGTAGATGATTAAAATCAAGGAAAGGGGGAAAGAAGATGATGAGATCAAAGTAGCTACGATCCATCGACTCAAACATCCATAGATATCAAGGTAGTAACGGGTAAATGGGGAGGAAGAATCGCGACATACTCCTTGTTTATGCACCACTTTAGCGATCGTCCCCTTCTGTGGGCTGCGAATCACCGTCTCCATCTTCATACTCTCAATCACCACCAACGGCTGGTCCTTTTCCACCAAGTCCCCTGCCTGGACTTCAACGCGCAGCACTTTGCACGGCATCGGTGCCAGGACGCTGTTAGTCACATCCTTCATACCTAACGCCTTCTCCATCCACTTGGCCCGCGGGATTGCTAGGCGGTAGTGCGCCCCGCGTTGGAACACAGAGACGGTATCCTCGTCCCTGACCACCGTGGTGTCGAGACGGGTATGAGGAAAAAAGGACGTGACTACCGGCGATCCCGGGCTGCGATGGCTCACCACCTGCTTGAAGTGGTGCGCACCAACGTCGACATCAAACGTATGATCGCCCGTTTGTTGGACGCGGACATCGAAGGTGGCGTCCTTTTTGGCCCCGACGGTGGGATCCGCAAAGCTGATCTGCCGTGACTGGTACCCAGGACCAAATCCGACCGACGCTCCCTCGAAACTAGCCTGTTTCCGAGACAGCGGTTCGGCGTCGTGGTGTAAACAAGCTAGTGCTGCTTGTGCCAGCATCTCGGGATCAATCGCCTCTCGGGTGAACAGCTCCTCGCGGTGTTTCTCAATATACCCGGTTTCGACATTGCCAGCGATGAAATCTGGACTCCTGCAGATCGTCTTGAGGAACTCGATGTTGGTAATGGGGCCTGCCACTTCGTACTCTTCCAGTGCGGCAGCGAGCTTGCGGATCGCTTCGGGTCGCGTACTGCCCCGCACGATGAGTTTCGCAATCATCGGGTCGTAGTGCGCGGAAACCTCGTCTCCCTGAACAAAGCCGGCGTCGATTCGAACATCCTCGCTAGCTTTGGGTGTGCGGACATGGAGGAGGGTACCGGAATCCGGGACGAATCCTTGATCCGGATTCTCCGCATAGATTCGTGCCTCGATTGCATGACCGCTGGTGGCCATGTAATTCTCAACATCTTCCTGTGTTAACGGCAGCTTGGCGCCCTCGGCTACCATCAGCTGCCAGTGGACCAGATCCTGTCCGGTGACCATCTCCGTGACGGGGTGTTCCACCTGAAGTCTGGTGTTCATCTCCATAAAGAAGAACTCGCCCGTTTCGTTGTCAAAGATGAATTCGACGGTCCCCGCCCCCTCATAGCCTACGGCCACTGCAGCAGACCGTGCTTTGGCCCAGATGTCTTTCCTGGTGGCATCAGGCAGATGCGGAGCGGGAGACTCCTCGAGGATTTTCTGGTGCCGGCGCTGAATACTGCAGTCTCGCTCTCCGAGGGCTACGGAGTTGCCATGCTTATCAGCGAACACCTGCACTTCGATATGCCGTGGCGTCGTGATGTACTTCTCCACTAAGACGTGGTCATCACCGAACGAGTTCATAGCTTCCGACTTGGCCGATTGCAATTGGGCCTGGAAGTCCGACTTTGTTTGGGCGATGCGCATTCCCTTGCCACCACCCCCTTTGATGGCCTTGATGAGCACCGGATATTTGATCTTGTCTGCCTCAGCTTCTAGGAAGTCGGGATCTTGGTTCTGGCCGTGATACCCGGGCACACACGGTACCCCCGCATCGGTCATGATCTTTTTCGACTGGCTAGAGACAGTTAGCGAGACCCTAAAATACCGAATAGAACCCTAGCCTACCTTTTGTCCCCCATATCTTCGATGGCTTTCCACGGAGGCCCGATAAAGACCAGCCCAGCTTCAGTACATTTTCGCGCAAAAGCAGAGTTCTCACTCAACTACGACGGCCAAATCAATTAGCATCTCGCTACTACCACATCTCCGGATGTCACACTTACAAACCCATATCCCGGGTGTATCCCTTGGCATCCCTCTTGTTTCGCAATCTCAATGATCCTATCCCCATCTAGATACGCCGACACAGAGCCAAGGTTGAACGCAAACGGTGAGCTTAGAGCGTGTTGTGATCGACTATCGGGGTCTGTGTATAGCGTCGTCACCCGGATCCCATGCTGGGCCGCGGTCCTCCCTACCCGTCTTCCCCATCACGGTCAATACATGTAACGCCCATTACAGACAGGATTGTAGAACCAACATACAAGGCAATTTCTCCTCGATTGGCAATGAGAATCGAATCCAGCGATTTGGTGCCATTCGCGGTCACCGTTGAAACCGCCCGCCGGGACCTCTGAGCTGCTGTCAGGGCCAGGCGGGAAGACGAAATGCGGAGAAGGGACGAGAGCGGCATTGGGCCACTCAGTAGTTGGTAATACTGATAGCGGATATATTCAGCACCAGCGAGGGAGGTATCGGTAGAAGGTCAAATAAGAAGCATTGCTTTGCTTAATAGTAGTGGTGGATTGCCGATTAATAGGGATGCGAAGGGCGGCGATTTCTGTACTCTCCGAGCAAGCTTCCGCCCAAAGCTCCCCCTTGAGCCGACGCAAAGCGAGCCTGCGGGGAAATGCGGGCATAGTCTGCACGTGACTTCCTCCGGGCCTACACTTGTTTTGGTCTAGCGTACTTACTCAATCTGAAGGCCATGTGATCTGCAGTCACACGCTCAGTCAGATCTATGGGTCTCGGGCCATCTGATCCATGCAGATATTACAAACATGATGTCGCAAAGAATACCACTCGGCTATGAAAGATACCTAGCCACTTCTGAGCTCTGTGGGTACCCTCTTATGGCCGTCTTTACGTTGCGACACATGATTTCACACAATTTCTATACTATAATATCATAGTACTAACCCAGGCTGTTTAGTACTACTGTACCATTAAGAAAAGTATGATAATACCAGACGGTCAGACCAAGGGTCGAGTAGTACAGCAGTACTAGTACTATGGTACCAGTACTGTAGTACTTGTCAAGGCCTAAGCAGAAGGGTCTTGTCCGTTTTACTCAGTAACAGATATCTTCTCAATTTTCACATAATTAACCCACTCATGAACATTATAATATGCTGAGCGGTCCCTTTTTATCACTCTATGACCAATAAGGAACTGCGAGTGCTCCTAATTTCCTGTAATTAATTTAAGGTTAAGACTATTAGATAGTGTTATATTACATGCCTTTGACCAGTTGGCTTTGCGTATGTGATCACTCGTGGTTCATACCATGTGTAGTACTCCTTTATAGTGACATCATGTGGTACAGTGATCGTAAGTCTCGTAATCCATGACACAGGTCTGGGCGGTGATAGCATGGCTACGATAGTTGTAGAGATCTATCTATCTAGGGGAATTGATAGGATGATAACATTTCATAACAAGAATTATATGTGCATACACATTATAACACATAATGAGTAGAGTTCTTATTCTTGAAAAATTGCTAACTAGAATGACCACGAGGGTTTTCTCGGATGGAATGTTATGTTGTTGATCCTGCAGCCCCTGAGCATGAGCACTGAGCGGAACATTTCCACTGTTGAGAATATCAAAGTACATTCTTAACAAAGCCTTTATTGTTGGTGGGCCCTGACCTAAGAATATATATGAGATTTGTTTTTCCCCACTACTTTTGCATTGTTATACCACATAGTAGCTCTCCCTCAGTTCTTGTAAAATCCCTCCACCAACAGGTCGCCATTGTCATTGAAAATGGGATCCTTGTAATGGAAAACCCGACCACCAGGCAGTACAAAGCGAGCAGAGCTCTTGAGAGAATTTTGCAGCGTGGTGGTCACTGTATTGAAGTCAACTTTGGTGATGGCGTCCTCTGCTGCGGACTTCAGGTCCGGCACAACCATCCCCGGGCCTTCTTTTGAACTAGAAAAGACAGACTTGGGGGTGTAGTCAATTTTGAACAGATCTTTGGGGTTGGTAGGCATTTTGAGCTGCATCTCAAGGCCGCCCTCTTTGACGGATTTCATCTCAATCTCGGTATTCCAAGTCACTGTGACCGAGCCTCTGGAGAATGGGATTAGCGTCAATCAATCACTCTTGAAACATTTATAGGTTGCTTACTCGTGCCAGTCTTCAGAGCCAATAAACCAATGGTGCAATTTGATCCAGAGCTTCGAGTATCCTCCGATCAATATCTTGTTGTCGCCGGGATTGATGGATAATTTGTTGACCGTTTCAGCTGGAGAAGTCCAATCAGCCTATCGTCAATATCCCTACCATGCTCTTTCGCCCTGGGGACTCACGGTTGGCCCAGACTTCGCCCCCAGCAAGGGCTTTTTTTTTCTTTTACATGCGACTGAGGCGGCGGCCATTTGAAATCCCAGTTGGTTGCCGAAGTTCTGGTCCAGGCGTAGTGGCTCGCTGAGTTCTTGGGAGCCTCGGGGCTGTTGTGTCCGATTCCAAAGCTCCAGTCAAGCTCATAGGAGCCATCATTTCCTACCGTTAGTTCTAGGTCCCCCTGCCAGGCATAGAGCTGATAATTAAATTCGCGCAGAAGGCCAGGCAGCTCCGAACCATCGAGGGCAGTGTTGCGCAGCAGATAGGCATCCCAGAAGTTATCGTGGGAAATGCAGGTTGTAGCCTCCATGTTTGCTGCACAGAAGTTCCCAGAATACGTGAGAATATCCTCTTGCGGGAAAGAGCGATTCTGGGTCATCTCCAGGTACAACAGCATGTTGTTCCCGCCTTTCTCTAGACCAACCTCTGGCGTGTCTTTGCCCGGCGCAAGGTACTTGTAGTGTTGGTGCTTGAGACTAGTCGGAGGGAAAGTCGGCCCTAGGGGGTTCACGCTCTGGGGCCTATTTGTTGATATCGCATATCCCAGAGTGGAGAGTTTCTCGTCTTTCATGACGCTCTGGTCGGAATTTCCCCAGGCGGACATGAGGAAGACAAACTTCAACTTTTCATCATCGTCCTTCCAGTTGTGGCCGTTGAAATCACTCAATTTTTCTTTGAAATGGTTGATTTTGTTTGCTACGGATGGTTAGCTCGTTCTGATCTCTTGTTCATTGATTTGTGTCAGCTCACTCTTGAAATCAAGGAACAGTCGTCGAATATCGTACTCCCCAGGATGACTGAGCTTCTTCTTCAGGTCCTGGTACTCCGAGGTATTCGAAGGCACATCAATAGATCCGAAGTCCACATCGAAAGCAAAACGCCAATCAGCGACGTCAATATTGTCCCCAAGTTTTCTGCCTGGAATTAGCACACTGATAATTCATTGACAAACGCATATCACAAATGATACCAACCCTTCATCGTCTTTAAGCCTCAAAGAACCAGTTTCGAAGTGACAGTAAAAGACAACGGTGCTGTAGTTGTTTTCATTGACTGGCAGAGAAATTTCAGAGTATTGCATTGTGGCGTCAAGTTCTCCAACAAAGCTTCTGACTTTGATGGAACGCAGTTCCTCATACTGATCAAATAGATAGTATAAGGCATCGTTAAGGGACTTTTGAGAGACTGCAACTGCCTACGAGCTGTCAATCATCGTGTCAAAGAATCTCAGATGAAGTGGAGGACATTTACCTGATCAAATGTACCAGATTGGGTACGAAGAGAAGTCTGTAACCGTCTGCTTTGTTCATCTTGGGCTTGGATGGCGCCGTTACCTTCGAAGGAAGAAGATGCGTAGCTGGACATGGTGACTCGAGTTGAAACATAAATTACTATGTGATGGCCTCGAACGAGACTTGGTCACACAACACTGTACTTATGAAACAAACCATGCCTTTCTAGCCCGTCAATATTGGAAATCGAACGGTCGAGAAGAATCCATGATGATTGATTACCTGATGATTGTAATTGGTTCCACCCATTGGGTGACATGAGCTCGGTATAGGAAACTTTGAGCTTATTCCCCCGCAGTACCTGTCAGTTGCAGCGTTGATGCTGCCCGTCCCGTACTGGCAGGATCTCCTGGTAGACAGATAAAATACTAGTAGAAAGTTAGTATTCAAATTTCAACTTCTGTAAGTTCATGACATGTTGATTTGTATATTTATTTCCGCAAACAGAACAGTAACACACAATAGAACTAGATTATTAAGATGAAAAACCGCACTAGAACCTACTCATTGACGTGTTTGTGTTACACGATGCGGTTAAAATTCTCCGAGAGGTGCCGGATCATACATCCACATATACATGGGAGGAAGGAGGCATTCTCGCAATGTAAGACACAGGAAATTGGTTAGAATCCCACCAAGGCATGGATGCAGCTTTTCGTACAATTAGGAACAAGGCGATATGACATATAATTCTCAATACCCCCGTCCCGTCGTAGCTCTCCATCAATCTTTTGGTACTCATCTATATCCGTCGCTAGCAACATCCACGACCATGGAAAGCATCTCACACGACTCTGAACTCATGACCCAGTATGTGGCCGCTAAGCCATTCAACAATTCAAACCGATTCATCGCAGTTCGCGATGAGGCAAACCGCCTGATGCTTTTTTCCATCGGCACGGACAGTGAAATATGGGTGTCCAAGATTGGCAGCTCTGGCCAGCGAGAGCTTCACAACTTTGGGATCATGCTGGGCTTTGGCACTTACAAAGCACAAGCTCTCGACGTAGCGCAGGATCCTTCATCTGGTGTGCTGTACATTGCCCTAGCCACCGAGAGGAACGCGTCCGAGAGTACTGTGTCTCTGCTTAGACCATTCCATCCAAAGGACCGTGACCTGAGCTCTGCTGCTACGAAGCTGGGCGATCTTATTATGACGGAGAACAGCCCGGCTTACAACCGAGTTTACTCAATATCTATGGTATGGAGGTGTCATTTCGGTTTGGTGATGTGTTCCACTCACAGGAAATAGGTTGGTACAGCAGCGGACAGCGTTTATCCGCCTACACTACTGCAATACCAGACGACCGTCCATGAATCCCACGATCTTGCCTCGATAGCAGTGAAAAAAGAGAATGGCTCGTACAGCTGGGACCGGGAAACAGACGTCCAGCTGCCCGAGAATGCATCTAACATCTTGGCTATCCAGCCCATGGTCGCCAAGCTGGGAGATCATACACTGCCTGGATATGCAACCTTGTATGTTTTGCAAGGTATGAAGAGAATGGTCCTTGTAGATTCCCAGACATCCCGAACTGAAATTGCGAGTACAGGCGAAACACAATTGATTTTCCAGACGGTCAATGTCCAACATAAATACAGCAAAACTCTGAAGTGTCCTCCAGGTATGACCGACTAGTTGTTTTTCTCAACCATTACATTGACGCAATTATGCAGGCGCACAGAGCCTATCGACTGTTATAAGCTCTGACGGGTTCTCCGACCTGCTCATCGGGGGTACGGGTCTGTATCGCTACCATGCTGACCTGCAACAAATCACTGAGAAGACCGAGGCCGACCTGATATCCCAAGAGGGTGTATTTGGCTCCGTTAAATATCTGAGTGTTACCCAGTCCGGTGAGAATCTATCTGTCTGGGCCACCAACACTGCAGATGGGGTGGGATATATCCAAACAACACGCGAATTTACTGGATCTAAATTAGCTGTGCCAGTCATCCCAGATGGGCAGGGTGGATACTTCACCCCGTTCAAGGCGACCTCCACTGATGTCGAGAAGTTTGTCTTTGCCGACAGCAATGGGCAATTATCGATGCTGGAGCAGGATCAGGAATCCGGAATCTGGAACAGGTGTCCGCTCATCACGCCAGCCTTGAAGGAGGTGTTTCCTGTCCAGGGTTATGTGAGCCAGATCGCACTGCTTGGGCCAGACAAGCTGCCAGTAGCTAGCGAAAGAGCTATTCTGCGGTCCTCGGGCGACGTGAGTGTCATTGCTAATGGACGTCCGGTTCTGGCTACACCGGCTGGGGTTGAGGTACGCTCTGATGAAGGAGGACTTGTCACCATCACGGTGCCAACGCAGGATGTCTCGACTTACACTTTCACCGTGTCAAACGTCGCTTCTGCCACCGACGATTCGCCCACCTTAAGTGGATTTGATCCGTCAGACAAAGTGTTCGGCAAGCTGGCCAATGTCAAATCTAGCGACGATCTCAAGAAAACAGGGCTTGTATCCGGTGTACCGGATGACGATCTAGACAACGTCGTCAGTGTATTACAGGCGGCAGTTCAGCGTCGGGGCGAGGTTCTCACAGCTTCACCGACACAGCCTAACGCCGATAATGAAACCTATAGTGCAGAATTGGCTGCGATGGGCATCCAGGAGATGTTTTGGGTAAGTAAATGTACCCCAGTTCTTTCAGAGCACTACTGAAAATTCCTAGTCCGCGTGGCATTGGTTGGAAAGACAAGCAAAGAGCATCGAACACTTCTGGATCGAAGGGAAGGCATTCGTTGTCAAGATTGCTGGTCAAGCCTACGCGTGGGTTTTGAATACAGTGACAGAGATCGGCAAGGCCATTGGCTGGCTGTTCAACAAGATCCTCAAATTAGGAGAGGAGGTTCTCAAGTGGCTGGGATACATCTTTCAATGGGATGATATCGTGGCCACGAAAGATTCCATTATCAACATCGCCAACGATTCCCTTGATAAGGGAAGTGAAAAGGCACAAGAGATGAAGGCCAGTCTAGACAAGTTCTGCAGCCAAACCAAGGAAACGCTAAGCAAGGACCGTCCTGAGGATAAAGTGTTAGACGACGATAAGGCAATTGTCAACGATACCAATGCCAATTACGAATCAGCTAAAAGCGAGCCGGTGCGATCTGTCAAGGCCAACTGGGCTACATATCAGGTGAGAGACAGTCCAGATGGTAATAACTAGACAGACTAATACTGACTTGACAGCTCCGACACGGGGGTGCTGGAAACGCCTCGGTCATTCATAATTTCGAAGACGAAGAAATGGACGCTCTGTACACAAAGGAAATACAGGAATGGGAGAAAGAACTGCCCAAATTTGCAAAAGACCAAGAGAAACCCATAGCGAATACGGAAACAAACGTGGTCAAAGCGCACGAGCATGGCTCAAGCAAAACGAAAGATGTCCTCAAGAAGGTAGAAGTGAGTCTGTTGGAAGGCATCATCTCTGGCATGCAGTCACTGGGAGGACTGCTTCTCGACAAAACAGCAGAATGGATCAATATCCTCAAGGCTCTACTCAACAAGCCCATCACCATACCAGTATTTTCAGCACTATACAAGAAGCTTCCAGGAAACGGCAACAAGGACTTTACCTTGCTGGAAGGCATTTCTTTTATTCTGGCCATCCCGACCACCGTAATCTCAAAGATCATCACTGGAGATGCACCACCTGTGTATAAATCAGGAGATTTCAGCAAGATCCTCGATCACGTCAAGTTTCCGACGACTCTAGACGAGGATGGCGAGCCGGTTGAGATAAAGTCACCACAGACTGATGATGACAAGCCGTCACACACATTCAACTACTTTGCTAATATACTTAGTCTTGTTCTTCGTGGAATCGGACTGGTTATGAATCCTCCATCAGAGATATCATCCTTTGAGGCTGATTCAGAGAGCGACGGCAAGCCCATGATTTTCCCGCCCCCTGCCCAGCCATTGATTCAGCAGGCCAGACGGATTGGCGAGCAGGAGAAAGGACTCCGGGTTGATACCACCTTCTATCGATCAGTTTACACCGTGATACACAACTGTTTCAGTGTGCCCACCGAAGACACACGGCCGGGTCACTCACTGAAGATTCTCTCATGGGCTATTGCTCTCATGGGCAACACTATTGATCTTGGCATACTTGTGATAAACAGATTTGAAGCGGCACTATCCAAATTCATGGGAGCAGTCCTGAAAGCTGTGGTGGAATCCATCATCTACGCTCTTGAAGTCGCAGTTCGGGCCCAGGAGATTGTGACACTATACTGGACCGACAAGGATGATCTGTGGAGCTATTTAGATTGCGTTTCTCTCTCGTGTGACTTGCTGAAAACATACGCGACGTCAGGAGAGACTCTCATCAAAGGTAAGTTCTTTTGAAACTACTTTTTTTTTCCTAGCACGAGCACACACACACACCTCTAACCTATTGAAATACAGAGCCAGATATCAATCTTGTTTGCAAGTGGCTCAAACACTCTGCGGGAGCAGGTGGGTATGTCTTGAAGGGCACGAAGACATTCATCAAAATAATTAACGGACAATACAATCCACTGAGTTGCATCATGGAATTGTAGTTTTTGGCTGGGACTTCAAATAACAAGATACACTTCTCAAAGGGTTGATTCGTGTTGTCAATAACTTACATTTAATCTCATTTCCACCATCCTTGGTCTTCGTGCAATGCAATCTGCAGCCATTCAAACCTCCTCACAAGTACCATGATCACCAGCCGACTCATAAAATTCAACATTCTTCGACTCGAACCTCAAGCCACCCTATCTAGGAAGGTCACTCCTCCTGGGCTGGTAATGAAGAGAGATTTGTAACCAGGTGCAGAGGACTGGTCACCTCCCGTATGTCGGATGGCTAATGAGAAGCCTCAGAAACAAGTTATCTGTGTCTAGACTAGTCAAACACGAGGGATGTTTACCATCTTGTCCGTGAACAGGATTGCATACCATACTACTCCGCAGCAACCCTGGGCCATGTGACTGTACAGTATACATACTCCAGGAGATACACCACTACTAGCAGAAGATCAACTTGGTTCTATACATAGCCATAATAGCACGGCCAGACGTGGCTAGGGTAGTTATTCAACTAGATGAATAACTGGCACATGATAAAACTGACAACAGAATAACTACTTCAAAGTGACAAATTAAGCTATTGACTTGCTATCTATCCATATTCCACGTTGTCCCAAGTGAGTTAGTATTTGACTAATCAGGATACTACTTATACAGTATACTTCTTTAATCAGGTCTAAATGAGATATCTTTATTCACATAAGCAAAACTACATATGAGGATCATGACAATTGAGAATTATTAAAAGTTACCTCTGCAAGTTATATAATAGGCTGAAAATTAACTTGATATAATCATTTCTACGTCTAGATTTGTTCATTTCCAACACATAATCAGGACATTATCCTTTCTCTCTCTAATTACCATCTTAATTAACTGGGTGAGATTGAACATGGTTGACTTATTGGTATTTCCCCGGCATGATCGGAGTCCTACTGCTTCTCCTTCCAAACCGCACGCTTATGGTAGACACCGCGGCGGAAGGTCTGCTTTAAAGTCTCTAGCACGGCATAGTCAAGCGGCAGCGCGGCCTGCATGGCTCCAACACCACACAAACCGTTCTTGGGATCCACAAACCAGGTGAGCGTCAGGCCACCGCCCCAAGTCAATGTCCGCTCCCCATACCAGCCATCAATATTCTCCAGCGTCAGCAAGCCGCCCAGACCATATCCCAACTTTGCTCCAGTATTGACACCGACGTTGAAGTGGGGCCCAATGGGACCATCCAGCTTCGCCTGATGTCCCGCGGCTGCCTGGGGACTCAGATGGTTGCTGAACATGTCGCCAACGGTTTTCGGCTCAAGTAGCTTGCCGTCATTGCTCAGCAGAGAATGCAAGACCTTGACGAAACTGGCCCCTGACATGAAAAGACCGTGACCGCCGAAGTCGCCACGACCGCGTCTGTTCATCTCCCCGCCACCGCCTAGCACAGCGCGGCCGACCGCCTCGGGGTCATCGGGGTTGAGGTCGACGAGACGCTCGCGCAGGTCCTCCCGCGTGACGGGGTAGAACTGAGCATCGTTGATGCCTAGTGGGTCGAACATTCGCTCTTGCATCCGCTCTCCCAGGGTACGGCCCGTTACCCGCTCTACGATGCGGCCCGCCCAGTCTAGACCCGGGCCGTATATCCAATTGGTTCCGGGCTGAAACCCTAGGGGGTAATCGAAGGACTCCTCGACTGGTCGACGCTCATTTGTGCCCTGTACGGGAGGGGCAAATTTTGCGCGCCACTTGCTGAGATCTGGATCTAAGAAGTCGTACGTGAGGCCGGAGCTATGCGTGAGCAGCATCTCGAGGGTGATGGGACGGGACTGTGGTTCGAGTAGCGGATTCTCGGCATCGTCGAAGCCAATGAGAACCTGTTTGGCCGCAAGCTCGGGGGCGATAGACGAGAGGTCGCCCGTCAAGGTCAGGAGACCCTCTTCGACACACTGGAGGGCGGCGATGGAGGCCATCAACTTGGTGGCCGAGGCGAGGTACAGCACATCGTCGAGTTGCTGCGGGCGCTTCTCACCAGAGAGCAGGGTGCGTTCTCCCAGGGCTTGGTTGTAAATGAAGCGACCTTGGATGTCGGTGGTGCAAATCACAGCCCCACGTATCTTCCCCGCATCAATAGCGGCTTGAAGACTGGTTTCGAGATCGTCGGCCATTTCGAGGTGTCAACACGACGTCGGCTGAATTCCAAACTAATGAGTGGTGAGTAATTCACCAGAAAGTAGCAGGAAAGAGAAGCACTACAGCGGAGAGAGACCGATAGTTGTATCAGAGGAGAACTCCGCGTACCTCAGACCTAAAAATAATACGAGCTTCTCCAGGTGAGTCAAAGTAATTCGGGCACCTAAAAGGGAAACGTTCGTATAAGACGGATATACTCCGTCGAGGTATAATTAATTGTACATGATGTTTATGTTCCCTGGTTAGTCATTATGCTGCCCTGACCCGGGCCTGGGGTAGTATCCCAATTCGGAAGGCGGTCAAGCGGTGGGTCTTCGCCGGTTTCCTAATCAATAATGAATTTCTCTGCGTTCGTTTGCTTTTCACATTCCACCCCCAGCACCAGCAGCAACGACAGCCTGCAGCTCGACGTCACCGCCTGTGCATTGGGAATCTGCTGGACTTTCTTCACATTGGGACAGATCAAACGGCTAACCTGGATGCTTGCGACTGTTGGTGCATTCCATCCCACTCCCTTTCTGGTAGCCGTGTCGCATTGTTCATCGCCCTTACCTATCCTCTCCTGCCCGCTTCTCCACAGTCTGCGATAGACCGTCTTTGAGTTGTTACCTTGCCAAGATAGCACCACGAGTGTGCTTCGTCATATATCACTAGCTTCATTCTATATTCCGGGAAACGCCCACCATGTCCGACGACGAGTACTACGACGAGTTCGACGATGATATCTTCTGGATCGAGGAGCCCGAACCAGACGCCGCGGTAAGCCTATCCATCACCACCCGGTCCAACAATCAGACCAGCAGGACTGACATTAGATGAACAGGACGATCTCGCCGGAACCGCCCACTATGACGCTCTCTACATCGACGACCCCGTCCTCGAAGCCGAAGACTACTTCAGCGACTGGGAAGACCTCTCAGACGATTTCTACGACGAAGACCCCACCGCCATCCGCCGCCTGCGCGCAATGGGCCAGTGGCCGAACAAGACCATGGAACAACAAAAACAAGAGCGGGCACAGCATCTGTCAAAGAAACCGCAACCTCTGCAGCAGAATCCGGCCCTCCAGCCAGACCTCAAGTCCTTCCAGAGTGTCATCTGGAAGTCCCCCGCAGACGAGAACAAGGTCGTAATTTACCAGCCCGGTACGGGCGAACAGGTCGCTTTGTTGAAGAACTGGCGTGAGGTGTTCCGGAACTCGCATCCCGCGCTGGAGAGATCCCGCGCTGGTCGACCGCGTGGGGCGGTGACTAATGGTGTCGCTCCTGCGGTGCAGCCGGGGAAGCAAAGAGGGCGTCGGACACGAGGATCGCCCGTGCCAGCGGTGGAGAGTGTTCCGGATGACGCTGATGATGAGAAGACGGTTGAGAAAGTCCCGTCACCGGCGGTGGTGCGCACCGCCCGCATCGTCAGGCCGCCTTCCACCATCCCTGTGAAATCGAAGACATCGCAGGAGAATTCCATCGAAGTGAACGGGTCGCTTGATGCGATGGAGACTCAGCCGGATCAGATGAATGGTACCTCCGCGGCGGGCGAAAGCTACGAGGAGGTGACGAAACCACCGACTACCCCGCGGTCCACCAGAGGGAGGAAACGCAAGGCGTCTGTTTCGCAGGCACATCCCGTATCAACCGAAAATATTGATGACGGCCGACGGTCAAAGCGAGTCGCTTCGAAGAAGGTCGGGGACACGACGGAGCAGCCGCCGCCAACAGAAACGACTCCAGTTCGCAGATCCGCGCGGCGCAAGAAATAGATCCAGCAGAATAACAACAAGACACCTCAAGACGGAATGGCCTTCATATTCATGAGTAAACCCTGCTACTTGTAAATACTATATAAATAGATGAATACGATTGATACACAAATGAGCATGCAATATGCACATCAGTCACCACATCAAAGAGGTAAAAACCACTACGCAAACTCCCTATTAAACACCCTCCCAATAACCATCCTCCGAATCTCGCTCGTCCCAGCCCCAATCTCATAAAGCTTCGCATCCCGCAGTAACCGCCCCGCCGGAATCTCATTGATATACCCATTCCCACCCATCAGCTGGATCGCATCCAACGCACACTCCGTCGCCCGCTCCGCAGCGTACAGGATGGCGCCGGCGCAGTCCTGCGTGCGGATATTCACACCCGTCGCGGCGGAGTTGTCGATCTCGCGCGCTGTGGTGTAAGTGTAGGCCCGCGAGGCAGCCAGCTTGGTGTACATGTCTGCTAACTTGCCCTGGATGAGCTGGTTGTGCGCGATGGGGGTGTTGAATTGTTTGCGGACGTGTGTGTAGGGGAGGACGAGGTCGAGGGCGGATTGCATGATTCTATGGTCACTTTCAGCTTGTGTTCTTCCTCCCTACTGTCTTTCGAGCTTGGAATCGGGATTGGAATTGGAATTGGGGGGAGGCTTACCCTAACGGACCGGCGCTGAGAACCAGTCGCTCCAGATCCAGACCCTCCATCAGGACGCGCACGCCCTTGTTGATCTCGCCGAGGACGTTGGCGTGCGGCACGAAGACATTGTCGAAGATGAGTTCGCCGGTGTTGGAGCCGCGCATGCCGAGCTTGTCGAGCTTGCGGGCGCACGAGAATCCCTTGAAGGTCTTTTCTACGATGAATGCCGTGATGCCCTTGGAGGCCTTGGAGGGCTCGGTTTTGGCGTACACTACGATGTAATCTGCGTCGGGGCCCTACCCAAGATATGTTAGTATGGGTGGGAGGAAGATACTGCGGAGGACGTACGTTGGTGATCCACATCTTTGTCCCGTTCAACAGATATCCCCCATCCACTGCCTTAGCCGTGGTCTTCATGCTGACGACGTCTGACCCGGCGGAGTGTTCTGACATCGCCAGAGCACCGACCTTCTCGCCGGACAGTAAGCCCGGGAGGTAGCGCTCTTTTTGGTCGGCGGATGCGTTCAAGGAGAGCTGGTTGACGCAGAGCTGGGAGTGGGCTGCGTACGAGAGGGCGATGCTTCCTGTGTAGATACCCCATTAATGGCTACTCTTCTCCCTTTCAATGGTAGCTCGAAAAGCCATACCTGATGCGCGGCTCATCTCCTCCATGACGATGCAATGTGCCTGGTATCCCATTCCCAAGCCCCCATACTCTTCATTCGCGGTGACACCGAGGAGCCTGCGACACGTCAGATTTGTTTACGCCAGATGAGAGCAGAGGACATTACCCGGCATCGCCCAGTTTCTTCCACATGTCCGCGGGAAATTCATTCTGGGCATCTGTACGCGCGGCTACTTCTTCGGGGATTTCACGACCTGTGGACTCCATTGTTAGCATCCTATAAGTCTTATATATATAGATATACCAAACTCACGTGTAAATTCCTGGACCCGCTCCCGTAACTCATGAAGATCGTCATCGGTAGGCGGCGTGAAGCCCTGAGGATGCTTGGTGGCCAGAGTCCGGAATGCGGGGGACTGCGTGAAGGGGCTTCGTCCCAGCCGACACAAGGGGCGGCTGGAGGTGCGCAAAACAAAGGGCAGTCGACAGACGGAAGCCATGGTTAATTGAGTATAGCAAGAGTGAATGATGAGGGGATTCGGATGGAATTCAAAGGAGAATGATGGAGAGGAAGAAAGACAGGATAGTTCGCCGATGCCAACCGCGGATAGACGCGGCCATCCCCGGCGTCAACTCCGCATTCTCGTGATCTCGCGCCTTACTTACTTTTGTTCTTCGCTTCGTCGTTGCTTGTCTTTCATACTTCTTCATATCTCCGTCTATATTGTTTTAAAATCATGTTCTCGTCCTGAATTCATTTTGACGCTCTTGATTCTGCTTGATCTGACTTGATCGATCTCTCCACGATCATCCCCGCAATGCGTGCTCCGTCTCCACTTCTCCGGAGCTTCGCCTCCAGATCCTCCTCCTACCTCCCGTCATCGCGACGGCTCCTCACTCAACGAAGTCCCCATTATATCCGGCCAACTCCTCGCTGCACACAGTTTTCGAGGTCCATCGCCAACTACTCACACCCGCACCATGCCTCCGCCTTGTCCGTCCTCCCCACAACGGTGGACCCGGCCTCCACCGAGTTCCAGGAAAACAGCCGTCAAATGGACGAGCTCGTCGACCGGATGACCAATCTACACAACACAATCGCACAGGGAGGGCCACAGAAAGCACGAGACAAACACATCGCTCGCGGCAAGATGCTTCCCCGGGACCGGGTCACCGCGTTGATCGACCCCGGCACGTCCTTCCTGGAGCTCTCCCCGCTAGCGGGTCACGACGTCTACGGAGAAGAAGTCCCGTCAGGCGGCATAATTACCGGCATTGGCACCGTAGAGGGGGTCAGCTGTATGATCGTCGCCAATGACAGCACCGTCAAAGGTGGCACATACTACCCCATCACGGTGAAAAAGCACCTCCGCGCTCAGGCGATCGCCCAGGAAAACAAGCTGCCGTGCATCTACCTGGTCGACTCGGGCGGTGCAAACCTCCCCCACCAGGCTGATGTTTTCCCGGACAAGGAGCACTTCGGTCGCATTTTCTTCAACCAAGCTCGCATGAGCTCCCAGGGTATCCCACAGATCTCCGTCGTCATGGGTCCCTGCACCGCCGGCGGTGCCTACGTCCCCGCCATGAGCGACGAGTCCATTATTGTCGAAAACCAGGGCACGATCTTCCTGGCGGGCCCGCCGCTCGTCAAGGCCGCCACGGGCGAGGAAGTCTCAGCGGAAGACCTCGGCGGCGGCCAGCTGCACAGCTCCATCTCCGGCGTGACGGACTACCTCGCCGTAGACGACGCGCACGCTCTCATCCTCGCCCGCCGGTCAATCTCCAACCTAAATTACCCGACAACTAGCACACCCCTCCAACTCCCTGCCGGCGAAGCCATCAAAGAACCGCTCTACGACCCAGCCGAACTAAACGGCATCGTGGGCACCAACCTGCGGCGGCAGATCCCGGCCCATGAAGTCATCGCGCGCATCGTCGACGGCAGCGAATTCGCCGAATTCAAGCGCGACTACGGCACCACGCTTGTGACAGGCTTCGCGCGCATCTTCGGCCACCGCGTCGGTATCGTCGCCAACAACGGCATCCTCTTCTCGGAGTCGTCGCTCAAAGGCGCACACTTTATTGAGCTGTGCGCCCAGCGCCAGATTCCGCTGCTCTTCCTGCAGAACATCTCGGGCTTCATGGTCGGCGCTGATGCCGAGAAAGGCGGCATTGCTAAAAATGGCGCGAAGCTGGTCACGGCTGTTGCTTGCGCTGATGTACCCAAGTTTACGATCGTGTTTGGATCGAGCGCTGGTGCTGGAAACTACGGCATGTGGTATGTCCCCCCCTTCTCCCTCCCTTCTCTCCGTCTTTCTCTATTGTTATAATGATAGCTAATACGAACAGCGGCCGCGCCTACTCCCCCCGCCTCCTCTTCATGTGGCCGAACGCCAAGATTGGCGTAATGGGATCGGAGCAGCTCTCCTCCGTGATGGAAGCCGTAGGCCGCACGGCAGACCCGGAGCTGAAGGCGCGGATCGACCGCGAGTCGGAAGCGGTGTTCTCGTCTGCGCGGCTGTGGGACGACGGGGTGATTCCGCCGGCGCAGACGAGACAAGTGCTGGGGCTGAGCTTGGCGGCTGCGTTGGGCGGGAGGGCTGAGGAGGTGAAGACGAAGTTTGGGGTGTTTAGGATGTAATATTCTTTTTTAGGTTGATTGTGTGTCTATTGCATATAATGCATTGTTGAGATCTCTATGGTAGTTGGTGTTTGTGTGTGGACTACTCTGTAGTGTTGAAGACGGCTCTAGGGTTGATCCTGAGTTCCTAGTATATGATGTGGAGTTAGGAATGCCATTGTTACTGGAAGGTATCATTGTACTGAAAGAGTGGAAGTATCAAGTGTATATGTATATAGTATATGTATATAGTATATAGTATAGTATCTACGAGAAGCCCTCAACACTGTACATACATCCAAACAGCACCCACCCAACAAAGGATACACATACCACCATCACCCACAATCCATTCCACCATTCCACCTTCCCTTCCATTCACCATCCCCTCCCCATAAAAGATAAATCAAACAACCTCCCCAAACCGCCCAACGCCCCATCCAACCTCCCAAAAACCCCCCAAACCACCCCTTCACCTCCTCCCACTCATCACCAGGCAACATCCCCCCCATCATCCTCAACCACCCCCCTACAATAAAATCCGCATAACAAGCCTCCTCCCCCCTAACAAACGGCCCATCATTCTCCCCCCACAGCTTCGCCAACCCCTCCAACGCCCCCCTAAACGACTCCATCAACGGCCGCCTCGCCTCCCCCTTCACCCCAAGCGCCTCCCAATCGTCCATCCCAGCCCGCCTCAAAAACTCAGCCTTCGTTTCCTCCGCGGTCGCCGGATCAAGCGGCATGCCGTGGATAGCGAGCTGCACGTGCGCGCTGAACGCCGCGTCGACGTGCGTGTTGAACCGCGCATACGCAGCCAACACGGGATCTGACTCGCTGCGCTTGCTGAGCGGCGCGTAGAATTCTTGGCCCGTGCTGTAGCTGAAGTCCAGTGGGGTGTCTGCTGGGAAGAGATTGTTGTTGGCGGTGTTATCGCTGGGCCCAGCGTCTGGATAGTGCGTTTGCAGGTGGATAGCGATGTCGAAGGAGTCCCCGATAGGCGCGCAATCCTTGATAGAGGCGTCCGTGAGAACAGGCAGGGTGTGAAAGTCCTTCCCGTCTGCGAAATTGCGCGAGGCGGGGACGTTGAGCGAGCGGCGGACGGAGGCGATGTCCGGGAGAGGCACCCAGACGGTTTTGTAGGGAATGGATTTGAAGTTCAGCGCGTAGCGGGATTTCCAGGGGTTGGGGGCGCAGGTTGTGCTTTCTACGGGGGGTTTGAAGGCGATGTCGTAGAGTGTTAGGTTTGGGGTTGTGGTTGGGGCTGTCATTTTGGCGGTAGACCTGACTTGAGGTGGGTGGGTGTTTTTGGGTGGTTGAGGGTTTGGGTATATGGAGAATTGAGATGAGTGAAGTTTGTGGGATGTTTGGTGGAGGTTGTGTGTACAGCCAGCTTTTTGAAATTGATATTTAAGGCGGGGTATGTCTTACTTAGTCCGTTGTTAGATGTGCTGCATAATCATCTTACTTCTACCGGTTTCCAGCCATTACTCCTGAACCAACCGAACATACCTGATAACTGGGTACTACGGAGGACTCGGACTTACCGACGTAGGTCCATCAAATTTCTACAACGAATTCAGAGCAGTCATTCTGAGGTGTAGTGGATTAGACAAATATCTTGAGAGAAGTACATCAGCGGTCGTGAGACCCTCGTCTAGTCAACATTCTCAACAACAACCTCTCACAAACCCGGATATATAAGCAATCGCTGGAAAAGGTAGACCAGCAGTTCAAGGCCGAGACAAACCAAGGATTGGGAAAGGAGACAGAAGATAGAGAAGATAGAGAGATAGAACAGGATACATGATAATAACAGGAAGAGAAGTAGAATTTTCCATTTTCAATGTGGTGGTTCATTCCAAAACGTGGGATGACGGAACTCCGCATCCAAAAAAGCGATAGTCCAAAAGTATAGTTGAACATATATCTATTATCGTTGGCAGCGTACGGAAACATGGCGTGACATACAGTGCGACATTAAGCAGGTTTCGAAGCAGGATGGGTATGTGCAATAGAAACGTTTTCTAGAAGAAAACGAAGGTCGGAACTCATACGGGGAGGGAAGGGGAGTGGTCGATGGTCCACTCGCGGGGCGGACCGTCTATAAGATCACGCAAGGCCCCTTGCGTCGTCGTCGATTGCCTTTCCGATCGTTTCGGTCCGAGGCGTCCCGCTTGCGAGAGTCGCCCTTGGAGCTGCCCTGGAGATCCTTGCGGATGATCTGTCGGCAGAGGTCCGTGAAGACCTCGTTGACGTTGGCGCGTCGACGCGCCGAGGTCTCATAGTACGGCGCATTTCCCCAGCTTTGGGACAGGCCAAACGCCCGCGCACGGGGCACGGCGCGGTCTTCCTCGAGATCGGATTTGTTGCCCACGATGACGATCGGGACCTTCTCGTCGTCCTTGATGCGGATGATCTGTTCTCGGAGCTCCGAGAGCTCATTCAGCGAGGACATGCTTGTAATCGAGAAAACGAGCAGAAACCCCTGGCCCTGCTTCATGTATAACTCTCTGGAAGGAAGCGTCAGCATTGAGTGGGGTCATGGTGCCCGTTGGCCGGGGACGGGCCGACCAAACGGGCGATGGGTCAGGGCATGAATACCTCATGGCCGCTGCGAGACGTGTCAGTGGGACTTCTTGGCGGAGATGTACATGCGGCAGACTTACTAAATTGTTCCGTTCCAGCGGTGTCGAGGCTGTAGGGAGTCGAGGGTCAGTGTGACTGTTGTGAACTACTACGGGGGAGTCATCAAGAGCGGTCACGTTGCGCAATACGTGCCAGTGTCAACGCACATTTCCAAGATGCATTGTCGTCCCTGTGAGCGTAAGTAACTGGGCCGATGGAGACTGATCGATGCGACTTACATCAACCTCAATCTGCTTCCGGTATGAATCCTCGATGGTGGGGTCATAGCTCTCGATCCAGACATTCTGGACGAATTGAGCTGCGGTGACGATCAGCAATTGTGACCACGATCCAGCGCTGTGCGGGGGAAGCAACAGGATCTCAACCCCAGGGAATTGATTGGGCAAGATGTGTCATACCCGTCAAACAGCTTTTCCCCACACCTCCTACAGCGCACGCAAGTTATCAGCACCAGCCAAACCACCTTCAGAGACCCCGGCGGTGTACAATGGGTGCCTACCAGCGCCTAGCACGACGATATGATACTCCCGTCTAAGGAAAAGTAACCAATTAGCACCACGCGATTAAGCCATTTCCAATACCAGGACATGACTTACTGGGGCCGCATTGCGAAGACAGCAATGCACGGATTCAATCCACGAGATCGTAAAGGTGCGAGTAAAGGGACACACGGCCTGCTGGTACCACGGGGAAAGACTAAAAAGCGGAGGGGGCAGCTTCGGGCAAAGGCAGAGCGGACACCGCTGTGTTATCTCCTGATCCTTCGGCGGTGGGTCGTGGGGGAAAGAGAGGGGGCGAGAGGGAGAGAGAGTGGGCGGTCGGATCAATCCAATCCAATCCAATCCAATCCAATTCAATTCAATCCAGACGGACGAACGTCAAGGCCCAGAAGGCTGAGTGTTTTCTGTCTGGTCTGCCGAGTCCCGTCCAATAGAAGAATAAATCAATCGAAAATAAAATCGAATCAAAATCCACCCCAGTTGTTTGTGTTCGCTCTTTTTGTTTGTTTCTGCAGGCGATCCCCCACAATTGGATGGGATCGAATTGATTTGAATTTCCCCCCTGTGGGAGGAAGGATGAGCAGGTGGATGAAGGCGGGGTGCGATGGTACGAGCGAGGCACGGTGGTAGCGACAAGGCGATCGGTTTACATCGGACGGAATCAATTCTGGACCAGCGGCAGTTGGGCGGTGACGACGGGCGGCTGGATTGAATTGACCTGTTTAGAAGTCCAGGAAGTATGAGGCGGGGGACGAGTGGGTGGAGAGGTAAAAGGAGGGAGGAAGGAAGAGAGAGGAGGACAGGGCGGGAGATCGGGGGCGGATGTCTAGACTGTGGAAACTAACGGGGTTGAGGTTGAACCTAGGTTAGTTTCGTTGGACCCCGTTTCCCAGATGGTCTGATGGAGGGGGAGGATGAGGTTTGCCGTTCAGAAAACCTACCTACCCCATGCACCCAGACACCAGCTGAGAAATGATTGAGATAGAGGAACAACTTGTATTCCAGAGATCGAGGAGTAGAAAGAGTTACTCTGTAGTGAGGCCTGAGGAGGATAAGGCGGCGGCGGTGAGCAGAATCCAATGTGTGGAGATAAGTATGGTTATATCTTCGACCTAGAAGTCAGAAAAAGAAGAACTAATAGGTTTATAAGATCATTATACAAGAATAGAATAGACCCTGTATATCCCTGATTATTCCTAGACTTGCTAATTTCCGACCCCCAGAGCCTCTTCCAGGATTCCAGTAGATCCGAGAACTCCCTAGTAACTATACTATCCTGAAGACGGAGATAAAAATAGATCCTCTTAGCTGCCCCTTTAAACATATGGTAATGAACAAAATATAGAAAAATTATAGAAACAACATCAAAACTAAAGAAAGAAAAGAAGAATTAACTGGGATCCAATTCCACGGAAGGAATACCCATTTCCCAAGGTATAAGCTGTACCAGTCGGGCGCACTCCAACATCAAGAGACCTATAAGATATCTCGATGGACGATTTAATTGTTGGTGAAAATCCAATCCAATCCTACCAAAAACAAAAACAAGAAATGCTGGACTGAACCAGAAAAGCAAATAATACAGAACAAGTCTCCCAAAGCAGAAAAACTCCAGGAATATCCGTCCATCAACACCAAAAAAGGAAACCAACCTACCCATCAATCTAGGCACCTAGTTCGTTATACTAAGGAACTGGGTGAACCTTGGACTTTGATAGACGGAGCATACCTCCGTCTCCATTCTGTTATGAGGGATATACCTATACCTACTATCGTCTTCCTCTTCCTCTTCCTCCATCCTCCTCATCCTCCTTCTTAATATTTCCTAACAGGCAACTGGACAAGGAAGCCCAGGATAATGAATCAAACCCATCGATCTCAACACCGATGAAGGCCCGCTCGGCAATTACATCGGGACTTGGCCCGTCTTTCCGGGTCGATCTACCTTTTACTGTGATTGAATTTTTTATATCTTTCCTGGGGGGTCCCTTCCTGCCATGCAAAGTCTAATCCCCACTAGGGAACACTAATGCTACAATTGTATTTTTCAAACAGGGCAACACGGCCGGCTGACACATAGTTACTGTCTGATCCTTGTGAATGGGATTCCTTTCTGATCTTCATAGTTCGACCCCGTCCTGTGGAAGTAGTATACATGTGACATTGTCTGTCTGACTGACAGTGGCCGGAGTCGAGACTCAGGGGTCTCCTCTATCTACCTGGCAGCCCCCCTGGTGGACAAGATGATCCATCGACGTCAGCTAACTATCTCAATACTACCTATCTAATTATCTATCTATCAATACCCCTGTATCGGATATATGCGACTGCGGCAGTGCAGGGTTCTACATATCCCCTTGGGAAATAGGGAATAGCGGCTCCGTGCCCTGTCATTATTTTGGAGCGGGTTGTCGATAACGGTGGTAGTCTGGGGCTGGGTGATCTACATTTGAAAAACGGGTTTTAGAGGGAAATGGATTGGTTGGTCTATTGTAACAAATATGGGAGGGCACAGCAAAGCATAACTAAGGTCTATACATGGTGGGATATATACATGAGGTCCGCAAGCCCGAATCAATCAGGGCCACGGCCATCATGGTGGGGAAAGGATACAATATATAAAAAGGTGAAGGAAAGAAAATAGCAAAGAAGTGAATAAATATGAAATAACTGCACGACTCGGAAAAGGAACCGCGGGAGAGCCAGCTGTTAATGGTCCGCCGTGCCGTTCACCTGATCCACCTTCTTCTCCGACAGTGGCTGGCTTTCACCGCCATACCGCTCAAGCGCCTCGAACACATGGCCAAACACCTGTCGATCCACGTCGTGAGCCCAGAGGAAATCGAGGTGCTCGTAGTTGGCGATCTTGGTAGTCACCGTCGTGCGCGGAAGCTCCTTCAGCATGACATTGATGTCCACGAGGCTGTCCTCGCCGCCGTACAGCAGCACGATAGGCGTCTTGATGTTCTTGGTCGGGTACTTGACCGGCTTGTAGAAGCGCTCGCTGACAGCGACGCTGAACGGCGCGTGGATCTCGTCGTCGTAGAACTGGAAGTTCTGGTGCCGGATGATCTGGAACCAGTGCACGACGGACTTGGTGCTCGTGAACGAGAACAGGTGCATGTAGGCCGCCATCTTCTGCCACCGGCTGATGTTGCGGCACTTCCAGTTGAAGAGGATTGACAGCGCGCTGTCGATGACGCGCACGAAGATGGGCGGGTACACGACGCTCTGCCACATTGTCGTTGAGCTGAGGATGCTCCGCCGTCCGAAGAGCAGAAACAGGAAGTTGGGCGACGCTTTCATGAGCGAGTCGACGATGCGGTTCGGCAGACCTGTCGGCGCCATTGCCGGCGCCAGCGCCACAAAGACGTCGATCTTCTCGTTCAGCAGCGGGTGGATGGAGAAGGTCGCGAACGCCTGCGCCGTGCCCTGCGAGAACCCAATATACGACAGGGACGGCTGCGCCGTCACGTCCAGGATGTACTGGATGCTGTCCGGGATGTCGTGGAAGGCGAAGTTGTCGATGGAGAAGTCCCAGAACTCGGTCGACAGCGGGGAATACTTGACGGATTTTTTCGAGTACTTGTTGCCGCGGTTGTTGCCCAGCCACACGTCGTAGCCCTGCTCCACCAATTGGAACGGGAGGCATCGCTCCTCCTCCGACAAACACACCCACACTTCGCTGCACATCAGCAGTCCGTGGTGGAGGTAGACGGCCTTCTTGCGCACGCTGTCCTTCCCCTGGTTGACGCGCAAGCCCTGCTTTTCCTCCCCTTTGCGGTAGGGCAGGCGGTGCAGACCCAGCAGGTAGCCATCGCGGGTCTGGACGATGTGTTCCTCGGCTTCGTAGCCGAAAAGGGCGCAGATATCCGCGAAATCAGAGGCCTGTGCCACCGACGCCGCTGTCCGCTCTTCCCGGCTGCGCTGGCCCGGGTCATCGGGGGAGGAGGCGAAAATGTTAAAGATGGTCTTGGACCGGTCATAGCAGAAGTTGATAACGGGGTCCGCTATTCAAGTCAGTATCAGTCTTGCCCCTTATCCTGTCTCATGGGGTTCAACAGATGGGCGTATGGAAGGGAACCTACGTAGACAAAATGTAATGATATGGATCACCCATTCCAGCAGTACCAGGACGAACGAAGCAAGAAGGGCAAGGTATTCAAACCAAAACAGCCTGCCAATCACGGGCACACGCGCCATGATGCGAGAAGCGGTCAAACAAGATACCGCTGTACTCCGTACTGAGTAGAAGATCAGAAGATAAGTATTGTCGCACAAAAGCCTCGATAGCAAAGTCTGTTCATTCTGCTAACCGACAGCAACAATAGTAGTAACAAGCAATGCCCCAGACAACGAAGAGGGGAGGACAAAAAGCCAGAAACAATCCCTGAAGCGATCGGCCTTCACAGCCGACGTCATTGTAAACCCTCCATTTATCCATTATTTGTGCTGCCTTCATGTGATGGCTTACTTAAGCCGGAATGACCCGCCCAGCAAATCAGGCCGCAAGGATTATACCCGGTATCGTTCGGCCGTTTGATTGGAAGAACGGCCCAAATTCTGCCGCGAGACCTCAGGTGTCCAGTAGTTGGAATTTAGTACCTATTGTTCCTCCACCTCTCCACACCTCACCTGTTGGCGATCGGAGTTGCATCTCCTCTATAACAAGATGCCTAGCTCCTGCATTGACATCCGTGAGTATCCATGTGCAAGAACCAGCACAATCCCTCCTTCCCCCAATTCCTCTCCTACCCCGGATTGAGTTCCACCACAAGGATAGATAGAGAGATAGAAGATTGATAGCTAACCTACTCCCCTCATCAGGAAATGCCCTCGCACAATGCCTCCAAGAATCAGACTGCATAATGGTCCAGCGCCACAGCCCGCGCGACTGTCTCCGCGAACCGCTCGTCGACGAACTGCCCATGAAATGCCAACAACTCCGTAAAGGATTCAGCGAGTGCAAGTGAGTAGATGAACCACCTAGCCAGAACAACTGGGGAATTTTCGGCTCCGAGATACCGGCTCAAGACATTTCATCGCCAATCTCTGACTTTGTTTTTCTACAGACGCGGTATGGTCGACATGCGCAAGCGATTTCGCGGAAACCAGCCCATCGCGGTCTCCAAGGAGCTCGAGGGCGGGAGCTCCCAGTCTGGGGGACAGCTGTATGGTGGTAAGCCGGCGTTTGAGACGGTTAAGGAGGTTAACGGGACTGAGGTCGAGATGGATCCTGAGAAGACGAGGGGTTTGTAAGTGATATTGTGCGGTGGGAATAATGAAGGGGTGGAGGTTAAAAGAGAAGAAAGGAAAAGGAAAACAGGTCGCACGGGTATCGCTGGGCTTGGGAGTTGTGATTTTGTGATTTTATTGGTTTATTCAGCATGGGAAGGAGTTGTCGATGTATATTAGAATAGGTTCATCCTGCTATAGGCCTTGTACAGTTTAGATATGTCTATCCCTCCTCTTTTGGGTCCTGTGTGGTTTGATTATAACAAGTACCTACTCTTTTACGAGTGCCCGGTCTTAAATCGACGGAACATCGTACACGAAATAAGACAGTATTCATTCAGTAATTATGTGCTAATATATCAACTACTGCGTCTTCTTCGAGTCGACAGTCGCCTTCGGCGCAGAGTACAGCCACACGACAACAAAGGCCAAAAACCCACCGATCACCGACCACAGGCCGGCGATCCAGACCCATCCGCCAGTGATCTTCCAGCTGCGGGGATACTCGTCGTGGGCGAAGTGGCGGACCGTCACCTCTTCCTTTTCTTCGATGTTACTGAAGAAAGGACGCTTGTAGTTGACGCGGAACGAGAAGATGCCGTGCTGGTCGGGGACGGTGAAGCGCGTGCCGTAGATGGTGCTGTTGGCGGTTCGGCCTAGGGGCTCGAGGTCGAGACGGTGGAAGGGCGAGAGCATGGTGAACTCGAGCTGCAGCGCATCGTTGGTGGGGACTTCGAACGGCACGAAGCGATCCTGATCGTACTCGGAAAGTTCGATGCTGTAGACCTGTTCAGAAATGTATGTCAGCTGCTGATCCATCGTATCCTCTCACTTCTCTCACGTAGGCGTGACATACGATCTCATTCTTAACACGGTACATCGCGGGGTTCGGCTCCTTCAACTCAACGTCCGTAGCCAGACTATGCTCAACCTTTCCAACCTTGAGCACACCGGTCTCCTTGAAGGTCCAGGCCGTCAATTGCTGGGCGAATTCCCGGTTGGCAGTCTGCGTCTTCTTTCCACTCGGGGTCTTGACAGTCGCGGAGAACCACTGGTCCTGGAGACTCTCCACAGAGCCGAGCAGAGTGAATCGAGCCGAGTTGCGACCCTGCATGGCAGACACAATATCCAGCTGGGAGCCCGTAGCCGCCACTTCCTCCACGGATCCCGCACTCTCCTTGGGATTATAGCTGTAGGCGGTCGCAGGGGCGCGCACGATAGGCGCAACGAGGTTGTTATCGTCGCCGAGGGTGTGGGGAGAGGCAGTCGGGAAAGCCAGGACGCCTTCGCCGCCGAAGAAGTCCTTGGTATCCGGTCGGAGCTGGCCCGGTCGCGGGACGATCAGGACATCGTGCTTCTCGGGCGCAGAGATGGTATCGTAGTTGAAGTGATCGACGACGACGGAGGAGCGGTCCGATGACATGTGGAAGTCGAGCTCGATGAGTAGCGAGCTGATTGCGCTTGGTGTGGTCGACTTGCCGGAGAGACCGAGCAGGACGTTGCCGTCGTCGTTCACGAAGTCCACGATATTCTTAGGGCTCAAAGCCGGGCCCAACCCTGTCGGACGGAGTCAATTCAGCTGCACAAGACACAGAACCCTTAAGGGACATTAGACGGATGCCCACCTTTCGACCGAGGGGGGAGGATCAGGAGATGGTCGTAGGCCTTCTCCCCGTACTTGAACAAGGACAGGTCAGAGCTCTTGGGCGATTGGAAGTCGAGGTCATATCCGCGCGCTGCAAAAAGAGAGGTGTGAGTATCTCGCCCATCAGCGCGCATCCAGAAGACAAGGCCATACCTTCTAAATCACTCCAGAACGTAGAATAAAGGCCCTTGTCGTCCGCATCCTCCAAAACCACCAGCAGGCGGTTCCCCGAGCTACTCAACGCATGTGCCACGGCCAAGAAGCAGAAAGAAAGAAGAGAAAGGCACCACCGCATCTTGAGCGAGTCCGCACAGCGGAACAAAAAACAATTGCAGAGAATGAAGATCTGACGGAGGGTGTCGACAATTGAAAACCAGCAAGAAGAGTGTCGTCAGTTGAAGTGGTGTCACCAACATCCTACTATAAACGGGCGACGTGTTTGGACCGAGCGCCAAGACCTCCAAACCTCCATAGTCCGTTCCGTCCGCCTTTCCCGTCGTCACAACCTCATGCCGAACCTCTCCCCCTCCTCCTCTCTATCTCGACCCGTCTAGCCCACCTCCCCCGTCTCAGCGCACACCCCGTCGTCGTTGTGCGCTACCAGAGTCGAAGCGCAAGTAACCTCCGCAACCCGTCTATTCCAATTGACCTAACATTTTATTCCCCAGGTCCAGTCCCACCCGTCGACTCCCGACCTCACCCAAAAAGTTTCTTCCATCGCTCTACCGCAACCATGTCCACCCCTCAGTTCTGGTCCACCCCTCTCCGCTACCTGCGCTGGGCCTCTATCGAGAAGCCCGCCATCTTCTACTCCCTGATTATCGGCTCCACGGGCCCCGTCATGCTGTTCGCCGCGCCGCCAATCCGCCGCGCCTTTGGCGACATCGAGCCCGAGCCTATCCCCTTGACATATCCCAGTACGGATTCCCTTTTCTTTTCCCAAATCACAGTCGCCTCTCTCTCCCCGTGGCTATCTGTCCCCCGCTATATGTGGTTCTGCAACCCATTGACTAACAATCTCTGTACAACAGTCCCCGAGGGCCCCCGGAATCCCCCGAAAGGGTTCGAAGACGCATAAACTTGCCTTCCCAATCGATCGCTAGGAACCGGCAGTGCGGTACAGTAGTGTGTTTGTTTCATGGATGGAGTTGAACTTTGTCGCTTGATTTTTCTCCCTTTGGTGTATTTAGCATGGAAGATATATGACCCTTGACACCGATCAGTCTGTACCTGCTGGGTAGATGGGACGAGACGACGTCTACCGGATTGTTTGGATAGCGCATTATACATCTCTACCAGACTCATATATGTTGTGTCTGGACGGCGTGGAGTGTCCGTGTATAAAATGCCGCTGTCAGACAAGACTGTTGAAGCGGAGAAACATATCCGATCCTCAACTCTTATTAATTAGGCACTTGATATAAAGCAATTCGAGCATCAAGCTTCAAGACAGTCGAACGACAACAATCAAATCATCGCTAATTTCCTTTCTCTGTTTCTTTGCGTACTTCCCTCTTTTTCCAGAACTATGATACAAAAACAAACTATAGTAGGCAGATCACGCTCTAACGAACCACATGAGATTGTCTTCCCTCATGTAATGCAATGCATCAAACACCAGCATCTATCCATTTCATTCCACCATGTCATGGACTAGACAAGCGCCAGGGAAATACTTTGAATCAACGATATGGCTCTTGAGTTGTGCAGCTCTCTACATAGGTATAGATATTTCAATCCATATTGTGTCTAAGCGAGTGTAGGCCTCAGCCTATAGTCTCTGATATAGCGGACCGCTGAACAGACCCTCCAATAGGGGACTGTTTTTGATTATACATTGCTGGTGTAGGAAGTTTCGAGACGAGCACTGTATCCATTGGGCGAAGTCATGGTATATGGATTTTGTCCCACTTGTTGGCGACGTTGGTGAATACAAGGGTAACGGGACGAGTCGATGTCCAGTACATATTTATATAAAGTCTACACAGCGGTCGATAGATACAATGAATCAAGTTTGCTTCGAGCAATGAAAGTATAATTAGATAAATCATCTCTGGGACGCATCCCCGAAGAGAAAAACAACGAACGCCGTATATGCTCATATCTACATATAGCTCGTGAACAGCATCACTGTATATCAATCATCAAACCTCCTAGCTGACGTCTTGCAAGATCAGTTGGATGCTCCCATCAGACTCCACATGTAAGAAAGCAATTCGAGAAATCAAAGGGTAAACAACATAGCCCTTTTTCGATGCAAGGAAAAAAAATCACAGGCTGACAAGCAAACCAGAGTATCAAACGTATAGCACGAAAATAAGCAGAAGATAAACATAAAGCGAATATAAAGGATTCCGAAGGCGAGACCCAAAGGATACGGAACAACCAGGTCCGGTATTACATCAAAGTCAAAAAGCCGCCAATTCACCGTGTACCCAACGCGCAAAAAATCTCAACCTGGACCATCTTTTACGTAGATGATGCAAAAGTGGCCCTCTCGAAGATCATGATACCATTATCAGTTCGAATTAGGCATCCACCCACGTCGGGGAGACGTTCCTCAAGTCTCAAACGAGTTAACGATAATCTCCTGGGACATCCAGGACTCTAGAAAGGAAAATATCCGGGTTTCCTGGAAATTCGGCTCCGCAAGATTGCATTCTAGTCCCCGGTCTGATGCTCCAGTAGGCTAGACGTGAAGAGAAATTTCCAAGCAAGAAAAAAAAGGCAAGAAAAAAGAGGGCGCAGTCCATAGGCAAGTGTAGAATTATGGACGGAGTGATTTCGCAGACGCTCTGCGGCATGATTCATCATTACACTGTGGCGAGGTCATTCCAGAATGTTGATCGAAAGAGGGAGGAGGCAGCGCAAGTGAAATGTTTTGACGGGGGCTGGCGAGAAGAATGAATAGATTCTGTCGCCTACCGGGTTCGCCGAGAGTCCCCGGCTGCCCGTGGCCTATTACGGTCCCCATATTCCGGAGTGGTATTATATCCTATCCGCGGATCTGGGACCGAAGTGGGAGGATAAGCAATTCCGGAAGACACGGGGGAGTAGTCTTGATCCGCTTCATAGCCTGGGCCAGGGTATCTAGGAGCAGCATTACCTCTCCCATTTTCGTAACCACTATAGGGGTTGGGCGCGTAGGTGTAGCTCTGGTGGACATCCGCGGACACGGGAGGTTGGCTAACAGCTGTGTATGGAATATGCTGGCCGGGATAAGGGTTCTGGTTGGATCCTCCGAAAGACGGATGAGTGGGAGGGTAGGTAGAAGTAGCAGGGTAGGTGGAAGTAGCAGGGTAGGACGGGCTCTGAGACTGGGGGTATGGCGGTTGGGGCGGGTACGGCTCGATGTATTGAGTGGGCGGAGCCGAGTAGGCAGGCGGAGGGGAGGGTCCTGGCTGCGGGCGGGGTTCTGGCACGGATCCTCCGTAGCTTGCTGTGGCCCTGTTAGGCGCCTGCGGTAAACTGAAGTCATGAATATAAGTACCTCGAGGATAGCCCTGGTCAGCACGTCGGGCGACATCGGCCTCCCACCGAGCGGAATCGGCCTTCAGGTCTGCAATCATTTCCTGTGGGGGAATTCGTGGTCAGATTATGCTCTCATTTTCCAGTCCTCACTACTACAGGTTTGTATCCAAACGATGGCGCAAGGAAGTCTCTCCAAAACTTACAGTAGTGAGATTCCGGTAGGCACGGATGAAATAACCCTGACGGCCCTGTTTGCATCAAGTCAGTAACGGGAGCAGACACGGCAAACAAGACATTATGTTTGCTGGGCGGCTTCGTTGGGAGTATTCGCAGGGAGGGGTAAAACCAAAATAAAATAGAGAAAATATAGAAGAAAAAGAGGAGAGAAATTTCGGGATACGGACATTGTGGTTTCCAGGTCTTACGAGGGCATCATTTCCAAGATAACGGCATATGTCTGCTTGGATGACCTCCCGGCTGATACCATCGCCGGGGATGAAATATTCGTTCTGACGCTGAGGAGCGTCGTATCCATGACGGCCAGTCATTGTCCAGTGGGAGAAATCAGAGTCCAAGATTAAGGTAGTATTAAGTCAACGGATCCAAATGGCCTAAACGAAGTCCGGGAGAGTTGACGGGTCCTTGGGAAGATGATGATGATGGCCGGTGAAATCCTTTTCTTTCCTAGGGGTCTTTGGAATCAAGCAAGACCGCAAATATGGTTTAATTCAACGGTGTCCAGGGAAATCCAAGGCTGAGCAATTAAGGGAACCCGACTTTTTTTTTTTGTTAAAAGACAGGCAACGCAGAGCAAGTAGGCGACACGATGTTGGTCCCAAATTAATAAACACACTGATAGATATTATTCGGTTGTCCAAGAGGCTGCGAAGATCAAAGAAGGAAATCCTGGATGGGCGTTCCGGTCCACGGTAAGGCTGTAATGCAAAGGATCTTTGTTCCTTTGTTCTTCTCAGGATTCTGAAATGGTCTGATCCAAGAGATACCAGGGTTCGGACTGAGAATGGAGTAGAGAGAAAAGGCGAGAGAGAAGCGAGTGGTGAGGAAAGTGAAGCGAGAAGGAACGGTCTCTCAGTGTCAAGTGGCAGAGGGGGATGGGGGGGGAGGGGGGGGTATTTAGGGGGAAATGGGTGACGATCTTGGGCGGGGACCGTCTCTGCCTGTTGGGTTGGTGGTGGTGGTGTATGAGTGGGTTGTTTTCTCTGGCTTCCTTCCCTTTCAGATTTTAGGAGTCCAGACAAGGTATATGTCTTCCTTTTCCACTGGCAGGATAGGCCAGATAGTGTTTTAGGAGAGAGAGAGAGAGGAAGAAAAGGAAGAGGAAGAAAATAGGAAGAGGAGGAGGGGGGATGGAAGAAAAGGTGGGTGAGCAATGCGCAATGAGGACAGAAGATAAGGGGAAAATCCAGGTGCGGCGGCTAGAGAAAAAGAAAACCCAGACAACTGACTGGATGGAGGGAGAAGAGGGGCGAAGGAGGCAAGGAAGAAAAATTATGATTATTCTAAGAATTATTGAATTATTGAATTATCAAATCAATCCCAGAAGAAAGAAGAAGGCTGTGTGGGTTGTTTGGGAGGATTGATTGATGACTGCTTGGGCGGTTGGGCTGGCTTGGGCTGCCTGGCGCCTGTCTGGTGCCACGACCGACTCTCGACTTCTCCACCTTCAGAACGATCATTAGACCTTTGGTCCACTCGACCATCCATCCGAAAAGCATGCATGGACTAATAGGGCTTAGATGCCCTGCCGACTTGCAGGAGATTTTCCTGTCCCTAGCCGTCTGCTTCTTCGTGATCCTGGCGGTATAATCGACGCTACTATTATCTATGACTACTCTCTACTCTGGTGGAAAGTCATCGGGGGCCTTTTTCATTCTTTTGTTCATTCTTTTTTTTTCATAATGTTTTTTTTTTTTTTTTTTTTTTTTTTTCTTTTATTCTTCTGTTTCTTTTCTTCATACTCCAACCGGAGAATTTGCAGTCGAGTCATACTCGAGTGAGGACGAAAAGGATTTGTAGGAACATCATCAGCTGTCATGGGTCGGTAGACTCAGTACCTACCTACCAAACGGGCAATATTGTTGGACTTGGCTGACTGCGTAATCGGTAGACAAGTCTGCCATTGGATTGACGGGGATATGGAGATGATTTCCTCGCCTGGGTTTTATTTGTTTTTCTGGATGCCAGTTTCTCCCTTCTGGTTCTTGATTTTTTTCGGTTCGTTTCTCGTCGCCTCGAAAATATCGGACCCAGTCGAAGGATTTGCTCGTAGAAGGCCAGATTGGTCTGGCTTTGCTATGAGAGATAGCCTCACTCATTCTCTGGCTCTTTCTCTGTCTCTCTCCCTCTCCACTCGGCGGGGAACAGTGCCGAGGTGGTCGAGTGGGCCATCTGTCGTCCTTTCACATCCTTTGATCGCGCCCAATACTGTCCTTCGAATTGTATCAAGCATCCAATAAACCGTTCGAAATCGTGCCGATGGTGATGGGTCGATCGGGAGTCACGATGGTGGTATTCCGCATCATTCAGCTCACAGAGTCATCCCCATCCGGATGAAGGACATGTCCCCCTAATAATATGTAACAACTTACGCCAGGGGTGAGTCACACAGCACCGTCAGAGTCTGCATATCTGCACCCATTGCAACATTGCATTGAAGAATTGCATCTCATTTTCGGGCTGGGAGGCAACCGACTGCTGGTACCTAGGTACCTAATCTAGGTACCCAGGAGCTACCAGATGCGTGGGTACAGGATACATGGAACTGAGGTACACGGTGGAGCCGGGGGGTCAGACAGACTCACTACCCCACCAATGAGGGATCATTGAGCGGTGCCAGTTGGGCACAAATGCGTGGCGGGCTTTGGGCACTCATGGGCCTCGCCCCCAGCCTAGCCCGCCCGGGCCGCTTCCCTGGAACCATGGTTCTGACCGTTCCAACGTCATCCATTGGGTTTGGGAGGGGGTTCTTCTTCCGAACAGTAACATGATCAACCTGTTCATCCATGTTATGATTTTACCGCAGGTATGAGGCATGTTTCATGATTGACTATGGATTTTTCAAAAAAAAAAAAAAAGATGTCACAAAAAGAACTCCCCGTCAAGTCTGGTGACTACTGCAGAGTCGGTAGCTAAGTACAGTAACTTACGTACGAGGTGACGGATCGGCTATCCTTTCCCTGCAAGATTCAACTGTTAGCGAACCAGTGAACTGTCCGCGTCGTCCATTCAACCTGTAGGTACCTAGAATAAGTGGCTCCCTGGGTACTTGTTACACACAGCTAGACTTGACAACGAAAGTACCAACGATTCAAGTGGACGAGACGGGTTGAAACCCCTGCAAGGCAACGAAGCAGGGAACCTCTCAGAACAGATGTACCAGCCTCACCCTCGAGTCCGGGGACGAGAAGCTCTCTGTCGCCTTTTCCCAAAACAATGAACCGGTCTGCGTCGTACTAGCCAACCACAATGAAGTGATCCATCAATTGACGCGCCCCCATCACTAGCGAACAAACTCTGATCCCAAGGCGACGGATAGTTTCGAAATCTGCACAGCGGTGAGCGAATCACTTTTGTGGGCCGCCTGAGTGTCTGCTCGAATAGTAGTTCTCCAGGTGTCGTCGTGTCTGCATCGATCCCATCAGGGACGACGGCTCCTCTGCTCTGAGACCTATTGCGGCGGACCAGTCAACCCACAGCCCACACAGCATTCCACCAGCATGACCTGATTGTCATGTCTGATTTTCGTACCACCCACCGGAATAGCCGTTTCAGGGACCCTCAACGTCTCCGGATCACGCTACACCGGGAGATCACCGATCGAGGTACTGTACTCCATACATAAGCACATGTACGGGTACTGCACGGTACATAATGTGTATGCGCAAGCCCAACAAGCAAATTGAGAATGCGTCTCTGCTCTGCAAAGTGACTGGCCCAGAACTGCACGCAGCGCTTACACACCACCAGGATTCCTCAAGGAAGAATAAATCTAATCCAAAGCCAATCGTACAGCCTGCAGACTCAGAGACTCACATGGCTGCCCGAGCCCTCCCGCCTCGCAAACTCTAAGCTTGGCCGCTCACCACTGTCATCATGATCCGGTCATCCCTGTCCCTGCCTGTTGACGATGACGACTCGAGCGCGCGCTCTCCCACCGGGTGATAATGGGCTGACGGCGCCCAACTGACGTGACCGATGTGTCTCCTCCTTCCGAGATCTATTCGGGCTGGGTGGGCCAGGCTTAAGCGCCATTGGTGCTGGACCGGGCCTTGTTGGACTTCTTCGCGTTAACTGATCCTTCGTGCATGTTTCTGAGTCAACCCCATGTGCATAGCAGTGCGGTTGGTTGTGCCCAGCGTGGCTGGTTCTAGATATCTATCAGATTTCAACGCTGGATTTGTGATTGTACAGAGCTAGTGCGCAGGGTGCGTTTTGTCGGACGATGATGACATGGGCCTGACATGTGTTGAGGGAAACTGTTAGTAGACAGTTGTCCTTACTGTCTAGGTATACGTGCCACCGAGGTCAGGTCTAGTCTGGGAAATCAACATTTGGTCAAAGACAGGGATCATTCAAAAGAGAATCATCTATCGTAGGATACCTAGATGCCTGATACTCTAATAGTCAGGTGACAGACTGGGTTTGTTGAATTGATGGCATCCTCCATCTCCATCTTGCACTGAATGACAATGTACTATATATATACCTGAGTTGTGCCATCCGATATATATCTCAACCAATGACAGAGAATAGTATCTGAGACAATCCACTAGCCAAGTGTATAACAAAACCTGTTAGCGACCAAGGTTAAAACTTAACAGCCCTTCAACTCTATCCATACACTGGATCCCAGTCTTGTAATAAGGACAGTCCATGGTGATGCTGGTTGCGGAGTAAAATGGCAAAATCCTCTATATCGAGTTTACCGCCAACCAATCTGGGCCCAATTCTAATCTCTTCCCCACCGGCCTCACGTGCAGATCCGGACATGTCGACGGTCAGCTCGGCCTTCTCGAATGGGAGGGCATTTCTTATGATTATCGCTCGGTAGTGAGAAGAGGGAAATCATTTACCAGCCGATCTCAATCTGGTGTCTGAGCTTAAGAAAGGAAAAATAAAGAACGAAGAAATACTGAGAAAGAAACCGCCATGACTGGAGCACCCTCACCCTCGAGATGTCGCACTCCCCAGACCCTCACATCGCCCCCAGCGGTTCCCTGAACCACCACTCTCGCTACACACATCGCCATTTACAGCTCCTACGGCAATGCTCACCCTCATCGCCGCTGCGCGTCATCGCGCACGTCGACCTAGACGCTTTCTACGCGCAATGCGAGATGGTGCGGCTTCAGACGCCGCGCGAGGCGCCCCTCGCCGTGCGGCAGTGGGATTCCCTAATCGCCATTAATTATCCTGCGCGGGCGTTTGGGATCACGAGGCTGATTGCCGCGAGGGAAGCCCAGAAGCTGTGTCCGCAGATTATCCTGCAGCATGTCGCGACGTTCCGGGAGGGCGAGGGCGGGAAGTGGGCGTATCGTGATGATGCGTTCAAGCGGGTGGCTACGGATAAGGTGTGCTTGGATCCGTACCGTGCGGAGTCGAGGAAGATCTTGAAGGTCATGAAGGAGGAGCTGTCAAGGTGGCATGAGGGTTTGGTGGGTGGTGGTGGTGATGGACCTCACATACCGGAGGCCGGACTGGAGAAGGCTAGCGTTGATGAGGTGTTTATGGACTTGTCGTCGCTGGTTTATGGCGTGCTTTTGCAAAGGTATCCCGAGCTAAGGATGGAACCGCATCAGGAGGATGATCGAGTGGCCGCGTTGCCGCGTCCGCCTACGACCGCTGTGGAGTGGAACCAGGCTGATTGTCTTGTGGACTTGGATGAGAATGAGACGGAGCTTGAGGACCCTGACTGGGATGATATTGCTATGCTGATTGGGGCGGAGATTGTGCGGTCAGTTCGTGCGGTCGTATGGGACAGGCTGCAGTATACCTGCTCTGCGGGCGTTGCGCGGAACAAAATGATGGCCAAATTGGGGAGCTCGACCAACAAGCCGGACAAACAAACCATTGTGCGGAACCGCGCCGTGCAAAATTTCCTTGGGGGGTTCAGGTTCACCAAGATCAGGATGCTTGGAGGCAAGCTTGGGGAGGAAGTAGCCGCGCATTTCGGGACAGAGCAAGTCAGCGAGTTGCTGCAGGTCCCTTTGGAACAATTTCGGGCGAAATTAGACGACGGCACGGCCTCCTGGATATACAACATTATTCGCGGAGAGGACAAGAGCGAAGTCAATTCCAGGACGCAGACCAAATCGATGTCGTCTGTCAAGGCATTCCGCCCGAGTATCAACTCCGTCGATCAAGCTGAGAAGTGGGTGCGCATTTTTGCGGCTGACATCTATGGTCGTCTTGTTGAGGATGGGATCTTGGAACATCGCCGACGCCCGCGGACCGTTACTATACATCACAGGCAAGGATCGCAGACCCGCTCACGTCAGCTGGCTATCCCCGGTGCGGCACCGATTGACGACGACCTGCTCTTTGAGCTTGGCAAGACCTTACTACGACAAGTTGCAGGCGATGGGAACCTTTGGCCGTGCGGAAACCTGTCCTTGAGTGTTGGTGGGTTCGAAGAGGGCGTTGCGAAAAACAAAGCAATTGACGCATTTCTCCTCCGAGGCAGCCAAGCTAGAGATGTCAGTATCTCCGCAAGAAAAAGCGACCAGAGCGATGCACCAGGTATAGAACAGCGCAACGAGAAGCGCAGGAAAATCGAAGATGACGGTATCAAACGCTTCTTCAACAAACCCGTCGGGGACGAGCCGAAACCCCACCCCAGCGACTTTGAGCCAGAAAGCACCGAAGGCGTGCATCTCCCCGAGAATGATCGCTTGGATATCACCTCGACCGAGGTTTCCTCCGATATTTTCACCTGCGATAGATGCGGGAAGTCGCTGCCGGACTATGAAAAGGACGAACATGACGACTGGCATTTTGCGAAAGACCTGGAGAGCGAAGAGAGGCAGGCAGCACGGGCGTCTCAACAAGTGTCCAGTCCCGTCAACAGTCCCGGTCCGTCCAATCCTCGTGGTAGAGGAGGCCGCCGTGGTCATGGTAAGCCCGAGAAAGGACAGAAACGACTTGCGTTTGGCTAGTTGCGTAGCTGCACATATACTAAAATGTGGGACATGGCTGTCTGAGAACAGGTCTTGCGAATTCGTGAGTTCCTTGACTATGCTAAGAACAACAGACATGATCTATATACACTTCTTTCTTTATAATCATGTTGGGCCAGGGCATACCCCAGTAACTGCCCAGTTGCCCGGTCAGCTGTTCCATGGTTCCGACTCGATCTACCCATGGACATATTTTCCTCTAAATCTATATAGATAAAGATCAAACAAATACAATAAACTCCAAACCTTTTCAATGGATACACGCATAAACGTACATAGCTCTCCAGCTGGAAAGATCTGAAGAGTCTTAGGCGCCGTTCTGCATGACATCAGCAGGCCCAGCCAGCCGCGGGGTTGAAAGTGCGGACAAGCGCCAACTCTGTCAAGCTCTCGACAGGTCGTCGTCCGAACAGCACCGGTGGCTAGGCATGACGATCTTGTTGTTTTATCATTCTGGATCCTACGCCATTTTATAGAGTAGATATCGTTTGTGTGGTTGAATCCTTCGATGGGGTCTCTAATTGCCCCTCCACACAACGACAGCGCATCATCGCAGCCTGCCTCGCCTCGGCTTCTATGACTGCACCCACCGACAAAGAAAGAAACGCAACATAGGACCCCCTCCCCCCACGCCCAACTCAAGATCCCACCCGGGATAAAACCCTGGCATCACCATGCCACGACGTCCTCGCCCCCGCGAATACGACGAGATCTACGGCAACGACCCCAGCCAGTACTACCGCCGGCCAGCTCGCGAGCAACCGCCGCCGCCACCACCCCCGCCGCTCCCCATCGACGATGACCCGCCGATTCCATACCGGGCGCCGAGCCCACCGATGATCGACAAGTTCGAGCGCATGCGGATGCGCGAGCATCCTCGTCGGGAGCGCGAAGAGATCGATCTCTCCCCTCGATCGGTGGAGCCCGAGCCGATCTACAGACGGCGGGGACGGGGCAAGCCCAAGCCCCCCGTGTTTGACAGTGAGCACGAGAGTATCTCCGAGTATGAGACGGATAAGAAGTATCCGGGCCAGTTTCCGGAGAGCGAAATCGAGGGGGACCTCGTTCCTGTTGGGAGGAGACGCTCTTTGCCTCCAAGGGAGTTGCTGCGTGATCATGCTAAGAGTCATGAGTTTATACGACGCAGTAGGAGCCAGAAGAAGGGAGAGAAGTTGAAGAGGTTGGAGCTTGAGCGTGGTGATCGGCGCCCGTCGTCTAGTGGTGGGAGGCGAGAAGAGTACATAAGGGAGAGGAGTAGTCGCCATCCGCGTCCGCCTTCACGGCTGAGGCCTGCGTCTGGGTATCAGACGGAGTTGGAAGATGACGAGGATGATGACATTGTTATTCCTGGGAAGGGGGGTAGAGGGGGTTCCGAGAAAGAGGAGATTGAGGAGCTTAGTATACGTGGTGATGAGGAGTCTTCGCCTGAATCTGAGGATTCTGCTACGCTGGCTCGGGTACCTCCTAGACCTCGAGATTCTGGTATGCGACAGAGACACGGGCGACGGGGTAAGGTCTATCTTTATACAACAACCTGGATGAAGACTTATATGCTCAGGTTACGAAATGCTGCGCCCTCCTCGTGTGCCCAGCCCGGAGGTCAGTTTCGAAGAACAGCGGCTTCATCGACGGTATGTTGGGCTCTTCACGCCGGATCCAACTTTACTATGCTAACTGAGATGTGACAGCGAAATGAGAGGAATGCCCCCGCGTGAAGAGACTATTCCAGAAGAAAGGATGAAGAACGGCCCCCCGATGCCAGTCCCAATCCCCATGCACCGCGTCCCTCCGGAGCACCTAGGTCCACGAAAGGGAGAGTTTCCCGTAGTCGATCACCGGCTTCTGGAGGCTACAAAGGCCATCCCAAGCGACGCTAGCGAGGACGACAGCGACAGCGGCGAAGAAAACGGAATGTTCAAAAGCTTCTACCAACACCACGACCCCGAGCCTTCTCGGCCCATCAGCCCACGGAAAGACGCCATCGACGGCTGGGCAATTGTCAACGCTGGTCCTAAACCGATGCACACTCTGCGGGAACCGGACCCGTTCCCGGAGCCTCGTTTCGCCAGAGACTCGAGACAAAAGGTCGCTTTAGAAGACAAGAGCGCCCCCGGCACAGAGGTCGACGGAGGCCGGGGCAAGATCGGCCGACGGTATGTTGGACTCAAGGATAAGAAGAATGATCTCTGGACGGAGATTACGAAGGACTTGGTTGTGAAAGAGGCGATTGAGCGCATTGGGTACGAGTACGAAGAGACCGCATCGTCGTACTATATTTTTTCATACCTGCAATATGTAAGTTGGATGCTGTCTTTCTCACGTTTCCCCCTTTTCATTTCACATCATTCCCGATTTTACATCCTTCCCGTTTTACATCCTTCCCATGTGTTTTCATTTTTATTTTGTTTTATTTTGGTATGTTTTTGTGTTCTTTGTTTCAACTAACACCGCCACAAAGGATGACGTTTCAGCCCTGGTGGAAATGTCAGAGGACATTCGCCAGGCTCGCCGGCGGCGAATCCAGGAGATCCACCAGGAACGAGCCTCGATGGCGGAGAAGCCTAGCCAGCCGATTCTCGACAAGCCACCGTCGCCGTCGCCGTCTCCTCGTTTCCGGCCTCGAGAGGAAAGAAGGGTGAGGGAGCGGATTGACGAGAGTCGGAGACCGGGTCGGTCGGGGAGAAAATAGATGTTGTCTTTTTTTTTTCTTTATACTTCTTCATTCTTTTCATGTCTGGCACGGGTTCTTTTTTGGCATGGTTGATGTTCCTTTTCCACTGATCTAAGATTTATCAGGATTGGGAGGATCTTATGAGTTATGATTGATTATGTAGGTACTCGCTTGTACGAGTACCTATCGAATGACAGGATATGTATGCCACTGCAGAGCTTAAACATACAATGGAGATCCAGATCCGATTGACCGATTGACCGATAGACGGGCATAACATGGCATGACATGACATGACATGACATGATATTTACTCTAGTATTCGTACCTGGTAGCAAGGCAGGCACCTAAGTAGTATTTCGTCACACAAAAGCCACTAACCACCCAGAACCTATCCCTCCACAATCAACCCAAAGTCAAAGTCAGGCCAAGTCCAGTCCCACCGATGAATGAATGAACCTCAAGCATTTCCAACCCATGCACATCACACCGCATGTGCTATTCTATCCGTCTGTACTACGGATGGATACAGGCTGGTCAGGTCAGGGCATCCCTCTGCACAACATGATCAAACCATGCCATACCATGCTCCGACGCATAACAGTACTGAGACACGGCCACTGACGACGGCTAAGATATTGGTTTGGTTTCTGGATTTAGGTACGGATACTCGGGTGGATTAGTACTAGGTGGCTTTTCTAAACTTAGTAGGTGGGTTGACTAGGTAGGCAGATGGTAGGTATGACCCCACACGGCTGGAACAGGTGAGACACATGGCCAATTAGGTGGGATGTCGAGAAGGACTGAGCTTGGTTTGGGAGAGGTTACCAAGGTACCTAGGTAGGTACCAGGGACGGAGGTGAAAGTAGGGAACTTTGTCCGTGGATTCGGGCTGTCTTTGTTGGTTTAGATGGGTTGGTTATATATAGCTGTATCTGGGGTATCTACCTCAGGTACCTACTACGGATGTTTACCTTGGCAGTAAGATAGGTAGATATCAGCAACCTCAACCCTCTTCTATCATAGAAGAGAAGGAAAGAAACAAACCAGAAATCAAACTAAATAGAAAAGAAACTTATTCAGCTGTAGAACGAACGAATGAACCCTTCATCTCACCCACAGCTGAGGTATGATCATCGCTCCGGGCTACCTACCTATTGACTCAACATGAGATGTCTCACGTCGGGATCCCGCTGATTGGTCGTTATTCTCCCTCAGGTGAGTCTTCGGGGTTGTGTTCCAGGGGGAGTCGAGTGTTCACGTCAATAAATCAATCTTAGGTGGATGGATGAATGATGATGATGCGTGTGTTGAGGGGAAGAAGCTGATGGGCAGCGATCAGGAGGGGTTTGTTTATACGGGTATATTTCTGGGATACACCTGGGTATGGATCTGTCTGTCTGCCTTGATGATGGAGTGATGGATCAGGGATGCCTACCTGTAGGTATGTCCCTGGTAATACCTAGGAGAAGGAATATGATATTCGACTATTTGCTATTATTTGGAGGGTGTGATAGGTCTGGTTGATATGATATGATATGATATATGATATGGATGGATCGATCTTAACCTGTTTATGGATATAACCTGTTGATTCACGTCCGTCCCGAGAATTGATCTAGTCTGTTCCATTCGTGTATATAGTAAGAGTAGGTATCTGTACTCCCCAGTCAAGACCTCCTATAAATGAGCATATCCATCCGTCGGTATCGATGATAAGACAGTAGAAAGAACATGGCAGAAATTACAGGACAATGACATCCAAAAACGCCACAGTCGCAGATTCAGCCCCCACCGGGGTGGGTCCGTGACACAGCATATTGTTTCTTCCCTTCCTTCCTTCCTTCCTGCTTGTTGTGAAATGAGGATTTCATATTAAGTGCTCTGCTGTGGCTGGGGGAGTGGATGCATGGGCTTTATAATATATTATGTTAATCCTGGGAGGATGGAGTATGAGTTGTCTATCTATATTTAGTCTGTTATACTCTGGGTTTGGTATGGTGTGTGTATGGTATTGTTGGTGTAATGTATGGTGTAATTAATGCACATGGGAATGGCTCAATGAGTGTGGTTGTTTCTTGTTGGTTTGGAGGTGTGAAGTTGGCTGGCCAGCCATTTACCTCGTGGATTCTATACTGTATACTGTATTGGAGGCAGTACGGCGAGGCATTCCCCGGCACTGGCAGCGCCGACAAGAATGGCAATACGATGAGGTATGTATCTCCCTTAACCCCTCCATTTCTAATCAAATGCAAGTTAGAACATTCTCACCTGTAATCTAGTGTCTCTGTTAGGTAGGTAGGTAGTAATGTGCGCCAGACCTCCGACCAATCGACATTTACCATGACGGTCGCCGATTAACTTTCCGAAACAGTGGCCGTTGGATGGGAGAATACAGCATATTAGAACCTTGTTGGTTGTCCGGCAACAGATTGTCCAGAGGAAAGCCACTAAAAGGCGGGGTTGGCTTCCTTATCAAGTCGAGGGTCAATGGATGATCATCCCCGCGTCGTACAGACAATGGTCGCTAGCGTCGACACCGTCTCCTCGTTAGCTCGACTCGACTCGACAATTGCCGTTGGTGGGAACTTTCGCTTCACGCATCCCGGGGAGGGAATAGAAGCGAGCGACCGGGGCTGGAAGAGCGATCGATTCGATCGAGTTGTTGATTTACCCTGGATCAAAGTTCAACCAATGCAGTACCCCTCCGGCTAGGTCCGAGAATGACAAGCCATGCGACCGTTGGGTTGCGTTTCTGGCGTAGTGGTATTGAACTCCGTCATCTGGACGTTATTTATTATGAGGTACTCTGTAGGACGCCATGGAAACGGGGTAGACATCGATTGATTGGATGGTGTTGAACTTCGATGGGGATCTGGAGACGGAGTGAACCGACGGGATAGTAGTAGGTATTACTGAGATACCAGCCACGATGATGTTTGCTGCCGACAGATCGCATCACCCGGAGAGTGTGCTAATTAGTGCCGATCATGAAATCACCTCCCTAGCCGGAGGTGATACTCGGGTATCTTTCACGTTCGTGTGGTAGATTGTCTACCTCCCTGTCGCTTCGGTTCGCTCATTCGATAAGGCCTAGAATCGACCACGACAATTGATCGGAGCGACTCCTGTCCAGCATTTATCGGTATTGCCCATGACGACAACGATATGAGTTTGACATGACGTCAAGTTGATTGCCAGCGTGTTCAAGTGATACTCACCAGGGAAAGCGAACAGAACTTGTATAAGAATATATCGAAAGGAAAGGAAACAGGAAGTAAACAGGAAAACAGGATAATAAACAGAATTTGATTGGGTTTATCGTACCATGGAAGTCGTCGAGGGACTGACCCAAACGATTTGTCGTGGTCAGCTTTCCGTGCCGTTCGTTAACCTTGGATACGTGGGCGGATGAGGCGGGCTGAAACCAGGCTCACCGATCTATCTCCGGTCGGAAGAACAACAACAATCAAAAGAAGAAAAAGAATACCCACCAGAGTACCAGGAAAACATGGCCAGATAATCAATCTCACACACATCCAGGCATCTGGACCGCTCCTTGCTGTGCCGAGCCGAGTCTCAATCTCCACCCGGGTCAGGTTTGCCCTGTGCGGTGGCGAGTGTCTTCTTTGGTAAGGTGTCTAGTAGTGTCTATGGTAAGGGAGGGAATGGAAGAAATATTACCAGGTAAGACAAGGATCATTCAATGTATTGATCCTCTAGGGTATGACCAATCATCGGACATCGATCTCTCTTTTGGAGTAGCTCGGGTATCTCTGCCGTTCCCGAGTGGTTACGTCGATCGATGGTAAATAATATAGGTAATATAATAATAGGATGCGCTACGTGTGTCTCTGTCAGACCAAGTGACGCGGTCAATCGGGTGTGATGTGTGTGAACAGGGATGAGTTGTTCCTTGAGGATATTGCCTGGTACTTCAAGAGAGATATCTCGAGAGGTTCTTGTATATACCTAGTGAAGATGGATTCTTGTATAGCATATCAAAGGTGAGTCCAAATGACCTTCTGGGGCTATTTATTTTGATTTATTTTGATCTGGATATCTATATACTTTTATTGATATTTATCTATATATATCCATTTTAATAATCATAATTCTTTTTATATATTTCTTGATATATTCTGTTATAAATTTAATATATATCATATATATTTATATTTTAATGAAAATCCTACTTTAATTCGGATTAGAGTATCGACTCAGTCTGGTTCTCGACCAGGGATCCGAAGATACCAGTACCAGACAACAGACGGAGTACTCCGGACAGATCATCTAGAATTACCCATCAAAGATGGAATTCCAGCCGCAATTCAGATGGACGGTGGCTGATTTGTCAGGGATTCCCGTGTCCACCTTTATCCTTCCACTTTGAACGATCGTGTTTTATCCCTTGAAGGGATCTTTTCTTGCCTCGTCCATAGGAAGGCAGTGGTTGTCTGGTTTAGGTATGGATAGACATACCCAGCCAAGACGGTGGGAAATCATGGATCCTACTCTCCACCCTGCAGCGGGGAGTGTCTGTTCCGTTTGGGGTCCCCTGTTCGGTCTCTTCATTTCCATTTCTTGAAGCTCCCTTGGATTTCCAGACATTCTGGAGACTGGACTCCTCTTTGGTACTAGTCGGAGAAGATATCCATCCGTACATACAGCGTGCATACAGCGTGCATACATAGTACATCTGTACATGTACTTATTAGTAGGTAAACAAGTAATATAATCCACGTTGAAAGTACCCGATCTTCTCCGTGTGAGACAAGAGGTAATTCCCATGGAAATGACCGTGAATGGTTATTATCATGAAAGAGTCCTTGAGATATACGGAGTACGGAGAGTAGACGAGGTATACAAATCAGTAGGTGTAAAATACTATACTAGGAGTAAATATATCGGATACAGACTAAGCCCGAGCAGGTTTAACCCAAATCCTTCCACATCTTAGCTTTCTTTATTGTGATCATTCTTAATCCATTCTTTTGCTCTGTCCGACTACCGAACGTATCGAAATTATTATATTCTTTTGTAATTTATCTTATTGGATTCTTTTTTATTTTTTTCTCTCCCCCTCTAGTCCCCAGCATTCTCCATCCTCACACGCTTCCTGATCCCTCGTCTCTTTCCTCTCTTCCTCCTCCCTTGGTATCTCTATCTATCTACAAGTCTATCCTCCTCCTCTCTGGTCGCCATTTCTCCGTCCTCCTCACCGGCCCCAATTCCTGATATTGGCTTATCAGGCCCGAGGCCACCGATTCACACAACTCTCCCGCCCAACCAATGATCCTTGAGGATGCTGATATCCCTCTGATCGTTGCTCTGCCTCGGCCTTGTGCTTCCTTCCGCACCCTGTAACCCCAGCTCGCTCTGTGCATCCATCCGCAATAGACCGTATTATTTGATTATTTGGTCGATCTTCCTTTCCTCGCTTGATCGTTTTCGTCCTTTTCCCACCCCTCCGGTCGACTTTACATCGGGACTGGAATTCTGGACTGGGAAACCTTCACTCGGCCTACATATCCACCGGTACGTTAATTTTCACACCCCCCGGTCCTCCGACTGGTGTTGTTGGGCCATCGCTGATCGGCACCAGCCAGTGACTCCCATCCTTTAAGATTTGGAAGGTGCTTCCGTGGGACGCCCGTGGCCGACTATCAACTGTCGTCATAGCTTGGGCCGGATCTAGGGTGAATGGTCTTATAGATGACTGTGACCCAGGTTGAACTTGCCCTGGTCATATACAACTATCCCATCTACTGATCCCGTTCGGGCCGACCGTATATCTGGGTCGGAATCGGTCGATTCTGGTGCACCGGAAATTCTCGAGATCGAGGGCGGAGACGAGTGGTAGCCACATCGATCTAAGCTGGAGAGGGTAGAGATGGAGCGCAAGACGGCAACCAACACTCTCAGGAGAGGAACGGCGGCCGCACCGTATGTCATGCAGCTGGGTCTGATTTTCTCGGTGCTGGCGTTGTTCACCAGTCCTGTCTCGGCGTCTTGCGCGAACGTCAACACGGGCGCCGACAACAAACCAAGTATGCCTCTTCTCCCTTCCGCGATCGACCCGCGCGATCTTGGCTGACTCCTTCGCTGCCAGATTTCAGCACGTTCCAGTCGCTGGGCAACTGTCAAAATCATTGCGAGGATGATTTTGCTTTCGGTATTTTGCAGGGCAAAAAGTGCTGGTGCTCGAACATTGCTCCCCACAAGGCGACAGAAACCGATGACAAAGAGTGCGCGGTTTCATGCCCCGGGTTCCCGGATGACGACTGCGGAGATGCGTCCAAGGGGCTCTTTGCCTACATCGAATTATCAAACCATGCGCCCTCGGGCACCGCCACGGCCCCGTCGTCGGCCACGTCAACCGAATCGTCGGTGCGTACCGAATCTTCTCTTCCATCAGACCCTTCATGAGACTGACCTCCTCTAGTCCTCGTCCGAGACAACATCCGACACGAAAACCACCGCTGGTACGTCAGTGGAAACCATTTCCGGAGAGCCGACAACCATCACCGTCGGGCCTACCGGGACGTCGGGCGCCGATGCCAATGGGGTGTCCGAAAAGAAAGAGAGCGGGTCCGGCCTCAGTGGTGGCGCGATCGCGGGAGTGGTCATCGGTGCGATCGGTGGACTAGCTGTCATCGGTGCCCTCATCATCATGCTCTGCTGGAGACGCCGTCAACGTTCCGCCAGCCCCGACCCGAGCGTACAGAATGTCCTGCTCGACGGACGCAACAGCAAGGGCTCGCAGATGAGCATGATGAAGGGCATGTTCTCGGACGGACACAGCCATACCCTGTCAGGCGCTTCGTCGACCAACCCCCAGCGGACGTTCACCGACAACCGCATGAAGACGGACACGGTGATCTGGCCCGCTGGCCGCCGAAATAGCAGCGTCTCCCTCCAGGATAACGAGGACTACACTCGACCAGTGTTACGGGTAAGTTGTGTCCCCCACCGAAAGTCAATGTTTCATTTTCAATTCTGACCTGCTCTATCTAGCTCACAAATCCTGATTAACTGCCAAACACAATTTTATCGTTTATTTATCTCTTTTCGTGCCTTGCAGCTCTCCTATGTCGTCTCGATTTTACGCATTCCAGCGATAACAGCGGTGTTATGATACCCCAATTTCACATAATCCTTATTCCACTACTTCGCGCCATTTGATCGGTGGTAGAACGGGTCTGGGGTCCGGGGTCCGGGATCCTCGAGGCATTCAATGAAGTTGTCACGCAATGCATCCCGGGGTATTACACAGAAGACCAGGAACCACCACCCACCAGAAGACCACAGAAGAAGACAGAAATCATTACAACAGGAAGAGAAACAACAAGAAGAAAAAGGAAAACATAAAAAAAGGGAAGAGCAGGGAAAAGGGAATAAGGATCAGAATATGAAACAACCTGACCATTCTCAGGGTTGTGGTAGATGATGTCAGTGCATCACACATCTACTACATCCCCCGACTACTTTGACATCAACATTCATCGGCTTCACAAGGCGTTCCGTTTACATTTCTTTCTATTTGCTCTGGGGTCAATCTTACTGTGTACATCAACCACCATGTGGAGTCTTATACTTATTACAAGCTGAAGTACATACATATTGCGCAGCAACTAATTGATACCTACTACCCCGACTAATTCACAGCAGTCTTCTTTCTCTATACATAATGAAATGTAGAAAGTATAGATCCAGTGCCAGAATGGGCAATTTCTGTCTATCGTGGGTTATAATATCATCCAGTGCCCTCCCCAGCACATGACGTCCTTATCAAGTCGCAGGACAGTTTTGCCTTTTTCGGAAGTGCGGAGATGTCGACTCTATACCGTTTCAGTCAACCAGTCCCCTCACTGCATTATCACCTCTCGGTTACACCCATACCTTGTTATCTGTCTATCTAATCATCTGTCAATATCCATATCTATCGATCGACGCAGTGGCAAGACAAGCCTTCACTTCCAGATCCCCAGAGACAGCTGTGGTTAGGGATAGCCAAGATCATACAAAACGGCCTGTGAGACAGGCACAAGAAGCGAAGAAGAGCGCCGCATACGTACATGTTTATCCTCGCTCTCAACCACCCTGTCTGTGTCTGTCTACCTCACGTCACGCAAAACCCCGATAAGACCCTGTATACATAGCCGGCCGACAAATAAACATCCGTGTGGCTATTATGGGTGCTGTCATTAGTGCGCTTGCTTAACTGGGCTAGTTGCTAGTTGTGAGTGCTTGCGGGGTGTTGGAGTCACTGTATGCTTGAGCGAATGAAGTTGCATTGATGGCTGCTACCCCGGGGGAGACCTCTTATCGTTGATCTGCGTCTCCGCTCCGGTTTGGGTGAGTTGATCCTGGGCTGGGACTGGGTATATGTAGGGTTTGGGGGCTCTTTTACTTGCCGTGGGGTGTATTCTTTGGATGGATAATTGATGCGAGGGGGGAAGCCTATATCTGGCTTGGTTTGGTTCTCTCACGATTTTTTCTTTTCATTCTTGACTCTAGTCATTCTCCGGTCTTGTTGGATTGGTTTCTCTGGATGAAATCGAGTTGAGCCATCGGGTGCATGGATCTAAGCCATCATGGATGAGTTCCCTGCATTGGACAACGTGCGCGTGCTGGGTCTCGTCCTGGTCTCACTGGTAGGAGTATGGCTTGTCTTGGGACATCCGACGAGGAAGCATCTCGCACCGTGGTTCAAGCTACACCATCGCAGACTATCATCCAGCGAGACATCGTCCGGAGAGAAAAGCCCACCTGCCAGTCTTGGGTCATCCGCTAGTTATACAAACGCCCTACCCCCTCAACGTCGAGAAGTCCTCGCCACTCTACCAAGTACTGCCCCAACGTACAGAAAAGTAAACGAAGAGGAAGTCCAGCGACATCTTATCCCAATGGACGCAGACTACCGCTCCTGTGACGACGACCGATTCACCCCGACGGGTTTCTCTGTGGCCGAGATCAAAGCCTTGGGCGATTTCCCGGACTATGCACAGCTCAGCGGTGTGCCTTTACCACAGGCCTACGATGGATTTGATATTGAAAAGGCCCTTGCGCGGCCGTATCGCCCGTTTCGATGGTCTTATCATCAGACGATGTGTATGTCCCAGCGCCTGGCTTCTTACCTAGCCCCTCATACCATATAATTGCTGAGCGTTGATTGACCCTGTCTTACTCACAGCCCTAACAAAGCTCGAAACCGACTGGTGGATCGAGCTCGAAAACACCTACAAGTCGCGCATCGCACAGCGCAACGACCTCTACGCCAAATACGGCTCCGCCGTCGTGGGCTACCTCCCTGGCTCGGAATTAGCCTGTAAGGAGCTGATGGAAATGGTGCTGCAATTCGTGTGCGCGCGCTATCCGAAGTATTTCTCTCTGGAAGACAACCGGATCTTTCATAATCGCATCCTCGGCACAGAACAGGACGTCCGGTCTAGTCACCCGCTTGAGATATTGATCCAGAATATCCCTGAGGATTTCGCCATCATGATGCGCGATGAGAAAACGGGCTTTTACTTCCTCCGAGCGGGTGTTATTTGCTCCGCGCTGGGGTGGAATATTGGGACTAAGATTGGGTTGCAGTTGCATGAGATTCATGCTCCTATTCCGGATTATAGGGAGAAGATGCAGTTTTCTATGGATCGGTATGTTCATCACCGGCACTACCAGCACCACCAAAGCAGAGTTAGTATACAAGTAAAGGAACCTAACTAACATGCCCCTTCTTTACTATATAGATTCTTCACCAAGATGCCCACCGAAAAACCCATCCAGCGCGGCTCCTGGGGCCTCGAAATCAACCAACCCCTCTACATGCCCCCCGGCGACCCGCACGAAGCCATCCGTCACACACAGGACCCCAACCTCCACCTCGAAGACTGCCATCTACGCGTCGACTGGCAGACGCTGCGCCGGCTGCCGCTCTCAGCGGGCATCTTGTTCAATTTCAAGGCGGTCTTCACGCCTGTCTCCGAGTTCCGCGACGAGCCGGGTGTGCCGGCGCTTTTGTCGACGATTCTGAAGGAGGGCAAGAGGGATTTGATGGTGTATAAGAGTACGTGGCACGTGGAGCATGTGGTTTTGCCGGCTTTGGAGAGGTGGGCGGCAGAGCAGGTGGGGGACGGGGTGGTGGATGGGGGGTGGAGGGTTGCGACTTTGGATGAGAGTCCTTGGTTTAGGGGGTGGGTGGGGAAGTGGAGGGGGATGCAGGGGTTTTGATATTTTTTTCCTGTCTTTATTTTCTACTTGTTGGGTGGATTGTTGTCTTTACAGATTGTTCTTCAGCGGTATTCCTTATATTGTTCATGATATGGTGATTGGCTTATAGGGGCGCATGGCCCAGCGATCTATGTTTAACAGTAGCCTGATATATTGAAATCCTCCTGCGAATAGCCTGTTGTTCCACTTGACGGAGATTGTTCCAACTCACAACCTGCCAGGTTCATTCGACATGGTCAAAGCCGTGCCAAGTGAGTCAAAAACCGGCGCTGGTATTGCCAGTCGGCGGTATAGGCTTTGACGCGGCGTATCCGCGTAGCGCGCGACGGAGTACCCGTTATTAGGAATTGGTCCGGATAGTCGGTGTTGGCGATAGATGGCGGCAGTATACAGCACGGTATACAGCCACTGGTTCATTCAAAGAACCACAACCGCAAACGACTCAGTCATGGCCATCCGACCGCGTCTCTCCCTCCTCACTCTCACCCTCTCCCTCCCCCTCCTCGCTCTCCCTATCCATCTCCTCCAACTCCTCCGCCAACGGGCTCACCCTCTCATCCAACAAATCCAAATCCTCCAACTGCTGCCTCGACGGCAACTTCCACAAACTCGTACCACACATGCGGTCCTTCGTAAGCAAATCATCCACAAACTGATCCATATTAGTGAGCACCACCGAGTCGCGCACCCTCCGCTTCAACTTGCGATAATCCAGCAGCAGCGGCTCCAGCGTGCGATACACATCCACCGCGTCAAACGTCAGCCGCACGTAGAACGCCGCCAGCGCGCGCAGGTACTTGAAGTCGCCGCGCGCCTGCTGCACCGCTGCGCTGTCTGCCTCCGTGGGGTCCTCGTTGTCGCTGCCCGGGTCGCTGAAGTTGAGGTATTCCAGGATTATGTCCCGCGTCGGGTTGAGTTGTAGGAGCTTGAAGGCTAGGCAGAGGAAGGGCGTCGGCTTCTCGGATACCCCGTATGTGCCGCCGATTGCGGTGAGCTCCACTGCGCGGTCGCAGAGGGTCGCGGCGTTGAGTCCGAAACATTGCTCTTTCCAGTAGTAGGATTCGGTGATGCGGTCGCGGACGGCTTTTTCGAAGAGCGTGGCTGGGTTGACGCCGCGGACGAGGGGGCCTGAGTAGCCGCGGTTGTCGAGGAAGGTGCTGGCGTCGGCGCGGTGGGTTGTCATTATGATTGTTCTTTTTGTTGCTTCTGTTGATTTGTTTTCCTCCTCTTCTTGACTTTCTTTTTCTTGGGGTTCCTCGTTGGGGTCGTTGGTTGAGAGTGAGGTGTGGAGTTGTCGTGAAGGTGTGGAGGTGGAAAAGAAAGATTGCTGGTGCGATGCCAAGCCAGCCTTATCGATAATCGCACTGACAACCGCGGGGATAAACATCCGATCTTCCTTTCATTCTTCTGGATTGGTGGATCTGCATCCACATCACATCTTCGCATCTCCATCGCAGATAAGGCGCATTCCAGTCAATTGACCCTGGTGATCCATATACGTGTTTGACAGTACATTCCTTGGAGACGAATGGTGGAATCGTGACCATGGTCCTCCTCACCTCCTCCACCGTCTCGGTCATTCTGTCTACGGGAATCATCTGCACATTTACTATTCTCCTCTTTCTCTCCGGATACATACTTCAACAGCAGTCGGTCCGCAGTATCCAACATGCGCTGCGTCCGCCAGACCCCCTCTCCGAACACGGGTCGCCCAGATCGCCCTTCAAGCGCTCATCACCGCTCCTCGAGCGAGGCGTCGTCCTCCCAGGAACGCTCCCCGACCAACAGGACTCCCAACAAGAAGCATCCCAAGGCACAGGCAACTACGCCTACCTCCAGCTCCTCTCCACCCCCGACCCCTCCGACATCTGCTCCGCCATCCTCTTCTTCAAAACCCTCTCCACAAACAACACCGCCATCCAAGACCGCCTCTTCATGTACCCCCAAGAATGGGAAGACCAAGCCCACCAGCAGTCCAAACCCGTCTCCACAGCCCTCTCCATGCTCCGCGCCGCCAGCCTCACATACGGCATCTGGCTTCTCCCCATCGACATGACAGCGGCCACCTCAAAAGGCTATTCCTCCACCGACACGAAACTAATGCGTCTCGGCCAAATCCAGTTCATGAACTACGATAGCGTGCTCTACCTGCAAACACCGGGTCTAATCCTCGACACGGCCAAACTAGACGCCGTCCTCCTCGACAGACCCCTTCCCCTCCGCCACGACAAGTCCCGCCCTGACTCCTACAACAACGAGGCCTGGATCCCTATGCCCCTCCGTGCAGACCGCGACACTACCCTGCCCCCCGTCTACCTTGTAACGGTCAACAATATAGCAGCCGGTAACGTCGAAGCCCGCGGCCACGTTCCCAACGTCGCGCTCCCGGGTTTCGGCTCCCTCGTTGCGGGCCCTTGGGCCGCGGCGGCCGCCGACCCCGCTACTCAGCCTGGGTATGTGTATTTTGAGCGTGATGATGATGGACACGTCCGCTGGGCGGATAATCCGCTGTTTGGGCTGTGGAGGGCGCAGCAGGCTGAGGTGTGTGAGGGGTTGGATTTGGATGGGGCTTATCGTGGTGGTGATGATGATGATGATGATGATGATGATGATGATGATGATGGTTATGATGTATAGTTATGATTGGTTTTTCTTTTCCTCTTACTGTTATGGTTGATGTTTCACTATCTGTTTTTTTTCTTTTCGTGGCGTGTTGCATATATGGAGTTATTGGTTTGGGAGATGATGATGATGACTATCATGATGATATTATATATATATGTGTGTGTGAACAAATGAATATAGGAAATTCCATTTTTATCGCATTAGTATCTAGTGCTTTGTTTTCCTACCTAGACTAGTATTTGCCTTAAGAGACTGAAGATAAGGAGGTAGGTAGGTATGTATTCGTCAATCGTTCGTCTAGATACCTTAGCTAGGGTGGTATTGGCCAACAAGGAGCAGAGACATCGCAGCGGCACCAAGAGTAGGGGAATGAGGATAAAGAGGAACAGTGGGAGGATATAGGATAGAACGCTATTGCCAACCATGCAGAAGAATAGAATGACTGCGCTGGAATGTCCAATCCCCTGTGTAAACACGTGATGTTCATTACTTGATCGACGTGTATAAGAGAAAGCCGACGACAGGTGCATAGCCCCCAAGGATAGACAGATATCTAATCACCAAGGCGGGACAACTACCGCTTGCTCCCAGCGCAGTATGTAGTAGACAGGGTCGATTTCGCTCTATTGCGACCGCGGTACACCAATCTCGTACCCCAGGAGAACTTCAGTTGTGCTACCCTCCCATCCGCGGTTACCGCTCGTGGAGAGCATGAACCGGCATGCGGGGTCAAGGTATAACTGGGAGACGGTGCCTGTGCGGTGACCGGGAATGATGAGGAAGGGGACGGTTGAGTGTCGCGTGACTTGATCGTGTTTGAGGTCGTAGAGGCGGAGGATGTCGTGGGATGCGCTGGTTTGTGTTAGCGATCAATCATTATTATGGTGTGTAGAGTCGGATAAGTATGATAAGTGAACTTGGGGTGTAGAAGGCATGGACCTACCAAACAATGTGTCGCCCGTTGGGCATCGCTCGGAGAGCTGTGACTGGACCACTCCCCTGAGGGAACTTGAAGATCCGCTCCGGATCGCGTAGACCCTTGTGGAGGCTGAATTCCTCGACTGTGCCTGTGCGCCGGCCGACGTAAATGTTGTTGCCGTCTGGGGACCAGCACGCGTTCATGCACCATGGGGGCGAATTGCGCGATATGATCCGAGCTACGGGGTCTTGCAGTCGTCGGTCCCAGATTCGGACAGTGCCGTCGATGGAGGCCGCGAGGAAAATGTTGTCGGGACCGATGTTGGTCTCTGGCTGTGTTGGTAGAGAGAAGTCCTGGCCTTGCGAGGCTGGTTCGAGGTCTTCCGCGTGGGGAAGTCCGTTGACTGCCGGCTGGGAGGGGCCGTCTGGAAGATCTGAACCCTGCGGCTGTTGCGATGTTGTGTTGGGGGCGTTTGCTTCGGGGTTTGTTGCGTCGTTTGCAGGTGTAGGCTGGGGTTGTGCAATGCCGTTTTGTTGTTGTTCTCCCATCGGTTCGTCCGGCTCACCCTGGGCATCGGCGTCTGGGAGGGCATCGTTGGCGAGAGCTTTCCCAATTTCGTCATCCTCGTCTATGCCGAATGCATTGGTCGATGTTCCTGCACCTTCGCCGCCGTTTCCGTCCCCATCGCCAAATAATGAATCGGCTCCCCCGAATAGCGAGTCTGCTGGCGAGCCCGCCTGCGGGTTTGCGTCGCCCATTTCGCCCTGGTCGTTGGAGGTGTCCATGAAACTGAAACTGTCGGCCCCACTGGCTTGGTTGTTGGAGGAATAGGTGCCGTTGGTCTGAGGGTGGTCGGTCGTGTCTCTGGGGACCGGGAGACTGGACTCTGGCCGAATTTCAAGAGCGGATATCTGGCCCGCGCTGGCCCCGAACGTGCGCCTCGTCTGCCCCGTGTTTAGGTCCCAGTCAAAGACCCGTTTGTCCCAGCTTCCGGAGAGGACTGACTTTTCGTCGGATGTCAGATTCAACACCGACACGGCCGACTTGTGTTTTTGGAGGAGAGCGATCTCCCTCCCCTCCTCGTGGCGGACTGATTGTAGCCGAATGGTCCCGGACTCCAAGCCAGACAAGAGCCATAGTCCTTCGCTGTGGCTGGCTAATGAGTAGACGGGGGATATATGGTTACTATCCATGCTCTCCCAGTATGTCATTAGGGATCCGGCTTTGACAACACTATCCACGAACGGGTGCCGTTGCGCTACCGTCAGCATCAATTTGCCATTGATCGAATCCACCCAGTTGAATTTCCGCACGTATCCATCCGAGCCTCCGCTGAACACCCATCTCATATCCGCCGTTGCAGTTATAGCATTGATCGAAGTACTGTGAGGCGCAGCCGTCGTTGGAACGATATCATAGGTAGAAGCGGTAAGGCACTCGGGGCGCACGCTGGGGTGGAAGGCAGATATAGGGGTGGGTGCCGTCGCGGCTCCAGGGAGGGTCCTCGTCACGTCGGGGTTGAGCTGAGGAGCATTGTCAGACGCATGGCTCGCATTCGATTGGCTGTCTGCATCCTGATCGTCATCCCCGTCGACGTCGGGCTCATTGTCGTTTACCCCGTCATTGGCGTCTCGAAGCGCGTCGTCCATTTCATTATCCGAGCTTCCATCTTGCGAGCCTAGGAGTCGAGTCTCAGCATCACATTGTGCGGAATGGAAATGTACAACATAACTCACCACCGAGATCGCGATCGTCATCCTCTTCCATTCTGTTGGCAATTGATTGGTCTGTTCCAATTGATGTAAGGTATATATACGCGATATTTTTTTGAATCTATCGATAGCGACAGCTTATGGCGACTCGGACGCCGTCCGATGCGCGATCGCCCCTCTCAGTGATGATGGAGGAAAGATGGGAGATTCAGTGGTACATGCTTAGAGAAATCCATGCAGCGACTCGATATGGAATGACACAAAGAAAGAAGAAAATGGGGATTAGGGAGAAGGGGACCGAAAGAAACATGGAAGAGAATCATCCATCTTGGACTTCCGCCCGCATGTTCAATGCCCGCGATGGCCGCGAGTGGGCCTGTTTGGTTGGTTTGACTGGTTTGATTGGGCCGGTCACGTTGCTCCATGCCTGAGGCAAAATGTCCATCCGAAAGAGGTTAGACAGTTGTCACTGAACTATACAGATTCATTCCTCAGCAGTCATTCACTAGTAATGGATGGAATGATTGTATATCACTATATTTCTTTGTAAATAAGTAAAGAATTATTCACACAGCAGTTCTGTTTCACTGACAGGTTCTTGCCTGCCAGTTGTGCAGAAATCTCAACAAACGAACAGGCCGGATTGTCGCAGGTCAGGGACATCAATGAGTGATAGATATACTTGATTTTATGATTACTCCTTTCTGGTGGAAAGAGAAAGTGTCAAATTGACAATAATTGATAAATTAATTCGTATGTATGCTTGGGTTTTGAGATTCTTGGGCTTTTACCATTTGCCTGCCCGCTCTCCATAGCAAAACCACAGGAACTGGTCATCTGATTTGCTTGTTGTACTTCACTGACACCTTATAAATTGCGAGGTGTTTTTTGAGTGATATTCAAGCAGACATCTATCCTGCTCCTTTGTTCCTCTCTCCTTCGCAGTCTCTTTTTCCCTTTGCCTCTCCTCTTTCCCTCTCTGCTAACTTCATCGTGGGACCACAAGTACTACATGAGGCACTACTCACTTGGTACCCAGTGCCATTATGGACCAGGAAAATAAGCCCCAGCTGCACTACTCTCAGTCCATTGAGGGGCATATGGAAATACTCAAGCTCACATCTTCTGTGCCGGTCAACCAAGATGTGAGAGCATACTTCAACCAGACTGTCCCGGATAGCGCCGAACCGTGGCTATCCAAGCCAGAAGTTCCATCTCCAGAGGAAGTCATGGCCATGAATAGCAATGAGGATGATGTGATGTTGGTTCCAAATAAGATCATCGGCTCATGGGAGTCTAAGGAGGCATATCTGAAAGCCCACTACGAGCTTTTGAGGGAAGACTCCGTGGCACCACTTAGAGATGCTGTGGCATATTTCAGAGAGGACCCCCATATGATGGACTCCCCCGTCGTGGCTATCTATGAGAAGGTTGTTACTGCCCTCATGCCGATCAGGTGTTCTTCTTTCTTGCTAACCACAAATGTTATGACAGGTCCACATTATTGGAATCACACTCGCAAAGAGGGGCCTCGCAGCTAGAATCCAGTTCTCCACAAGCCGGTCTGGCAAGAAAATTATCTGGGAATATTCGAAGCGGCTCATTACCGGATCAATCGTTGCGTTATCTCCTGCAAAAGACTCCTTTCGCAATGAATGTACTATTGCCGTGGTTGCAGCTAGACCTTTGGAAGGGGTGAAGCAAGAGCCTCCACAGATTGATATTTTCTTCGCCCGCCCCCAAGACACGGTGTTTGATCCCCAGGAAGAGTGGGTTATGGTCGAGGCTAAGACGGGATACTACGAGTCTGCGAGACACACCATGACGGCTCTTCAGAAACTGAGCCAGTCAAAGTCAGTTTTCTTCTCTGCTACCCGTGTTCCTTGGACTGATAATTGCCCTATGACAGGTTTCCCCTAGCAGAGCATATCTGTTTCCTGGACCCGGATATCGACACCCCCAAACACATAAAGAACGAAGGAACGGTTGGTGATCGCCTCGCCGCTGACCAGACTGGTGATAAAACAATTGGTAGCGAACAAAAGGGCCAGGTCTTGGACTGTTTCCCTGCGCTGCCCATAGAACATTTGGACCTTACGCAAAGGAAGGCTTTGGAGCAAATTCTCACTAAAAGCCTGGCAATCATCCAGGGCCCTCCAGGGACTGGGAAGACATACATATCAGTTGTCGCGCTGAAATTATTGCTCTCCAATATGACGCCCGGCGATCCTCCCATAGTTATCTCTTCTCAGACCAACCATGCGTTGGACCAGCTCCTGAGGCACATATCATCATTTGAAAAGGACTACATCCGCTTGGGCGGTAGAAGCAGTGATCCGGAGATCAAAAAGCGTACTCTGTTCAATGTCAAGAAAAGCAGACCGGAAACGACAATTCGAGGAAGTGTCCTTGGCTCGGCCTCAATGGCACACAAAAACCTGAGTCGAATGATCCGAGAGCACTTACAGGATTTCAATCTTGGTAGCCTTGACAACCCGTTTCCGGCGTCTTTCTTCCTCAGACATGGCCTGTTGACGCAGGAACAATGCAATAACCTAGCGAAGGGCGCCAAAGGCTGGGTACGCGCCGAAGATGACGAGGACACTGATCCCTTGATCACCTGGCTAGGTGAGAAGACCGCCAGATTCGAAGTAAATTATAACATGGAAAGCTTCGGTTTTGTGGAAGACGAGATAGATCTTGAATATGAGCAACTCAAAGAATTGGAGGCGGAGCAGGGCCTTGAAGACGACGACTATGAGACCTTACGTGGTGATTATATCCCCCTTCGAGAAGGGGTGTACGGTCAAGATATCTCCTCCATCCCCAAGGCCACGCTATTGGAGTTCATGAAGAACCAGGATTTGTGGAGTATACCTGCCAAAGCGCGTGGCTCCGTGTACAATATGATGCGGAATTTGGCAAAAAGCAAGATACTAGACGAACTTCGCAGAATGGCGTCCCTCTATCATGCAAATTGCAGAAAACTCCAAATCGGCAAGTGGGAGTGGGACAACAACACGCTCCGACATGCGAAGATCATTGGGATGACCGCCACTGGACTGAGCAAATACAGAGGTCTCGTATCGAGCTTGAATCCTCGGGTCGTCCTGATCGAAGAGGCCGCTGAAGTCATCGAGGCTCCAATCGTGTCTGCCTGTTTTGATTCGCTCCAGCATCTGATTCTGGTTGGTGATCATCAGCAACTGAAAGGGCATTGTTCGGTAGACGAGCTTGCCAAAGAGCCCTTTTTCCTTGACACGTCGATGTTCGAACGGCTGGTTACTAATGGCATCGGCTATGTCACGCTCCGCCAGCAAAGGCGAATGGCGCCAGAGATCCGTCGACTGCTGCATCCCATTTACGGCACATTGGAGGACCACCAGTCAGTGCAGCTGCGTCCAAAGGTCCCCGGGATGGGAGACTGTCGGTCATTCTTCTTCTCGCATAACTGGCCAGAGTCTAGTGACAGCTTTGCATCCAAATATAACGAAAAGGAAGCGGAGATGATTGTAGGCTTCTTCGTCTACCTTGTGTTCAATGGGGTCCAGGTGAATAAGATCACCGTCCTAACCTTTTACAACGGACAGAGGAAAAAACTGCTGAGGCTCTTGAGAAGTCACTCCTATCTTCAAGGCCAGTATGTGAATGTCGTGACAGTCGATTCTTACCAAGGAGAGGAGAACGATATTGTGATCCTCTCGTTGGTCCGAAGCGGGACGAAGATTGGCTTCTTGTCCGTTGAGAACCGAGTCTGCGTGGCACTTTCCCGAGCTCGGTGTGGTTTCTACATCTTTGGAAACGCAAGAAAGCTGAGGGCGGCGAGCCTTTTATGGGAACAAGTTATCTCCATTATGAGGAACGAAACCCCAGAAGGGCGTTTGGGGGATCATCTGCCCCTGCGATGTATTAAGCACGGAAACCCGGTATTGATAAAAGGTCGGTTCCTTGCGCACCTTTTCATGGCTATGCTAACATATAACACACGAAGACCCGTCTCAGTGGACCAAAACCAATGGTGGATGTGAGCTTCCGTGCGATGAGACGTTGGACTGCAAACATAAGTGCACCTTACTCTGTCACAGGTGAGCGCTATTCTGAATCAAGATCCCAACCAAATCATATGATGTCGTCGAAGCTGATTTCGATCTCGCAGCTTTTCTCACAATATGGTGTCGTGTATGGAGACGTGCAATCGACAGATGCAGTGCGGGCATCGTTGCGAGGAACCTTGTGCCCGAATCCATGATTGTGCCTGTGACTGCCCGCAGAGTTCTGCCATTGTACCCATCCAGGACTACGCAGGTCCAGAGGACAGTTCCGGGTGGTCGTCAAACCATGCCCTCCAGCGGGCAGCGGTCGAGGGGTACCGGGTCTTTGCAAATGGTGGCGCCAAGGAACACGATGCGTTGCTATCAAGAATGGCACCACACCCGCTGCCTTCGTCAATGCCCTCCAAACCGCAAGCACTGGTCGGTGGCTGCGATGTTCTAGAAGACCCGAGAATCTTGGCTAGCCATGGCCGCCATGGTTGGATTCCAGACGGCAACGCGGCAGACATGGAAGCCCCACGGGTACAGCCAAACTTGCTTGATGATCATTAGTGGGTTAGTGTAAGGTCCTCCGTCTTGTGTTATTTTTCTCTTATCCTTGAGTACTACTAGTTTCCCCTGTCAATCATTACGACTAGGTTGCAGACTGGAGAGGGAACCGATGATATCGCGGAGACCAAGGGATGTTATTTCCGAACGTATTGTGTAGCTATTTCCCAATCGTATCTTCCTTGACTCACCGAGTCGTGATTTGTTCAAAGTTTGCGAAATTCCATTGTAGAGTGGGCAGGGACCAGCCAAAGTGACCCACCCGACCCTTTTCTTGCGTGAGTTTGGGACTTGGTGGATGGCATCTCATCCCGCCAATCACGAATCACTGTTCTTTGTGTGCCTTAAGAGGGCTGCCAGGGCATCACCGGAATATATACATTTAGTCGGTTTTATCTATCTGTCTTTCTCTTCCTACCTGTATCTACGTTACCCTTTGGTGTTGTCGATTGTCGAGCGGATGGCTGAGCCAGCCTGATCCGACTTACATTTCACCCGCCATCGCACCCACACACCGGACCTCCCTCCCACACACACACACACACACACCAACACACACCCATCCTCCTCCGCGAAACAACATGGAATTCTTCCGGACAGAAATCCTAGGCACGACGTTTGAATCCACCAACAGGTACCACTACCGACCCTCTTGAGGACACGCTTCGGAGCCTTCCAAAGACAGAAGACTTGAACACAGAACCATGGGTAACCTCCAGCCAGGTATGCGAACTTGCAGCCAGTTGGCCTGGGTGGCTTTGGTGTTGTCTGGTATTTCCCGCCCCATTCATTGTGTCAAGAGAGTGAAAGGAGGGTGGTGGTGGACTGATGGGCTCATCTTTAGTTCCGCCTACGACCTGATCTCCCAGCAGCCGGTTGCGATCAAGAAGATGGTGAAGCCGTTTGACAGCTCGGCTATTGCAAAACGGGCGTATCGAGAGGTCAAGCTTCTAAAACAGATGAGGCATGAGAATGTTCGTGACTCACCTTGATGAAGCGAGAGGAGGTTTGATGGATGGATGAATTCCGAAGTGCTAACCCTAGGCATTAGCTCATCGGCATCACCGACGTCTTCGTTTCGCCGTTAGACGACATGTATGGATGGATGATCACATAAAGGCCCCAGCAGCACGGTGCTAACCTTCGGATGCCTAGTTACCTGGTAACGGAACTTCTGGGCACCGATCTTGGTCGACTATTGCAAGCCAGACCCCTTGATGGCAAGTTCATACAGTACTTCATGTACCAGATCTTCGTACGGTTCTCCGTCACGTCGAGCGGAGTGGCAGGAAAAGTGGGAAACAGACGAAGAAAGGATTGCTTCTAACTAGTGAAAACAGCGCGGACTGAAATACCTCCATTCGGCGGGCGTCGTGCACCGTGACCTGAAACCCGGCAATCTTCTCATCAACGAGAACTGCGACCTGAAGATTTGCGACTTTGGCCTCGCCCGCATCGGTGAACCCCAGATGACCGGCTACGTTTCCACGCGATACTACCGAGCGCCGGAGATCATGTTGACGTGGCAGCAATACGGAATGCAGGTGGATGTCTGGAGCGCTGGGTGTATCTTTGCGGAGATGCTCCGCGGGGCGCCGTTGTTTCCAGGAAAAGATCATATCGACCAGTTTTATCTGATCACCGATGTCCTTGGAAATCCGCCCCCTGAGGTCATTGAGAGAATACCTAGTGGAAACGTGAGTGTGATAGACGCTTGATTCAGCGGCCTCAGTGTGGCTTACTTGGAAATACCTAGACCCGGCGACTCGTGACCATGATGGAACGTAAAGAGCCAAGATCATTGAAGGACTTGATTCCTGAGGCAGAGGACGATGGTAAGCAATACCTTGAGAGAAAGAGAGAGAAGCTAGCACTTGCGAAACAAAAGACCAGCAAGCGAATACTGATCGGTGTCTTATATCACAACAGCGATTGATCTCCTCAACAAGACCCTCACGATCGACCCGGATCGAAGAATCACTGCAGCAGACAGCTTGAACCACCCATACATGGCACCGTACCACGATCCAACCGACGAACCCACCGCACCCCAAAAGTTCGACTGGTCTTTCAACGATCAGGACCTTCCCAAAGACACCTGGAGGGTTATGATGTATGCACACTCGGCCGTCTCACCCTTCAATAACGGATCATGGATGCTAACTGAATCGCCCTAGCTACTCGGAAGTGCTGGACTTTCACAACACTGATCTCAACCAAGGACTGGTACTTCCAGAGGAACTGGAGAATAGTACTGCTGATTTCTTCACCTCGGAATTCCTCGACAATGGACTATGATTGGTTAAGCGCGGTGACGGCATTGTTCATCCACAAGTCGACAACTCCGTCGTGCGGGGAAAGATGGGGTTCGGCGAATGGCCTCTCTTGGGAGCCCTCGCGTTGACATCGCGGTACATGAACTTCTCACTCCCGCCAGGGAATCGGCACTATGGTGGGTATTTTGGGTATCTGGGCACAGTGTGCATGTTTCTGTCCTGTTCCTCTTGGTCCCTTGCCTACTATGTATTCCAAGACCTTGTCTCTTAATCCGTAGCGAAATTCAGATGGTTTTAACTTATCTACTCTAAGTACATATGTTTGACCTGCTACGGAGTATTACGTATCCTATAACATTCGGAGATTTTGGGGACTGCACCCACCGTGAACTCACGACCCAACCTGAGACCTTTATACCGTGCCATCCAAGCCCTCAACAACCCAAAGAATCAACTATACACCAAACAAGTTCTCAACCCAAGAACCCCCCCATTTACACTCATCCCACAAATTAAGTAAAACCCAACATCTCAACCGCCCTCCTCTCATAACTCACCACCACCAACCCCCCAACAGCCCATGCCATCCCCACCCCCGAGCCTCCCAAATAGTAGAAAAACACACCCTATCAACATGGCGGCTCTCCCTGTACTAAGACACCCACTGCACCGGCGAAACAACCTTCTACTCGGGCAACGGGACCCACTCCTGCGCATCTTCTATCCTCAACGGTGGTGCCCTGGCTTGCATCTCTGCTGTGAGGAGCGCCTCTAAATGCAAGGTGACGCTCTTTGGTGATGAGGGCTGCTCTCGTGCGGAGACGGTGGGTGTCGTCGTGGCTGGTGGGGAGGAGGAGGGAGGTAAGGAGTGGGTGGGGGGGGATGGGGAGTGTGAAGTGCCTGGTGCTTGGAGGGGGTGGGAGGGTGGTAAGGAGTTTTACGGTTGTTTGTTGAGTTTTACTTCTTCTTGTTTGTTGATTTACTTGATTCTTTTTCTTCCGGTGTCTAGCTAGCTTGGATTGAACTGAAGGGTGCTTGGTTCCTTCCAGGTGTGGTCTACTCTACTGGGTTCCTGGGGAACGGTAGTAATGCATGATGGAGGGGTATACCTATGCCAATGGATAAGAGGGTGGATTGTTGACATGCATGCTGTGGTAAGAATGATGATTGTTATGTCGTGCTATTATGCTATGCTATGCTATGCTATGCTATGCTATGCTATGATATCCCAGACGACGCCATCATTATTGATACATGGTTATCCTCATTCTGTACATGAGATATGAACTCCCCCTGTCCTATATCCTCTACTATACGCCCCTCTCCCTCTCTCCTTTGGTTAATTGGTACTCGTAAGTACCTTATTATGAGATAATTAGAATGATCATTATAGTATACGGAACTGTAGTTCATCATATTCTTATCGTTATTAAGAGAGAGAAACCAAAGTGATGATCATACATGTAGCACAGCTTGCTCATCAAGCAAGGGGTCAACACTATTAGATGACGCCCATGCGCAGTATATTGCATAAACTAGGGACGGGGCTCATGGTCATATTATCCCTACCACAGACTACCTTACGACTACCAACCTAGGTAGGCTACCCCCATTCATGGGTCTGTGAATCGCTAGTATATGCAACAGAGTACATGATTATTGCTTTTGATTCACACACCGAGTCAATGATATCAAGTATGTACACATCTATATACATAGTACATAACTATATACAGACTAAACAGACCCGCTATTATCCGCGCAGGAAAACACCTTGTCGATGCGTCCGCTGTTATAAGCGCCCAATATCTGCACGATCACCCCGTAGGTACCACCGACCATCATGAACAGGCCCAGGAGAACCTGCACCACATGTAATCCCCAGATGATAGTTTGGCGGACCCCCCAACCGCGGCGGTAGTTGCCGTGGCTCCACAGCCAGAGCCACCCGGGCAAGCTGATTGACAGCGGGGCGAAGCAGAGACTGCCGACGAGGGCGAGCACGTAGGTGAAGATGGGGATGGCGCAGGAGAGGACGAACGCTATCGCCGACATGCTGACCGTGCAGCCTAGCCATGTTCCCCAGTGGGTGGGCGTGTTCGCTTGCAGGTGTCGTGAGTTGCGCAGCATCCGCACGAAGAGGTACTTGGCGGCGACGTGGACGTATAGCGAGCCGCTGATGATTAGGCCTGGGAGTGCGATGCCGTAGGACACGCGCTTGAGTGTGTCGCCGGCGCTGCCGAGGGCTGGCGAGGCGATCCATTTTCCGCACCAGCGGTAGATGACGAGGCTGAAGGCGAGGTAGGAGGCGGCTACGAAACCCATGCTTGCGTAGACGGCTTTTGGGTAGTCTTTGGGTTTGCGCATCTCGGAGATTACGGGGATGAATGCGGAGGATGCTGAGCTGGATACGAAGATTGTTGCCGCTGCTGTGATGCCTGCTGCGAAGGTTGGACTCCCAATGGCGTGGAATCCTAGGTCGAAGTCTCCTGTTGGTGGTGCGGCCGCTGGACGGTCTAGGGTTGTGACTCCAATGCTAGGAATATCGTTAGTAGGTGGGATTTATTTACAGAGAGAAGGAGGGAAATCAAAAAAAAAAAAAAAAAAAAAAAGAGAGAGAGAGAGAGAGAAGGAAGAGAGAGACATACACAATGATGAATATAGCAACCAAAATACTGGCGAACCCGACCCATGTCAACCACCCGACGTGCGAAAACTTTCGCACGCTGGCAAATATGGCAATGGTGACGGTCGCAATGAGTGAGAAGTGCACCGTACACATCGAGTGCAAGGACAGGGCGTTGAAGGCAGCAGAGACCCCGATAATTCCGGACGCCGCCGTGATCACGTAGGAGATGATGAACATGAAGCCCACGATCTCTCGAAAGATCGGCCCCCCGGTCACCAGGGCCATATCGGCCACGGAGTGACACTGGGGGTGTGCATTGCGAAATTTTCCCAGTGTGAGGGCCCCATAGGCATTAATGGCACTCCAACCCACTAGATTGACCGCCCCTGGGAAAGCGCCTAGGTCGTACATGACGGAGGGGATGGACAAGATGCCGGTGGCGAATAGCACTACGGTGATGAGGGCTCAGGTTAGCCAGGACTCCCTTGGGGCGTCGAGCGGGACGCTGCTTACGCTTGGTGAAAATGGCAGACGCGCGAATCCAGCTCACGGTGCGAAAATCCACCTGTCCCTCCCCGATCTTGAAGATCTCGTAGTCATTTTCCCCGGCCTTGATGGGATCTGTATGCCCAACGGCGACATCTTCGCTGGCGCCGCTGGCCGGTGTGATTTTGAGATCTTTCTCGTGAGGGAAAGACATCGTGGATGGGTAATGCTTAGCCTGGGGTGTGAAAACCAGAGCAATTGACTTTCCTGGGGTGCATGCTGCCTATCTATTTTAAATCTCAGATCATGTGCTCCTGCAGCCAACAGCCGCTCAAGGATCGAATGATAAGGTTCAATGCATAGTAGGGTCGCTCCCTTGATAACAGACCTGGGTCTGAGAGTCCTCGCGATAGGTAAGTTGTGAGCAGGGTACAGATAACGGCGCGATGGACTAATTAGAATTAGAGCCTGGTCTCGCCCGTGTCATCCCAAGCGCAAAACAGTGGAGTGTGTCAAGCCATGGACTAGCTGCAGCCCAAAACCCAGAGATAGGATTAGATAGGAGTGGAGAAGCGGGTTCTGATTTGCGGCGAGTGTGGGGTCCCATCCCCCCATTTACTCCAATTTCCGCGATAAGAGCGTCTCTTGGCAGTTGGAGAATGGCCGTCGATCGTTTCCCTTCTGCGTCGTCCTGGCTGATAATGGCCGGGATTATTCATTATTCGGTACTTCGTACAGGGTTGTGCATCCCCCGTCCGGGGAAGGTGGTTTCTGAACCCTTTGTACATTCAATAGCTCCACCCCAACCGCGCCCCCGCGGGGAATCGAGATGCTGTGTTGTGGTTGGTGCTGTTTCTGATCCAATGCAGCGGTAGAGTATAAAGTCTGATCCATTGTGTCCGTTCCATTCTGTCACGCGGTTCAATTGATGATATATCCCCCATCCACGACGAGAGCGTGCCCTTGGACAAAAGAGGCAAAGGTAGAGCAAAGGAACAGTACGGTGTCAGCCACCTCTTCCGGCTTCCCCATTCTCCTCATCGGCGCGATCTCCACCGCGGGCTGTAGTCGTTCGCGGACCTCTTCTGTACACGTAGTCATGGGGGTCTCGATGACACCGGGGCAGACACAATTCACGCGGATCCCGTCTTGGGAGTAATCGATCGCATCGGAACGAGTCATGGCGATGATGGCGGCCTTGGAGCTGCAGTATGCCGCTACAAGCAGACAATAGTAGTAATGATTAGCCCAAGAATCACCCGAGAACAGTTCTCAAGGTAACCTACGCGCGCTGGGGCGTCCCACAATGCCCAACTGACTGGCGATGTTCACCACCGCCCCCCGTTGAGGCGATCGACCCGGGTCATGACTGGGTAAGGGATCCTGCCGGAGCATCTGTTTGATCTGCGCTCGCGAGGACATCCAACAGCCCCGATAATTGACCCCGTTGATGTGGTCAAACGTATCCGTGGTAGTTTCAGTGGAGCGCCGTCCCTCTCCGAGGATCCCAGCACAGTTCACTCCATAGTCCAGCCGCCCAAATTTCCTGACCACCTCAGACATGAACGACTCCACAAATAATTCATCGGCAATATCGCCCGCTGTCATGAGAATCTGGACCTCAGGGGAGGCAGCAAGGATGGATTTTCGGGTCTGTTCCAGCGAGGCATGGTTGAGATCCGTGATGGCGATGCTTTGGCACCCTGCGACGGCGAACGCTCTAGCCGTAGCAGCACCGATACCTGACACGACCGGTCAATCATTCTCACCAGAGACAACAACAGAAATGTGGTGTTCACTGTGATACTATACCTGTGCCGCCCGCACCCGTAATGACTGCCACTCCGGGGAAAGAATATTCTCGCGTCATGGTGTGTGTGGGGAGGGGAGAAAGGCGGAGAATGGTGGGCGATTGATGTCTGGAGTTCTCCCTAAGTGAAAATAAAGCGACCGAACGATGGTGGGGGAGTGGATGATTTATCTATCAGTTCAAACCCCCGGTGAAATGAGGGAGAGAGTGGGGAAGCCATAATATCCTTCCCGCTTGGGTCTAGTGGAGGTTGGAGTCGGTCTTGTCTTTTCCCACCTTTTCCTTTCTCACCATCAACTCACGAACTAATCCAGTTCGACTTTCGTAAACACACCTTTCTTTCTGGTCTCTTCTTCTCGTTCTCTCATTTCTTCGTTCTCTCTCTCTCTCTATCTCTTTCTTAATCCCCCTGATAGTGTCCACCTCCGTCTCCAAAAGTGTGGAGTGCTTCTCTTGGCTTGAACTATTGACCATCTTTATCCCCCATTAATTCCTCTTATCGCGACTAGTCCATCCTGATTCTCCCTCCAATGTCTTAATGTTGTCCCAATCGTCTCCCATCCCCAGAGGCAATCGTCGCCCGAGTGTTGGAGCCAAATCCCGTGTCTGCGTGCATTGCGGCCGGAGTTTTCGGAGAACAGAACACCTCGAGCGCCATGTTCGCACTCGTACGTGGTCTGATTTGGAATTGAAAGAAGACATTGATGGTCATCTGTCAATTCTTCTACCTGTTGTGTAGCGATGTTGATGACATCGATCATGCTAACGGGTCGCGTCCAGATACCAAGGAAAAGCCGTATGCATGTTTCTGCGGGGCGGCCTTCACGCGGCGGGACCTGCTGAAGAGACACACCCGCATTTCCCACCAAAACAATGGCCTTATCTCGCCCAACTCCCAGCCAGAACCGGATAGTCCCGAACATGCGGGTGGTCTCCGCGCGTCAGAAACATCGACGGTCCACCAGCAACAGTCGCAGCAACATCCACCACCGAAATCCCAAGCACAGTCCCAATACACCGTCCCCATAGCGTCCCGGTCGGATGTCCCCATCCCGGTGTCGACGACCACGGAACACTGGTCAGGTCCCCAGCATCGATCCTATCTGGCGCATGATCAGTCGATGTTGAGCACGGAGGGCGTGGGTGTCAGTACAGGCCTGGTTGGGCAGCCTCCCATCACCCACGACGCAGACATCCTACAGGCGGCCCAGCTTCTCCTACCCGGGAACTTTCGAGATGCACAGCCTCCAGGTACGATGAAAACAACCATCGTCCTCTCTCGACTTTGTCCGTTTCCCCTTCCGACTAACGTTTTTTTTTTTTTTTTTTTTTTTTTTTTTAGCCCAACCGCTACCGTACCTACCCGAGGAATTGAACCACTTTCAAGAGTTCACCCATTTCTTGGACTCCATCGGGTTGCCGTCCGAATGGGTGCCGACCATGGGGGATGTCCCCCAGGTCCATCATCCCGTCCCGGGAGAGGTCCCCGACTCCGGCATGAAAGTCAAAGAGCCCCATGTCGTTTCCCGTCGGGCACATGGAGAACGTGCACGCGCGGACTCCCCCTTTCGATCCTGGCTGCCATCAGTTCCTCCCGGAGACCAGAGCTTGGGAACCGTCTCGGATTATGGTATGGAACTTGAAACCGGCTTGTACCATTGATCGCTAATCGTAGACAAACCATCGCCGTGTAGAACCTTCTCAGACATCTACACAGTCCTCGCCGCTCAAGGTCAGCGAAGAGCAAAGGCTGGATCTGGCGTCGTCGTTGGAAGAATTCCGGCATCTGATCCCCGATTTTGTCCTGCCTTCCCGGCACACCCTGACCCGATACTTGACCTCCTTCTTTGACGGGTTTCACCCCCACCTGCCATTCATCCATGTTCCCACGCTGCGGATCCACGAGCGCCCGCCGGAGCTGATCTTGGCGCTCTGCACCCTTGGTGCTCAATATCGTTTCGAGCATCGTAATGCGGAAAGAATGTTCCATGTCACCAAAGCCATCATCCTGCATCGACTCTCCAAAGAAGCGCCGCAAGTAATCCCAGCGACGTGCAACACGGTGATCCAGATCCCTTTGGCTCATATCCGCGACCCTGACTCCCAGCATTCCTCGGCCCTCCCGCCGTCCGAAAACTATCTAGGAATGGTCGCATGGAGACAATTGGAAAACATCAGGACCCTTCTGGCCCTCATGGGATACGCCACCTGGGAAGGGGCCGAATTGGTCCAAGAAGCGTTTGCGCTGCAGGGCCTCCTCGTGCGCTGCCTGCGTGAGCTGGGCATGACCGAAAACATTACCGTAGCCCCGAGACATCGGCCTCTCCATTGGCACGAGTGGGCAGAGGAGGAATCCATCCGTCGCACTCGGTTCATCTCCTTCTGCTTTGTCCATGTCCACAGCATCGCTTACAACATCTACCCGGTTCTCCGAAGCAGCGAGGTTCACCTGCGCCTGCCATGCTCCACAAGGGAATGGAACGCCCCGACGGCCCACGATTGGGAGATGGCGGAGCGGGAGGTCGGTTCCCAGCAATTGTTTTTCCAGGATGCATTGGCGCTTCTCTTGCAACCCTCTCGGTCTCCCATGTTGCTGGATCCAATTCCAGCGCCTTTGGGGAATTACATTCTTCTCCACGGTTTGTTACAACGCATCCACCTGGTGAGCGAGCTCTCCATCCCGCATGGGACCGAATCTCTCGCGCTCCCAACTGAGGAGCTCAACAAACTCGAGTAAGAAGGACCCACTACAGAGGTTTGACAAGACGCTAATCGTCTGACATAGGAGAGCGCTCCGCTCGTGGACGTCTGTTTGGCAGCAGGCACCTGAGTCCAGTCTTGACCCTCACAACGAGAATGGCCCTCTCCCTTTCACGTCCAGTGCCCTCTTAGGCCTGGCTTACGTACGCCTGTCCCTTAATTTGGGCCCGTTCCGCCAACTCAAAACCCGCGATCCGTATCGCATCGCCTCCGCGCTGCACAGTTCTCCTCGTCCCGAAAGAAGCTATCGATTGACCCCAGCCCTCATCTATTCGGCCCACGCGTTGAGCATCCCGGTCAGACTCGGGATCGATCACGTCGCCCGCAGCCAAGCCTTCTTCTGGAGCGTTCGACATTCCATTGCCAGTCTCGAATGCGCGGTGCTCCTCAGTAAATGGCTGTTTTCTCTGGCAGAGACGGATGAGGATCATAACCTGAGCGAGAATGAGAGTCGAATCTTGCACTGGACCCGGTGTATCGTCCAAGAAGCCTACGACTCAATGGATTTGGAAGAAGGGGAGGTCATCCCCAGTATGGACCCTGGTGGCCTTGGGGTTGCCGTGATAAAGCTGTGGGCCCGTCTCTTTCGGAAAAACACGCAGTGGCCGTTTATCAATGTCCTCGGCGACAGCCTGGAGAAATACTTATGCTTACTCCGCCCGGGCTGAGAAACATCAGTTGTCAAATTGCAGTCAATCAACCAAACATCAATCCCCTTGCGGACCGGACGGTTCAGTCACATGGGCCGGCGAAACGATTGCCTTAATGAAGCAGCATCGAGGCCGATTCCTGTCTCGCTGCCCACATACCATACCATGGTCTTCCCCGCTGCGGCAGAATGTCACGGACAGACCATGAGAGCTTTCTCCGCACACCCTCCCCGCCTCGTACAAAGTTGGTAGGACATGAGAGGGACATAACACGCTCGCCACCCAGACTCCAGCGAGCGTCAAATTGGCCATACCGGGGAATATCGTCAGGAACGGCCGGGATCGTAGCAGGATCCACTGTCCATGCTGCATCAAGGGGCGGCCGACTCTTATCCGACGGTATGGAGGTACATTCAGGAGGCACTCGATCATTGCGTTTCGTTTCCACATGGGTATTTATCAGATCGCCTGCTTATTCCGGCCCGGATCAGCAGAAAGATGGCAACAGCGGCTCGAGAGTGATTTCCTAGCGTTACAAAACTACAGGTCCAAAAGCTCCTCAAAATTTCAATCAAGAATCAATTCTACCAACAAAATATCACAACTCAAGAATATCGAAATGTACAATTCCAACGTCTTATATATTATTCAGTTCATGAATCCCCCCCGATTCCGTCACATTACACTACATAACATCCCGAATTCCGGGGATGATCAATGACATTACATTAGGAGTGGTCCATTTTCCGGGCCACGAAATTGAGGCACCTCGGTCAGAGCACCTGACAGATGCCTGTCTCGATGCATTGGTGGCGCGAACAAGTCCACGGCATCTTAGGAGCTGGGGCTTGCCGAAGCCGAAGGCGAACCGGAAGGTGAGGCCGACGACCCCGCGCCCGCGCCCGCGCCCGCAGAAGGCGACGGCGTGGCCGACGAAGAAGGCACAATGCCGGCCGACGAGGGACCGGCGAAGGAACCGATGAGAGGTCCGACGGTGAAGTTGCCGCACGGCGACGTGGGAGCAGTGACACAGCTGTGGAGGTACTGGCCAAGCTTGCCCGGCTGGCTACCCGACTGTAGGACGTAGTCGGGCGTGTAGGCGGGAATCAGAGTGGTGCTGTTGGCCTGGAAGACAGTGGCGTTCTGGTTGGTCGCGATGTAATAGGCGTGGCTGGTGTGCTCGGCGGCCAGACGGGCGAGAAGGAAAGAGACCTCGGGGGACTGGGTGTAGGCCGAGAGACCGATGAAGGCACCAGACACACTGCTCTCCAATTGCATAGCGCTCTTCACCCAGGACTCGCCGTCCTTGGCCGTGGGGAAGGTGAAGTTGCACTTGGGGGCCTCAAACTCGGGAATCTTGGCCCCGACTTGCCTTGTGGCGTGGAGGCCCAGGCGGCTCTGGCGCTGGATGCCTTGGAAGTTGGCCAAATAGTTGGCGTGCGAGCTGTTATCGGCACTCTGCAGGAAAGTCTGGTTGAGCGGCTGCTGGGAGTAGAATCGCTCCAGGAGGTACTCGAGAGCCCAACTGAACTTGACGACCTGGGTGTCGCTCGGCTTCGGCGCGCAGCTATCGGACCCTTGGGCGACAGCGGCGCCCATAAGCAGGGCACTGCTCAGGAAAGAGAAGATGCGCATCCTTAAGGTATGAAAAGGGAACTATCGTCTTCTTTTTTGGTAAATTTGGTTGACCAAGGTCTCACTGTTCGGATAGGGTCTGAAGAAGCAGAGGCTCGGAGTATATCGAAATTCAAAATGAACTTACACCAGAGCCCCCGACCAGCCAGAATGCCCTCTTATAGCTTTCTACGGCATCAAGCGGCTTTGACTTCGCGCCCAGTTTCAAAAAGAACGGATGCAACCATATGATGAAAACCACTATTTTTGGATGAGTACAAAAACACCCAGAGCAGAGGGACACGCCCAAAGCTTATCGGCATCTTTTGCATCACCACATCCACGACAAACCTTATTCAAGCTGCGTTCCGGCCGGCCCACAACCCGCTTGCCATTGGAACAATGAACTTTCTTTTTACTCAGCGACTAAAAAGTGCGAGTCGACCAGTCACCCGGGGCTGTGTCCTTGCCCATTGATAGCGACTTGCCGAACTGGTCCGGAGTCATTGAGCGCTACCCGTGATATCATGGGCCTAAGTTTGATCCACGGGGAGAAGTTTCCGCGAGTGACCGACCGCGCCGGACAAGCAACTGGACCAATGAAGCCTCTCTCCTGTTCCACAAGTCCTCATCATCGAGCTCTTTCATAGCTCGATTCGTGATGGTCATTGTCGTGTCGTCCTCCTCCTCCTTCCTTCCCCACTAGGTAACTTGGTCTCGGGGAAAAGACACCCAACGCAACCCCATCCACTATCCCGAATCAACAAGTACATACTCGATCGACTACCCGAACTTGATGCTGTCATCTATTTCATTCCGCGGGGTCCTCGGCCGGATTTAGTATGTGGAGCCATTTCAAGCCCAATAGGGCTGGTCAATGATGCCAAGAGCACCAGCTGACTCAGTACTATATCTACAATCATGGATTCATTCATTCATTCATCTCGTCTGGTCATTCATCATTGTAGTATATTTTATTTCTATTTTATTATGGAGTACTGACTAATAGCATACACAAAGATTTAAGTTTAAACTCTCAGGGTAAGTAAGAGTTGACTCGACCTGATTAGATCATAGGCACGGACAGACCGGTTCCTCGCTGTGGGAGGCATTTTCCGCTGGACTCTCCTCCCCCTTCCCCTCGCCCTTGCCCTTGCCCTTCTTGTTAGGAACCGTCGTTCTCCTGATGACTTGAGAGTGTGCTCGTCAGATCTAGATTCTTGATACTCATGACATAACATAACATATAGTATATAGATAGTGCTTGTTCGCATTGCGGTATACAATGACAGGCCTCGTCTTCATGTTGGTAGACTGCCTTTATCGTTCTTGAAATGGTTCAACACTACATATATACTAGATACTAGATAGATGTCCTGTAAAAAGGCAGGGGAGTCATCTTGAGAATAAAAGAAAGAAATATAGAGAAGCCTTTCAAGACGCCGCCTTGCAGATAATAGATATATATAGATAGATAGTAGAAACACGATTGCCTCCCAATATATAATGAGAACGATGATGATGATAAAAGGAACACTTTGCTTTTGAGTCTTTGCGTCTTGTTTTAGGACACGGGCACGTATAGGGAGACAAGACGGGGAGAGAGAGAGAGAGAGAGAGAGAGAGAGAGAGAGAGAGAGAGAGAGAGAGAGAGAGAGAGAGAGAGATAAGAAAGAACGAAAGAAAGCACAGGGAAATACAGAGTACAATACATATACAACAACTCCAAATGCATTTGTGAACAAAATTCTGTATGTCTGTCTGTCTGTCTGACTATGAATCGTCCACCAGACGTTTGTTTTCCCAGGCCTTCCTGGATCCATCCACGAGGGCATCCATGTTGCCGCTGTTAGCGCACATGCTGCGGAAGAGGCCGTCCGATTTGTTGATCAGGTTCCAGGGGTGGTCGTATTCGATGACGCGGCCGTGGTCGAGGACCAGGACCTTGTCGTAGTCGATGATGGTCTGCAGGCGGTGGGCGATGGTGATGATCGTGCTGTCGCGGAGCTCGCGGAGGGTTTCCTGGATGCGGGCGTCCGTCGAGTAGTCGATGGAGGCGGTGGCTTCGTCCATCATTAGGACCTTAGGGTTCTTGAGGAGAGCCCGCGCGAGACAGAGGAGCTGGCGCTGGCCTTGCGATAGGTTGGACCCGGACTCCGAAACGGTCGTCTCGAGGTTAAGGAAGATGTTCTTGTTGTCGACCACGACTGCGGGGCCGCTGGGCCCGTCTTCGTTGGGCGTGGCTGCTGCCACAGGGGTCGCGGATCCAGAGGTGCCGGGTCCGATTAGGTGGACTTTGCGGAGCGCGGTGTAGATCTCCTCGTCCGTGAAGGTTCCGAACGGGTCGAGGTTGCTTCGGATGGTCCCGGTGAACAACGTGGGATCCTGCGGCACGATAGTGATCGCTTCACGCAAGTCCCTCAGGCCAATAGCGCTGGTGTCCACACCGTCGATGACGATGCGGCCCTTTTCGGCCTCGAGGCCGCGGAATAAGGCCAGCGCAAGGGAACTCTTGCCGGCGCCTGTGCGCCCAACGATGCCAACTTTCTCGCCGGGTTGCACGGCGAAAGAAACGTTGCGAAGGACTGGCTCCAAATCGGCACGGTAACGAGTTGTGTAGTTGATGAAATCAACCGCTCCGTCGGCAGGCCAGTCGGCGGGCGGTCGGGAGTCGGGGACCACCGGCGGGGCCTCTTGCTCCACATCCAGGTACTCTTTCACACGTTCAACAGAGTTCATGTTCTGCTGGACCTCGGAATATAACCGGACCAGCCAGAGCACATTTTCGGTGAAGGTTACAGCGTATGTCAGGGACAGACCTGCAGCACCCGCATCGATTTTGCCGATGTTCGTGAGAACGAAAACGGCCGTGAAGAAGGAAACCAAAGCTCCTGTAACATCGACGCGGAGCGCAAGCCAACGGTTGCTCGCCCAGAGATAGATATGAGGCCGGTTGTAGGCATTGATACGGCGATGGTTGTCGACGATGAATCTTGGTCCATCCCCATACGCGCGGATTGTCACGATACCGTTCAGGGTTTCGCCGAACTGTTGATACAAGGGACTTCGCTGCACGGACTCTAATCGCTTGAGATCCCGAGAGGAGTTGAGGTACACGGCTCCCAGGGCGACATAAACCATAGTTATGAAGATGCCGGCGATTAGGAACCCGGGTGTAATGACTGAAATCAACACCACAATCATGATGACAGATGCTAGGCAGTGAATCATGCCAATTGCCACGGGTGCAACGTCTTGGTCGACAGACTCGATGTCTTTGGAGAACCTATTCATCAATTGGCCGAGAGGAGTAGAGTCGAAAAACTTGAACTTGGCATGCATCACCGCCCGCAAGAGGCGACTGTGGATGATCTTGGAGGCCTGGAGAGAGCCCCAGAAGAGGACACCCTCTCTTACCATCGAGACCACAACGTACAGAATCCCGAGGAGCGCGTAGATTCCAAGATAGTACGTAACGTTGACATCGCCCGAGCCATCGGGTGATTGCTGGCTATTGAGGTGAAGAGAAGTCGTGGACGTCCGTGGGACACTACCCGCGTTGAATGACGGATACTTGAGATCTGCCATTGCCGCATAGTTGCCTGTGTCATCTGAGCTCACTTGCTCGGTTTGATACGAATTTGCCCACTGCTTGATCCAAATGTTTGTCGATACCGACCCGATTTGTTGCAAGGAAAAGATAAATATGGCAGACACCCAATAAGTCCATGAGCCCATCGAACGAAGATACATAGCGACGGTTGACCATTTGATACTGCCCGTGGCTTTCGATTCTGTCAGTCCATTGGGGCCGTCCTTTTTATCCTTTTTATCCTTCCCAGCCGATCCATTAGCCTCATCCCCGTTCGCGTGTGGTGTCTCGTGTTCAGTCTCGTCGACTTCAGAGGGTGCACGAGAGGCAAGCGGGGAGCTGGCTCTAGACGTGGGCCGCGATTTCAAAAGCTCCTCGCCTAGAGCTCCTGAAGCTGCCACATCATCGGGACGGCCTTGGGCGGCAATTTTCCCGTTCTCGAGAACGACGACATGGTCGGCCTGAGGAACCGTGAGAGCGATATTGTGAGTGACAAGGATACATGTGCGACTGATCATCAAGGGCCCGGTAAGAGCCTGGCGAAAGATGTGCTTTGCTGTGTGGGAGTCCACGGCACTGAGGCAGTCATCCAGTAGAAGATGTCGCGCCCTGCTATAGACGGCACGAGCGAGGGAAATACGCTGCTTCTGCCCGCCCGAAAGACTGATTCCCTTTTCTCCCACCAGGGTCTGGTCACCCGCATCCAGAATTTCCAGATCGCGTTCCAAAGCGCACGCCTTCAAAACAGCGTCGTAGCGGCGCTGGTCATATGGGGATGCAAATACAATATTTTCTTTAACGGTGGCATTGACAAGCCATGCCTCTTGTGCACAGTATGCGATACTGTCTATCAGACCCGTCTGAGGGTCCACTGGCAGTTCCGCTCTCGTGGCTGTGCCGCTGGGCAGGTAGACTTTTCCTTTTAGAAGTTTCATTTCGCCAAGAAGCGCCATTAGGAGAGACGTTTTCCCGGAGCCTGTAGGCCCAGTAATGACATTGAGCTTGCCAATAGGGAATGATACATTCATGTTGATCAAGCGGAAAGTGTCGGCGTCCGCGGAAGGATCATCCCGGTACTGCTGGGCTGAGCCTCCCCAGCTAAGAGTGGCATTATCCAGGGCGATCTTGGGAGGCTGCTCGGGCTCATCGCTATTATCCAGCTGACGGTACTTTTCGGTCTCTTCTTCATTTAGATAAGTATCCACTCGATCCAACGAGACCTTGGACTCTTGCACATGCGCCACCATGTCGGCCAACTGATCCAAAGGCAGGCGGAGCAACGAGAACATGGACAGGGCAGGGAACGCGATCGACGGAACGAGCTTCTTTTTCTCGACCACCGTGTAGAGGAAGAATGATGCGAACGTTATAAGAATAGGCGTCCCGTACCAGACCGTGGCAGCGGTGGACCAAATGATGTAGCGGAAACGCAAGGCCTTCAACTCAGCCTTCCGTTTCTCGCTAACTATATCTTCAAAGCGCTGCTCCCAGGCAAAATATTTGATGATCCGGATGTTCTGAAGAATTTCATTGGTGGAATGGATGCGAGCGTCAGTACCTGCCAGGATCCTGTTTTGAACCTTGGTGAACTGTTTGGCGATGGTAAGGTTCACGGGCAACATCAGGACCATCAAAACAATACCAGCGAAGGAGCTGTACCCGAGAAGTCGATATAGAAGCGTGACAGCAATGATAACCTGCACGGGAACACTCGCCCAGAGAAAGTGGAGGTAGGCGCCCACCTCGCTAACCTTGAAGGAGTCAATAGCCATCAAATTGATGATCTTTCCGACGTTCGCTGTCTGTGCTTCCTCAGCTGGTTCGGATGATGCCGTGGTGGGTTCGTTCTCGGGGTCGGTAGATGCCTTCTTCTTCTTACGGCCGCAGCATAAGATGCTTCTCTTCTTGTTGTCCTTGACCGGCTCTGCGTCCTTCTTCTGAGACGGTTCGACAGATGGACCGGCTTTCCGTCGCAGTGCTTTGGCATAGATCTCGCCGATGATGATCGCGCGAAGTTTGACGCCTAACTTGCGTCCGATCCACAGAGCTTGGCCATCGGCAATGCCCTGAATCGCCCCGGAGCAGAACAACAAGATCGCATACAACCAGGCCGCATTCGGTGTGCCTGACTTTGGATCTTGGACGTATTCGAGGATCGCCTTGAGGAGAAGGGTGGGAAGGTAAGTGAACATGTTCGAGAACATTGTCCACGCCCCTTGCAATAAAATAGTCCCATAGAAATGACGTAGAAGCTTCCATACCAACGACCCTTTATATTGCTTGCGACGGAAATCCTCGAGGACGAGGGCAGCCTTCTGCGACGTAGTCAGATTCCAAACATCGTCGAGCTCCAATGGCTGCCTATAGCCCTTCATGATCAGGCCATCCAGCCAGGCAAAAGAGGCCAGGGAAAGCAAGCTGGCTGTCGGATGTCGCGGCGGCTCCAAACCATCCTCGTGAGGTACAAGAACGGACTTGTTGCCCCTGCGCGTCGTCAGGGCGATGAGAAGGAGGACGCTGCTCAGGGAGAATTCGACGGCGCTAAAGATCATGGCACGCTTTGACGCCGGGTGAATGACGGAAGAACGGAATACCAAGATCGTGAAAAGCCATTGCAAGCCGTACAGCGTGGCTGTATGATTCCATAATCTAAGCAGCAGGTGAACATCTAAAGTGGAGAGAAGCAGCCGTACCAATGCCAGGAACAAGATATAACCCCAAGAAACCAGCCTGGCAACGGCCGCAAGTTTACCACTCTGACCCCAGCTATCGGTTACGAGGATGGCAATGAAGATGGCGACCTGTCCCACCAGGGCGGCGATCTCCAAAGACACCAGTGTGACTTCACCACGGGGACGATCCAGTTCCAATTGCGTCACCTCCGCCTGCGCGGCTTTTGACAACATCGGATCCGTCTCGACCCCTTCGTCTTCTTCGCCTACCCCATTGCAGTGGACATCTTCCGAGTCATTGTCCAGAAGGACTTTGTAAGAAGCACGCTTTCGAGACACAAAGTACCGATATGAAATTTGGAGCGCGATGGATAGTAACGATAAGGCGCATGCCGCTAGCGGCAGGGCAATCTGTAGATAGCTGCGAATTCACAGCGGTTAGCTACCACCGTCTAAAAGCCATCCATAGAAAGAAGAAACTGTAGAATATAGATGCATACTTGCGCTGGAAACAACTAGAAAGGTCATCAATTGCCCAGATGGGGCCATGACATTCCAGTGTCATTTCTGACAAACAAGGATTGAAGTCGCCTATAGATAGAACTCGCAAAAGACCATGCGTCCAGTATCCAACAGGCGAGGACGTGATACAGCTATGACAGGTGACCTGGGCGAAAGAAGCAATCCTTTACTTCTTCGAAGCCAGTTATATTACTGAATGCTTTGGAGCAAGGCGCAGGACAAGCCCGGCATGACAACGGCAAAAAGACAAAGTTCTAAAAGTAAAATACAGCAAAATATAAGATGCAGTGGAAAAAATTATGGAAAATTGAGTGGAATCATGTCCTCATATGGACGACAGGAAGGATGAGAGGGTGGTTAAGAAAAGAGGAAGAAAGATTGACGTCCAGTGACGAAGCAGACAGAAAGTTGGAAGGCGGAAAGGTTGAAGAGAGAGAGAGAGAAAAAGTGGAGACGGGATGGCGGGAGTCCGAAAGAAGTGCCCGCCCGCCGCCGCGGATCCAGACCCAAGCACCTAGCTTATCTCTGGGATACTACAACATCACAATGTACGAGACCGTGGCTGATGGCTGTGATCATGAATATATTGATTTGAATGGCACTAATGCGGGAATAGAGATGCTGAACGACGAGATTGGGCAGGTTAATTCGTGTCCAATGTCAACCAGAATCTTACTAAATGAAGGATCCTGCTATTCAAACAATCGAGTCAAAGGGAGCGCAGGAATGAAGCGACTAGTTGATATCAAGGGCTACTATATGACTACTTATTGGAAGAAATGACTCAAGGATCAGAAGTGGAATTACGAGAATGCATCTTCACATTGATCGATCTCTGTACATTCCTCCGCCTGGCACACCAACCGAAAACGGCCTCCGATGGGTCCAAAAATCCAGCAGGGATCTGGAGCGCGCGAATCAATCATGGCGCGCGCGGGGAAACACCGTCCTCGATGCAAGACATGCTGGGCCAGTCCGTGCTTAATGCAGGACGCCCTTCAGTCACACCGACCGGTTGTTGACTTCTTCCTCGACAGGGGCAACCGATCTCTGCATTTAGCCCTGGTCCATGTGCGGTGAACCTCGTGGTGAGTCAGAAAGAGAGATGATCAGTTGATGATCCATTGGAGCAACACTTTTCCTTTTGTGTCCTAGCATGTCTTGATTGTATACTCCGTACTCGCAATGAACTCCACAAATGACTGATACGAGATAGCAGAGAGGAACCCCGCCTGACAAAGTTTTCAGAGAAGGATGTAACCTCTCCAAGAGATTGTCTCGGAATTAATGAATAGCCTACCAGTCTGACTCGAATGGCCGTGTCCATCTCCACCGGATGAGAGAGTAGTATGAAAAAGGTATAAAGCGCATAATGGTAGCCGCTAAGACCATGACGGATCTAGCAAGCACTGTCAAAATTCCTTGGGAGACAAGCCAAGGAGGAAACTAAGTGATGATAGCGAGAGATATGTCCACAGGCGGGTCCACTTGGCTGGGCTTGTTTAAGGCGTCCTTTGCCTCCCCACCGTTTGCCGCTGTCCCAAGCGATGTTATCAAAGAACCAAGGTCCTCGTATAGGTAATAGTACTCACTACTTTGGTACGTACTCCGTAGTGCTCTATATTCCATACTCGATTGCAGGTGTCTCTCATACTAATAATATATATCTCATATTAATGATTGATAACCGACATCCGGCATCCTGTGGCTGATGAGAAGGCTGTTAACGGTGTTAACTGTCAGCGGAACAACAACATCTCACGCCCTTCTACATATCAAACATAAATAAATGAAATTAATACCAATATCATATCAAACCAACAAGAACCCCAGAGAACTAAAATGAAGACCATGATTAGTGATTTGCAGAAAAATCCTCTGTTCCTGTGAACGCCACACGCCCCCGAGTGTTCCGCGTTGGAGACCGATAAGTAAGGTGGATACCGGATGGCCTGAGAAAAAGGGCGGCAATCAAAGGTCTCCAGGTGATCTTCCTTTCCCCTCTCTCGGTCAGTCAGTCACTTGCTCCTACAACTCACAGGGGATTCTTTTCACTCACCGTTTCAGCCTTGCCAGCAGTTTTCTTTTGTCTGCTAGTGCATTTTCTTATTACTTCTTTGTACTCGCCTACTATCCCCTACGATCCCTTCCGTCCTCGACTATCTTGCCGCCCATATCCCCATCTCGAACGGCACGAACCCTCGCCCCCGCAGTCCACCATGACGGAGCGTATTCTCATGAACGAATACAAGACCCTGGCCAAAGAGCCATGGGTGAACATCGAGGTACGTTTCTTTGCCTTCTCCTTGGGTGGATTTTTACATTGGTCGAGTCGAATATGGTTTTAAACAAAGGGGAAAAAACAGTCTAACACGCCACCGCTGCATATCTAGCTCAACGAGGAAGACATTTTCCAGTGGACGATCGGGCTCATCGTCCTGAACCCAGATTCTCTCTACTACGGGGGCTACTTCAAGGCGTCCATGAAGTTCCCCAAGAACTACCCATACTCTCCTCCCGGTACGATCTTCCCCCCGTCCTTTCTATCTAGTGTCCACGCTGTACTGACCGCTCGTTTTCCTCGCGTTAGAATTCCGCTTCCTCCGCCCCCTCTGGCACCCAAATATCTACTCCGACGGCAAACTGTGCATCTCCATTCTCCACGCCCCAGGGGATGACGAGATGTCAGGGGAACTCGCCTCAGAGAGATGGTCCCCCGCCCAGCGCGTCGAATCCGTCCTCATCTCAATCCTATCCCTCCTAGACGACGCAGAGGTGTCATCCCCAGCGAACGTCGACGCAGGCGTCATGCTGCGCAAAGAACCAGACCAGTACAAGGCGATTGTGCGGAGCAATGTGGAGGACTCGAAAAAGGACATCCCAGCGGGATTCGTCATGCCCACTCACGAGACGACCGCGAAGCCCGTGAAGCCGGTCGAGAAGGATGATTCGGATTTTTGGGCGGAGAGTGACGCCGACGACGATGTGTTTGGGGGGAGCGACTCGGATGAGGATCTCGATGTGGATGACCAGGATAGCGGTAGTGACTTTGAGGATGAGGAGGAGCGGCAGCGGGCGTGACACCCTTTTTTCTCCTTTTTTTTTTGGCTGGGGTACAGCACTATCTTGGATTTTGGGCATAGCGCAGGCGCACTGGGGGAACTTAGCCAGAAGCATGATCATCTGTATATTCTTTTTCTTTCTTTCTTTATCAACCTCGCCACTGTATCCAGCATCATTATCTGTCATATGCTATGCATAGTTCTTTCAGCACGTTAGAATGGTATCTAGGGACAGTGATTCTGAGTTGGATATGGTCTGGTTACATCAAGAATGACTATCATCACATTAGACTATCACTTACTGGGCAGAAAAACACTTCAGATATATATCCATATGATAGGCACTCCCTTGTCACCTGCAGTGACTCAACATCCCCAATAAGTGTGATAGGTAGAAGGGTAGGTGGTATACATAACATCCCATCAAAATAGCACAGCGCCCAAGCAAAGCAACCAAGGACGACTCTAGTCTCCCTCTCTCTATATAACCAAAAATAAGTTAAAAGCAACATACAACACAAACAAGCCTTGAAAGTTAAGACCGTAATCGAGGTTGTTCACATAACATCACTCTAATAAATAATGATAATAATAATAACAAAATAAACTCTTTCCAACCTAGGTACGAGTAACTCTATCTTGCGCCACCACTTGCCTCCTCCTATTATTCAGACTGTCCTATGCTTCAAAGAACTGGACATAGAAATTCTTTCCGTAAGGAAATAACCATCATGATTGTTACAAAATTCAACTAGTATATGAATCAATCAAAAGTGTTGTAGATCTCTCTAGAGGTATAATCATAGTAAAAGACCCAAAATATTTCATCTCATGATGTATGTATATAGTACATGACTGTCACCCAACCAGTCAATTGTCACGAACAGCTAATGTTTACAACCCCATCCCAACCAAGCCAAGCTTGTGAAACATACCCATCAATCAACCAACGTATAAAGATCATGTGTTGTTCCTCTTTTTCACAAGGCCCAGCCTACCTCTCGGCTGTAACATGAGACAATGTGAAGAATTATGTCGTCATCTACCTGCATTGCCTGCCTAGTTTAACCTCGAGACCAGGCTGGGTACCTGCCTACCTATACACATGCCTACCTACCTAGGCATAGACATTCCTTTCACGTGGAGCTAATTCTTGGTCATCGGATGTGGTCAGGTCCAGGTGACTCCTACGTGCTTATCCGGGTGGGGATGTGGCTGTGCAACCATGTTGTTGAGACTAGAGTAGGTGACTAGGTACCAGGTAGGTACGGAGATCCATTCCAATCGGGGCAAGATCCGGCTGACACCTCGGAATCGGGCAGATTCGTCATCCAGTGGGGAAAAACGAAAGAGAAAATCACTCGTATTGTCCAAGTCGGCAGGCAGTCTGGGTTTATAGCGCGATAGCAAGCTCTAGATCGGGTCTCAAACATTGGTTCTGAGCATGTATACTATGGTAAAAATGAAAAAAGAGGCGAGCAAACCAAAACCAAACATGAACGCAAAAACAGTGACGCATCATAGAGTCGGTGCAGTCAATGCACCGCCATCCCTACAAGCCCAGACGCAGTCGAACGGCGTTGAGAGGTAGTAGGTATGCGAATCCCTTTCCCTTGCAATAAATGAAGAAAAACGAAAGAAAAAGCAATCGCCAACAATCAATTCCACATCTATGCAACCACGGCATCCTGGATCTCGCTGTAGATGGCGCCGAGCTCCTGGGTGAGGAGCTTCTCGGCCTTCTCAACAAGACCATCGAAGCGGTCCTGAATGGAGGAAACCTTGTGGCCACCCTTCGAAACGATGTCGCTGTAGTTGTCGGAACCACCGCCGTTCCAGGCGAGGAGCTGTGAAGGAGTAAGCGTTTTATTCAACCGCACAGATGAATGGGAGGCATGACTTACGTTGGGGGTGTCCTCGGGGATGTCCGTGAGGGCACCTTCGGTGGCAATGGAGATCATGTCCTTCTTCAGCTTCTCCGGGGTGAGCTCTGCAACGGCAAAGGCGGAGTCCTTGGAAGGCTGAAGAGAGACAAAGTAGGCCAGCAGACCGGCAATGTGGGGGGAAGCCATCGAGGTACCGGAGATGGTGTTAACGGCGTGCTTGCTGCCGATCCAGGTGGACAGGATGTTCAGACCGGGGGCGAAGATGTCGGTGCACTTGCCATAGTTGGAGAAGTACGCCCGCTCATCTTGGAGAGTGGAGGCACCGACCGTCACGGCGTTCTCAGCGGAGGCCGGGGAGTAGTTGCAAGCGTCGGCGTTGTCGTTGCCGGCAGCGACGGCAAAGTGCATGCCAGCGTCGACAGCAGCATTGACAGCCGCGTCGAGCGCCTGCGACTTACCGCCACCAAGACTCATGTTGGCAACGCTGCCCTTGAAACCCTTGGCCTTGCCCTTCTTCGCCTCCTCAACCCGCTTCAGGTGAGCGTTGGCCGCCCACTCGACGCCCTGCACCACATCGGACATGGTACCCGAGCCACTGGAGCGCAGAACCTTGACGGCGAAGATGTTGGCCTTCTTAGCGACGCCATACTTCTTACCCGCGATGGTTCCAGAGCAGTGGGTGCCGTGTCCATTTCCATCCTCGTCCTCGTCACCCGTGGGGATGGTCTTGCCCCAGGTGGCACGGCCGCCAAAGTCGGCATGGTCGACGTTGATACCAGTGTCGATGGTGTAGGCATCAACACCCTCACCGCCTTCCTCGGCATACAGGTACTTGTTGAAGGAGCCGAAGCTCAGGCTATCACGGTGGGAGATACGAGCCAGACCCCAGGGGGCACCATTTTCGACATCCAGGGTGTGGACTTCGGAATCTTTCTCAATGTAATCGACCTGGAATGTTGAGTCAGCCACGAGGAACGCCACGGGTAGGGGACACGATGTCCCGGAAGCAAGGGAGGGAGCTTTACATCAGGATGTCTCCGGACTTGTTCGATCACGTCGGCATGGAAGTGTCCAGTGTAACCCATCAACGACCCAGCAATATCAAAGGTACTCTTCAAACCGGAGAAGAGGTCATCATCGAGACCGAAGAGCGACCTCTTCTTCAGCTCCAAGCGAGAGGTCTGCGAGTCGTGGATGTCCTGCACCCAGCTCTGGTGAGCAGAAGCCGACATCGAGTCAACATGCTTCTTGAACACGACGATGTAGGAGTCAGGGACCTCCTTCGCGTTGATGGAAGACAAGACGGGAGCAGCATCATTGTGAATGGAGCCAACAACCACGGGGGTTGCCGCCGTCAGCAACGGAAGAAGGGAAAGGCCTAGGAAGGCTTTCATGATAGGCGACCAGGTAGGAGATCGCAGGGAGTTGTTATGGATGGGAGGAAAGGAGATGGCAGGAAAGACAGCTAGAGATGGAAGAGTTTGAAAAGTGAGATGGGGAAGGATGAAATAAGAATGGAAAAGAGGATGGAGGATGGAAGGATAAAGGATGGAGAAGAGGAAGAAGAAGAGGAGGAGGCGAGTTGAGGTAGGCAGGTAGGGTGTAGGCTATCCCCAGCGGTAAGGCAAGGGTCAGGGCAGAAGGCGGAGATGAATGATGCAACCGGATTACGGTATTTTACACGAGTCGGGCGGATGACACAGCTTTCTATCCATCCGGTTGTCGATCTTTCCAGATTAGCGCTGTCCACTCCGGGCCAACCTGGGGTACGCGGTCAGAGACATGGGCTGGACTTGAACTCGATGGATTAACTTGTAGCTTTCATTGAGTTATGTTCTATCTACAGAAGTCAAGAAATTGACTGGATTTTGTTGAAAGATAGAAGAGAAGTCAAATCCGGCAACTGTCAGTTACATAGGCTAGATAAGGTAGGTCAACAACCAACCTGATTCTCCAGGCCATGCACGGCCTCAACGATGAGGCAAAGGATGGGGCCCAGTATATCCACATCCGATCATTAGTCCACTAACCAGATAGACAGCTGAACGCCACGCCATCCTTGTCCGTGGTGACCAGGAATCCCCTCCCTGGCCAATGTTCCGGTGGTTGGCTCACCATGCAGAGAGCTCCAACAGCCGAAATGAAGTCATAGGCTACATTCTCCTACTTTCTCCTCATCCACGCTCAGGTACCTGGGGGGTCTCTCGTCTTGGTAAGATGGAGCGTAGTTGGATGAATGGATCACCATTCCTTCCGAGGTGGAACAATCGGTCAGTCTATCAGGTCCACAGGAATTTACCTGTCTATCTGCCGCTTACACTTCCAGACTCAGACTACAGACGCATCCACGGAATAGTTCCTAGGCAACCCAAAAGTCCCGTGCCTGTTCGGCTGACTCAAAAGTGGACTACGGAGACTAGGATGATACTATCTATGGATGCGTTGTGACACGATACCGCGTAATACCGTACGAGATAAGCCGGCTTATCGATATCTGCCAGTTGACCAATGACGCCGGAATGGATCACGGGCATCACCTGATAATCGATGATGCGGCCCACTAAACCCCGTTGGTCTACCTGGCCTGAGTGCCTGGGTGCCTGATAGACTCGACTGGCAGTCTGGCACTGGCAGTAAGATAGGTCCAGTAAGATACTGATAGTGCTCTCTGCTCTCCGACCGTCCCCGCTTGAATCCAGTGACTCCGGCAGAAGACCTTCCAAGGCATCTCACACCACCCCAACCCCCATTCTTTTTTTTTACTCTCCATTCTTGAGGGTGTGGAGGTCAGGATTCTAAGTTTACCTCCCCCAGATCGGTCCTAAATCTTCATCTGCTTCTCGTTGGTCAATCCCTCCCCCCCCCATTACGGTCGTGCAATTGCTGATCCATCTTCTGACCTGCTCAGTTGCGACCGTTGCTCCCCACCTCCTCTCTCTCTCCCGTCGCCTCTTCCATTTCGGCTGTGCGATGTGTGCGGATTACGCCCGCTAATTCAGTCGTGACCACACCGCATACCAATGCAGACCGCCTTCATTACTCCGCCGTGTGCAGGTTTATGGTTCCTGGTGGTCACCGGCCATCAGTTCGGGTCTCGGGGATAAGCTTCTGCGGCGCAATGAACCAGGCGACCCCCCCTTCCTCCCCGTCCCTGTCCTCCTCCGTCGTGTCAAACGAGCGGCCCACCGCCGAGTTAGCTCCGCTGCTCGATGATCTCCAGTCCATTGCGGGCGGAAACACCATCGACGCGCAGGCCGCCCTCGCGGCCACCGAATGTCTGCTCCGCCTCCGCCATACCTTCATCGATAGCGACAACCACCGCGCGGCCAAGGAGGCCCTTCGCCATCTGCATGGTTTCCAGATCTTGCTGAAGCTGCTCCGGACAGTCTCGGAGCTCTACACCCCCGATGATCCTTCGCAGGAGAACAAGAAATGTTTGCTTTCGCTGTGCAAAGACGTGTTGGCGGTGTTGGGGGAGGCTCTGAAGGAACACTCGGCGAACCAACGCTATTTCGCGACTCGGGTCGCGGGAGGAGGACAACGGGCCCTGGAGGCCGCGTTTGAGGTCCTAGCAAAGAAATTGAACGGTGCGGAGAATGATACCGAGCAATTCTACGGTGCCGTCTTGGCGGGGGCCCTGTGCCAGGAAGCCGCTGCCGGCGTCTTTACGGCCCTTCGGACAAAGTTCCGAGACAGCCAGGAATGGTCTCTCACAGATATAAGAGCCGAAATCGATCGGTATTTGGGGAGCTCGGAAACGGTCGAAGTGCCCGAGTTTCTGGCCCCATTTGTGCGGGTTTGGTTGACACAGTCCGCTCACTCGGTGGCGGAATACCCCGTCCAGAGGCTCGCCGTCCCGGCGTGCCTGTGCCAGTTGGCCGCGCAGTCGCAGAGGAACACGACAGTCATGCATGCGACGGGGATTTTATCCTCCATTCTGCCGCTCCTGCTTAGCGAAGGCCGCCCTCGGGACGAGAGGGATCTCTACGAAGAACTGGCACGCCTGCTGTGCGCCCAGGGACTAAGTAGCTTGGATGACGTGGTGTCGCTTTACCGCAAGGCACACGAATCGCCTGATGCACTTAGACTTTTGGTGGACGTTTTGAAACGGTCGAAGGAGCCGCCCGCCCTGCAGTTTGACCTGTCGCTGCATGGGTACTGCTCGCTGGAATTCTCGACGCTGGGCCGCTCTTTTCCCCCGACAACCTCCTCGGGGTATACACTTTCAGTATGGGCGCGGTTTGATCGGTTTGACACAGAGACGCATACCACGGTGTTTGGGGCGTTTGATGCGAGCCAAAGCTGCTTTTTGCTGGCATATCTTGAAAAGGACACTCGCAATTTTATCCTGCAGACCTCGATCAGAGGCTCTCGTCCAAGTGTCCGTTTCAAGTCTACGGTGTTTGAACCCAATCGATGGTACCACATCTGCGTGGTACACAAAAAGCCCAAGCCGCCATCTTATTCCCGTGCTTCCCTGTTCGTGGACGGTGAATTCGTTGAGCAACAGCGGATTGAGTATCCCGGTATCCCTGCCCCAAGCGCCACGCATCGAACACCGCGGGTCCAGGCCTTCTTCGGTACCCCACAAGACTTGGCGATGAGATTGGGAAAGGGAGTGTCTACGTCACGATGGTCTTTAGCAAACGCAATTCTGATAGAAGAGGCATTTAGCGATGATATGATCTCCGTCTTCTATAATCTCGGCCCACGATACTATGGCAACTTTCAAGACTGCCTGGGCTCGTTCCAGACTTACAAGGCGTCTGCTGCTCTAAATCTCCGTAATGAACATTTACATCCTGGAAAAGAAGAGTCGTCCGATATCGTGACCGCCATTCGTCGGAAGGCGAGTGTCCTGATCCGCGAGGGGTCGATCCTGATCAACGTGTCTCCCTTGTCCGTCCTGGACGATGATGACTCTAACGGCGTTGACGAGTCTCGCCTCATCAAGTGTCTTTCCAAGCAGGCAGCTCGGAATCTTCACCAGCTAACCAAAGCGGGAGCGAATGCAGTGGTCGTCAACGGCGCGACTCCCGCTATCAATGATGCCTTGACCCAAGCCCATGGAATTGGGGTGTTGACGGGCGATCCCGTAGTTGCAATCCCTCGCTCCCTGGACGACGCCAGCTGGTGCATCGGAGGATGCGCGGCGGTGCATTTGAGCTTGGTACACGCAGCTCGCACGCCCGAAACCACCCGTCTGGCTGTGGAAGCTTTGTATGAGGCAGTCCAAGACAACTGGCGGAATAGCGAAGCGATGGAGAAGGAGAATGCCTACGGTATCTTGGCGGCATTATTGCGCGACAAGCTCGGCTTGCCTTTGGGTAGCAACTCCGCACCCGCCAGGACGGCCAGCGTGACTTCTGACTATAACGAGCGGTCCGATTTGACGCTTGCGATTCTTCGTCTGACCCTTGGTTTCGTGGGGTACAATTTTGAGCAACCGAACCTCTCCATCATCACGAATCCGCTGGCGTATAGGGTCTTGCTGGTGGACCTGGACGTTTGGAGATATGGCAACGCTCCCCTCATCGAGTTGTACTATTCCCAGTTCTGTACCTTCTCCAGTGAGAGCCAGTTCCGTCGGTTCAACGCCAAACGCCTTGCTCGTATGCGTACGTTTTCGATTGCCTGATGTCGTGTCTAACTTGTGCTGATAACATGCAGGTGTTAATAAGAAGCTTCTCGAATCCCTAAAAGGGGAGGAATTTACACTGGATTCGCTGCACCTCTTCACGACCGCCTTTGGTTCTCTTCTGGAAGGATGCCTGTCAGCCGACTTGCTGCGATCATTGGCCTTGTTTATCACCTATGCCATCCATAAGCACAAAGAACCCAGCAGATTGCAGAAGAAGAAGAGTATGCGGTTTATTGCTGGGTCGCGACAGACTGCGAACACGCCTGATGGAAAGAAATATGTCTCCAGTCTTACCGTGGCTGTAGAAATGCTTCGGATGCTCTGTTCTATACTGTGCACCGCGCATGATCTCCTTCCCATAAAGAAATTTGCCAGGGCAGTTACAAATAAGGTTCGTTGAAAGTAATGTTACTCTCCCGATGGCTGGACTGACCCTCGCGCAGTGGCTACTATATCTCATGTGTGAAGACGAGCCCGAGATCGTGGTTTTGGCTACTAAAATCATGGCCCGGTTGCTCGTTACTCATGGCGATGGCTATGGCAAGAAGTTCTCTGAGAAGTCTGGAGGGTACGTAATCATGCGCCAATACTTGAAGAAGTGGTGGAGGATCCCGGCCATTTGGCCCATATGCTTCGCTATCTTCTTTGGCGTTGATGTTGGCAAGATAAGCGTCAAGAAGCCTTTCGACCTAGCGGGCCTGCTGGAGACGTTCTATGCTGGCGATCAGACCTTTGTTGCCTTCCCTGAAATGCTTCCGGTCATCACGGAGATGATGCAAAGCGGCCTGAGACATGCCGCTCTGGCTGATGAGACCGCTGGGTCTGAAGGACAGACAGACGATCATCCGCCGCAAGCTGGGACCCCTACCATGTCATCCCATGTGCCGGTTACCGCCACAGCTGAAAAGCTATCATTGTTATCGACTGTCATAGATTTTCTTGCGGGGATGCACATGAGATCGCATAGCTTTCGCGAGTTTGCGACACGGCCTGAATATCTCCAGCATCTGCTCTATGTTCTATATCCTGTTGTTTCTGGCACCGATTCCGTGGGCGCTGAGGTTGAATTGAGCTGCCGTATGGGCGACCTGAGCTTCGATGACCAGCACTTGGTCGCGCGCCCCCGTTCTCGAGGCGCAAGCGACTTGCAAACAACGATGGTGGAACATACTGGAGCTCGTGATGACGAGGGTGACGCCTTGAGACGTGGGTCGTCGTTCATCCTGATCTCTTCCGACGGAGCGAAATATCCACCATCCTCTGCGCGTATACGCCACACATTCAGTTCCCGTCAGTTCGAGGCCAGTGGAACCACTTCCAAGGTCACCGATTGCCCGCAGGTTATCGGGGTTCTTAACCTAGTCCTTGTTGTTTTCACAGAGCAAGTGCTGGAGCGGAAAGAGTTCTCTGGTCTCGGCCTTTACCTCAAGGCGCCGCCTGGGTTCCCGGAAAACCAAGCATTTTTCACGTCGTGGCTGCTGAGACATCTTCTCACCACGCTCCAGGACGTGATGTTCTCAAATGTTGAAGTCTTATCCGAGCCACGCGTACTCACCAACCTTGGCCGTCTTGCCACGCATCTGAGGGAGGCCGTGTACGAGGGTTGGTTTGTTGACAACGCGAATTCGACTCTCGAGTTTGCAGGCAGTATATTAGAATATCTTCAGCGGCCGGACGTCTCCCGCCTCAAAAGCATTCGGCTCTGCAGTCAAGCAATTAACACCATCCGTACGACACTGTTTCACGTCGTCCTGCTGAGGCTGTCCGAGGCGGAGGGGCCGGATGCAATCGCTTTCTTGCATCGCCTGACTTACTGGCAAGTCGTTCTCCTGTCTGATGGCGAGCCCCAGTCAGACAATCTACAACTACTATGCTATCTGCTGTATACGAAGTTGATCGACAGAAACCACGACGTACGTCTCGCCGCGGCGGGTCTTTTCAGGATCATGCTGGTGCAAAAGCCGACTGAGATGACCCATGTTCTGAGCTACGCGGCAGTCCCGTTACAGGAGCGTCTCTCCGGTGGATTCGAGGCCCTTGTTGGCATGGAGGATGCTGCTTTTCTCCAGTGGGTGGATGACCAAGAAGCTGATCTGAAGGCGCTGTTTTTCGGAATCTTATCAAAATCGTGGGATACATTCGTCCGAGACGAAAACTCGCATATTGAAAATCTGACGCGCAGCCGGCTGTCTAAGCGCCAGGATAAATTAAAGCAGTGGTGTCAGGTTGATTCCCTGAGCGAGGAAGTGACCCGCAGGCACGACGCCACCTTTCCGCACTGGAAGTCGAATATATCGGCCTCTGAATTCCTCAAATACCAACGCGCTTTACAGGATCAACAAGACAACTACGTGTTCATGTGGACTGCTTTTTCCCATCTGGTGAGAGACCTGCAACGCTTCGGCGGTGTCCTCGCCGAGGATGAAGAAAGGAAATGGTGTCTTGATCAGACGGAAGGGCGTAGCCGGATGCGACTCCGCATCGTGCCTGACGACTCGGGACAGCGACAAGATTACCAGCCCAAGCGAAAAGCATCCGAGCCGCCTACTTTCAAGATTGACACGCAGCTGAGCCCTTCAGGGAACGATGGCCTCCCTGTCACACCCACGGGGACGACTGCCGAAAGTTCTAACGGCCAGTCGCAGAGCATTGTTGGTCCGGATAGCAAGAGTGTCATCGAGGAGAGCTTCGAGCTGATCGATGACCCGAAGATGGACCTCGAAGACTACGAAGACAAGAACCGTAAGGTCATGAGAACGCTACACCGCGGCGACCAGGTGGATAGTGTGTGCAATATGTCTCGAATTATCGGCTTAGAGGCCTGCGAAGGTCTCTTGATCTTGGGGAAAGATAATATTTATATCCTGGACAACTTCTTCCAGAGATCCGACGGCGAGATCGTGAACGTCTGGCAGGCTCCTGCGGACGAACGCGACCCGTATGTGCGCATGATCACGGGGCGGGAGTCCAATGAGCGCAAGTCGCAGGAGCATGACACGAGAAGCTGGAAATGGTCCGACTTGATCAGTGTCTCCAAACGACGGTTTCTGTTCCGCGACGTGGCTCTCGAGATTTTCTTTACAGATGGCACGAGCTACCTGCTTACGCTGATCTCCTCACGAGCGCGGGACATCCTTTGCAGCCAGTTGGCGTCCAAAGCGCCTCAAACAACTGGCAGCGTGGGCCATTCCCGCCCAGAGGACGTCTGGCGATTCGAGACGTTGCGCAGCCCCGAAGACGAGCCCCAGTCGCTGGGGTCGAAATTCGCCAGCGTGTTCGGCCATTCGCCCGTGCATCCCGCTACGCGCAAATGGGTCAAGGGAGAGATCTCGAACTTCCACTACCTCATGCTGATCAATACCCTCGCGGGGAGAACATTCAACGACCTGACCCAGTACCCCGTCTTCCCCTGGGTTCTCGCCGACTATACCAGCGAAGAGCTGGACCTGACCAACCCCAAGACCTTTCGCGACCTGTCCAAGCCCATGGGCTGCCAAACGCTAGACCGAGAGTCTGACTTCAGGGAACGGTACAAGGCGTTCGCGGAGATGGGCGACGACGACGCCCCGCCGTTCCACTACGGCACGCACTACTCCTCAGCCATGATTGTGAGCTCGTACCTTATTCGTCTTCAGCCGTTCGTCAAGTCCTATCTCCTGCTCCAGGGCGGCACGTTCGACCATGCGGACCGCCTTTTCTACTCCATCCGCAAGGCCTGGGAGTCTGCTTCGCACAGGAACATGTCTGACGTGCGAGAGCTGATCCCAGAGTTCTTCTACCTCCCTGAATTCCTCGTCAACTCAAACAAGTACGACTTTGGTGTCCTCCAAAACATGACCACCACTATCGATGCCGTGGAACTGCCACCATGGGCCAAGGGCGATCCGAAAGTCTTCATCCAGAAGCACCGCGAGGCGCTGGAAAGTCCCCATGTGACGCAGAACTTGCACCACTGGATTGACCTGGTGTTTGGCACCAAGCAGAAGGGCGACGCTGCCATCGAAGCTGTCAATGTCTTCCACCACCTGTCGTATCAAGGCGCCAAGGACGTGGATACCATTGATGACCCTGTCGAGCGACTCGCTACGATTGGCATTATCCATAATTTTGGACAGACGCCGCATCAGATCTTCAATAGGCCTCATTCGGGGAGAGAGGACCTGCGCCATAGGATTCCACGGTTGGATCGGCTGGCTGAGTCGCTTACGCAGCAGCCTTTGTCGCTTCTTGGTTAGTTTTCCTTTCTTGAATTGGGATGTTTGTATTTCTCTTTGGCAGTAGACTAATTCCGTGATAGATATTGGAGAGCAAGTGTCGTCGCTCTCGATGAAACACGACCGTCTTCTTTGCGCACCGCCTCTTCGGCTGAATATCCCACCCGCCTACGACAAGTACATGGAGTGGGGATTCGCAGACGGCAGCGTCCGGTTCTACTCCGCCGACAGCCGAAAGGTATGACCCATCGACCGACATCTAATGATCTACACGATAGCTAACTCACACAGCTCCTCGGCCACTTCGAACACCTACACATCGGCCAGCTGTCGAGTGCGATCTTCGCCGACTCGCGCACGCTAATCACGTCAGGGACAGACTGTACGGTATCAGCGTGGACGTTCACGTCGACGAGCAAATCGGTGGATCTGCAGCCCACGGGATCGCTGTTTGGACACCGCACGCCTGTCACGGTGCTGGCTGTGTCACGATCGTTCAGCGCGCTCCTGTCTGCCTCTACGGACGGGCAGATCATGCTGTGGGATTTGAACCGGCTGTGCTTTGTTCGGGAGCTTCCTGCGCGTGGTCCTATCGAGGTAGCTTGTCCCCTCTAACTGTGTATATTGATAAATTTCTAACATCATGGCAGTGCGCACGGATCAATGACGTGACGGGGGAGATCGTCGTCTGTCGGGGCAATTGCATCAGCCTATACACGCTCAACGGCGCGCTTCTCCTGGAGCAGTCTGCATCGGATACGACAGACGACCCCGTGCTATCGTGCGTGTTCTACGAGGGCGTCGGCAACGAGTGGCAAGAGCGCGAGCTGCTGTTCATGGGACACCGACGAGGCGTGGTCAACGTATGCCCCTTCATCTTTTACCCGGGATTCCCTCAACCTCCAAAGATCCATGCTAATCTAGTGACAGATCTGGAGCAAAACCGTCCGCAACGGAAAATTCGAGCTCGAGATGATCCGCCAGCTGCACCACGTGGATAGTAACCGCGACAACGGGGCGAATATCACGACGGGGATTAGCTGTATCTTGGCGCTGCCGCATGTTGTGTATACGGGGGATGAAGCGGGCAGGGTGGTGAGTTTATCTCTTGATCTAGTGCTGTGATATGATTATGGAGATGAGGCTAATGTGTGTGGTGGGTAGTATGAATGGAGCTGTGTGCAGCGCCGTTGAGATGACCTCAGATTCGAATGTGCCATGATTCTTGAGGGTTGTTACACGGAAAAGGAAGAACCACATCATGTGCTGTGTGAAACACGGAGTATGCATTGATCTGGGCAATTACAAGTGGGATGGATGTAATCTGGCCTGGTCTGGTCACTCGTACATACAATTTCCAACTCCGAACTCCCCCGGGACCCCGCAATCCGGGACACGAGGGGGGGAAGAGGGGAAGGGACTCGGATAAAACCAAGAAAAGGGGGAAGAAATGAATCGAAAGAAAAGGAAAGTCAATTGAATCAACGAGGGAGAAACGTCAGGTATAGAAAAGGGTGTTTAGGAGTAGGCAATAGTAGTTCCTATATTTCTGCCGGTGAGACGTGATTAGCCCGGATGGCTGTGGACCGTCCAGCTCTCCAGCTAGAGGTAGCTAGTCGGAGCACACTGCACCGATCTAGATCGTGGGAGTTCGGTAATATGGAATTGCTGTCAGTTTTACTTGAATTGTATAGTAGAAACGGAGAATAAATAGAAAAAAAGACAAGGTATGAATTGAAAAATTGTCTGTAGTGGTAAATAGATGAGGGGTTGAGAAAAAAAGGATGAGAAGTGCATAGCGTCATTGTCGCCCCACCATCTCCGGCCAGCTTTCTCTCTATTATTTCAACGCCCCTCCCCTCATTCTGTCTTCTGGTTCTGTCCTTTCTCCCCAAACTCTCTCTTCTCTTTCTCTTCCATCGCTTCTTTCGCCTCTACTTCCTACTTGTAATCTTTTTGATTGACCGCAATCATTACTCTTCTCATCCACCATGTCTTCTTCTCTTGATCAGCTCAAGGCCAGCGGCACTGTATGCCCCACCTTCTTTCTCACTTTTCTTTAATTCCTTGAAGAGAACGAAGCTAATTGAGATAGGTCGTCGTCTGCGACTCTGGTGACTTCGCCACCATCGGCAAGTACAAGCCTCAGGATGCCACCACCAACCCCTCCCTCATCCTGGCCGCTTCCAAGAAGCCCGAATACGCCAGCTTGATCGAGGCCGCCGTCGAGAAGGGCAAGAAGGAGGTACATCTCTCTCTTCAGAGCTCCATAGTTCCCATCATACTAATAATGTCTACAGGGCAAAACCCTCGACGATCAGGTCGACGCCACCCTGGATAACCTCCTCGTCCAGTTCGGCAAGGAGATCCTGAAGATCATCCCCGGCAAGGTCTCCACCGAGGTCGACGCCCGCTTCTCCTTCGACACCCAGGCCTCCATCGACAAGGCCCTGCACATCATCGACCTCTACAAGCAGATCGGCATCCCCAAGGAGCGCATCCTCATCAAGATCGCCTCCACCTGGGAGGGCATCCAGGCCGCCCACGTCCTGCAGTCCAAGCACGGCATCAACTGCAACCTGACCCTCATGTTCTCCCTCGTCCAGGCCATCGCTGGCGCCGAGGCCGGCGCCTACCTCATCTCGCCCTTCGTCGGTCGTATCCTCGACTGGTACAAGGCTGCCCACAAGCGTGACTACTCCGCTGAGGAGGACCCCGGTGTCAAGTCCGTCGAGAGCATCTACAACTACTACAAGAAGCACGGCTACAACACCATCGTCATGGGTGCTTCGTTCCGTAACACGGGCGAGATCACCGAGTTGGCCGGCTGTGACTATCTGACTATTTCCGTATGTTCATCCCTCACCCCACCCAAAGCATAAAAAAAAAGAAACTCACAGTAAAATAGCCCAACCTCCTCGAGGACCTCTACAACTCCACCGCCCCCGTCCCCAAGAAGCTCGACGCCGCCCAGGCCGCCTCCCAGGATATCCCCAAGCGCAGCTACCTGCACGACGAGGCGACCTTCCGCTTCGACTTCAACGAGGAGGCCATGGCTGTGGAGAAGCTGCGCGAGGGTATCTCCAAGTTTGCCGCTGATGCGGTGACCTTGAAGAACATTCTTAAGCAGAAGATCCAGGCATAATTTTCTCTCTTTCTGCCTTTATCTTTTGTTTTCATTCCTTCTTTGTTACCCTACATGTTTGATGCCCTGATGTGTAAAAATTTTGTTGTTGTCTTGTCCTAAATTGGGATGATAGTAGATACGAATTACGAATTATTTGTGTCATTCTATATACTTGTAATTATCTGTGGGGTGTAATGCCTGAGCAGTAAGTGTAAACTATCAGAGATGATATGATATGTGTCGTGTTTGTCTCTGACATGGAATAATAACTGTTGACACTATGGTATGTTATGCTCTTCTATGATCTTCACTCTACGTTATTCTACTTTGACTATATTAATGTACTCTCCTCTCCTCTCCTCAACTGTATTATATAAATATATACCATTAAATATTATGTATACTAATACCTACTATACAATCCACCACTAAATAAATTAACACCCATCCAGTATCCCAACCCATGCACTATTACCTTACGTAGGCAGGTATCTACCTACCTACTATCAACCAACCTCTCCCTCTGAACCCTCCACTCCTTCTCCGCCAACGCCCACTCCGTCCCCCGACCCTCCCCCCGCCGCCTCGGCACCAGATCCCACCGCGTGCCAAACAGCGAGTCACACACGCCTGGACTGCCGAAGCCGTCTGAGAAGGACACGTTCGTGCGCGCGTGGTGCTCGCCGTGCGCGCGGTTGTTGAGCAGGGTGTCTGCTAGTGTGGACCAGATGTTGTGTTTTTCTTTCTCGTCGGGTGGTGATTCTTTTCCCTCTTCTGGTGGTGATGTTTGCGTTGATGATACAGAAGAAGGAGGAGGAGGAGGAGGGGAAGAAATGAGTAAAGCAAAATCATACCCCGAGTGCTCGTAGACACCGCCGATAGCGCCCAACGCAGCCACCAGATAATGAAAGCATGGGTCTGCGCCCCCGCCGCCGATAGCAGCCAGGGGTACCAGGTAAGGCAAGACGATCTCGAGAAAGAAGTCCGGTCCAGACATGTAGCACGCGCTGAGACCGCGACTCGCGCCCGTCGAGTGGTGGATAGCGTGCTTTAGGGCGCGGATGAGCGGAATGCGCGGACTGTGTAGCAGATACCGGTGGGTGAGGTACTGGACGATGTCGTGGCCGGTTGCCATGGCTAGGAGGGAGAGGAGGAAGCGGGTGCGGGAGAGGTGGGGTGGGTCCGGGGTGAAGCAGAGGGAGGTGAATTGGGTGAGGAGCATTGTTGGGAGGAGGATGAGGGTTTGGTTGGTTAGGACGCGGGGGAGGAGCTGGGTGTAGGTTTTTGGGTCCGGGGGCGGGATTTGAGGTTTTGGAGGTGGTGGGTGCGGTCGAGGTATTCGAAGAGGAGGGAGGTGGTGTGGAAGGTGAGTTGTTGGATTAGCCAGGTTGTGAGGGGGAGGGTGTTCATTTTGGGTGTGTGTATGTTGTAGCTGTATGTTGTGGTTGTATACTGTAGTTGTATGCTGTCTGTGTGTGTGTCTGTGTGTATGTCTGTATGTCTGTGTGTGTGTCTGTGTGTATGTCTGTATGTCTGTGTGTGTGTCTGTTATATGTTGTCTGTTATATGTTGTCTGTTATATGTTGTCTGTTATATGTTGTCTGTTATATGTTGTCTGTCTGTTGTATATCAATATGTATGCTGTCTGTCTGTCTGTTGTATGGATAGTCCGTATGGCAGGAGCAATTTATATAGTCAAGCGTATATGTCAATCTCATGGCTCAGTCACGCAACATCCGGGCTTTCCGTCCCCATAACTGAAAAGTAGACATGCATATCGGAGCTCGGTCGATACAGACCGATAGCTGAAGTGTTGACGACTGTGGCAGCTGGACAGTGGTTCAACTCGCATGGGACAAGGCAGTCATCCAATTATTGGCAGAAGAGAAGACTGACTCATGAATTGAATAGGCTGGATTTCTCTATCGTCATTATTGAGGATGATCCGGATGTCTGTATATAGTATAGTATACAGTATATAACTTAATACTATGGGCTTATCTGATCGATTCCGATATTCGGATCGGATGAGCAAATAAGAGAGAGCTTCGAGCTTGACAGCCGATATTCCCGATCATCTACCTCGGTAGGGAGTTAAATCGACTGATGGATCTCAATTAGTATATTCAAGAGTATTGTATATGTAAGAATATATTAGAAATCAAGAAATAAGAATCAAAGAAAATAAAAATAAACAGAAGAATAAATCAGAAGGAAGTAGAGGACAAAAACGTCATTCCGATTACCCCGCCGAGTGGGGTTTTCAGCTTCTCCCCTCATCCTTCCCTCCTCTTTTTCCTTCTTCCTTCTCTCTTCTCTTGATTTCTTCATCTCACTCTCACTTCATCTTCCACTCACCAACCATCCATCACCTTAAGTAATCTTAATCAATCTATCAAAATGGTCAAGGCTGGTCAGTCTCTCCCCCTCACCCGTATTTTCATTGGTTTTGGTCCGGATGGATCCACGATCGACCGTGGCCAGGGGACCTGTTCGGGGACCTTGGTGTGAGCGGGTTTGAGCATTTTTTGGCCTATCATCATTCTTATTCTCCAGATCGATCGGTCAAAATACTGATATCATATAGTTGCTGTCCTCCGTGGTGACTCCAAGGTGTCGGGCACCGTCACCTTCGAGCAGAACGACGAGAACACCCCCACCACCGTCTCCTGGAACGTCACCGGCAACGACGCCAACGCCCAGCGTGGTTTCCACGTCCACCAGTTCGGTGACAACACCAACGGCTGCACCTCCGCCGGTCCTCACTGTATTTTCTCCCTCTCATCCTAGCAATCTGTAACCACCCTACTAAACAACTACCCAGTCAACCCCTTCAGCAAGACCCACGGCGCTCCCACCGATGAGGAACGCCACGTCGGTGACCTGGGCAACTTCACCACCGATGCCGAGGGCAACGCCGTTGGCTCCAAGACCGACAAGCTGGTCAAGCTGATCGGTGCCCAGAGCGTTCTTGGCGTAGGTTCCCTGATGTGTTCTGAGTGACAATATACTGAGATTTTCTAGCGCACCCTGGTCGTCCACGCTGGTACCGATGATCTGGGCCAGGGTGGCAACGAGGAGTCCAAGAAGACTGGCAACGCTGGTGCCCGTCCTGCCTGTGGTATGTTTTTTTTTTTTTTTTTTTTTCTTCTGGATGAAGTGTTACTGACGAAAGATAGGTGTCATTGGCATTGCTGCTTAAATTGATATCCCACATTCAATTCACCATAGGGGATGATGTTTTTATTCGTATTATTCCTGATCTAAAATCAAAGGAGAAACAAAATGAATGAAGGATTCCCCATTGTATTCCCAGATTTATTCTCTGATGTATTCTCTGATTTATTCTCTGATTGTATTCCCTGATATTCACTGGATAAATTGACAGCATATCTGCACGTTGGACAGGATCCAGTACCAGAATGTGGCAATCCTTGTATTCCTCTTCTTAGCAATGGACTGTATGATCTGATGAATTGACGTTTTAGTAGTGTTGTGATGGTGTAGCTGTAGTTGTAGCTAGCTAGGAAGAAAGAGTCCCCACAAGTCAGGTGTTCCGGGAGCTTCTCCGTTCTAACCACGTTGCGCCTCCTCACTCCTCACTTCTCAGTTACTTCTTCATTTCCTCCATTCCCTTTTCTCCTCTCCCTTCTTTCATTCCATTCCATTCTTTTTCTTCTTGATCTCCTTTTCCTCTTTGTTTCCCCCTGTCGGTTTTCCTTTCAAAACCTGGTTTTTGGTTGTTCACAATCGGTCTTCCCAGCATGCCTTTGGAAGCCCGTGTGAAGTCCGTCCTTTCGGGCGACACGGTCGTGCTGTCGCATGTCTCCAACCCCGGACAGGAGCGCATTCTCAGTCTGGCCTATGTTTCGGCCCCCAGGTTACGCCGTGAGGGTGATGAGGTGAGTCAATTCCTGTTTGCTGTCCCCCCCCATCTCTGATCCGGATCATGCCATTCAATGGTGGCCTGAGGATCACACTCTTTACAATCCTCCACCATCCGTATTGTTACCAATGCTGACTCGTGTTGATTTCTACTGTAGCCATACGCCTTCCACTCCCGTGAATTCCTCCGTGAGTTGCTTGTCGGCAAGGTCGTCCAATTCCACGTCTTGTATACCATCCCGACCGGTGCCAAACGCGACTACGGTACCATCAAACTCCCCACCTTCGATATCGCCCTCCCCGAGATCTGTGTTCAGGAAGGCTGGGTCCGTGTGCGCGAAGAGGCCGGCAAGCGCGCCGATGAGTCTGAAGACACCGTTGCCCTGCTCGAACGACTCCGCGCCCTCGAAGACCACGCCCGCACCGAAGGGAAAGGCGTCTGGGCTGGTGCCGACGGCCACACCGAGACCACCTATGACATTGCCGACGCAACGGCCCTCGTCAACGAGTGGAAGGGCAAACACCTGGAAGGTATCGTCGAGAAGGTGCTGAACGGCGACCGCCTCATCCTGCGCCTGCTGCTGAGCCCCCAGGAGCACCTGCAGGTGCTGGCCGCCGTCGCCGGTATCCGCGCCCCCGCCAGCCGACGCACCAACGCCGAGGGCAAAGAGCAGCCCGGCGACGCGTTCGGCGACGAGGCCAACCAGTTCGTCGAGTCGCGCATCTTGCAGCGCAAGGTGCAGGTCTCCCTGCTGGGCGTCACCCCCCAGGGCCAATTGATCGCCAGCGTGCTCCACCCCAACGGCAACATCGCCAAGTTCCTCCTCGAGGCCGGCCTGGCCCGCTGCCATGACCACCACGCGGCCCTGCTCGGCGGCCAGATGGCCGACTATCGCCGCGCCGAGAAGATCGCCAAGGACGCCCGCCTCAAGCTCTTCCACGGCCTAGCCGCCCCCGGCGCCGCCCGCGCGGCCGAGGACTACGTCGTCAGCCGGGTGCTGAACGCCGATACCCTCTTCCTGCGCGACAAGGCCGGCCGCGAGAAGAAGATCAGCCTGAGCAGCGTCCGCCAGCCCAAGCCCTCCGACCCCAAGCAGGCCGCCTTCTCCGCCGACGCCAAGGAGTTCCTGCGCAAGCGCCTGATCGGCAAGCACGTCAAGGTCACCGTCGACGGCAAGAAGCCCGCCAACGAGGGCTACGAGGAGCGCGACGTCGCCACCGTCGTCCAGGGCAACACCAACGTGGCCCTGGCGCTGGTCGAGGCCGGTTACGCGTCGGTCATCCGCCACCGCCAGCAGGACGACGACCGCTCCCCCGACTATGATGACCTGATGATCGCCGAGGCCGATGCCCAGAAGGAGGGCAAGGGCATGTGGTCGTCGAAACCCCCCAAGGTCAAGCAGTACACCGACTACTCCGAGACCGTCCAGAAGGCCAAGATGGCCGTCGCCACCCTGCAGCGCCAGAAGCGCGTGCCCGGTGTGGTCGACTTTGTCAAGTCCGGCGCCCGCTTCACCGTCCTGGTGCCCCGCGAGAACGCCAAGCTGACCCTGGTCCTGTCGGGCATCCGGGCTCCGCGCTCGGCCCGCAACCCGGGCGAGGCGTCCGAGCCGTGCGGTCAGGAGGCCCACAATCTGGCCAACCGACGCTGCCTGCAGCGGGACGTCGAGATCGACGTCGAGACCGTCGACAAGGTCGGTGGCTTCATCGGCACCCTGTACGTGAACAAGGAGAACTTCACCAAGACCCTCCTCGAGGACGGCCTGGCCACCGTCCACGCCTACTCCGCCGAGCAGTCGGGCCACGCCGCCGAGTACTTCGCCGCGGAGCAGCGCGCCAAGGACGCCCGCAAGGGTCTCTGGCGCGACTGGGATCCGAGCCAGGAGGCCGCCGAGGCCGCTGAGGACGAGACGCCCGCGGCCGGCAGCGCCGCCGAGGCCGAGCCCGTGCAGCGCCGCAAGGACTACCGCGACGTGATGGTCACCTACGTGGATCCGACCAACGCCCACATCAAGATCCAACAGATCGGCACCGGCACCTCCGCCCTGACGGAGCTGATGAGCGCCTTCCGCTCCTTCCACCTCACCCCCTCCAACGCCACCCCGCTCCCGGGGCCGCCCAAGGCCGGCGACTTCGTGGCCGCGCGGTTCTCTGAGGACGGCGAGTGGTACCGGGCCAAGATCCGCCGCAACGACCGCGACAACCAGACGGCCGAGGTGGTCTACGTCGACTTTGGCAACTCCGAGAGCCTGCCGTGGTCCGGACTGCGGCCGCTGACCCCGGCCTTCTCCGTGCAGAAGCTGCGGCCCCAGGCCAGCGAGGCCGCACTCTCCCTGGTGCAGTTCCCCGTGGCGCCGGACTACCTCCAGGACGCCGTCGCCTTCGTCGAGGACCAGACGTGCAACCGCGAGCTGGTCGCCAACGTGGACCACGTCGCGCCGGACGGGCTCATGCACGTCACCCTGATGGACCCGTCGGAAGCCAAGGACCTGGACCACAGCATCAACGCGGAGGTCGTGCGCGAAGGCATGGCGATGATCCCGCGCAAACTCAAGCCGTGGGAGCGCGCCGCCAGCTCGACCCTCGCGCATCTGCGGACGCTGGAAGACGAAGCCAAGCAGGAGCGACGAGGCATGTGGGAGTATGGAGATCTGACTGAGGATTAGCCTGTTGACTAGTCGGGTTTCTACTTTATTTCCTTCTTTCTATTTCTGTTCTTTCATATTCCCCATGAGTGAGCTACTACTGTTTCTTTAATCATTTTTTTTCTCTTTTCTCCTTGTATGTTGGTATCTACACTTGGGATTTGTTTTCTTTTCTTTATGACACCAGGGACGGATTAGGATGTAGCACATAGCTGAATCTATCGCAAAAGTTGACAGAACACTCCGCACAGCATAACAACTCCGTAGATATTTATAGTGAACCGTGGTAATGCCCAGCTGATGTAAGCACTGTTGACATTCCACGGTTCTTCAACCCAAATCATCAAATTCGTGTTTGCCATCTGCTTCAACTACGGATATTGTTTGCCAAAGACAAACGTTCTTCGTACATTTGAAGAAGTCATTCGTTGGATCTGACAGCAGTGTCAGTCAGCATAAGCGCCTTCTAGCCGTCTACCCGTCCGCCCAGCATTCCATTCCCCATTCACCACCTGGTCGACTCCACAGCTGATCCCAATCTCCGCCGGACGCCGCGCTCGCCGCTCGTCTCACTCTTTCAATTCCATTTCCAGAAGAACCAGAACGAGAACGAGAACCACGATCGACCTCAGCCCTGCGGTCATAGACACCATCTTCCTCTGTACTTTCCACCTTCTACCTCTCAATCCAACCAATCCTCAAAGAAGCCCAAAAAAAAACTATAAAGAAGGAAAAATGCTCTGGCGCTCCAAATCCCCCGCCGAGAGCCCCGTCTCCGAAACAGACCCCAAAGCCGACCTCGCGGCGTCCGCCTCCCAGGCGGCAGGCACGGAATGGCTCGCGGGACACTTGCACCATTTGACGGAGGAGCAGGAGAAGAAGCTGGTGGAGTTCAAGGATCTGTGTGAGGAGAATAAGTACTATACGCGTGCTTCGGAGGAGGTGGGGGTGAAGGCTAGTCATGGGGATGCTACCCTTTTGTGAGTTTCTTTTTCTTTCTTTATTTTTGGGGGGTTATGTTTTGAGGGGTAGCGAGGTTAATGGTGCTAACTGTTGGGCAGGCGTTTTTTGCGCGCGCGCAAGTTTGATGTCGCTGGTGCTTGGGCGCAGTTTAAGGATACGGAGGATTGGAGGAAGGAGAATGCGATTGGGGAGTTGTATGAGAATATTGAGGTTGATTCTTATGATGCTGCGAGGAGGATGGTACGCTTCACATCGGATTGATCGTTCAGATCGGTCACCCAAATCATGGAATCAATCACTAACTACGTGAAATAGTACCCCCAATGGACCGGCCACCGCGACCGCCGCGGCATCCCCATCTACGTCTTCGAAATCAAGCACCTCGACAGCAAAAACATGGCCGAATACAACTCCACCATGAACGACTCCGCCACGGCCGACACGCATCAGTCGTCCAAGGTGCCGCAGCGTCTGCTGCGATTGTTCGCCCTGTATGAGAACCTGCTCAACTTCGTCATGCCGCTCTGCTCGCGACTTCCGCGCCCGAACATGGAGACGCCTGTCGTTGCCTCGACGAATATCGTGGATGTGAACGGGGTGGGACTGAAGCAGTTCTGGAACTTGAAGGGCCATATGCAGGATGCGAGTGTGCTTGCTACGGCGCATTATCCGGAGACGTTGGATAGGATTTTCGTACGTCCTCCCACCTCTACCCTACCTTGAACCCCTTTGAGACCCGACTAATATACTCCAAGATCATCGGCGCCCCAGCCTTCTTCCCCACCGTCTGGGGCTGGATCAAACGCTGGTTCGACCCCGGCACGACCTCCAAGATCTTCATCCTGTCCGCCGCAGAAGTAAAACCCACCCTGTCCGCCTTCATGCACCCCTCCAGCATCCCCAAGCAATACGGCGGCGACCTCGAGTGGAAGTGGGGGGATATGCCAGCTCTGGATGATGATGCTCGTGCGCTTGTCGGCGACGCTCTGACAACACCCGCGGGTGACGACGCGGCTCGGCAGGAGGTCATCAAGGGCCCTGTTCTGTTTGAAGATGATTGTGTCCATATCCTGGGCAAGGTTAATGGCGTGAGCAGGGATACGAAGGTTCCTGTCTCGGCCAGCAGCAGCACAACCAGCACAGCAGAGAACAAAGCAGACATTGATGCCGGGATCGAGAAACTCAACATCACCGTCGAGGAGGGAGCTACTGGAGATGTCACAGCAGAGGCTCCGACGCAGACTGTGTCTGCTTGATTCTGTTGCTGTCTTTCTTTTGAACAAACTTACTACTTCGATTCTTGTTATCCCCTTTCTTTATACATGATTTCAAGATTTAATTATAGATATTTTATTATTATTACTATTCTTTTATTTCGGGTGTTTCTCAATTCCACCCTTTGACCCTTCTTGACTACGTTCCCCTCAATTTAAATAAAGGTGTTAACAGTCCCATGTTCTTTCTTGGTGTATACACACGTACAGGAATATCTCGCCTAGAGTGTCATTTCCGCACCGTTTTGTAAAATATCCAAAATTTCTCAATCTCAAATTCAACACTATATCGATTATATAAAAGTTCCACAAAATCAATCGCTCGCGTGGCTACTCTATCCTACATACATCGAAGCGGTTTGTAGGCTTTATTATCACAACTATACGTATATAGTGTTAGACTGCGGGAGGCAGCCTACCGTATAGTAAGGTAGTATATATAGAAGAGTCCGGGGGTGTCCAGCCAAGCTAGCTGGACACTGTTTCAGCGAGTATGAGAAGCAGAAACGGATGCAGTGTATGGTTGAGATATCTGGTCTGGTGTCTGTTTCTTCACCTGGAAGTACTAGCTGCACGACATGAGGCCAGCCCGATATTGCCGTGCAGCGACAGCTGATGGCAGTAACGCCTTTTTTATAGTTTCCGAGCATGATGAGAAGAAGAAGAAGAAGTTCTGGAGGGACGCCAACGCGTTCTCTCAGCGCGGTTGGCGTGACTGGCACGATTAGACCGTACATGAAGATATCCGTGGCGGAGGCAAAGGAGACGACGAGGATGATGAACCATTATGACGATCTGAGTTCTAAGAAGCTGGGCCGTGTGGCCAGGTCTGACGAGTTGAATAATCCCATCGCTGGGGGGCGTTCACACAACTGTGGGATCCTGACGTGGATGCTTTCAAGGAAGCAAACCTGGAGGTCGAGAAGAGTGGGAGCTGCCGAGATATCAGTAGGAAAAGTCTGCTCAATTGAACTTCCACGACAGATACAAGGATCGGTTGCTTATTGACCACTGAGCTTCACGGTCCGATCTATTCGAACCCTGCGCTCTGCCACATCGACTGCCCGACATCGACCACCCGAATCCACGTCTCGGTTATTCGGCCTGATAAAGGTCGATTTTGATGAGGTGGGAAGTCAGGGGTATTCTGCCAAGTGACTTCACTATTCTCTATTGAAAGTGGTTCCTTAAATATAATATATGATTATGGAATTTTCTTGAAATTGATGATTTCTGAAACTAGTTTATCACTCATTGATATATGACATGGAGAGTGAGATAGATAGATAGATAGATAGTCATAGCCAAGTAACTTGTAAATAATCTAGAAACTCCAAAAAGCTAGAACCAAACAATGTGAAATTGATATAGTATACTATCAAACCATCTATCATAATCCATTCATTCTGAATTTGTATCTGAATCGAATTGAATCTTTTCAGTTGGTCAGTGACCTCATCAAGTGCTCGCATATTTCTTTCTTTTTTTTTAGACTGTAAACGCCTGTTTTCATGCAAATGCACCCCGTCCATCCATTCTCTTCTCCATCCAAACTATATACCCTTTTTTCCTTTCTTCTTTCTTTATCTTTTATTTTTCCGTTCAACAGTGGCAAATAACAAAAACAAAAACAACAGAATAAACAATAATAATTTAATCAAAGATCACAGCATCACTCATCAAACCAAACCGTGGGGGAATCTAAGAGCAAGTGAAACATGAGATCGAGTGGAAGGAAGAGGAAGAAGAGGAAAGTAGAGAAAGAAAGAAAATGGTATAATATGAGAGAAAGTAGAGGAAGAAAAAACATGACAGGTAGGAAGAAAGGAGAATCATGCGCTCAATCGCTGGATAAAGGACTGTCTTGCTGTTAGTATATGCGTAGATAGAGAGAAATGGGGAAGGAAATACCGGAAAGAACTGTCGGAACCCCCTCACATCCAACCGCATCAATGCCCCCGTAAACTCATCTACAAGCTCGCCTCCCATACCGATCTTGGGCAGTTCTTCCGTCCGCAGATACTCGATATACTCCATCCCCGTCTTGCTGTAGATCGTCCGTTGCAGGCCGCCGGCCTCCGCGAGGACCTGCTTCGCTTGTGCGTCCTTGGAGTTGAAGGACGGCGTGGTGGGCAGCGCCCAGCACAGCGGGGACATGTGGGTGAACATGAACTGCTTGAAGCCGGTCAGGGCTTCTTGCTGCGGGGCTGCCCCGTTCGATGCGTCCGGCACTACGTCCGGGCCGCCCCATGAGCTGCCCATCTTGGATAGCACTGAAAAGGCCATCTTGGCCGTCGTGAAGTCGTCGACGTCCTTGGCGAAGTGTTCAATCGTCGTGATGACGGTGTCGAACATGGGTTGGTTTCCTGCACTTGTTAGCCAGAGGGAAAGAGAACATGGATATGAAATGGGAGAGGAACATACGGGCACTAATAATGACCGACCCCAGATCATTATTCAACACCGCCAACAAAAAGTTCAAATACTCCCGCTTCAGCTCAGCCAAATGAATCTCATCATCCGTCCCGCTCGGCGGGTCAGCGATCCCCGAGAACACCCGCTGCAAGAATGGCGTCAACAGCGTATCCAGAATCTCGTAGATCTCGCCCTTGAACCCAAAGATCACCTGGTCCAGCAGTCGCAGGAAGAGAGCCATCTCGTCCCGGGACGACGTCTGCGTCAGCAGTCCGTCGATCCACCGCGGTAGCTGGGGCAGGATGCGGGAGCCCAGCACGCCGATCAGTCGCGAGAAGGCAAACCGCGCTGCCGTTCGCACGTTGAAGGATGACTTGAGCGACTCCAGCGCGACTAGGACTGCCTCTGAGGACTGGCCGAACACCTCAGATACCTCCGGGGCGGGCAGCTGGCTGGGCGAGCTGACGCCCGGCATCCAGTCTGAGAATCCGCGGGCCAGTGTCCCCAGTGCCATGATGTCGTGGTGCACCTGCAGCAGGGCGCGCTCGTCGGCGGCCTTGGCTGCGCCGAGATGATTCTGGATGTCGTTGTAAATCGGGGTTAGCACCGACTGGGCGTACAGCACCTGCTTGTCGGCCGTCACGGCCGGCGTCGAGCAGATGATACCCACCGCCTCGAACAGATACAACTGGCTGTTGAAGATGGCGTCGGCCGATCCTTCGTGGTCTTCCGAGGACATCTCGTCGCCGTCATCGCCGTCGGCGGACACCTCCGCCCGGATCACCAGCAGATCCCCCAGGGCCTCGACCACGGTCTGGGCCATGTTGCCGATCTGGGATCGCAGCTGCTTCATCATCCGTTGGAAGAGATACCACGATCGGGTCCTCACTTTCTGCACGGGATGGTGGACCAGTTGGAGGAAACTCTCAAGCACGCCGGGGATGAGGTTGACGTTTTGCTGGAAGAAAGAGCTGTAGCGCACGCAGATTTCCATGTACTGCAGCTGGGTGGCGGGATGCGTGAATGACCGGATATCTGAACACGTAGATGTTAGTAACGGGGAAATATTACTCTCTTCCCGAGGGAATATACCAGATTCGACCATGCGCATCATCATCTCAGTCAATCGTTCCGCCGCTGGATTGTGCGGGACACCCTTGACATACAGGCTGCCGCCCTTGACGGCGATGTCGCCGAACAGGAACATCTCGTGCAGGGCGAGGTCCAGATCGCGCCAGTCGAGCTGTCCTCCCGACTGACGCATGTTCTCAAAGGTGGTGGCCACCACCTCGGACACAGCTCCAATGTACAGCGGCTCGTCGACCGTGGCGACGATCTGCTGCAGCACGCCCAGGCGTTTGCGGAGTTCTTGGAATTCGGCCTCGTCGGTCTGTTCATCGTCGTCGCCCCAGGACGAGGTGTCGTCGTAGCGCATCTTGGCGATGACGGCCTTGAGGATAGGCAGGAGGATGGAGGAGTGCTGGGCGGCGGCAGCCGGGTTGGACTTGGCAACCTTGCGCAGGTAGGAGAGCAGGTCGCTGACCGAGGGGATGACGGTCGAGCAGACCTCGTCGTACTCGTCGGAGAAGTAGCGGAGGATGTGGGGCAGGAAGGCCTGCAGGAGGCCGTTGGCCTTGTCGCGGTAGTCGGGCGCCGTGTGGTCCTGCTCCAGAGCGCGCACCACGTCGATGACGGTGATGTTGACCAGCTTGGCGACGGTCTCGGCGAGGTCGGTGTCGTACTTGAAGGTGAAGCGGTTCTCGTAGAGGGGCGGGCTCGCGGAGAGCTGGGCGACGATGGAGTCGAGGTTGAGGAAGATGATCATGTCGACCTTGTCCTCGGCCTTCATCTTCTTGCCAATGATCTCGGTGAAAACGTCGACGGCAGCGTCGCGGACCTTCTCCTCGCCGGAGCGCAGCTCGGGCTTCTGGGCGCGGCTCAGCTGGCGGAAGAGCAGGTCCAGCATGGTCTGGTTGACGACGAGGCCGATATCGATCCAGCTGACCCAGCTCCCCACGGCCTTGAGGGACATCTCGACGATCTGGTCATCGACCTCGCTCCAGCTCGAGAGAATCTCCTGCCACGAGCCGGCAATCTTCTGCATGTCCCGGACGCGGATCAGGTCCTTGAGCGAGTTGGCGCGGTCCTGCTCGGCGCGGGAGCGGGAAAGGAGGACATCACCGATCTCGTCGTGGATGGTGTGGACGACCCGGAGGTAGAAGACGATGCCGCGGGGGTTGTCTCGGGAGGTGCTGGCGGGGCTCGAGTAGGTCAAGGTCAAGAGGTCGTCGAAGAAGGACTCCCACCCACTCGCGTAGAGAGCAGAGAAGAGGAAGGTGATGGTCTGGGCGATCTTATTCTGAATGGCGGGGCCGTCGGGGGTGGCATTCTCGGGGCCAAAGCTCTGGCGCAGGTAGGTCATCAGGCCGTCCCGGACGTAGCCCAAAGCCTGCGGGTCAATCAGACCGGCTTGGGCCGCACTGTTGACCACTTCCAACGCGGCATGACGAACAATCTCGGAGTGTTTCGGGGTTTTGGTGAAGAGGGTAAGGCAGACCTGCCAACCGGAGGGATCGGAGCGAAGTTGATATAGGTAGTCGAAGGCCTGAGTTTTCAGGGCATGGTCTGAAGCAGGGTTGGAGGCGATCTCGATGGCGCTTGCTACCTGGGGGGAGGGGTTAGTATTTGACCAATTGTTTCTTATTTCTTATTCCTCCCTTCTTTCTCCATTATCCACAAGAAACTCAAGCATCAATGGAGTGGAGGGGCATAGAGGGGCACGAGGGGAGACGGAGACGGGGGTGGGGGGGATTTTTTCTCCCCATAATTTGACCGAACAAGACCAGACCACACCGATGAAAGAGAGAGAATAAACATACCTGTTCTTCCATCTTCGACCAGCCTGCCTTCAGAGTCTTCTAGGGGACGGGACTCAAAAAGGACAGAGAGATAGAGGGGGAGAGGAGAGGGGAGAGAGAGAGAGAGAGATGGAGGATGAGGGTGAGTCGGAGGAGAAAGAGAGAAAGAAAGGTGGGATGATGGAATAAGAATTATGCTGTCTGATAATCAGGAATAAAATGATAATACGAGACCGATGATAATAATGCCGGGCTAACCAGTCTGGGCCGGATCCAGTTTCTCGGGTAAATGGGATACAAATATCAAATAAAATGGTAGAATGAAATAGAATGTAGACAAATAAATAGAATGAATCTAGACTATCAATGAAACCAATCTATAAAGCGATTGTTGTGCGTGAAAAAGATCAACTGGTGTTCCAAACTTTTTTATGATTCTTTCCCGACCGGGCGGTTGGCTGCCCGCCGTTTCAGGCACCGATCCAACTGTCTCCCAGGACAGCGCATCCATGCCTGACATCATGCCGATCAACTATTATATTTCGTAGAGTGTATATATATATTTATATGGTTTTAAACACAGAATTCATTAGTTTTTCGCCTCCTCCACCGCCTGGTGCTCCATCTTCGCGAATCCCTCCACCGCCTGACCGTACTGCGCAAACAGCTGCGGCTGGTATCCGTCCGCGATCTTCTCGATGAACTCCTCCTCGTGCCATCGCTTCCCGATCAGGTCCTCGAAGGTCTGTCCCGGCGTACGTTCGATGCCCCAGACCGCCTTGTAAGCTGCTCCCAGGGCGCACGCGTTGTCGCCGATCTCCAGCTTGTACACGCCCTCGCTGCCGCCCAGCAGCTCGCCCGCCAGCTTGGCGATCGCCTTGTTCTTGGACCCGCCGCCAACGAGGTACACCCGGCGGGGCTGGGCCGGCATCCCCGCGCCGGGGCTGGTGGTCAGCTCGCGCGACCGCAGCCGGAGTGACAGGAGCTGGCTCTCGACGATGGCGCGCGCCTCGTCCGCCGGCTGGTCCCATCCGTCTGCCGTCTCGTGCAGACGGCCGTCCTGGGGCTGGTAGGTGAAGCGCCGTTGACAGGCGGGCAGGTTCGGCACGATCTCCGGGCGGGGGAAGAACAGGCCCATCTTCATGGGGTCGGAAGCCGGGTCCTTCTGGCCCAGGGCGGGGGTCTGCAGCGCGATGCGGTCGAAGTGCGCCCATGGGTCACTGTCGTTGGGGCCCAGTTTTGCGTTGATGGCGTCGCGGACTTGCTCGCGGGCCAGACCGCCGTTCTTGTAGCAGAGCATGAACATGTAGAGCCCTGCGGTGGTGGGATGGTTGAAGAAGTGCGTGGCCGGGTCGGGCTGGTAGCTGGGCGTCGACATCAGGAATGTCGTCGATGTGCCCAGCGAGACCATCGCGTCGGACGGCCGCAGCGGCAGGGCGAGGATAGTCGCCGGGTTGTCGCCTGTCGACGGGATGACCGTGCAGCTGGGGTTGAAGCCGTACCGCTCGAGGAAATACCGGTCGACTGTTCCGAGGTGGAATCCGCCGTCCTCGGGGACGGGACCCAGCTTGCGCTTCAGGTCGTCCACCCCGAAGCTGCCCGCGCACAGCTTCAGCAGCCGCTCGTCGAAGTCGCCCTTCTTGATGTTCCACAGGTTCATGCCGCAGACGTCAGAGATGTCAAACGGCGCGATCCGACCCAGGAAAAGCGACGCCAGAAACGAGGACACCAGAGAGATGCGGAGGGTCTTCTTGTAGGTGTCGGGGTGCTTTTTCTGGAAGCGCAAGATCTGGGGGCCAGTGAATCTCTATCGACGTGATTAGTATGACCATGATCACATCACCAGTAAGAAACAGAGTAAAAAGCCAGAAACTCACATGGTGCGCCTTACTCCCCGTCACACGGGCCAACTCCTCCGGGCGCCCCAGACAAGCATCAAACTCATCACACTCACGCTGGGTACTCGAATCCTGCCAATTGGGGCTATACGGGTGCGAGAAAGCCCCACTGAGCTGCTCCTCAAGCGACTTGCCCGCATCGAGACTCTTCAGCACGATCTCAGCGTTCTCCCCCCAGTAGACACTCCCATGCTGCTGGCCGGCGCCGCTGATGCCCATGACGCGGGAGAAGTCGAGGCCCTGTTCGCGCAGGCCCTCGAGGACGCCGTCTAGCGCCTGCAGCCACATGGCGACGGGGGCGACGACCTCATGCTCGGCTTCATTGATGAGAACGCCCTTCTTGATGGGGAAGTTGCGCGAGTCGGCGTCGAAGTCGAATTTGGAGACGTGGACGACTTTGAGGTCCGAGTTGACGACTAGACCTTTGAGTTGTTGGGTCGAGAGGTCGAACCCGATGTATAATGGGCCGGAAGACATTTTGACCGGAGGAAATGTGTATTATGTTGATCTAGAGGTGGATTGAAGGAGGAAAGGTGAGGGTGGGATTACGGACGGGGTGGTTTGGTGGGGGATGTTGCGGTGATGACGTCGTTGTGCGGGTATTTGTTGACAAGACGGGGTTGATATAGGGATGTATTAAGAGGAAGAGAGATACATGGAATCTAGTAAGATGATGGAGAGAGCGAGAGAGAGAAAGAGAAAAGAAAAAAGAGAAGAGTTTAAGCACCGTGGATAAAGTTCCACGAGGGAAGCCAGACAATTTATCTTCCTCCATATACGACAAGCACTACAATGATCGTCCACCCGCCCCTGCTCTGATGTACCGGTTATTTACCCAGTCCAAGACGATCGCATCTCGCCCTCTCTCCCACCAGACTACGGCGCCACAATAAAAAGACCCCCAGGGATGAGCTAACACGATGGAAGCTTCTAAGTTCTGACCATTGCCACATATGATATCAACCGAAGTGGGCAGTGGAATCTGGATACTAAGTGGATCCCCCACTGGCACTGCCGCGCATTTAACCGGTTAATATGCCTTTTTACCGGTCTAGCTCTAGAACAGCAATGGTATCAGCGAATGCCGAGAATTGGCATGGTTTATCTAGTCTATACCTTATCTCATTAGATGTCTGGACTCGTGGGTATGAGTTTTTTAGTATGTATATAGTGGTGTATACGATCTATAGACAAGACAGATGGCCAACTATCTGGGTATGTATCAAGTCGGTCCATCACAAATCGATTGCCATCTACTATTTTCTTCAATCAGAGTCTATTCCAACCCGACTTCTCCGGCCCACCAATTCAGCCGTGGGGGTATCTTTGACCCGTCAATTTTCGAGGTCCGGATGCAAAAGAAATGTACAATCGACACAAACACTAGCCACTGTAACGCAAAATCAACGTCGCTTGCGGGTAGAGTCGTGGGTATGATCATGGTCATGGTCGTGGTCATGGGTGTGACCGTCGAATTGCGCATCGATGGCTCCTTCGTCCGATTCCGGGGTGCGCTCGGAGACACCCTCCGTCGAGATGAACTCCTCGGAGAAGGTGGGCTCTTCGTTTTCAACAGGTACAAAGCGGATCTTGACGCGCTTCACACCCCGCACGGCCACTCCGATCGCCGACCGCACGCTCTCCTCGATCTCGCGCGACCGCGCGATGGGCCATGCGCCGGGCACCGCCAGTTCCACGTCCATCAGGTAGTTCTGTCCGGATTTCATCCCCTGGACGGCGCGGACCTGGATCTCACTGCCGTCGCGCATCTTTCCAAGCACCTTGGCGGCAGCCTTCTGCACCGAGTCCTTGATCTCGTCGTCCACCGTGGTGTCCGCCAGCTCGAGGAGCGACGATGTAGTGTTACCCCATCCCGCCTTGATGACCATCAGCGAAATCAGGAGCCCGCCCACGGGGTCCAGCCACGAGGCATCCCGGAAGACGTAGGTGCCGGCAATGGTGCAGAGGGCAACGATGCTCGTCAACGAATCGATTCGGTGGTGAACGGCGTTGGAGGCTAGGACTGAGGATTTGCGTTCGGTCGCGACTTTCATAGCTGGAGAATCATGAACGTATTAGCATGCGGTGCTGAGGGGGGACAGATCAAGGAGACGGGAGTGAGACATACTGGCATGATACAACCATTCTTTCACCACGATAGACCCTGCCGCGAGCCACGCCGCGTGGATGCTGGGACCCGACGCGTCAATCCCGTGGCTATGCGAATGCGAATGGACGTGACCGAGGACCCCCAGATGCGCCATCGTCTCCGCGGCTTCGGGATAAAACTGACTGAGCAGCACCTGGCCGGAATTTAACCCCATAAATACACCTCCGCACAGCAACAGGCCGCTCACGCCCAGCGCGCCAATGCTCTCGATCTTCCCGTAGCCGCTCGGAAAACGTTCGCTCGGGGGTTTGAGCGACCAGGCGACCGTGCCCAGCGTCAGAAAATCCGACACCAGATCGGTCAACGCATGGTAGGCGTCAGCCACCAGGGCCTGCGAGTGAAACATGTATCCTCCGATAAACTTGCCAATGGCCATGGCCAGGTTGGCCACGAGACCAATTCGCGTGATCCGGACGCCCGCGTCGTGGGTGTTCGAGGAGGTGAGGTAGACATTGCTGCCATGGTGGTGATGGTGATGGTGATGGTGGCCACCGTGGCCTCTGGTTTGCTCGACCATGGCAGGGAGGGTGACGGGGGTGGTGGTGGATGTGATGCAAGAAGGGGGCGGAAGCAGGCGGGGAGAGGCGGAGGAAAGGGAGACAGGGAGGGAGCCGGACTTCTTATAATAACCGACACGAGGTAGCGTTGTCGAGGAAGTTCGCAAAACACGAAGTGGAGCTGAGGACAGACGAACACGAGGAAGAAGAGCAATACCAGATCGAGCTTCTCTCCAGGTGGAGGGGCGGAGGGAGGATGACCGGCAGGAATACGAATCGAACAAATGCGCCCTGCACCGCAGGCGCTGCGTCAGCGGCATCTCAGGCCGGAGTGCCGCAAGGCGCACGCACAGGTCGATCAATAGTCGTAACAAAGAACAAACTGGACAAGTAATTAATCCAATGAAAAATAGAATAATAAAAATAAACGCTAGGCCAAGTCTGGGGCCCGTCAGCAAATAACGCTTAGCCCTTGGACAATAATAGTAATGAGAACAATCAATAAGCTGTTCAATCAGCACCGAATACTGATGATTCACGAGCTGAGGACACTCTGTTCTTCTTGGCCGTTGGATGCACCGTGATCACAGTGCATCTGTCTTTGTTGTATATACCAATTGAGGAGGTTGGTGAGGGGAGGGAGGTTGTTGAAAGAGCAAGAAGTCAGGAAAGAGAGAGGAAGATAAGGATGAATTAATCATACCAAGACCGGCAAGTCATGATCCCGACATGCGCTGAGCTTCCGCTCCGACGTCACTCGTTAGCCCTAACTTGATGCCTTGTTTTGGCCATATCATGATCAACTTGGGGTATTTTATATAAACAAGGAAGTGGCATTATCCAACAAAGACATCATTGATTAGCACGTACAACTTGAAGCCTCCTAAATAAGCGCCACTGCGCACAACACAGCAACCCTAACACCCAATCAACTGAGCTAGCCGATCCTGTCTATCACAAAAGATATTGATCGCCTCAGTGAGCTTCCCCTCGCTTTTCCCATTCATACCTCTCGTGACTGCTAGCCGATACGCCGACTCGTCATGGAGGAACGACACGCGGTGGCAGGGCGCCGCGCCGAGATCAAGATCAATATCGAACAAGAAGTTCGATAGCGGGGAGGAGATGGGCTCTGCAAGATGACGCAGGAGACCTGAGGAAATAGTGATGTGGTCCACGGTTGCAGGGGTGAATATTTCCTCTGTGGAGGTCAGATTGGCAAGTAAGACTTGTGTTTCGGCTTTGATGGATTCGTAGTATCTCTGGATGCGGACGCAGAGGTGGAGGGGCTTTGTGCCGGTGTCTGGGACTATCGGGTGGATTCAATATGTATGTACTCTTTGATAACAATATTTCTTGTGACGGATGGAGAATGGCTTACCCCGGGTCACAATGAACCCTCAGCTGGTTCACGTACGGCGCCACGTACATGCACCCTACCTCTTCCGCCAGAGCTGCCTGTTCTAGAGTAAAGATTAGGGTAGCGATAGTGTATGCCCCGTCTTGTGAAAGGATCTGGCACGCTATCAAGCCCTCCCAAGTTTCTAGGAGTATGATACAGATCCTACATGGTGGGAACTCTGGCTGTAGGATCTGGAAGAGCTGGATAATTCCTAGAAATAGAATTAGTCAGGCTGGAGTAGTCGACTGATTCTAATACTATGGGAGTTGCTCCCTCTGCGCATAAGAGATGGTGTTCTCAGTCGAGTACACATAGTAAGGGTTTGTCTGGATATGGACGTGGCCCGTAACATACGGGGCGATCTTCAGGGCCAACTTGACCATCTTCACGGCTTTATATTGGCGGACGTACAGGAGGCAGGAGAGGTAAACGGGCTATTACTGCAACTTCCACCGCTAATTCCCGCAGACCGATGCCAGGGAATTCCTGGAGCAGCCTTCCGGCGTGGATAACGGCGGCGGCGATCAACCCTGTATGTTTGGGCTTGGAGAGCTCGGCGTATGCGATTGCCTAGATGATGGCGAGATGGTCAACATCTTCTTTGCTCTGATGGTTGGAATATCAAAATACCTGATTGGAAGTGCAGTCGTCGAATGGTCCAAATGATCTAGCCCCTGGAGACTGGTTAAGATACTCGGCTTGTCTTCATACATCTGACGGTTTATATGTAGAATACTTACCATCCTCGTCCATGGTGTCGCAGTCGACAATGCTTCTCTGGCGAAGAACGTTCAGCCCAGTCTGTTCAGTAGCCATTTGGTTGTTGAGCACTTTAGTATGATCGGGACAGAATGTGTAGAACAAGGGAGCCTTTCTTGGATCTGCTGTGACCAGCTGGCAGAAGGTTATATATCAATGTCTGAAAGTAGTGACAAAGACCCTGATATCAACTTCTTTCCCCATTTCACTGTTCTAGCGTTGGTAACATTACGAACTATGCTATTCACTTCAGGCATGCAGTCATAGTAATATTTCAAACTTCGATAAGTATAGAATGAAGACAGTTGCCGTGTTCTACAAGGTAGGATGTAATTATGATGGACTCGAACTCCAAGTGACCAAGAAAATTGGAAAGACGCGGCAATACCATGGAGCACGACTTGCAAACAAGAAACCGGTTAGAAGGAGGAGAGTATGGACTGTTCTTTTGAACCAAATCCTACTCAGTTTATCCGCCGGAGACATCTTCTAGAACATGGTATATCTTCCACACTGCGAAGTAGGTAGCTTGAGGCGTGGCTTGATATTGTTACTGTTTGAGAACACACCAACAACTTTAATAGGGTTGGGGTACAACCACAATGGGTATAACTTAGCACCCCGTACCATGGCGATTCAAAGATGACTTCTGCGCCTATGATACGGATGCCAGTTGCGGGGTCATTGCACACAAGCATCGGGATGACAGGGCAGTGATCTCCCAGGGCTCGAGTTGCCAGTTGGCGGACCCGTCGGGTAGACCCACGAACCTGCCCGTTGCGAGCAGACCCTTAAATCGGTCGGCTTTACTCCGTACTCGACGAAAATATGATGACCCAGTTCTACATGATCATGTTATCCCATCCCACTTAACTACGAAAGTGCCAACATAAAAGTATATAGGCGATGTGACCCTGATATGAAACCCTTTACGTCTCATTGACGAGAGAAGAATGGGCGATTAACGACGGGAGTCCCTCTGGGGTTCTCATTCCTCTCGGCGATCGCGACAGAATGCCGAAATCAGTGAGAGATGCTTAGCACGTCGACCTCATCCCAGTGAATGGTGGCCGACGTGGGCGGAGACCCGTAGAGAAGAAAGAAAAAGCAGGAAGGAAAAACGCGGTCGAAAATATTATATAGGGCAATCCCGTGACGAGGGCGGTGAGTGTGGGAAGAAGAATTCTCCGAGATGGTAATGCGCAGCCGCTGATTGGCTGCACTGGGAGAATAATGCCGAGTCCACGTGATCACAGCGCAACCCGAGGTAGTCCGACCCGCGATTCCGACACAGATCGGGAGTTCGAGGCGCCTTTTGGACTTTCTCGTTGACGACGACGACGGTACTCTCCTTGCCTGCTGCTGCTCCACTCTCGACTCAGGTGTCATATCTATCTTCATCATGCTTTCCCAGAAGGTCGCTCAACAGTCCCTGCGACGGCGTATGTTCTTTCTTGTCCGCGTGCAATTCGGGTGTCTCAACTAATTCGTGATCCAGTCGCCGTCCAGCAGCCCTACGCCATGCGGTGGGCGGCGATGAACGCCGCCTCCCCGGCCACCATTGCGATGGGAAGGAATGTCCAGACGAGGTGGGTGATGATTTCCGGGTCTCTTGTGCCATTGCGACGGTCTGGTCGGTGCAATCGGTCGCATTGCGACAGGGATAATCGACGTCATGCGAGGCCTCCTATCAGCGACGGGACAAGAGACACAACGTTCTCAGCTTATGCCAAGAGAATATATTGATTGACATTGACAGATTCACCGCGTCGACCACGAACACCCAAGATCCCACCAAGATCCTCGCCCAGCAGCGCCTGAACCGCCCGGTCTCCCCCCACCTGAGCATCTACAAGCCCCAGATCACCTGGATCGGCAGTTCTATCCACCGTATCACCGGTCTCGTCATGTCCGGCCCTCTGTACCTGTTCGCCACGGCTTACCTCGCCTCTCCCCTGCTGGGCTGGCACCTGGAGTCGGCCTCCATGGCCGCTGCCTTCGGCGCCCTCCCCCTCGCTGCCAAGGTTATCCTGAAGACCGCCGCTGCTCTCCCTTTCACCTACCACTGCATGAACGGCGTCCGTCACTTGCTGTGGGATCTCTGCATTGGTATCACTAACCAGCAGGTCATCAAGTCGGGCTGGACTGTGGTGGGCCTGAGCACAATCAGTGCCCTTTCTCTTGCGCTTCTGTATTAAGTTTCATGTGTCATACCTTCGAGTGGTGTTCTTTCTTTTACCCCTTTCCTAGTGTTGTTCTTATAAAATTGTTCTTCGTGCAGTATATTTTACCAGTGTCAATCAAGGCTGATCTTTAAATCTTCCACGTCTGGTATTCGTTGTGGTTCTATAAACAATCCGAGATGGAAACAGCCGGGTAGTTATCTGGTCTTGACTGTTCTATGGTAGGAAGAAAGTGCTTCAATGCCTTGATAGATAGCGGGAAAGCACGTTGGCTTTGGGTTCTTTTGATGGCTGAATATCAGCTGATGCAATTACACGGCCTCACCACTCTTGATTCTGTCCCTCATTCTTCTAACTGTCTAAAGCCAATCACCGAAAACATGCCAATGCATCTTTTTAACCCGTCTATTATGGTGTCCAATCGTTCTTCTCTGGTTTCAAGTTGAAATACCGGCGGTCATTAATTTGCTTATCTGTGCTCTGTGACAGGGGTCAGCATTGAAACCCTAGCGAACTCAGGGCTTGGCCGAAACGTACGACCTGCTCCAACATACCAATCTCCACGCATGGTTCATCTTCACTCATGGTTCACTCCGGGTAAACCCTTCCAGGGGGTCCAGAGCGAGGCAAAATCAGGCAGGACTTGGAGGAGGGTTCGGTGGAAAAGGTCGGGGGGACGGCGGGTCTTGCACGGAGAACACGATTATGCCGATATTTCCCCGCCCCTGGAATCTGTTCTGTGAAGCTGTCCGAGTGGGGTTTCGAATACACAAAGGATCGGCGACGGGTCCCATGTTTCCAGAGCACGAAGCGTGCGGATTTGATGGGTCGGGATAGGATTGAAGCGAGGGATACACAAGATGGAGGACGTTGTGGGAGGTAGTGAGGGTCAGGTGTCAAGATGGTGACAGAGATGCTGTGCTCTTCCTTGTGACAGTGGGTAGATACTGATCCTGGCAAAGCAAAAGTTAGGTTTCTTGCCAGAGAGATTGGCACGACTGCGCTGTTTAAATGCTCCAGCCCCTATACACCGCCAACCCAGCAACCCAGCAACCATCCGACAGCACGGGAAAGGGCCGCGTGGAGAAGGCCATGTCGACCTTCGGATGGCTATCTCCACAAGCGACCAGACTCCGGCGGAGGAGGACTGTTCGCGCTGCCCTGCAAGGGCCCGACGATAAATTGGACGTATAATCTAGAAAATCGGGGTGCGCAAACCGGCGCTATCGCTTGAACATGCTCCCCAGGTCCTATACTTAGCACTGACTGGGGAATGGAGAGCGTGGACGTCCCCAACGTCTTTGCATTTGTGTCCGCCACAGCCCAGTTCCCCGGCCACCATCCTGGTCTTCTCAACCTTGCAGCCGCGGGCCTTGTGATACCTTCGGCCTCGGGTGGATGAGCTCCCCGGATTCCTGCAGCCAATCCGCCGGTAGCCAACTTGCGGTGCCAACATGCGGTTTCCTTGCGTCGTATTCATACCCCGAGAAGATTCACAGTTCTTGTTTTCGTTCCTTTCTTTTCTTTCCTCTTCTGAACTCTCGTGGTAATTGCTAGCGGCGCAGAATATCTATTCTAGTTTGCTTCTGACATCTATTCTTTCCCCTCCCGGCACAACGCCCTGAATTCGGATTCATTGCTTGCTTCCTGGAGCTCGGGGCGTTTGGCTTTGCATCCGCTGTGTGGATCAGTCGAGTTGCTCACGGGAGCTCGTGGAGCCGTGTTTCGATGAAAACAGGGTCTTCGCAGTTCGAGAAAAGGAAGAGACCCCCGATTGGCTACCAAGTGGAGTATACAAAGGCATTGTTATGAACAGAGGGATCGGTGTATTACCCGTGATCCTTCTTGCCGTATCTCCCTGCGATATATATATTCCTCATTTCTTATCTCTTCTCTTGTTGCTCTTTCCTTTTTGTCCCTTTGTCCGGCGTCCTTGACTAACAGAGTTTCGCAAAACTGGTCCGAAATTGCGGTCTAAGAAGCAAACACATCGGCCCCAGATGAGCCCTGCACCGCTCCATTCCAGTGGGTACCATTTACCAAACAACCAACACGTGGAGCTCTCAACACCCCATGGTCGCGCAAATGACACCTCAATTGATAGGACAGCGTTAGGGCTTGCGCCAGAGGCCGAGAGAGCTCTAGCAGGTATCCCGGCCAGCAGTATTAGCGGTGTGAGAGCTATCGATTCTTGTGAATATGGTGGTGGAGCTTATCAAAGCTCAGCACAACTCTCTAACCCGTATACAAAGCTCAGTCCTTCTAACGGTAGCGACAGGCATTTGCTCCAGCAGTAGCCGCAGACAGACGTTAAACTCCACGAAAACCCCGAAGCCCTCGGGGTGCTTCTTGTATTGGCGCAAAAACTACCCGTCTGCATCTCTGACCATCCTAAACCCATTATTTACCTGCATCCGCAATGGCTTGCGTAACCAGGACAGCGGTGCCACCATGGACCATGCACACTGTATCGTGCCGGGAGTTTTCCTGCAAACGGCTGTTTACTTACTTACCGCTGGTTCTGACGCTATCTGCCGAGGCTTATCCGGTGGGCTGCTGCAGGTGCTTATTGTCTGAGGCAGTGAGTAAAATGGGGGGTTGGGCTTGTCCCATTTCATATCGCCGTGGGGGAAGGAACTAGCCGCGAGGGGTTTCAGGATATACTCTTTTTGTCATCGTACGGATCGAGATGGTGCAAGGCCGCGTTTCTGTGATGGGTCTGTCTTCGTCACGGCCCATGGCATGACCTATAGACAAGACTATGCTGATGTTGGCGTTATTCAGAAGAAGACTAGAGATGGATACGGCTGGAGACCGCTGCAACATGTTGGTTTGGAGATTCAATGGCCTAAAGCTTCAGCAACCATGCTCCCCGTCCTCTACAAATCACACACGAATTGACCCGGTGGGACTGGGTGACGCAATCAAATAGAAACCAAAACATATAGGCCTAATCGGACCATTACAGACGGATGTAGGAGGCCAGTCCGCCAGTACCTCAGTGTATGGCAAGGACGGGGTGGTTGACATGGAAGAGGGTAGATGTACTTCTACAGACCGGGCGCCTAAGAATAGGATGCTAATGTACTATTTTTGTCTCATATTATCCTACGCCTCTGCTTAGAAAATGACACTGCTCAACAGTGACACGATGAAACGGCCTTGAATATCTGTCTGAGAGCACTGGATATTGACACCTGAGGTGTCTATATATACAACCCAAACAGGACTAGCGCCGCACCTCCGAAATCTTCCCAATGATCCATCCCGAACGGAATTCCAATCGCTCCCTCGCTCTCTCAGCGTGAACTCCCCCCAACGACCCTCTCGCACCCTCCCCGTCGGTCTCTTCTTTCTCGATTCACACAATGGCATCCATGCTATCCGCGCGCGCGGCCAGGACCGTCTCCTGTTCGACCTGCCGCACCTTCGCCGCGCCCATCGTCTCGTCGTCCGCTCTTCTCTCCCGGCGTGCATACTCGACCGAGCAGGAGGCTTCCTCCCCAGTCGACTACGCGAACAAGCCCCGCTGGTCGTACACGCCGCCGCGCGCAAAGGCCCCCTTCAGCTTGCGGTTCGATTCGCGCCGACAAGAATATCCTGTCAACTCCGACCCGAAGGCCTTGGATGAGTTCTACCTGCGCATGCTCGGCAAGGACGGTGACAAGGTTTTGTCCGATGAGGTGAAGTGGCTGGCGGTGACGCATAAGAGTTTTGACCAGGGCCGGAGGGGATTCAATGATCGGTTGGCTTTCTTGGGTAAGTTTGATCTCACTTGGCTCTCAGCCGATCCCAGTCGGTCAATTGGGACATAGCTGACGAGACGTGTTTGACTTGCAGGGAAGCGGATCGTTCAGCTGCAGGCTTCGCTGGCGCTCGTGCAGAGCCCCAGCACCTCCGCGAACGCGGCGGCTCCTGATGCTCAAGGCCGCGAGCCTTTCACGCACCCGGCTCTCGATGGCCTGAACAACCTGTCTCAGGGTATGAAGGACTTCTTGATCAGCAAGACGCAGATGGCGGAACTGGCGCAGAAGTACGAGTTGCAGAAGGTTCTGCGGTGGAGCCCGAGAAAGGTGAGTTTCGCCTTTATCCCGGAGGGATATGCTACGTCCCGCCTGTGATTTTACGTGGCTAACATATGTCCTTGTCAGCCTCAAAACCTGACCACGTCCGGACTTGACCTGGTCCTCACCCACACGATGTACGCGGTTATCGGTGCCATCTCGCTGGAGAAGGGCGGCCATGCGGCCAACCAGGTGGCTCAGGAGCGGATACTGGCGCCGCTGGGCTTCAAGACTACGGCTTGAGAGCGCTAGGGAGGGTGTACAGGGAGCATTTCAGGCGTTATTCTCATTTCTATCTTTACCTTGACCGATTGTGTATGGATCGGGATTGGCTGGGGACTGCCATCATCCTCAGGATACTGTTTCTTTCTTGTCCTTTTTGTGTACTGTACTACTATACGACCTGTGATATACATATGGATTTGAATTGGAAAAGATCATTGAATGATATTCTGCCTATACGAGAATTGAGAATGTGATAAAATGAGTTAAAATAAAATAAAAAGTATGCAAGAGATGTCCGGTTCCTCTGACGCCGCCCGAATAACCGTAAAATACTCGGCCAGCTCTTATGGAACCCTCGTTCAGAGAACGATCGTAGTCTCCGCACCACTGTATCGCAATTCAGCAATGAAAGACCGGATACCACCGACAGAATGCCTGATGGTGTCCGAAAATCACGCAAAGTAATTTATGCTGACTTGAACTGTCTATTGGGAGCGTTGAAGAAGAAAGAAAAAGGAAAAGGCCGGAGCGAAAAAAATTCGAGAAGATATGGACCTGGGATGTGCGCTAGGCTGGATGTGGTTAGTGGGACTGACAGGGGTGAGTCAGCAGGATAAGGATTGTGCATGGTTTATGCATGATTAGATCATCCCGTCCGCTATGCACGGATAGTTACATAATCACCATAAAAGGGATCATAAAGTGATCTAAGAAAGAACAGGAAATTAAATCGAGTCGGGGATGATCCAACTCATTCAACAACCTCACTTCTCTCCTCCTCTAATCCGTCTTCTTCGCGACTCCCAGTACCCCCCCGGACTCGCATCTCCTATCTTTCCCTGACTTGTGGGTTTGCTCCTCCATCTACACATCGACACCCTTCTAATGCACGTGCCCAGTGCCCCTATCGCAGCATGTCGCTAGTGGTTTCGCTGGCCTCCCGCTGCGTTTAATCCCCCGTTCAATTCGACTCGACCCGGCCGATTTGATCCTCGATCGTCATATCTTCTCATCCTTAGAATCTATCCTCTCCTCAATCCTCCACCATGGCCTCGGCCCTCTTCTTCCTCGACCTCAAGGGCAAGGTGTGTCAACCCCTCAAAGGATGGCTTGCCCCCCTCTCCGTACTGACCGTCGGGGACCCAGACCCTTTTAGCCCGAAACTATCGCGGAGACATTCCCATGTCCGCCGTCGAGAAATTCCCTATCCTCCTCAGCGACGCCGAAGAAGAGAGCTCCGCCGTGCCGCCCTGCTTTTCTCACGAAGGAATCAACGTACGTCTTTCGAGCTTCCCGCGTTGCGTGTTGCGTGTTCTGGCCGTCCCGTCTCGCTCCCCGCCTTCGTTCCCCGCAACCTGTGTCTCCCATATTCCCAGCCCGATTCTTTCAGAACGAAACGCTGGATGGTTTAGCTGACTGACGTGTGCAGTACCTATATATCCGCCACAGCAACCTTTACATCCTCGCGCTGACCAAGAAAAACACCAATGCCACCGAAATCCTGCTCTTCCTCCACAAGCTCGTCGAGGTCTTCACCGAATACTTCAAGGTGCTGGAGGAGGAGAGTATCCGCGACAACTTTGTCGTTATCTATGAATTGCTCGACGAGATGATGGATTTTGGGTATCCGCAGACAACGGAGAGCAAAATCTTACAGGAGTGCGCCGCCTGATCCCACAATCCAGAGGCAAAGGAACTGACCGTCCTAGATATATCACACAGGAATCCCACAAACTGGAAATCCAAGCCCGTCCCCCGATCGCCGTCACCAATGCCGTCTCCTGGCGCAGCGAGGGCATCCGCTACCGCAAGAACGAGGTCTTCCTGGACGTGGTGGAGTCGCTCAACCTGCTGGTGTCCGCGTCGGGCAACGTGCTGCGCTCGGAGATTCTCGGCGCGGTCAAGATGAAGTGCTACCTCAGCGGGATGCCCGAGCTGCGGCTGGGGCTGAACGACAAGGCGATGTTCGAGACGACGGGGCGGGCGACGCGCGGCAAGGCCGTCGAGATGGAGGACGTCAAGTTCCACCAGTGCGTGCGGCTGTCGCGATTCGAGAACGACCGCACCATCAGCTTCATCCCGCCGGACGGAGAATTCGAGCTCATGAGCTACCGGCTCAACACGCAGGTCAAGCCGCTGATCTGGGTCGAGTGTCTGGTGGAGTCGCACTCGGGGTCGCGTATTGAATATATGCTCAAGGTATTCTCCCGCCCCCTTGTTAATATCAACAACGTAACTAACAAAATATAGGCCAAAGCTCAATTCAAACGCCGCAGCACAGCCAACAACGTCGAGATCATCGTCCCCGTCCCGGAGGACGCCGACTCCCCCCGCTTCCGCACCAACATCGGCACAGTGCAGTACGCCCCGGAACAGTCCGCCATCGTGTGGAAGATCAAGCAGTTCGGCGGCGGCAAGGAGTTCCTGATGCGCGCAGAGCTGGGTCTCCCCTCCGTCAAGGGCGACGACGAGGTAGGCGGCGGCATGACGGGCGGGTTCGGCGGGAGTATGGGCGGCGCAGGGGCCCTGGGCAAGGCCAAGAGACCCATCAACGTCAAGTTCGAGATTCCGTATTTTACCACCAGTGGGATTCAGGTCCGGTACTTGAAGATTACGGAGCCGAAGGTATTCCTCCCCCTCCCTCCCCCCCCCCCTTTCTTCTTATTGCCCTTCTTTTATGTTCTTTATTTGGATTGAAAGCTAACGTTCACAGCTACAATACCCCTCTCTCCCTTGGGTCCGATACATTACGCAATCTGGAGACATTGCCGTCCGGATGCCCGATGTACAATGATATTATTTATACAGCGTTTTATTTTACTTTATTTGAATATGGCTAGTTCAATAGATTATTGCTTCTTGAAGATGTTGTAGGCTGGTATAATTGAATGTGCAAATCATCTGGCACTGGAATGTTCATCATCATCATCATCATCATCATCATCATCATTATCATAAGCATAAGCATAAGCATAATTAAGCCCATTAATTCCCCAACATTGACAAGCCAGACAATTGAGATCGTACAGAGCAACCATCAAGTATTCTACTCTACCTAGGTAAACAAAGAACATGCATGCCATAAACCACCATGGACTGACCTACCTAGTGAATCGATTTTCTTCCCTATCAGTATCCACCAACTAACAACACCAGCCAACACAATCAATACACCAAGAGTTAGCTATGTGTTTCGAAGCACTAGCAAAGTGTTCTTGCTCACTTTGTTAATGATATAGATCCTTGGGAAGAGTCTGTTTAATTATCTATTTGTATATCTACCTACCTTACCTTACCTATGTGGCTATGCTATGGATTGTTTACTGGCCTGGTAGGGGGAAATCGTTTACACAGAGGTATAGGGGATCATAGGCATGTGGTAATACTAACTGTATACATAAATGTACTGCTAAGATGGAGAAAGGGTTGTCTTTTATATACACGGTTTATGAGAATTCTACTTACCTCGCTAAACGGATAGTTGAGGTCAATATATACATGCATAACGTGATTGTAGAAACATGTCTATTTTTGGTTTTTTTATTTATTTATTTATTTGCTTGGTTGTTCGTTATCTATTTCACTGTCCTTGAGGTTGCTGACTGCACTCTGCACACTGCACACTGCAAACCAAACCAAACCAAACCAAACCACAGACAGCGATAAGGAGGAGTGACAAGTCAAGATACCTACTCAAGACAACTAACTCCAGGAAGAGAAAGACTTCAATTCAAATGAACCAATCAGGAGGAGGAGGAACACAGACATGTCATGCTTGGGTATCATGTCACAAACAACACCAGAAATAATATGAGAAGAATCTGTGAAAGGAACATAGAAGGATTAAATGAAAGGAAAGGAAAGTGAAGAACATAAAGGGTGAGGTTTTTGTCCCGGAACGCCGTCATTGCTTGCTTGCTTGCTGTTTTCGTATCCAATGTGGACTCGGGTGGAATCGATGATGTGAATGAAAGGAAGAAAGGAAGAAAGAAAGAAAGAAAAAAATATTAGACTGGGTGTAGTAGGGTCATGAGATGACACGAGTCGAGTGTTTGGAAAGATATGTGACGTGTCGAAACGCCATATATCTCCCTAGTTGTGATAGTACCTGGTAGGAGATGTCGATGCTACCCTCGAGTAGAGTCAGAATTACTCGTAGACACGTCCCCATCAGGCGTCTCCGGAGCCGGAAGCGGAAACCCATCGCCGTGCCCCATAGCCGCCGCCTTGGAGAAGCCCTCCCGCGCGAGCATGGTGTTCAGCACCGCGCAGTTGTAGGCGGCCTCGCCGGGCGGCACGACCAGGAATATATAGGTGTTGTCGGTGAAGCGGCCCAGGAAGACGTTGAACTGCGGGGTCTTGGTGTGCATGACGACGAAGCCGGCGGAGGCCGGCGTGGTGTGGGTGTTGCGCGCGGCGCAGTGCTTGAACGCCTTCATGATATTGGACAGGCGCTCGTGCCGGTCGTAGATGGGGTTCAGGTCCCCGACTTCGGATGAGACCGACGTGACGGTCAGGAAGGTGGAACGCTCGAATAAGATGACCTCCTCAGCGCCGATGCGCTTGGCAAAGGCTTGCAGGAAGCGCTCGATGACTGTTAGGTTGGGGATCAGGCGGTGGACGATGCCGGCCCATGCCTTGTACAGCGACTGGTCCCAGATACTGCTGCCGAAGGTGTCGATGGCGAAGTGTTCCGAGCGGCTGCGGATCAGTGCCGAGCGTTCCTCGTAGATGCGCTGGCGGTGCTCCGCCTGGATCAGGTCCAGCTTGTGCACCAGACAGAAGACGTAGGCGTTGGGGCTGAACTCCTTCAGCGCCGTGATGATGGCGTTGTAGGTGTCTAGATCGCGCTCCACCTCGCGAGATTCGATGTCGAAGACGTAGATCATAACGGCGACGTCCGAGAAGATGTTGCCGCGCTGCGACGCCAGATAGGTCTCCATGAAGGCATCTTGTCTGGTGGATGACGAGGGGGGGTCAGTCCATGGTCCATCAATTGGGGAACGTTCCCTCTAGATGAACAAGTGGCTGGAGAAAAAGAGACGACTACAAACTCACCCACCGCAATCCCAGAGGTTGAGAGTGAGGTTCCCCATGAATTTGACATGGCTGTGCTCCACATCAATGGTAGCACCCAAGCGCCGCACATCCTTGGCGACGTAGTTGCTGAAGATGATTGACCGCATGGACGACTTCCCCGAGCCGCTCTTCCCCATCAGGAGAACCTTTCTCTTCTTCTTTCGCACATCCATGATGCAGGATCCCTCTCCCGAGGTCAGAGGGAGCCGGAGTGGAGGCTATACCCCGCAAAGTGCGGGCACGGAAGGGATTCCAAATGAAAGTGATCCGATGGAGGGGATTCGAGTCAGGACCGGTCACTGACTCCCATTGAAGAGCAAGACATGCAGAATGGGCTAGACCAATGGAAGGAACTGAAGTTGGTAGGCGACATGCGTGGGGAAATGTGGAGAGAGGAGAGAGAGAGAGATGAGATGACTTTCAATCTTCCGGTCATGTAGTCCGGCCCAACAGATGATCCGGGGACTATCACATGACGTGACCTGCCGTCTGATCTTGGCGGGGCTCGAGCACATACGTCATATTTGGAGCTGTTGCTCTAGTGAATGTGCAGGACTAGGAAAGGAACTCGAGAAGATGGATTAGGTATACATTCTTATTGCGCCAAGTCATTCCTCCCATACAAATCCCAATCATCATTGCTTTTATCCCGGCCCATACACAAGAAATTATATACCAAGAACAAAATCCAACTATATCAATAGTGGAGACAAGAAAGAAAATATCAAGAAAAAAAGTGAGACAGAAGGAAAGAGATATCGGTACTCCGAAATCAGGCCCAAGGACAAAAGTATAGTAAACAACAAGTACAGAAATATAAGGCACGTTAACATCGGGTCATCAGAGTCATCACGCCCATAGGCGGCAAAGGTATCGAAAGAATCAACAGTACAAAGGAGATACGAAAGAGCCATTAGAACACCGTCCCATCGGAACGGATCATGATGGGCGGTTCTTTCGTGTTGGGTCGGGAGACCTCGGCGATTTCACGGCCACCCTATAACGATGGTTAGAATCACGTATGTAGTAGGTGATTTGCGACACGGGGTGAGAGCGTACCTTCCATGATCCAGCCTCTAGCATCTGCGCCAAGGACAATTGATCCTCCCCTCTCAGACCCAGCTGCGAGTTCACTTCGTCCAGCAGGTCGTCCAAAAATCCGACCGTGACCGCGCGCCATTCGACTACCACGTCGTCATCGGCCGAGAAGAAGGGAACGACCTCCACGCTGGGCTGCCCCCGAATCTGGGCGTTCTGCTTGTACGCAGCAACCCCTCGCTCGAGGTCCTCGTCCTTGAGGGTCAGCAGCCCCATGTCAATCAGGAGGCCACCGTTGCGATACTCGGGCAGCCCCGTGAGCAGCTCACTGCCCGCAAAGTGGATCTTCATCAACCGGGACATCGGGACCATGATGGAGTAGCACAGCCATTGGGTGAGTTTGTGGAATGGTACAATGTTCTCCCACGACTGCGCGGGCGGGGAGGGAGGCAGGGTCGAACAGGGCCAGGCGTCTCCGATCGAGAGGCCATCCACCTGGGTTCGGGACGGGGGCCAGATGGGGGTGAGCCCGTCCATCAGGACGGTCCACAAGGTGGTGATGGGAACGATGGGCACCGACGAAGCTAACGTGGATGGGTGACACAGGAGATAGTCTGTCGATCAAATTAGCCCCACAACTTCTCGCGTCGCGCCGTGCATTCCCATCGCGGGAGGGGGGGGGGGGGGTGAGCTTACCCAGCATATTCCCTGGTCGCGCATCCACCCCGAAAAATTCCTGGTTGTTTAACGCCTCCGAGAGTCGGATGAGAAGGCCAGCGCGGCCCTCGATACCCGCGAGCTGGTTCCCTTCCGAGTGCTGCATTCCCTTGGCGAGCACGTCGACCGTGATCTTCTTCAAACCGGCGCCATCCACCTGACAGGGTTCGGTCGGGTCGCTGCTGAACAAACCCGACTTGAACATCTCCAACGTGGCGACGGCCAACCCCTCACTGCGCGAAAAGATCTTGCCGGATTCCTTGGACCGGTAGGACCACGTGGTGCCAGCACCAGCGTCTAGGAGGACGGAGACAACGAAGAGGTCGATGAGGCGGCGGGTGCGTTCCTGCGCATCGATGGAGCTGGGCCACGACTGCAGCAGTTGGTTGATGCGGGGGCGACCGCCCACATCAAAGTGTTGCCAGCGGCCGTGCGGGGGAATCGACTCATAGTCGGGCGCATAGTCTCTCTGTCCGGACGGAAAAGAACGAGCGTTAGGGCGCTTGCCTCGGGGTTACACAGGATGCGACCAGAAACTCACCTTGATGATGGAGACGATATAGGACGCGGTGGAGGAGAATTTCGACATATCGACCTCGAAATGGCGTAATTGGTTCTTTTTGGCCTTGGCCAGGACGAGATTGGAGCGTTCGCGAACAGCATGGATGCTGCGCAAGTATGCAGCCGGGTCGAGGGCGGGATCGGGAGGTTTCGTGATGGACAGCTCGGGAATGGAAGAAGGCATGGAACTGCCTTTATAACCGGGGGACTTTAGAGAGGCACTGGAGTTGCGAGCACTGTTGATGGAGGTGTATGACTCTTGCTCATCCGTGTCACTATGGACCGAGATTTTGGAGTCCTTTCGCTTGAAGATACCCATGGCGAATGGAATGGGGGGGGAGTAGAGGGGGGGTGAGATCCGTAGAAAGAATTTCCGTATTGGTCGAACGAACGGACCGTTGGAAGGGTTCGTCGGGAATCGACGGGATCTCAGATCGAGTTCGCAGCAAGACAGAAGGTTGTCGCAAGGATCGTGCGCGAGGAGGGGGAGGTGATGGGAAGGGGGAGAGGAGGGGATCAATGGGGAGAGGGGAAAAGAGGAGAGGGAGGAGTAGGAGTAGCGATGCCAGAGAGAAAACAAGCACGAGACCGACGATGTCCCTGGATCCGGCAAAGAAGGGGGAGTCCCTACATAAGAAAAAAAGATGATGATCTGCGGATGAATAAAAGGAAGAACAGGAAGAAAGAAAGAAAGAAAAATGTAAAGAAGAAAATAGATAAATAAATAAATATAATAAAATAAAATCAGAGAAGGGGAAAAATACAAGGAAAAAAAGGAAAAAAAAACCCAAACCCAAACTAAAAGCGCGGGATTTATTTGGATTCTTCCATTTATGCTTATTCTGTTGGATTTCCACCGTTCGATCTGTATTTATCCAATTGTCTCCATAGGATTCTACGTAATTAGATATATTTTATAGATAGATAGATAGATAGATATACAGAGATATACCATTTAAATATGGAAAATAGACTGAAAATACAGGTACCTACATCACGGATACCAAATTCAGGAGGCCGACCCAAAAAACCACTAGTTCCTGAGAATGTTCTGTCTTGCTGGGATGATGGACGCCACTAGTTGACCCTCTCGGATTTCGGGAGGTGGAGCAGAGCTTGGACGAGACTCGATGCGATTCTTTGGGACTGGGTATGCATCTTGTTGATATTTCCGATATTGCTGATATTGTTCCGACCTTATCAATGGGGTATATGGATTGTATTACAGGTATATAGATGTTACTCGAGAAGTCACTATCACACAGTAGAGCAATAAGAGACAGTAAGAAACAGAAGAGAGAAGAGAGAAGAAAGCACGGCCCACGGAAGCTTGATGGACCTGAATGAATACAAAAAGGGGTGGACTGTGCGGGTCATCAATCTGGTATATTACCAGTATACTGGTATTGGTATTACCACAATCTCCCCATTAGTATCTCGGTCGATTTCCTCATCCTCCAGACGATATCATGCACATTCTCAAGATATCATACTATAATATCTATACTAGATGATAGTCATCCTTTACCCCACTGCGGACGGGTCAATACCGAGTTCAACCTAGCCATTTCCTTGCACTTCGGTTTATTCCGCCTCGCGCCTTGGAAAAATGGTTCCACCTCGCTTTCGATATACCTAGTATATACCCTGTCCTCTCGACGATGTAGTATTCGATCCGCCGGAAGAGCGGCCCTATCCAGACTCTGTAGAGAGTAAAGAATAGACCATGATTATGAAGGACCGAAGCTACCGGAATTGCCCAGACCCACTCGCCGGCTAACTTCCTGTGGAGGTCTTTGGGTCTGGAATTTATACCTTCTGCCCCTCTTTCCCCTTCCTCCTGGTTCAAGAAGGTTTGCCTCTTCAACCGAACCCCCACTTATACGGGAGACATGATTCTGCCGTCTGGCCAGACTGTGCGTCTTTGATAGTGTCCCTGCTGCCTCTTTTTCAACCTTCTTTGGCTGCAGGAAAAAGAACCCCTCAATGCCTCGCCTGCATGTGATCCATAAGCTTCCTCCTCCTATGGACACGACGGCACAAATCCCTGTCCGCAATCGGCCTCCCCGACAGATAAGAAACCTGTCAGTGTCAGTGTCAGTGGTCAAGTCGACTAGTCTGTTGCGGCTTGATTACTGTGAACCTGGGTTGGAAGCGCCCTGCAGCAGAGTTAGTCTGTTTCACCTTCCCCCATAGTAAATCACCATCATAATATGGATAATATGATAAAAATAAAAAAATGGAAGAGTTGGTCCAAGTTGAACCATCAACCATCCCAGCTCCCTTTCTGGTTCGGGGCCGTGCAATGTCGGGTGAATGTGGGTCGACGTACAGCTATTACCAATTTACCTAATGATTCCGAGTCCCTTTGAGTTCCTTCTCAAGCTGCACTGCGGCAGTCGGGCAACTCAGAGGCAAAAATGAGCAGCGTCTGGATATCTGACAACCGAGTCTTCTCTTCCCTTGTCCTTTTTGGCCGAATATGTTATGGATCCCGCGTGAGATTTGTTGATTTACGCCGATCCGCTCCCTCAATACTCGCTTAGAATCATCTCTCCGTCTCATCCAATCGTAAGTATGGCAACGTATCGAGCTAAAGACGGCCATTTCTTCCCTCGGATGGCTGGGCCTGGAACTGGAAGAATACTGCCGTGGTCCACTTTTTACCTCGCCGCTCCAGTCTCCCACAATCCAATTATCACTCCGATGACTCGCAGGTTTTTGAACCCTCCCAGAGCCGAAATACGGACCGTCGTCCTCTGGTGCCGGATGGAAAACCAACTCCTCCCCTCTTAACCCCCCACTAGATTCCTAACCTGCATCCGTAATGCCAGCCCGATAAAGTTTTAGCTAGCGACCACCCCCATGCCCAGAACGCGCGCGTCTAGGTTTGTGGGTTGCGCCAAGGGAGTTTGGTCCGTCGCACGGCGCACAACAACCTGGGTAGGAGATTCGGATTTGAGACTTCCCTGAATTCCTTCTCGGGGATTGTCAATTGTCTTACGCACTCGATTTTCATAGCCGGCAGTAGGTTGGCCGCGAAACTACCGGTTCTTTCCGTCCAGTGTCGGGACCTCGCCCTGCCTGTAGACAATAACCATTGGCATGTCCTTTGTTGACGAGCACCGCTCTTGTGGTCTGTAGTTGTACCCCTCTGCCTCCGCTCCACTCTGGGTGGGTAGGACACCGTAATAAGTTAACGGTCAGGTGGGCGGTGTATTGAGTGGTGTACAAAGTACGAATGGTCATCGTGTGGATTACCGATCAGGCGAGAGTAATCGCCGGAGGACTCTGGATGGGAGTCATGGTGGGTCGAGGAATATTACTCCGTCAAGCCCTGTTCTTGTACGTACAATAGGTCTGCTTTGTCACCTGCACAATTGTGGCACAACGTGGAGCATGCCCAGTCACGTGGGACATCACGTTCACGTCACACCAGCCACATCAAGCAATGCACCGCCACAGAGCCACAATGACGGTCGCGGCCTGAGTCCGCCCATCTTCATCCCCTTCCCCACGCTCCATCTCCGATTCCCTCGCGTCCTGATCTCAAGATGGCTTGAACCGGACGGCTTGCTCAATGTTTGATCTGCCAATGGTGTACGTGCTGCCTTTCAATCTCTCATCTCCCTCCCCCCCCTTCAGTCTGATCCCAATCACATCGCTCCGACGGTGGGTGATGTGACCAGATCATGGAATCCGCTGTTATACCCTCATGGTATCCCACGACCTCCTTCCTAATTCAATCCTCGCCAGACTCTCTTCTCTCACCTCCCGCTATCCCATCATAAATTGCAATGGACGACCTCAACGGTCTGAGTTGGACCCCCAACTCCTCCAATGACGCCCGCAAACCCCCGCCGATGAGCTCCGGCTCCAACTACCTGGTCCCGCCCATTCGACACAACGACAACTCCGGCCGGTCCACGCCCATTTCGACCTCGTCGGGCGTCTCGTCCAATGCACAATCCAAGCCCGCCACCCCAGGCAAGGACAGTTTCGCCGGTCTCGTGTCCTTCGGGTCCTCCAACCCCAACAAGAACCTGTCGCTTGTCGAGCAGCAGAAGAAGCTCCAGGAGGAAAGAGCCCGGAAGGACGCAGAGAACAGATCTCGTTACGAATCGCAGTATGGAGGGCAGAATAACCAGTTCTGGGACACCTTGGAGAAGGCCCCCAGTAGCAGGACCGCCTCGCCTGCCGTCGCCCCGCCACCGCAGAAGTCCACCTCCCCCGATGAAGACGATATCCTGGCTGCGTTCGATGCGTCCGCCCCCGTGGACGCTTCGACCAATTTCCCCATCCCCAGTCCTACTCCGTCGCCGCAGGTTGGGGCGAGACCATCCTTCCAGACACCTTCGAACACCACGAGCGCTGCGGGCCAGGGCAATGCAATGACGTTTATGGATGATGATGATCCGTTCGGTCTCAACCAATTGAAACCGAAGCAGACTCCTTCTCCGCAACCGGCACAGACCGAGGACGATGATTTCCTCGGTCTGTTGAACAAACCGGTATCTGAATTCCCCCGCGAGCCACCCGCTCAGCCCGCGCGGCCTTCTCCGAGGCCCTCGCCGGCCCCCCCAGAGCGCGAGGGACCGACCCCGCCCCCAAAACCTTCCAACGGAGTAGATCGTGCGGTGGCGGAGTTGGTGGACATGGGATTCCCGGCAGACAAGTCCAGCCAAGCTCTGCGGATGACGCCGTCGGGGAAGGACGTACAGGCGGCCGTGGGCTTGCTCCTCACGCAGGCCCATGAAGAGGCGCGCCAGAAGTCTCGGAACAGCCCGGCCATTGGGGACGCGAGCCGCAGTCGGGAGCGGAGCCGGGGTCCGGACCGCGATGTCCCTTCCTGGATGCAGGAGGAACGCTCTCGTGCCCCGCGAAGCCGTCCCGACAGCATGTCACCCTCGGGTGCCGATAGGGACCCTTCTCAAGCCGCAGCGGCGTTTGGGAATAACTTCCTCAAGGCCGCGAATTCTTTCTGGAAGACCACAAACAAGAAGGTGCAGAAGGTGGTGAACGAGTTGAACGTGGACCATGATCCCAGTCAGCCCAAGTGGCTGAAGGATGCCTCCGCCCACGAGGAACCCTTCCCGGGCGAGACTCAGCGGCCGGCTCGCCAGGAGCGGGCGAAGCCTGAAGGATTCACTAACGAGGCCCTCCTTCTGGAGACCGGTTCTGACCCCCGTCCGTCACGGCCCTCGAGACGGCCCACGGATGAGCCTCCATCGCGCACGCACAGTCGCGACGTCCGGCCCCAACCCCCTTCGGCGGGCGAGAGACGGTCCCCGCAGCCGGCATTCCTGCGACAGCAGGCGGGGATCGAAATGAGGGACTCCCGGTCGCGCGCCTCCAAGCTCGCGGTCGAGGAGCAGTCGGCGCAAGCATACGTCAGTCCGGCTCGCAGAAAGCGGCCGACTGCCCCGTCGCCTGCTCCCGCGCAGAATGTTGATCTGTTCGAATCCCCCGCCCCGCCGGCTCCTAGCCGTCGGCGCCCGTCGCCGTCGCCCGCGCCCACTCCGTCTTCCCGAACCTCCACGCCTTCTTTCAAGACTCTCCCCGCGAGGCCCAAACCCAAAGCGCCCCCGCGGACCATCCCGTCGGTCTCCCCGTCTGCCCTGTCGTCCACCCACCGCGAGCGAGAACGCGCCGCACAGGCGTACAAACGGGGCGACTACGCGGCGGCGCACGAAGCGTTCACGTCCGCTCTCGGACCGCTCCCCGACCAGCACCCGATCACCATCATCGTCCGCAGTAACCGCGCCATGACAGCGCTGAAGATCGGCGAGCCCAAGGTAGCCATCGGCGACGCAGACGCAATCCTACAACTGATCGGACCATCCAAAGGCGACGGCGAGACCATCGACCTGGCCAACGGCGAGCCCGGCAAACCCATGAAGGACTTCTTCGGCAAGGCCTTGATGCGCAAGGCCGAGGCTCTAGAGCAACTGGAGCGATGGGCCGACGCGGCCCAAGCCTGGCGTCAAGCCGTGGAGAACGGCCACGGCGGCAGCACCAGCATCCAAGGCCGCAACCGATGCGAGACCGCCGCGGGGATCAACAAGCCTGCCTCGAAGCCTGCCACGCCAGCAGCAGCCGCCCGACGACCGCCTGCGCCGGCCTCGAAGAAGTCCGCGCTCGCCGACCTGCAAGGCGGTGGTGGACGGTCTCCACATGCCGGCTATGACTCGGCTGCCGTCAGTCGCCTCCGCGAAGCCAACCAAGCGGCAGACCGCGCGGATGAGGAGAAATTCGCTCTGACCGAGAGCGTAGACGCTCGTCTGACTACGTGGAAGGGCGGAAAGCAGGACAACCTGCGGGCGCTCCTGGGCAGTCTCGACACGGTGCTGTGGCCTGAAGCTGGGTGGAAGAAGGTCAACATGTCGGAGTTGATCATGCCGAATAAGGTCAAGATTCAGTATATGAAGGGGATTTCCAAGGTGCATCCTGATAAGGTTGGTTTTCTCTTTTTTTCCTGATGCATGATCATATAAGATGATGAATGTCATGAGCAAAGCTAATCCAAAACAGCTCCCGACGAATGCCACGACCGAACAACGTATGATCGCAGGGGCCGTCTTTGGGACGTTGAACGAAGCGTGGGATAAGTTCAAGAAGGAGAATAACCTTTAGCTTTTTTCTTCTTCTCCTTCTTTACTTCTTACTTCTTTTCTTCTTTCTACATCTACTTTTATTTCTACTTTTATACCGTCTTTGGCAAATGTTGTGTGCCTGCATTTATACTACATGCTTCTTGTACATAGACTTGACTGACTTACTTGACTTGACCATTCTGCTTGAAAACATAGAGAACATTTATCCACCATACCCATACCATACACCAACCTGCGTATAGTTCCTCAATAAACAAGCTGATAAATATACAATGCAATATTATCTATCATCATGATCTATACAAACTACACCAACAACAAACCACAGATAAAGCTAACTACTGCTTCTCCGATTCCTTCCTCTCCCGCTCCTCCCTCTTCAACTGCTTCTTCCCCTTAGGCTTCACCTCCTCGATCACCCTCTGAGCAGGCCACTTCTCGCAACACCGCTTCTCATCCTCCTCCGTCCAATCCCGCGGCAGCACAGCAAACACCAGCCACGACGTATGCGTCTTCAAATCAGGCTCAGTGCGATGAATGAGCCTCCCCTGCTTATAACCCGGGACATTCTCCTCCCCCTCCTCCCCTTGAGCTTCTCCCTTGAGGGCATCCTCCCCCTCGCGCTCGCGCATCAACCCACCCAAAGGCAGCTGATCCCCCCGCGCATCCCTCTCCTTCATAACCTCCCTAAACCGCCTCGTGCGCTCCTCGATCGTCCGCGTCTTATCAACCGCCTCGTCCACCGTCCGCGGAAACACCACCGCCCCGCGCGCGCCCTCAAACTCCAGCCCGTACTTCTCCCGCTTGACCTCTATCCGTCGGTGGTTGACCTCCACCATCTCGATCTGCAGCCAGCCGAGCTGCCGCATGGCGCTGATGGTGCGCTCCGATTGCTCGAGGCAGGGCGAGAACGTGCAGATGTAGACTGGGGTTGTGGGGTCCAGCGCGGATTGGATCCCGCCTTGCGGGGTGGATGTCGCTGCGGCTGCGGCTGTTTCTTGTTGTCGGCATTCGCGGGTTAGGTGCCGGAGGGCGAGCCAGGGGGCCGGGAGGTCGAGGAAGACGGCGTTTGCTTTCGGGGAGGTTGATGATGATGCTGACGCTCCCTCTGTGGAGGGGGAGGTGGAGGTGTCCCTGTTGAGGAGGAATCCGTCTTCGTAGACGTCTCGGTGCGTGACTTCGACGAGGCCGTCGAGGCCGTGCTCGGAGATCTCTTCGCGGACTTTGGACGCGCGCTGGGCGTGGAATTCGAAGCTGTGCACTTTGCCGTGCTTGCGCTTTTTCGGGGGCTGTTGTTGTTGCGTTTCGGGCTGCTGTTGTTCGGAAGGATACCCGTTGAAGACGGCGCGGACGGCCGCGTGCGTGAAGGATCCGCTTCCAGCGCCGGCTTCGATCACGCTGCTCCCTGGGCGTACGCACAGCCTGTGCAAGATGTAGCTGTAGTCTGGGGTGTAGACGACTTGGGTGCGGTGCGGGAGGGAGGCGGTCCAGAGCTCGGGGGTCGGGTACAGGAGGTGGAGGAAGCCGCTGGAGGCTGCGACGGCGGCTTTGGGTTTCTGCTGTTGTTTGGATTCTTCTTCGGCGTCGTCTTCATTGCCGGCGGCGGTTGGAGTCGGGGTGGAGTCGGCGTCGTTGTCGGCGCCGGCGGGGCCTTGCGCTTCAGGTTGCGCCGGCCGCGCGATCCCGTGTCGACTTTTGAGGCGACGATCTGGGAGCCCCATGGTTTGTGGTAAAGTGTGCTGTGCGGGAAGGAGCCGAACCGCGTGTTGACTACTTTGCCTTCGTTGTAGCCTAGGCCTTCGTCGTCGTGCGCGCGCAGGATGGTCGGGACGGTTTGGTCGCGGCGGAGGTGGAGGAGGGCTAGGGAGTCGAGGGGCGCTTGGTCGCCTGGGGTGAGGAAGGGGGAGGGCATGGTGGGTGGTCTGGTGGACCTGTTGGCTTGTGGATCTTTGGCCTGTTCGTTGTTGTGCTGCTCGTGGAGAGATCGGTCTTGAGGCGCCAGCTTTTTTCTATGCGGATTTGCGACGGAGAATCTATCAATCAAGCATCTTGGCGGGAGATCTGATGTCCCTTTTGGGGCAAGATCGGCGTTAGGGCTCAGGGCTCAGGGCTCGGGGCTGAGTTTTCCCTCCTCGAATCTGATTGGCTGTCAGGAAATGCGCCGGTGACTCAGGCAGTCAGGCCTCCAACAGGCTCCCAGGCAGACAACTGTATAATTCGTATTAGATCGCATTATCATTGGTCATCCTCGGAAATATGCCTTGAGCTGCCCCTCGTTCTTCAATCAGCGCCAGCATCATCTTCTCCCTCTTTCTTCTTCCTCTCCATGCCCCTCTCCCTCTCTCTCTTCCTATCTGGCCGCTCCGCTCGTCTCGCTCTCCGTCCACTGCCGTCCATTTCGTCTCTCCGTTCACCACTCCGCCTGTCCTCGCGATCCATGGCCACCGCGCGCCAGCAGCCGCCATGGCGGCAACCGGACCTCCACCCCGGCGCTGAATCCCGTCTGCCTCCTCTGAAGGTCTACAATACGTTGACCAAGTCCAAGAATCCCTTCATCCCGCGCGATCCAGAGGCCAAGCAGGTCTCCTGGTACGCCTGCGGGCCGACGGTGGTAGGTGTCGCTGCTATTGTCCAGCCTGGTTTATGCTGATGGTGTTGTGACTCAGTATGACGATGCGCATTTGGGACACGCTCGCAACTATGTTAGCACCGATATCATTCGCCGCATTATGCGCGACTACTTCAAGTTCGACGTCAAGTTTGTTATGAACATTACGGATGTCGATGACAAGGTTGGTGGATTCGCGAACTACTCTTCTCAACCCGAACTGGTCGCTAATATGAGTCATTTAGATCATTCTGCGCGCCCGACAGCAACACCTGTTCAATGAGTTTGCGACTACCCACCCTCATGTCGATGCGGAAGTCCTGGACGTCGCCAAGAATGCCTACAGTGCCTACGTGAAGAAGAACCTCCCCTTGCTGAGCCCCGACCTCCCGCCCGCGCAGTACGCCGCTGAAGTCGAGAAGACGTACGCCGTCGTGCTCAATGGAGGCCCCCTCCCCGGGAACGAGAAGGCTGGCGATGACGAAGCTAAGACCAAGATGCACATCAAGACGGTCGCGTCCGGGGCGGCGGTGATCGCGGAGGCCGAGCGCGTGGGCGCGGCGGCTCTGCCCACGGGGTTCCCCGAGCGGTTCTACACGGAGGCGCAAGATGTGTTGCTGCCCTACCTGGATGCCCTGAAGGGGGCGTCGATCGACGCCGACGACCACAGCATCTTCACCAAACTCACCAAGAAGTACGAGGAGCGGTTCTTGGCGGACATGCGAGACCTGAACGTGCTGGACCCGGACGAGCTGACGCGCGTGACCGAGTACGGGGCCGAGATCGCCGAGTTCGTGGAGAAGATCGTGCAGAACGGTTTTGGCTACGTGACCGAGGACGGCTCGGTCTACTTTGATATCAACGCGTTCGAGGCGGCGGGCCACCCCTACGCCCGCCTGGAGCCCTGGAGCCGGTCCGACAACAAGCTGCTGGCCGAGGGCGAGGGCTCGCTGGCCAAGAAGACGACGGAGAAGCGGTCGGCGTCGGACTTTGCGCTCTGGAAGTCCTCCAAGCCCGGCGAGCCCAGCTGGGCCAGCAGCTGGGGCCGCGGCCGCCCCGGCTGGCACATCGAGTGCTCCGCCATGGCGTCGGCGCGTCTGGGCCGCCAGATGGACATCCACTCCGGCGGCGTGGACCTGTGCTTCCCGCACCACGACAACGAGCTGGCGCAGAGTGAGGCGTACTGGGCGGGTGAGCCGACGGACCAGTGGGTCAACTACTTCCTGCACATGGGTCACCTGAGCATCCAGGGGTCCAAGATGAGCAAGAGTCTCAAGAATTTCACGACGGTGCGCGAGGCGCTCGACCAGAAGCAGTGGACGCCGCGCAGCCTGCGCGTCGTCTTCCTCCTGGGCGGGTGGAAGGACGGCGTCGAGATCACGGACGACCTGGTCAGCGCCGGCAGCTCATGGGAGGAGAAGGTGACCAACTTCTTCATCAAGATGAACGACCCTTCCGCCTTCCGCGCTACCGCCAACACGGACACGTCGCTCGCCCCGGCGCTGACAGCCGCCCAGGCCGCCGTTCACGAGCACCTCTGCGACTCGTTCAACACGCCGGCCGCCATGGCCGCCATCTCGGAGCTGATCTCCAAATACAACAGCGCCGACAAGGCGACCGTCAAACCGGAGGATGTCGAGGCGATCGCCCGCTGGGTGACGTCGATGGTCAACACGTTTGGACTCAACGGTGCCGCCAGCCCCGACAGCACCACGATCGGCTGGTCGGGGATCGACGTGCCGGAGGACGCCAAGCCGTACCTCTACCCGCTGTCGGCGATGCGCGACTCGCTGCGACAGGCAGCACGGGGCGCTGACGGCGTGACGCCCGCGACGATCGCGGAGATCATCGCAGAGCCGACCGAACCGAGTGCGGAGGCGGCAGACGCCGCGGCCCAGCCGTACGCAACGGTACTGAGCGACTTCCGCGGCAAGTTGACGTCACTACCGGAGTCGGACGGACTCAGCAAGCAGGTACTCGCACTGTGCGACCGGGTGCGCGACATCGACCTGTTCGACCTGGGCGTGTACCTCGAGGACCGCGACAACCTCCCCGCGCTGGTGCGACCGGTGACGCAGGAGCTGCTGCAGGCGCGGCGGGACAAGGCGCAGCGCGAGCATCAGAAACAGCAGCAGAAGGCCAAGCAGGAGCAGGAGGCCCTGCAGCGGCTCGAGAAGGGCAAGCTAAGCCACCTGGAGATGTTCCGGACGAACGAGTACAGCGCGTGGGACGACGAGGGTCTGCCGGTTAAGGATGCGGCCGGCGAGGAGGTGACCAAGAGTCGGGCTAAGAAGTTGCGCAAGGACTGGGAGCGCCAGAAGAAGCTCCATGAGGCGTGGCTGGCGGCCCAGTCGGGGTAAATAGGGCGTAGAGGGTGCATTCGAGGCGTTTTGAGTTCATATCGATATCCAGGAGATCATCCTGCTACATAGCTATTATCATCCTACTCTACGGTTATTCTGTAGGTTATACTCTAGGTATACTGTAGATTATCCTAGGATACAGTTGATTATACTAATATTATCGACACGTATTGACTGTTGACGCATCTGAAAGTGCCCGGATCACATGCATGTCGGACTGGCGTTCCAGGCATCCATTTTGATCACATTATCAATTTCGCCTCCTTTTCTCTCTTCTTCTTTTCTCTTTCTTTCCTCCGTTCTATTCCTGTCTCTCTTTCTATTTCTCCGTCTCGGTCTCTTCTCTCCATCCAATATCAGCACTGTGTCGTTCCCCGCATTCAGGGACTAGGCTCAACAGACTAATCAGACCGATCCGCCCCCTCGCCCTCGGTCGCCCAACCTCGGCAACCCCGTCTGCTCCACCCGCGGTTCGCTGGGATCCATTCATTCATTTCTATTTATCTTGTCCGACTCGCGCTGTTCTGTTGCTGGTCCATTCACGATACATCTGTTTTTGTGACTTCATCATGCCTTTCAATACTGCTTTGACCCGGAAGCTGGGCATCGCTGGTAAGGACAGTCGCGTGAAATCTGCAGGCGGTCATAGGCTAACAAGTCGTCTCTACAGTGCCCGTCGTCCAGGGTGGGATGCAATGGGTGGGATTCGCTGAGCTGGCGGCTGCCGTCAGTAATGCCGGTGGTCTTGGTATCGTACGTCTGACCGTTTGAGTAGCAAGTTTGGAGTCCTCGATCGAAGAATTCTAACAGAGAATGAAATAAACAGTTAACAGCCCTCACCCAACCGACGCCCGAAGACCTTCGCAAGGAAATCCGTCGCTGCCGCACAATGACCAAGAACCCCTTCGGCGTGAACCTGACTCTTCTCCCGGCTCTGGTGCCTCCCGACTACGCGGCCTACGCGCAAGTCATCATCGACGAGGGCATCAAGATCGTCGAGACGGCCGGCAACAACCCCGGTCCCGTGATCACGCAGCTGAAGAAAGCCAACACGATCATCCTGCACAAGTGCACCACCATCCGCCACGCCAAGTCGGCCGTCAAGCTGGGCGTCGACTTCCTGTCGATCGACGGCTTCGAGTGCGCCGGCCACGTCGGCGAGCACGACATCACCAACTTCATCCTGCTCAGCCGCGCGCGCCAGGAGCTCAAGACCCCGTTCATTGCGTCCGGTGGGTTTGCCGACGGCCAGGGTCTGGCGGCTGCGTTGGCGCTGGGCGCTGAGGGTATCAACATGGGTACGCGCTTCATGTGTACCGTTGAGGCTCCTATCCACCAGAAGGTCAAGGAGGCGATCGTTGCGTCCGATGAGAACAAGACGGCGCTGGTGCTCCGTCGCTGGAAGAACACCACCCGTCTGTTTGCCAACAAGGTGACGCAGGATGCGCTCAAGGTGGAGCGCGAGAGCAAGAGCGGCGAGTTTTCGGACATTGCGCCGTTTGTGAGCGGGAAGCGTGGTCGTGAGGTTTTCCTCAACGGTGATGTTGATTACGGGGTATTTCTCCCTCTTTCTTTCTTTCTATCGGCTCTATCTTTGCGGTATGATACTGACCATGGTATAGGTGTGGACTGCCGGCCAGGTGATCGGTCTTATCCACGACATCCCGACATGCGGACAGCTGCTGAAGCGCATTGATACGGAGGCCCAGGCGGCCATCCAGCGCAGCCAGTCGCTGTTCTCGACGCAGAGCAAGCTGTAATTTAGTCGATACTCCGATCAGACAATATAAACTTGCATATAGTACAGACGATATAACTTTCATAGTACCTAGTTGGTCACGAGAATACTACCACCCATCCTCCTTGCAGGAAGGCAAAGGCAACAAACCATCCACTCAACCTAGCAACGTTCACGTTCACGACAGACTAGATATGTAGACCCCTTGCTCTGTAGATTGTGATAACCACCGCCTGCCTTTATCGTCTCGAGGCGGAGGCGAAAGGCGTCTCGTTCCTTGCAGGGTCTCCTTGCGTCTTGGTTAGGTCGGTTTGACGGTGTGGACGAGGTAGCAGGTTGAAACGAGTGTCTTGACGACGGCGTAACCGTTTACTCTGGTTTACTGAGATGGTGTAGCAGATTTGTCTATGTGTCTATCTATCTGTTTGCCTATCTGTCTATACTTAGTACTACCGTATCCACAACCAACTTAACCTTCAACTTAATCTATAGAGAAATTCGATCGATAATCCGCGTACGTGCACATCTCATCTACACATTGCGTCAACTATCGACTCGTGCATGCATCATCATTATCTCCTGATCGTGATAGTATTAATCTCCGCATCTCACCATCATCATAATCATCATCCGTTAATCACCACGTTGCTGGCGCGACGTGTATACGTGCATACATACTGTCAGGAAGACATAAATATAGCCTAACGTCGCCTCTACATCTGCATATTGAATTACCTTCCATATTCATCATCCATCATTCATTCATCCGATAATCCATACCTTCATTCCCATAGAGACAAATCAACAAAGAAGAAGAGAGAAAATGGGCATCCTCGACCCCATAACATCCTGCATCCAACGCAGAGCCAAGTCCAAATCCATCTCTGCGACTTCGTCCACGGAGCCGAGATCCAGATCCAGATGTCGCTGTCGGCAGCGTTTGACAGCGTGGTCGATGGATTTGACTGCTGAGAAGAAGACGGCTGGTAATGATAAGGAGGGGGAGGGCGAGAATGGTCCTACTCCACTTGAGGATGAGAAGGACAAGCCGAAAAAGTTGGTCAAGAGGTCGTCTTCGCAGGCGACGGCGTCGATCCGGATTGTGGAGAGTGAGGGGGATGATCTTACCTCGTTCTCTGCCAATAAGGACGATACTGGCGACGATAATAACGGCGACAGCGACACCAAGACAATGACGACGACGACAACAACAACAACAGAGAATCCCAACACAACAGAAGATCGCCAACCCCCACGCAGCAAAATAGAAGACATCCCCGAAGAAAGCGAGCCCACCACACCCGAAAAGACACCCCCTCCACCTCCAGCCACAACCCCAGCAACACCACACAGCAAAAACGCCCTCCAGAACAAACCTCTCCCCCTCCCACCCGTCAGCACTCCCAGTCCCAGACCCAGACCCAGACCCAGCAGCAAAAGCAGCAGATACACCCCCGACCCGCTAACAAGCGACCCCATCACCACCGACGAAGAATGGTCTCCCAAACGAGCGAGCTCCCTCTTCCGCCTCAGCAGTCGACGCTCGCTCATCGAGATCGTCACCCTGCTGCAGACGACTGCCCAAGCTGCTGCTGCTGCGGCCGCCACTGCGCCGAGACGGCTGCACCCTGGTTTAGGGAGGGGTGGTAGCCCCGGTGTGCCTGCGAAGTCGCCGCTAAGGCGGGGGGTGACGATTCCTTCGGCGTCGTCGGCGGGGTCGTCTTCTGAGGGGACGATGATGGGGTCGGATTCGGAGACGGAGGTGTCGTTTGCTTCGTCGAGTTCGTCGATCATGCTGCCTGCTTGGACTTCTTCCAAGGGGGGTTTTGTGCGTGGTTCGACTGCTGCTACTGCTCCTGCCTCTGCCTCTGCCACTGATACCATTGGTAGTAGCAGTAGTGGTGAGGTATCAGAGGAGTTGACAGAGGGTGAGAAGAAAGAAGGAGACAGCAAGAAACAGAAAAAACACCGAAGGAGAGCCGCAGAGGTGTTTGACCAGCCTAAGCCGCTGCGGTGGCATTCGCGCCGAGCAGAGAGCGAGAGTCGACTGGAGGAGATTGAAGGTACAGAGAAGACTCTTTTTCGGTAGATGGGCGTTTGGGGGGGTGATTCGTTGGATGTCGTTGTTTGGCCGCGTGGGTTTGGCGTGGGTTGTTTTTGGGTTGTAATATATTATATTTTACTCATGACTGTGTTAACACTTGATATATAACTTTATTTTGCGCACACAAGGTATTGATCATTGGGAAACTATAGTTGAAACTGACATGGTGGTCAGACCTGGAGGTCAGGTGCAATGGTAGCCCTAATTATTCTTCTAATCACTATTAGAAGAGCCAGAGAGAGAGAGAGAGAGAGAGAGAGAGAGAGAGAGAGAGAGAGAGAGATAAAGGACAGCCTACGAAGACCTACTCGATACAAACTACAAGAAAGATTCAATCAAATACATAAATTAAGACAAGACCAATAAACAAAGATGATCTAATTAAACCTAAACGAATGCAACATCCCCACTCACTTTCCCAACGTACCACGGCGAGCGTGCCAGGCAGTACAAGAATGTAAAAGTACACAATTGTCCAAGAGCCATCGCCCAATCGCCCACCACAGGACCAATCCCGCGGTGGGCATCATGTTGAATCCGTTTAGAGGATGGAGCCGAGGGCAATGCAGGGCAGAGCCAGACCGACCAAGCTCTCCGAGGCATCGGCGGGCGAGTCCTGGCAACAGGCAATGTTCTGCTTGCACTTCTGGTTGAGCATGTCCTGCAGACCGATGGCGATGATGGGGACTATTCTTGATTAGTGTCTCTAGAAACAGAATGGACACAGGAAGGGGAAACATACTCTGGAGAGGGAGCTTGGAGCACTGGTTGAACAGACCCAGACCCTCGGAGCCAGAGCCGGCACCGAGCAGCTCAGAGAGAGCACCGGACAGCAGACCGTCGTTGACCTTGGTGGAGTCGCCGGTGTAGGTTGCCTTGTTGCAGCAGGACAGCTGGGCCTTGTCACCGCACTTGGCGGAGGCCTGCTCGACGGTCATGTCGTCGGGCACCGGGAAACGGACCTGGGAGTTGCCCTTGTTGTTGACGCCGTTGCCATTCTGGATGTCGTCGGCGAGCTCCTGGGGCTGGGGGAGGGCGGCCGCAGTGGCGGCGAGGAGAGCGATACCGGAGGCGATGCTGAACTTCATTGTGAAGGTGTGGTTTGGAAGTTTTTCCGTTTTTTTTTGGGATTTGTGTATGAAGGAGAAAAGTATAAAACAGAAACTGGTCTGAGAAGAGAAAGAGAAAGGCTTGAAAGAGAGTGATTGTGAGGATGGATAGAAGAAAAAGAGAGCTCTTCTACGATGTTGGAACGTCCTTATATAGATGACGGTGGAGGCTTCCCTCGCTCCTAGATCCTCTCATTGTTGATTTTTTTCGTCCACCCAGATTCAGGCATTCTCCCTACTTTCGCTACCTTGTTTTGCCCCCTCTCACCCTGTTGTGTGGCTCACCTCTCTGTCTCTCCTTCCCACTCGCCTTCCTCTCTCACTGTAGATGCGCATGTCTGACCGGAATGCAACCATGCAAGGATCAACGCCCCTGGACTCTTCACCATCCTCGTTTCTGTCCCCTGATCCTTGATCCATGGATTCGTCCCTGGGTCTGGTATGGACGAACAGCGTTCTCTGCCCTGATTGACGGAGCCCCTAGCCACAGGATCCATGTCGGGCATGCCGAAGGTGTTTTGCGCCGTCATGTTCTACCCTCTGTTTCATACCCTCGCTTTCCGGGTGGATCCCCCGTTACATTCCATCAGTCTGATGCGGTCCCGATTTCGACTGGGGGCGGTCAATCCTGCCCATGGTTAGGGGGGGGGAGGTTAGGTAGGTAGGTGGGTAGTTACTGTTTACAGGATCCGACTACAGTCGTTACGTGGATCATTATCGTCAGTTCAATCGTGCATTGATCTCGCAGCTGTTCTATGGACTCGCTCGTGCAGGATGCAGATGTCATCGGGCACAGGCACGGGTACAAACACAGGCACAGGCACAGGCACAGCGAGCATTCAAGGTTGCAGGACATACCCAGCCTGCAAGGGGCCGCAGAGAAACCTGAAGGGCACTTGAACTAGGGACGGTCCCTGCACGAGGCCTAGTGGAGTCGAGAATTGCGCGGTAAGGGATAGACCTCACTATTCGAGAGTTAATTTCCGAGTACAGGGGGATTCATGACTTCCGTTTGCGATTTCGATCTTGTTTATTTTTATTCTATTCTATGACTCTTATCTTTCTGGTTGTGTTGTGGTCGTCATCGATATGGCTGGATTCCGCTTTCGTTGCTTGCTTGTGGGTCAGTGGGAGGTCGTTCCTGTAACGTTGGCACACCCTTTACTTTTTTTCCAAAAGATTAGGAAATTGACTTTTCTTGCCTTTTCGCAACGTTGTAGATGTTGAGGATGAGCTTCTTCCAGATGCAGTAACTCGTGCATCATACTTCCGCCCAGCTGCATCGACATGTCTTCAGGAGATACGTAGACACATAATCCTCCGAGACAGCATCTCGACGTCAACAACCAGCAAACACCCCGTATCTCATTGGGCAGTACATATCTAGCCCTTGTTCCACCCCTTAGACAGCACCACTTACATTCCTCGACCTCGTCTCCCGCCCGGTCCCCATCCCCATCCCCCGTTGCGTTACCCGGAGAGACACATCCGATCGACAGCCATCCCTTGATCGACTGGATTCCAAGCTGTTGCAGGGGCGTGCAGATCTCTAGCTGACCCTGTCCCGTTTCTGGGGAGGAGTCTGGTCGGCACGAGTCCAGATCATGCACAGGTATGCGCGTGCGCAGGGCTTGATTTGATATGACTTGAATTGGGGATGGTTTGATTGGGAAGGTTTGGGGCGGGTTCTTCAGTGCTTTATTGGCTTGTTTGGTTGGTTGAGTGATGGGATGATCTTTTGGTACGGCTTGTTTGTTTTGTTAATGCTGTTTCTATAGTCTCTGCTGTTTCTGCTTGGTTTCTTCTCGGTTTCTCCTCGGTTTCTACTTGGTTCGGATGGTGTTGGGATGAAATGAAGCTGGAGAGGAATTAGGGCTAGCGGGATCATGGGACTGGCTTTCTTCATCGATTGGAACATTCAATGATGTTATCACGCTTCACATAGTTATAGATAGATAGAATCAATTATAGGCTGTACATCATGAGATCAATAAGGTCTTTTGCGGAAATCATGTCTAGAGAGTATATTTCTGTTTGATACCTCCTTTGATACCTCCTCAGATACTACTGCTAGTTAGAAGTCATTCAGAGTAAATGACTAGGGAACTCTGTTTTCTCTTGCAGGAAATCAAGACTATCTCATACATATTACTAGCAATGAATTATACATTGTCAGCTTGCTATGATATGTTGGCATGTCTTAATTTGATCATTCGTCTAAAAGCTCCAATTGGCGAGTGGTATGGTAGATCTTGATATCCAATATGATTTAGTATCTTTCAACGGATGTTCTTCAGACCAGTCTACATGTTTTGACTAAACTAAGATTTACTAGTAGAGATATATAGACATGATAAAGCTACTAGAGAATCAAACTAATAATAATATGCTATATCAAGTCGTATTCATGTATTACTATGATAGATGTTGCGGTTAACTCCTTCAAGTGTAGAAATATATAATATGTTGTTGAACTAGAAAGGCCTCGACTTGTCTACCTCTAGCATTATACTACATTAACACGCCTCTACTCGAATTGACTTCCGTCATACAGAACTAAAATTTTTCATAAACGGGAAAAAGATCCATCCTTCCATAACTTTGCAACCCTGCAGTAAATGACTATATATACCCGATATTCTCGAGTCCGATGTGACCGCGAATACCCGATATAGATCGAGTACTTGATCTAACCCGAATAGGATAGCTTCCTCTTATGACCGCATATGCTTACTAACACCCTTATACACGGCAATGAGGGAACTCGGACCCGAATTATTCGTCGAGATCGCCGTCCCTCACCTTCATTCAACTCCTCAAGTCAAGCTGCAAAAGAAGAACAACGAAGCGACAAGAAAAAAAAAAAGACAAGAAAAACACGAAAGAATATAGTCTAAAAAGAAAGAAGCAGTGCTAATCATCATGGCGCCACCGCCTCCCCAAGACACAGACTCGCTGGGTGAGGCCGCGGAGAACCCGGCCGAGACCAAGACATCGCACGGGGAGGTGGAAGAGGGGGAAGAAAAGGAAGAGGAAAGAAAGGAAGAAGAGGCACAAGAGGAAAAAGAGCAAAGTGAAGAAGAGAGAGAGGAAGAAGAAGAAGAAGAAGACGGAGAAGTGACACAATCGCAACAAGCCGACAGCAGAAACCCAAGCACAGAATCTCACCCTCAACCAGAGAACACAACAAAAAAGGAAGAAGAACAACAAGAAGGACAGCAAGAAGCACCTCCGCTCCCAGACGAAGAGCTCCCCCCGCCCCTCCCGACCGAGAACCCCCCCTCCCACGAAGACGACGGCTGGGAACCCGTCTGGGAACCCTCTGCACAAGCCTTCTACTTCTATAACCGCTTCTCAGGCGCCTCACAGTGGGACAACCCGCGCGTGCCGGACCCCACCACCTCCGCCCCAGGCGACGCTGCCGGCGATGGCCCTGCTGCTGCTGCTGCGTCCCCGCCCGCTCCCGCAGCCGTGCTGGGAGGCTACAACCCCGCCATCCACGGCGACTACGACCCGACGGCGCCGTACGCGCAGCAGTACGAGCAGCCCGGCCAGGATGCGCAGGCCGCCGCTGCCGCTGCTGCTGCTGCAGCAGCAGCTGCGGGCGGGGCGGACTACGCGGCGCTCGGGACGTTCAACCGGTTTACGGGGCAGTGGCAGACGGCGGAGCAGAACCCGGAGCGGCACAATGATGAGAATAAGTCGCGGCGGCAGATGGGGGCGTACTTTGATGTCGATGCGGCGGCCAATTCGCATGATGGGCGGAGTCTGCGTGCGGAGCGGAGTGCCAAGAAGTTGAGTCGGAAGGAGCTGAAGATGTTCAAGGAGAAGCGGAAGGAGAAGAAGGAGGAGAAGCGACGAGCTTGGCTGCGGGATTGATCATGATACCTTTTCTTCTTTATTGCTGTTTCTTGTCTATCGGCGCTGTACCGTAATATATAACTGGGTTGCATGGGTTTAGAAGTGGGGATGATTGTATTATCTATCAATACGAAGATGTCTATATTAAGTCTGTTCTAGCTGATACGAAGGGGATACGAAAGGGAGTACTCCGTAACTTCATCTGTATACACTACCTACGGGGTATATAGAGGAGTGATCCACCGGTCATGTGACCGCCCGCATCGAAAAAGTTCGCGCGGAACGGACTTCTCACAACCAACGGACCAGAAGACCAAACCAGCCTCATTGCAGTGGAATCACGAAATGTAAGTATTGTCTGCACTATTTATTGTATTCAGGCAGGAAGTGAAGCAGAATTGACCACCGCGCGTTGAGATGTCCTCCACCAGAGCAATGGGGGGTTTCTTCCGCGGGGAATATCTTCGCATTCCTACTCTATCCACCTACCAATCTACTGGCGCAAACCATACCAAGCACACTCAAAGCTAACCCAGCGCTCAAACTATAGTACCTACTACCTCCAAACACACCACCCACACCAACCACTACACAAATCACTTTTCCTAAAGTCAAAAACGAAAGAAAGAAGAAGAAGAAAGAAACGAAAATGTCCCTCCCCGCAGACTCAACAGACGATCTCATCTACGACGCCCGCATCGGCGACCTCCCCGCCCTCCAAACAGACCTCTCCACGCTCTCCACGCAGCTCAACCTCCCAACCAGCCAAATCATCGCCTCCGCCATCGACGCCGAGCCCCAAGAAGAAGGCGGCACCGGGTGCTGTCTGCTGCATTTTCCGGCCGCGAATGGGAATATTGGTATTGTTTCCCCCCCCCCTTCTCCCACTTTATTCCTCTTTTACTAGAGGGTGACATACACCTGTAATTGATGGACAGACACTGACTGTATATGTGTGTGAATAGAAATCCTCTCCTTCCTCCTCCAATCCCTCGACGAAACCGCTCGCAAATCCCTCCTCAACCACCGCAACCACTCCGGGAACACGCCGCTTCACTGGGCCGCTCTGAACACGCACCTCGAGTGTGTGAAGGCGCTTGTGGAGGCTGGTGCTGACCTCGCTGCTACGAATGATGCGGGGCTAGACGCTGTGTTTTTGGCGGAGCGGGCGGATTGGTCTGCTGAGGATGAGAAGGCCGGTGAGGAGGAGAGTGGGGAAGGTGTTGAGGAAGCTGAGGTTGAAGCTGGAGAGCCGGCTCCTGCGAGGCCTATGACCAAGGCGAGGGAGGTCGTCGAGTGGTTGTTGAGCTCGGAGAAGGCGGCGGAGTTGGAGAGTGGGGTTGATGGGGGTAAGGATAAGAGTGGTAATGAGAATGCTGGTGAAGGGCCGTCTGCTGGGGATAAGATGGAGTGATTGATTGATTGATTGATTGATTTCTTTCTTTGTTTATTTTTTCTCTTTTTCTTTGTTACCTTATGTTTATATGACTTGATGGCTTGCATAGATAAAAGTTCTTCTTCCTTCTTTTCTTTCATTCATTCTTGCTCATAGCTAACTGGGCTGTCATTTCACATCACGCATATCTTCTATTCTATACCTTTTTGACACCACCCACCATCCTATTTGTATATGTTTATGTATGTATGTATATGTACTTATAAGTCTAATCCCGCCTCGCCTTATTACCATCCATCCCCGGTTCCATCTCGCGGACCTTCGCGTCCAGGCCGACCCGGAATTGCCGATCCCGCCACCTCACCGTAACGCCGCCGTATACAGCCCACATCCAGACCGGGAGCGCCAGCAACTCTCGCCCCAGCCACGCCGCAAACCACGTCCCGAACGACCGTCGCGTCCGTCTGGACGGCGGCGGCCGCGCGAAGGGCGGCGTGTCCTCGCTCAGCTCTACTGTCTTCGCCGAGTGCAACTTGATGTACAGTGTCCAGTCGACTAGGATCCACACGAGCATGTTGGTCCAGAAGAACGCGAAGAACGCCGTCCATGTGGAAAGGGACGCCGCCCACGCGTATCCCTTCTCCTGCAGCCACGGGGCTAGTGCTGTCGTGATGCCCCACGCCCCGTAGCATGAACACAGGAAGGACTCCGTCCCGGGCTCGACCAGCGTCGCGAGCAGCACGGTGAATTTGCGCACCCGCAGCCAGCGAACACGTCTGGCCACGTACGCCGGCACGCTCATGTTGGCGACCGGCTGGAACGCGAGGTCCCCAAAGACCATCGCGTGCTTGCCCAGCCTTTCTCCGCCGTGCTCTTTCTTCTCCTCCCGCACCTGCTTCTTCCACAGTAGATCGCCGATCAGGTGGTCCTCGCAGATGTTGTCCGAGAAGTAGTCGATTCCCGCGTTGCGAGGCGGCCCATCGCTGCCGTCCCCTGACGCTGGTGCCGTCAGGTAGTCGAGGTGCGAGCGGCGGAACATGTTCGATTTCCCGACAATGCACGGCGCGATGAGCACCGTGTTGATCGCCGTATACATTTTAGCGTGCGCGGACGACATGAACAACTCTTCCAGTCGACCTCCTCCCATCTCCAGGACGCTAGCGTTTTCGGCAACAGCCGAGGTGTCCCCGCGTGCTCGACACGCGTCCAAAAGAGCCTCCTGCTCCCCAGCCACACCAGGCTCATCGGTCACGTCCACGACCAACGGCAAGTGATGGACGAATTTGTACTTTTTCTTCTTTTCTGACGGCGTTCCAAACCCACACAGTCGGTCCACCATGCGCCCACAGACACCCGGGCCGATCCAGACGTTGCAATCGATAATCCAGACGATGTCTCCCTCTCCTTCCCGATAGGCCCGACTCATATTACGGATCTTGGGGTTCGGGCCCAGCTGGTACACGTGCTCATTGCCCGGTTGCAGCAGCGGGTCATCCTCCTCGACGTAGAGTCGTGCGCCGGCGTGCGAGAAATCCTCGACGAGCCGCTCCAGCGTCGGATAGCCCGGATCCTGTCGGGACGAGATGCAGAAGCAGACGGTCAATCGGTCGGACGGGTAATCCTGCCGGAAGGTCGACGCCAGACACTCATACAGGTGCGGTTCGAGGCCTTTGACGGGTCGGATGACGGTGACGTGTGGGGCGTCGGCGGAGGCTGCCGCGTGAGATTGTCGCGGCCGTTGTAGGAAATAGCGCCATCTGGAGCGAAGACATTGTTAGGGTCACGCGACACAAACGGGTCTAAAACATGGGTAGAGGGCAAAGAAAAGTCCGAGGGAATATACATCTGAGAGTAACCCACGACACAAACGAGATTGACCGCGGTATACCAGATCAAACAGACCCAAGCCACCCCAATCGACCACGCGGATCCGCCATAGCTGGTCGGTCCAAGATTGAAGGGCTCTGCGCGTGGTTGAAGGCTTAGCATAGGCGAACGGCGGGGGGAGAAATAATCATCTAGCGGAGCATTCTACTCAAACACGAAGAGCACCACCAATTGGCCGTTTTGGGGGAGAGGGAGGGCCGTGGAGGACAGACGAACGGAGGAGGAAGTGAGATGAAGTCGCGACGGATGTTGGAGAGAAGAAAGATCGACAAGGAAGCCGCTTACCAATTAATCGGGCTCCACACACCGCAGTGACCACCAAAGCCGGAATCTATATCTGTTCTCTACGATTGACTTGCCCCATTTGACGGTTTGTATCCACAGATTGATTCCTTTGGCTTGGCAAAAATAGTAGTAATAAATAATTAAGTAAATCAAAAGAAAGATAATGTGTGAAAAATAAACGCCTCTCAGGTATCATGGGAACAAGCACAATCAGTACAAGAAACTCTCCGATCAACGACCTCGTGCTCTCTATTCCTAGACTTCCCGTATAGACGACGGTCGCGAGTTGTTCTGGGATTCTTGCGTGCTCGTGCGCCGAAGACTGAGGTTGCCAATCCGCTGTACAAGGTTGCTCCCAACTGCGTCCACCGCCCCCTTGGGCGCAAGGAGCGTCGGCCCCTGGGCTGCTGCCTCCTGGACTTTGAACAGCTTGATCCCCGTTCCATTCCAGACCCCGACGGTCCCCGGGGTAGCACCCGACGCCGTGCCCACGACCATCTCGCTGGAGAAGATGAACCCCCAGAGGAGAGACTCGTACCAGCCCATCGAGAGGGCTGACCACTCAAAGGTGTGCACGCGCACAGGCGAGGGCTCGGCTATGATGATGCGAATGGCGGGATCCTCCGTGAAGGACGGAAGGTTGGTGATGAGGGTGCGGGCCTCCGGGGTGGAGGCGCTCTGGAAAGCCGATTCCGGCACGTGCGGTGTGATCGCCGAGATGATGGTGAGGATGGTATGCAGGGGAAGCTCGGGAAGCCAGGATTCGAGCTGGATTATGTTAGTGGCTTGCAGACGTAGTTGAAGAGGGCACGTTATCACTCACCCATGCCGTGGTAGGCGTGAAGCCATTCGGAGACGTCGGGAAGATCGCCGACACGCTGGTCTGGCTGGTCATACTGTTCTGTCGGGAGAAGGACGGCTGCCCCGCCGGCATCTTGCCCCGTGCCTTTTCCGACATGCCTCGTAGTTGTAGCGGTACACTTTCGTCGACAGTCGACGCCGCTGATGGCCGTCGCGAGCTTTGGACAGACGGCGATGTGTGCGCCGGTGTTTTGGCCTCGTCCTGCTCATCGTCGGACTCGTCTCCGATGGCAAAAGGCGTGTTCTCTTCCGGGATGCGGCCCAGCGGAGATCGCGTACCCGACGATGTGTGAGGATCCTCCTCAGCGGCGGAGAGAACCGGACTGGCGACAAAGTCACTGGATCCGCTCTCGTCCTTTCTTCTCTCGTTCTGGCGTTCGATCTCCTGCTGTCCGCTCTCCAGCGTGAACGACCGCACGGCCTCAAAGCGTTTCCGATACTTCAGGATGGCATAGACGAGGAACGGGTTTTCTTTAAAACTGTCAGCAGGGACCTTGAAGAAAACATCGGGCATTGAACGAACTCGTAAACTTGTGCTCTAGGATCGAATTGATCGACTCCAGCACGGAAGTGAGAAGGTTGTGATTGGAGTCGTTCGCGAGCAAGAAACTAGGCGCGGACATGGACGAGAACAACTGCAAGATCTTGGAGCATGCCGCTGGAGACATGTGTTCCACATAGGGGGCGAGGTTGTTCACGATGGCTAGCAGCGCCGGATAGACTGCAGTGAGCGTGCCTTTGCTGGTAGTGATCAAAGTGTGGACGGACTGCTAATGTCAATTATTGCCCATTTCGAACATCTGGGGTACTGACCATGATCAAGAAATCTGCATAAGAACCGCGGAAGTTGGGAATGCGAATGGTTTGCGGGAGCGTGTCTTGTGCCTCGAATTTCATATTCAAGCTTTGCCCGAAATTAGGGTCCACGCTCATGGTCTGGAGAATGAAGATGCACATCCGGACCACGCCTTGTTTGGCGGGGTCCGATTTGTACGCAATGGCGTAGAAGATGCAGAGAATGACAAAATCGTGAGAGCGGTTGGAGTCGATGATGAAAGACCTAAAGCGCTTATTGCACTGCAACGCCTCCCAGAAGAGCATCAGCATCTCGGGGGCCCACTTGACGGTTCTCTGACTACCGGGGAGGTAGGAGCTTGTAGCTTGCAACTGAAAAATAGATGTCAGTGGTGAAGGCAGTCATGAAAGAAGCATGAACATACGGGCTGATTCAGGATTCGAGTCATTCCGTCGACCAGAAACTGAAAGTCCTGCGGCCTATGTAGCCGTCCGAAGTAGTGACGATAGTGATTTTTCGGAGGAGAACCACGACCATCCTCAGGGACTGGATACAAAAGCAGCACGAGGAGCAACTGCAGGCAGTAGATAACCAGAATCTGCTTGGGGTCTTTCCACACGACATGATCATACGGGACCTTCCAGGATGCGGGGTTGTACTTGATAGCCTGCATGGAACGAGTGAGCACTGCCCTTGGATAGGTAACCTTCTGCAAGACCTACCGTGTTGAGCAACGAGCACAGAAGGGTCAAGACAGTCTGCTTGTCCGAACATGTCGTGATGTAGGTAAGGGCTTTAACACCCTGCACCGGCAATAGATCTTCCAGGCTGTCAGCTCGAGATACCCAGTCGGTTTACCGCGCTCGAAAGAGCAGATGGCTTACTTGAAGGCATATACATGGCCCGTCCGGTCAGCGTCAGCAGTAACCGTAGAATCTCACAGCGGTTGTTTTCGAGTTCTTTGTTCGAGCCCATGGACGTATTGCACCCCACCCCGCTTTGCCAGATGGAAAACGAGACTTTGCTGGCCGCTGTAGGTAGTGGTGGAATCGTGAAGTCCGTGTAAAACAGCAGATCTAATAAGGTATCGATCAACTCCTCCGCCAGAGGTTTCACTTCTTCATAGTCACTCTCCCGAGGCGACACCGCATCGCGCTGTTCCCCAGCCTGCGCCTCGTCAAAGAGCACTTCCGTCGCCACCTGGGCCTCGCGGGTCTTCTTCCTCCGACGAGCCCAGAAGAATTGCTCCTCCCATCCCTCCAAGTGGTCGGCCTCGTATACGAAGGGAAGGATCCGGGTGAGGATGCGGATGCAGTTCAGCGCGTCCCGGTCGGGGGCTAGGTCCGGGTCTGGAAAGGACGGATGATTCCTGAGGACGGTGAGGCGTGAGGTGACCGACAGCAGTAGTGTCTCGAAATTCGATGTCGCGTTATCACGGGTTCGCCGTATGTCTGCGGGGGTGAATAAACTGAAGACATCCTCGGTCGACTCTGGGAGCTCCCAGAACTACATCGCAATCGTCAGCAACCGATCGCACTCCCTGGTAGATGATCGACGATTCAAAACATACTCTCGCCCAGTAGGGATCATCTGGAGGGATATCTTTCTCCTCCGAGAGACGGAAGATTCCCTGCTTGAAGACCAACTTGGACTCCGAAGCCCCCATTGTAAAGCCACCAACGGAATGGATTGACGGAACAACCGACTAGGTGCAGTTAGAGGCCTACAGGGAAAGGTATCCTGAGGCTGACGCTTTACCCCTGCTGAGAACAACTACTCAGGATGGGGCAAATAATCAGATGTCGCGTTGGGGGGCTGCGTGGCAGGTTGAATAAAGAAAGAATAAAGGAATGAGGGAACGAGTTGACAGCTACCTATCGTTCCTTGGCCGCGGAGACTCGGCGATCTTCCAGTGGGTGATGCTGCCGAGAGTGGTCCCCATCAGGGTAAATAAACACACCCCCCGCCACGATTTGACTCCAGCTTATATGGTATAACGTATGAAATGATAATATTCTAAAATGCTAAAGTATAGTATTGCTATGGAAAATTCAAAGCCACGAATTTCGGAAATAACTTCCGGGCTAAACACTCAAGTTTACATCGTCTTCCCTTGATAAGTGCAACCAGAACACCCGCCAAACCAATCCATTCCATTTATCAATCAATCAAAGACTGCCGTTGCTGGCTGACAACCGTCTACTCCGCTCGTAAAGCCACTTATTGCTCAATCCCAGGCTAACCCGCTTTCCACCGACCGGGGATGGGGTCGCAGGCCCCATGGTCGACTCCGTGAAGGATGAGCTCCGACCGAATGAAGACGACGACCCAAAGCTGGGTCGTCGCCCTCCCTCTCGCCCCCCATTCGAAACCACCTTATGAAGCAACGGGCTACTAGAAGGGGAAAAGGTTGTGCTGTACGATAGTCGACGCCCCGATGCGCTGGCGCTCGCGGATAACGGCGACGCCGTTCTGCTGGCGGGGCTAGCGGTCCGCGATGCCGAAAGTCGATATTTCGGGGGGGTCACAAATGAGGTTCCAGGCGTCGACGGTGAGCTGGTAGACGGGCGGAGGCCCAGGAGCGAGCGCTGCGTAGGGGTGAGAGGGATGTCGGAGAAGTTGTCCTTGGGCCGGAACAGAGGGTACAATGCGAGGAGGATGTTCACCGCAAAGATCAGTTGCAAGATCAGCAGCGAGAAGTCCGGGTAGGTAGAAATTCGGGTCAGGTTTTGGACCCGAAAAGAGCTGTAGGAATGCGAGTCAGATCCTATAGCACGACCCCGGCGTCGCTGCTCACACCACTCACTATGATCGAAAGGTATCCCCGAAGATCCACGTCGCTACCAGAGCGACGGTATTCCACGACAATTTCTTGAGGTTGCGGTCTCCGAATGTCTCCGCATTTTGTCGCCTGACAATCTCGTTCAACTGAGGATGGCGCCACTTGCCAGGAGTGCGAGATTCATCTGGCGTGGGCGCGGGCGCGGGCGCAATGGCCGCTTTCGGGGTGGAGGGAAGAGAGGCCATTGACCGGGGACCAGGACGAAGGGCGACGACGAAAAGGAAAGAAAAAAAGATAGGGGGGGGGAGGGGCTATTCAAAGGTCAGCACAAAAGAAGCTATCACGAAGGTTCCCTCAAATGACCACTTACTTGAATAGGACGTTGAAGCTGAACTTACCTTGTCCTTACTTACCTTTACTGGTTCAATCGAGGTTTTACCACAAGCACATTTGGGGAAGAGTGTCCAAATTCGCCTTACGGTAAAAACCCAGACTGGACCATACCTCAACTTCAAGAATGGAGAGAGGGGACCAGCGGAGTGGGGAAGGATGATGTGATAGATAGATTGTTATGATGATTTTGTTTTGGAGACGATGATCGATGCGCAACGCCGGCAACCGGGAGGACAAGCGCCTTTGACGCGGCCGAAGTTTTCCACTGTAAGTGTACGGAGTACTCCGTACAGTATGTATGGTATGTAATAGCTGGACTAGCCGCCCCCCACACCTACGTAGATTAATCCGAGCTTCCGCCCAGCTCCGCTTTTGACCCTCGCATTGTAAACAACATCTGGCGGGAGACTACAAAAAGGCCATCTGTCTTCGCTTTGCTGGTCACTTAATTGCTCTTAGGGTGATACTCTCCTCGAGAGACCCAGCCATCGATCATGGATGCGAATAAATCCCTGTTGGAATCGTTGGATGCGGTGGTTGCCGATGCCTTCGCCGACTGGAACATCTATAGCACGTTGATTGCCGGTGGCATTGTTACCTTTCTCGTCTGGTCTTTCGTCACTTCTAAGGATCCCGATATCCATCCGTTTCTTCTCGCGCGTCAGTCGACCGCGTTTCCCGTACGCAGGTCCGGTGAATCAGCGCCATATCGGAGTCTCGAGACACCCCACGGTTTCCCCTTGCGGTCCGGACTGAACGTGAAGGATCCCGGCGCGCCAAAGTGGACGACGGGAAGGAAAGGCGACCTCCGAGATGTTTGGAGAGCGGCCGTGCGAGGCGCTTTGGACGATGAGGGCAAACTCACGGGCAAGCAGGGCAAGATCTACACCGTGCTGGGGCGCAAGGCCATCGAGCACTCTTTGGACCAAGTCACGCAGGAAATCAACGTCATCGGGCGGTTCTTGCAGGAGGCGAGAACCAAAACCATGGCGGTCTGTCTGACCGACTCGATGGAACTGCTAGCAGCTATCTTCGGTATGAGCTATCGGTTGTGTGATTAGTTTCGATTGGTGCTGACCGGGCTTCTTTCAGCGGGCGCATTCTATGGCTTCAAGGTCGTCCTCATTCCCCATAACCTGAAAGCGCAAGACCTCTCGAATCTGTTGCAACGAGCCCAGGCCGATACGTTGATCGCGGAGGCCGGTGCTCTCGATCTGTCCCTGGTCGCGAAGAACAACAGGCAACTCTCGCAGGTCGTTTGGGTTGCAAAGGTTGGAAGCCGGCACATGGATTGGAATGAAGTGCCCGAGGATGTCAAGGGCAGCTTGGATGTGACCGTCTGGCACGATCTGGTGGACGCGAAGAGGGATCTGGCTGGACTGGAAGTTCCTAGCTGGGATTCTAGCTCCCCGTCGCCTTCCGTGACCACCGTGTGGCCGTCTGCATCGGGAGTGGGCGAGTTTATTGAATTCCAGCCCGAGGTAGGGCCCCCCCCCCCTCTATCGAGTTGATTATGACTATCCACGACTGACTTGGATGTAGAACTTGGTGGCCGCCATTGCCGGTTTACTCTTTTCCCTGCCCCGAACCCAACGCTTCAACTCTAACGATCTGGTCCTCTCAATTGACTCGATGTCACGTTCATACCCGCTGTGCCAGATCATGGCCGCGATCTTCGCCGGTGCCTCTGTCGCCCTGAACTCGGTTGCCGGGGAGGGCGTCGACTTCGCTTTGGCTACCGTCGGGGTGTCCCCTACCGTGATCATTGCCTCGTCCCGCACCATGTCCCAGTATCATGACAAATTCATGGAACCCCACTCCGGCATCATCTCGTCGATTGCTCGCTGGCTTCAAGTGCGGAACCTGGAAGCGGGTGTGATGCCATCGCACGGTCTGCTCAGCCAGCTCGCCAACATCGGCCCCACCGCCGAACTGTCCCTGGACAAACTCCGTCTGCTGTGCATCTCCCACCGCGCCGATGCGGATCCCCAGGACCGCCTGACTTGTGGGCAGCTGACGGACCTGCGAATCTTCACCGGTGCCCGCGTGGTATATGCCCTGACGGGCCCGGGGGTGGCGGGTGCTATATCTCAGACCAACATCTTTGACTATCGGCGTTTCCTGGGCCCCAACCACTTTGGTGCGCCGTTGAGTAGTGTCGAGGTTCTCTTGACCGACATCCCCAGCGACGAGAAGTTCGAAGGAAAGGTAAGCATTTGACTTGTTTCACATAGACTTTAGGAAGCACTCGCTAATCGTTCTCGGTAGATCACCGTGTCTGGCCCTGCTGTCATCTCCGGCACGGTCACTCTTCCCGCCCGGGGTCATATCCGTGATGACCACACCCTCGAATTGGTTGCTTAGGTTGGGCAGATGAAGTGAAATTCGTGCCTGCTGATTGTTTTGGGATCCGGTAGCTTTTACATAAGCCGTTTATTTAGCACCTTATTTGTCTCCAGTGATTTGCTCATTTCGTTTCCGGGTGTCTTTAGCAATACGCGGTTTCCTGGACACGGCCAAAGGCCTACATGTACCTAGTTTTTGTTGTTCAATCCGTCCAGATTGTACGAAAGGACATGGAAATTCTCGTCCATTCTCAACTAAAGATACAGCTCCGAGCAGTATTGATGGTAATGTACAATTCATAAGCAAGGCACAAACGCCAAAAAAATCATCCTATCTAAAACCCCCCCCCCACATTTTCTTCAGACGATGTTTTGGCTCTGTACGTAACCCAGGGTGGGTTTTTGCTCAATCTCCGCCGGAGCAAGGCTCCTCTGCTTCTGGATGATCATTTTGACGTCGTTCGAGCGCGTCTTCAAGAGGCGGCCCACGTCCTTGGTGCGCCCGACTTCCTGCACCTGCTGGGCGAGGTTCATCGCGTTGTAGATAGCCACGTTGCGCTGCAGCAGTCTGTCGATCTCGGGCCAGTTCTTGTACTCGGGCTTGCTCAACTGAGCGTACGCCCACGTGCCGAAGAGGCGCTCTGCGTAGAGACGGACCAGGCCGTCATGGTCGTGGCGGTTGTGTTCCTCCACCGCGCGGGCGGCGTTCAACTCGAGGAGCACGGCGCTAACGAGCGGCCTCTTCCTGGGGTCCAGGTGAGGGCTAGCCTGGTGGTGTTCCGGGCTGTCCATCAGCGACACGAACTGCGTTGCCAGCTCGGCGGCCTTCGCCAGCTCGGGTCCCTTGAACTCCGCCGCCAGGGCCTTCTTGTGCAGCGCGAGGAAGATCTGCTCCACGAGAGGCGGGTTGTTGAGGTAGAGGCCGGTTTTCTCAGCCTGTCGGGCACAGTCGAGGACGATGCCGAGGGCGTCGGCGTTGCCCGCTCTCCGCGCCAGCCACTCCTGGCGCTCGGGGCTCAATTTCCGGCCTGCGATCTTGAGGCCTCGTAGGAAGGGGGCCAGGTTTCGCCAGTCTTGCTTCGTCTGCATCATCCGGAGCACGGCGACGGCTTCTTGGTTCGACGGTCTCGTTTGCGGGTCCATGGGTCGCAGGGTGAAGTCCTCCTCTTCGCCTTCGAGGGGCACCGTGATCTGCTCTTCGTCGAGGCGGTCGGCGTACTTTTGGCGGAACATCATCCGCCGCGGGCCCTGGGGCAGGCCATACGGTATGAAGAGTTCTTCGCGGAATCGGTGAAGTTCCTGGTCCAGTTCGGGGGAGGAGGTCTGGGTGAAGGTCGGGATTGCTGTGGTTTTGTTAGTAATGCTGTGTAGTTGTGAAGGATGGATATAAAGGCTTGAGAGAAGGAGACTGACTAGCACGAGTGCGCTTCTGTATGAAGCCACTGATGGACGGACGCAGAGTACTGGGACCCTGGCCGCGGAAAAGCCTCAAGGCGCACTGCGCCATTCTGGTGGGAGGAAAGGGTGTTTGGAGTAGAACTCAACAATGGATTCCACTGGGAGAAAAGGATCTCAGGCAATTGCACAAATGGAACGCCTTTTCTGGTGGATTGGAGCAAACGGACTCGACTTGCGGAGCAGAAAAGTTCCCGTCGCGAGTCAAGTTCAGATCCGATGGAGGTTGTCCCAATCGGGCAATTCGGGGCTTGGCGGGAATTCTGCCCGTCCGTCAAGTTCTTCCCGTTCTAATCACCGTTATCACACTCTCTCTCCCTCCCTCTGTGGTCTCTCTTTATCACCTATCACGTCGACAATTGTTACTCGAACAGTTGTCTGATCTGCCATCATGGCAAATCCCTCCCCGATCTTGCGGCAGCTGGGCTGCTTCAGGTCGTTGATGAAGCCCCAGTCGCTTCAACACGCCCAGATCAGTCGCCGATCGATCACGACCGCATACACGCCCAAGTCACAGCCTCTGGATTTCCCATCCAAGATGCCCAAGACATTTCTGTCGCAAATACCTACTCATTTGCAGCCTCACAGTGCGTGGAGTTCCCCCCTTGTACTCCTGGGTAACCCTCACTAATCCGTTCTTTGCGACAGGCCGCAAGAAACTCAAGGTCTACCCTCCGCCGGCCTCCGCGACCACTACGTGCAAAGACGCGGTGGGAGCCGTGAACCAATCGCAATTAGAAACGCTTGACCCGACCGGTGAACGCAAGGCGCTCTTTGACTACCGACGGAACCCGCGCAGTGTCAAGGTTGGAGACATTGTGCGCGTGACATTCAAGAACGGAGACCCATTCGCAGGAGTGTGCTTGAGCATCCGGTTGCGAGGGCACGACACGTCATTCTTGCTGCGGAATCAGCTCAGTCGTGTTGGTGTCGAGATGTGGGTGAAGGCTCTCAGCCCTAACGTTGAGAGCGTTGAGATCGTCCAGAGAACCGCGCACAGGAAGAGACGTGCCAGGTTGTATTACATGAGGTGCGTATTTGCTGGTTTTACTATCCCGGATGGTACGGGGACTGTGGGATTTTGTCGACTAACTATTTTGTGTTATTCTCTTCCAGACAGCCTAGACATGACATGGGCACCGTCGAGAACATCGTCACGAACTATCTCCGACAGAAGCAAGGCCTTCGGGGCATCAAGGGACGTGGGGGACGTGGACAGAGACGGTGAACTGGGACTCCCATGTAAACCAACTCTTGCATTTGGCGATTGTATTATTACTTGCACGTGTATATTGAACCTGACGTCTAGGTGTTTGTCTGGTAACTTCGGGTATAAAGCAATTCAAAGCATCCTTCTGAATGACCTACCGTGATCAATCCAACAAGGGTTTGTTTTCCCTAATACACCCACTGCCTTTTGGCAAATGGATTGGCCGTTGAGTACATGGAGACGAGGCATCAGTACATTCTGCCTGGGGCGCTAGGCCTCCGTCTTAGTCACCCCATTATTCTTTGTATCGCTCCAAGTAGTCGAAGTAAATAAACCATCGCAACTCTGGCCATCCAACTCCACGAGATGCTCCGTAACTCTTTCATCTAACCCACGCTGTACGATACGTTCGAGTCAGGTTGAATCGACAGCGGTAGCTGTGCTCCTGATCCTCGAATCAGGCCCCAGATCGGCTCAATCACTTGAAGTGGGGTGAAATACGCTAATTAATATACTCCAGGGAAAAATGAAGTCTCGGCGCCAACCAATTCCAAGGCACGCCGGCAACTTGGTCGACCGAGGCGATGCTACCAGCGTCAGATTCCTTGCGGAGTGATTGGTCGATTGTCTGACTGTTCGTTCTGCTAATCCACCTGTTGTCATGATTTCTGTTCGCTTTTAAGCAGTCCTAGCAGTGAGCACTGCCTCCCACGCTCCTAGGCAGACCCACTCCTACGATCTTGGTCTCTTACGGAGTAGGGGCTACAGATTCAGTCGCAGCCTTGTCCCAGGGTACACCACGCCTGCTGCAAGTCGCTTTGAGGGTATCAGGACTGCTTTTCTTTGATTCTCTACCTGAGTGATGCTTGGTTGACGCAGAGTCCGACATCACTTCCTCGTCGTCCCCCTTTCCGTCGCCCTTTTAGGGCTAGGAATGAACCTTTGGATCGTCTAGTGTCGCTCCCGTGACAGACAGGCAACAATGAAACTCTTCCTCAGGCAGGTCTGGACATTGACTGTCAAGAATCTGTTGGTGGTGTTGGTCCGCCCGCTGTTCACGACCCTTATTCGGGCCTTGGTCTTGCCTGTAGTCTTCATTGCTTTTATGTTCGTCGCGGTGCACTCGATAATCCTGTCTGTCTCGAATTGTCTAATGCAGCGCTTAGATCATACGCGCGGAATCTATTCATCGAACCGGCAATATACGGGATCGGCGAACCGACTCCTCTGCGATCCTTCTCCGATGCGCTGGGTCTCGTCAGTGAAGGAAGGGACAAAGTGGTATTCGTCCACAATGGACTGGTTGATGGTCCAGTCCAGCAAGTAATCGATCGCGTCGCGAAGCCTGCCAGACAAAACCACGACCAAGTGCATATCCTTAGCTCCGAGGATGAGCTGCGCGAGGTATGTCGTTCGTCTCTTCGGGGGGTGTCGACATGTGTCGCCGCCGCCGTATTCCATTCCTCCCCTACGGAAGGTCCATATGGCGCCTGGAATTATTCGATCCGAATGGATGCGGCACTAGGCGCGGGGATAGAAGTCGACAAGCACGACAATGAACAGGAGATCTATCTTCTTCCGTTCCAGCACGCCATTGACTGGGCCATAGCCCAAGTCAACACGTCTACTAGCCGACGCCCACTTCCCAGCGAGGTTTGCCTCCACGACTCCAGTACAGTTGGTTCCAGCTAATCGATATAGATTATGGAATATCCGTTTACTTCTTTAACCCAGAAGGGTCGGCAGGACCAAATCAGAACCCGCTATATGGGCGCTGTCATCGACATCATAGGAGTCGCCATTTTCATCGGCATCGTCGGTGTCTCGTACCAGCTGACAGGCTTGATCGCCATGGAGCGGGAACTAGGCATGAGTCAGTTGATCGATTGCATGATGCCGAATACCTCGCGGTGGAAGTCTCAAGCCGCCCGGTTCTGCGCTGCCCACTTGGCCTTGGATATCGTTTATGGTCCTGGTTGGATCATCGCCGGCGGCATCCTGAAGTACGGCGTATATAGCAAAACCTCCGCCGGTATCACCATAATTTACCACATCCTCGTTGGTCTAGCGCTGTCATCCTTCTCCATCTTTGGGGCATCCTTCTTCAAGAAGGCACAGCTGAGTGGAATTACCCTCGTCATTGTCTGTTTACTACTGGGCGTGGTAGCACAAATGGTCCCTACCGAAAGCAGTGGAACGGTTGGGATTCTAGGTCTCCTCTTCCCGTCGATGAATTATGTCTATTTTTCTATTTTCATGGCTCGCTGGGAGCGGCAGAACTTGGCGACGAATCTTGTTGAAGCGGCACCCGAAAACCCCTGGTCCCTGCCTGGCATCGCTCTGTGGATACTCCTGGTCATTCAAATCATCGTGTACCCTGTGCTTGCAGCTGTGGCAGAGCGTGTACTCTATGGTACAACTTCGAAGAACCGACAGGCCACTACTTCTGACACCTCGGCCGCCCTCAGTTTGAACGCGTTCAGCAAGGAATATCAGCCGGGGTGGCTCTACCGGAATATAGCTTCGCGTTTTGGGAGCAATCGCAGCAGTGTGTTGGCCGTCAATGGCCTTACGATGAATGTGACAAAAGGAGAGATCATGGTCCTCCTCGGAGCTAATGGTTCAGGAAAATCCACTACACTGGATGCTATTGCTGGTCTTACGACAATCTCCTCTGGGCAAATCGACATCAGCTACGGCGAGTCAGGAGGCCGATTTGGTCTCTGCCCCCAGAAGAATGTTCTTTGGGATTCACTCACGGTCAATGAACACGTGAAGATATTTAACAGACTCAAGTCCACGGGGAAGACCGATTCCAAGGAGCAACTCTCCAAGCTTCTTGGTGACTGTGACCTTGACAAGAAGGTGAATGCGCGCACAGCGACACTCTCCGGTGGTCAAAAACGCAAGGTTCAGCTGGCGATGATGTTCACGGGTGGTTCGTCTGTGTGTTGTGTGGACGAAGTATCATCTGGCCTTGACCCAATCTCGCGCAGGAAAATCTGGGATATTCTGCTGGCGGAAAGAGGCTCCAGGACTATTCTTTTGACAACTCATTTCCTGGATGAGGCCGACCTTCTCGCTGATCACATTGCTATTCTGTCGAAGGGTGTTCTCAAGGCTGACGGGTCGAGTGTCGAGCTTAAACATCGACTCGGCTCGGGATATCGTATCCACGTCCTCCACGTCCCTGGGGCTCCCAGCCTACAGTTCAAGGACATTCCACATGAGGTTCATTTCGACGAGACGCTCTATACTGTCCAGAGCTCGGCAGAAGCCGCCTCTTTCGTGTCAACGCTGGAACAAAACGGTGTGACCGATTACCGCATCAGTGGCCCGACAATAGAGGATGTCTTCTTGAAGGTCGCCGAAGAAGTGGACTTAAGCAAAGCCTCGACAGCTGCTACCAGTGAAGCTGACCACGTCCACTCGAAGTTTGCCGAAGTCATGGAGGAGGAAGTTGGCGAACTGCAGCTTCTCACTGGAAAGCGCATCGGCATGCTCGTCCAGGCGTGGTACTTGTTCCGTAAAAGGATCACCATTCTACGGCGGAATCCCCTCCCTTACATTGCTGCCCTGCTTATTCCCGTTATAGCTGCGGGATTGGTTACTCTGTTCCTCGAAGGAGCTACGAAGACGGGATGCTCTGGAGCGAGTACTTCTATGGCTCCAGAAACACAGTCTTTAGGATCACTGGACGGCTTCCATATTGTGCTTGGCCCATCCAGTGTAGTGTCCACTGCAGCGCTCGAGAAATTCATCAAGACCCTCGAGGGCACAAGTGGGACCAAGGATGGAGGCCCCGATTTGGAGACTCGTTTCCACATGGTTGACACTTATCCGGAGTTCACGAGCTACATCCAAAATAACTATGCCAATGTGACACCTGGTGGCTTCTACCTTGGAGACGACTCCTCTCCGGCCACTTTGGCATGGGAAGCCGATAACGGCGACTTCCCACTTGCGGCCGTCGTGCAGAATCTCTTTGATCGTGTCCTGACCGGTATCCCAATCAACGTGCAATACCAGCCTTTCGAGATTCCCATGCAACCCGGTATGGGGAAGACGCTCCAGTTGATCGTTTACTTTGGTCTTGCGATGTCCGTGTACCCGGCCTTGTTCGCTCTCTACCCAACCATAGAACGTCTGAGACACGTGAGAGCGCTGCACTTCAGCAATGGAGTACGAAGTCTGTCACTCTGGCTGGCGTACCTTGCCTTCGACTTCTGTATTGTGCTTGCGGCCAGCGTTCTCGCGATCGTCATATTTCGGGCCGTATCAGATGTATGGTACCATCCAGGGTATCTATTCGTGGTATTCTTCGTCTATGGACTGTGCGCGACCTTGCTCTCGTACCTGGTGTCACTCTTCTCGAAATCCCAGCTCGCAGCCTTTGCCTTTGCTGCCGGTGGACAATGCGTTCTCTTCCTCATCTACTTCATCGCATACATGTCTGTCCTGACCTATGCGCCCACCGAAAAGGTCGACTACTACATCGAGGTAGCCCACTTCACGATAGCGATCATATCTCCAGCAGGGAACCTCCTCCGCGCCATGTTTACCGCGCTCAATACTTTCTCGATTCTCTGCCGCGGTCACGAAATCGCCTCTTACCCTGGCGAGATCACCCTCTACGGCGGGCCCATCCTCTACCTGATCATTCAATCCCTAGTCCTCTTCGGACTAATCCTCTGGATCGACGGCGGGCCTGTCTTGTCATCCCTCTTCCATAGCAAGCTCAAGCCCACGGACGTCGAGGAAAAGAGCCCAGTCGACAAAGACATCGCGACAGAAGCCTCCCGCGTGGCGACCTCTTCAGACGACGGCCTTCGCGTCCTCAACATAAACAAAAAATTCAAGAAACTCACAGCAGTCGAAGACGTCAGCTTTGGAGTAGGCAAAAGCGAAGTCTTCGCCCTACTCGGCCCCAACGGCGCCGGCAAAACAACAACCATATCGCTCATCCGCGGCGACACCCAACCCACCCGCAGCAACAGCACCAACACCAGCGAAATCCTCGTCGACGACATCTCCGTCCTCAAACACCGCGCCTCCGCACGCTCCCGCCTCGGCGTCTGCCCCCAGTTCGACGCAATGGACCAAATGACCGTCCAAGAGCACCTAACCTTCTACGCGCGCATCCGCGGCCTCCCCCCCACCAACACAACCCACAACGTCAACGAAGTCATGCGCGCCGTAGGCCTCCTCCCCTTCCGCCACCGCATGGCAACCCAGCTCTCAGGCGGCAACAAGCGCAAGCTCTCCCTGGGCATCGCCCTAATGGGCAATCCCTCCGTGCTCCTTCTCGACGAGCCCAGCTCCGGCATGGACGCCGCCTCCAAGCGCATCATGTGGAAGACCCTCGCGGCCGTCGCGACAGGCCGCTCAATCGTCCTCACCACGCACTCCATGGAAGAAGCGGACGCGCTCGCCCACCGCGCGGGTATCATGGCCCGACGCATGCTCGCCCTCGGCACGACGAATGCCTTGCGCGCTCGCTACGGAAACATGTACCATGTGCATATGGTGCACTGCGCCGCACCACATACAACCGAGTCCGACATGGAGCGCATCCGGACTTGGGTGGCGGCTTCGTTCCCTGGTGCTGTCGTCGAAAAGAAGACGTATCATGGCCAGTTGCGGTTTAGTGTTCCTGCTTCTTCGCCTACCCCTCTTGAGGAGCACCAGAGACGAGATACCGAGGGTTCGTCCGTAGACGAGATCGGGAGTGCTCTGCATGATGGCAACACTAGCCGCAGCGTCAGCAAGCTGTTTTCTCATCTGGAGGAGAATAAGACGGCTCTAGGCGTGGAGTATTATTCTGTCAGTCAGACGACGCTGGACCAGGTTTTCTTGACTATTGTTGGGGAGCATCATGTGAAGGAGGAGGGTTCGACGTGATTTTTTCTTGTTTTCCTCCTTCTTTCTCTCCTTTCTTTCCTTTTTTTTTTTTTTTTTTGAGGCTTTTCTTCTTCTATTTCGTGTGTTTTTTGGGGATTTGAGATTTAGGATTCTCTGTATATATTTATCAAGAGAAGGAGATTAATATCGTATATACTTGATATATAGGTGCGTCTGAGCTTAGTATAATCTAATAGCTTTGCTAGAGAAAATGAAGAAGTCCAACGATTATATTCACATGTATTTATCCTAGGTATAATAGCCTATACCGTCTATAAGACGAGCAGGATATAGGCTATTTACAAAGAGCCATAATCAATAGATATACCGAAAGCTGCGACATCGAAATTAGCACACGTCTCGATCAAATTATATTGAGGAGGGAAAGAGGGAAAGAGAGAAAAGGGAAAGAGGGAAAGAAAAAAAAATAATTACTTCAAATTCTCCCTATCAGTCAAATCCAAAAACGCGGTAGAATCAAGATCCCTGCCATCGAGACCGCCCTCCATCTGGGACTGGATGCGGTCTCGACGCTTGTTCTCCCAGCGGAGGAGAAAGCCGAGGACGGTGATGAGGACGGCTTCTATCAGGTGGGAGACGATCATGGACCAGATGCCGAGTTCGTAGAGGGGTCTGGATATTTATTCGAAAGATGAGGTTAGTTAGGTAGTTGGGTGTTGGTGGGTGATTGGACTGATTGGGTGACTGACTTTTGGTCATCTTTGTAGAAGAATGGACCGGCGATGTTGCCGGTGCAGTAGCCTAGGAAGAGGACTGCGTTTGTGACGACTTTTTTGGTGTGGCCTGTGGTTTTGTGGATTATCCAGTTAGTATAGGTGTGTATGTACATAGGCATGTATCTTAAGAGCAGGAGGAAGTACCGGCTGTGTTGGCGACTTGCATGCTGAGGACAAGCACAAATGCCGCGTTGTACGGCCCTGTTAGATAGTAGCAAATCAAGCGGCCAACTCTCTGCTGGACTGGCACGAAGCGGAGTCCGAATGAGCCTGCAATGTTGGGAAGCAGGAAGATCAGAATGAAGAGACAGCGGCGGTTCTCGAAGCGATCGTTGAGATATACGCAGGCGAGAATGGACAGTGCGATTATGACGCCGTAGGGGATCTGCAATTGCAGGTTAAGCTATACCCAAGTGGAGTCGTATTTGAAGAGGGTAAGCGTACCTGCATCAGTGTTGTGACCAGGGTGGAGAACCCAAACCCTTGGATGATAATGGTTCCGAAGTTCGAGATGCCGCCGTTGGGGATATTGCCTGGGACATCAGCTGGCTGTCATCCATATAGGCAAACTGCGACTCACACACGGCACCTAGGAGAAAGAAAAAGTAGAGCTTGTAGTCCATAAACGCTTCGAGGATCTGATGAGGCTTGATGTGCTTGTTCTCCACACCGGTTTGGTTCTCCTTCAGTCTTTCAACGGCAATCCGACGCTGTCTCTGGGAGAGGCCAGGCGCCGAGACAGGCGAGTCTGGGAGAAAGATAAACATGACAATGCCCCAGATAGAGCAAAGGGCACCGCTTTTAGGCTCGGTCAGATCAAAACCAGAGGAGAAGCCAAAGGGGGTCGTACATGATGATGAATTCGTACTTCCACGAAGGAAGCGCACCGCGGATGTTACCAATGCCGTACCCAAGCAGACCACCTAGTGCGATCCCCAATCCGTTGGCTGTATACCACAGACCGATCCGCACAGGCTGCTCACGCCGCGTATACCACATGCTTGTGATGAGCATAAAAGCCGGATCGGCGCACGCTTCGGCAGCGCCGCCCAGTGCACGGAGAACTGCAAGGGTAGTGAAGTTATGGCAAGCGGCTTGGATCATGAGAAAAACGCCCCTTATGAGTGTCAGCTTCATTAACATGACTTCAAATGTCTCCCCAAACCAGCGGCCATACCACATAAAGATATTGATACCGAGATATTTGCCTACCCACGTCAGCACACGTTGACGCCAACAGATCATCTCAGCTTACCGATCGGAAACCGCTGCAGCATAAAATTGGTAGGAAACGCCCAAGCAAGGAATCCGAAATAGAAGATCGAGCTTAGCCAACTATACTGCGTGCCATGAAGATCAAGGTCCTCGACGATGCCAAAAATGGCCGCGTAGCTGAGCGTAGTCTGCGCAGAATAACCAGTCAGTTCCAAGCAAACTCCGATATAGAAAGATCTCACCAACCTTATCAATATAAAAAAAAGCATAGCAAACAGCCAAATAAGGCAGAATCATAAAATCGATTTTCCACAGCAACCGTCGCGCCTCGGCCGGATCGACAGGCTCGTACAGCTCGTTGGGGTCGTTGAACAAATCCAGGGCCGTGTCACGCTCTGCGCCCTTGTCTGTCCTGTTGGGCATCTTCTTCCAGCTTCCCCCGGCACGGCTGGGACTGCCTTCGCTGTGGGTGGCTGCCGGGCCATCTTCCTCCTCTACTATCGCAGCTTTGGAGCTAGACGGTGGTCCTAGACGGGATCTGGAACCCATCGTCGATTCGCCTATCTTTCCTTGGTGTTTCGATGATTTCAGTTGGCGCCGAATGTAATCTGTCAATGAAACGCACACGAATAACAGCTCCGTCTCTTATAAGCTTAGGTAGGTAGGCAGGTAGTCAATCAGTCAGTCGGCCTCAAATCCATTTACAGACACAGCGCCTACCCCAGCCATTATAAACACACCCCACCATAGCAACAACAATGTGGACTCGATCCCGCGGACTGGGCCGAGTCTTCGTATGACCCCCACACGCGGGTCCCAAGTTCCAACCCCGGATCGAAGCCCGGCATATCCTTGTGCGGGGCTGCACTGGGCGAGTTCAAGATCCACTTCTTGCTGGGGCGTGGGGGTGCAGAACTTTATTGGAGGCGCTCTTTTCAAAGGAAGTCGGAAGGACGCCGTGGATCAGTAGGTGGCGGGGAAGTATCTTGTTCTGTCCCATCTTTCGAGAGGTCAGGGAGACGCCTGAGAGGGTGAAAGTGCGTGGTGTGAGTTGAGTGGACAGAAGAGAGGGGAGTCGGAGGAAGGCCGGTTATCCTATCCTAGCTACCCCCTTGCTGGATCAATACTAGTCTGTATGGAGTAGTCCGTCGGTTAGACGCAGGTAAAGGTGCGGAGTTGGAAGTAGAAAGAGGAGTCGAGTGGAGTCTGGATGGTTGATCACACCGTCTGATCACGGTGTCTCCGTGTGGGGTATCTGGGGTAAACAGTCCAGTCTCCACTGTCTGCTGTCTTGGTTCTTTCTGTTTATTGTCTTGATGTATTATATTATCTTGGTCTACTGCTTGGAGAGTGTATATCCCGAATCACTATAGATTCCCATATCCTAACCACCATTGTCAAATTGCCCATTACTCCATATGTAACATCGAGCGTTTGTTTAACAAGCTAAAGCATGAAGAGTCCATATCTACTCTCCTTTTAAATCAATATACATCTCTCCACCTCATTCCCAGTAGACGAAAAGCGTCCCGGCCCTGGACCGACCCAAGCCGTCTACTGTCTACCGGCGATTGAAGACCAAATAGCGCGCCTATAAATCATCAGCTGGAAGTACCAAACAGTGAGGGTCCAAAAAACTTACCGCCAGGAACAAGAAGATCAGATTCGACCCGACAAACGCGAGATAAATGCCCAAATCCCGCCATCGATTATCAAAGCTCATCTCGAAAGCCCGATAGAACTCATCGCCGACCTTGGTCGCGCAGTACTCACAGGCCCGCGTGGCATTATCCGCGAGATAACCCACGCCCCCGTTTTCAAAAAACGGCTGCATGTACTCCCCGCACGTGAGGTGCGACGGCGCCTCGAACCGGCTGTACTCGCTGGGGAGACAGACGACGGGACGATCGTGCAGCTCGGTCGTCACCATGCCGCTGACGACGCGCGTGAACGGATCCAGCTCGTACAGCCAGGCGCGCCAGAAGCCGGGCATCGACGGCTTGGGGACCATGACGCCGCAGAAGAGACTGAAGATGATGGTGATGGGCGGGTTGATCTGCGAGGCGATGAAGGCGTTTGGCGCGAGGGCGGCGATCATTTGGCCGAGCGTTACGGCGAATAGCTCGGTGATGAGGATCATGAAGTATTGGTAGCCCGCGCGGTCGGTCGCGGACTGGAAGCCTGGGATGTAGTAGAGCGGGAGGAAGAAGATGACGGAGCAGAGGATGCAGTAGGGCACTTCGGCTATTACCATGCCTAGGGCAAAGGCGAACTCTTTGTATGTCTTTGAGGCGGACTCGCGGTAGAAGATCAGTCGGGACATCTCGTAGCGCGGCTCGACCTGCTGGATGATGATGATCGGGATGACTGTCACGTTGAAGATCACGAAGATCCGATACTGCAGGGAGGCCCGCGAGTCGTCCAGTTGCAAGAAGGCCAGCCCCGTGACGAGCGCGATGGCCAGGTGCGTGAAGAAGCGCGTGAATCCGTATTTACTAGAGCGCCAGAAGACGATGTTGGTCCGTTTGCAGACGACCTTGATCTGGTGCCACAGCGGAGTCGCATATTCTTTCTCGCCGGTCGGCGGAGCGTCATGGCGTTGGGTCGCTTGCGTCCGGCTGGCTTTGATCTCCTCGATCTCTCTCTTGACTTGTACGAGCTCTGGCGACGTGCGCCAGACATCGCCCCAGTCGCGGTCCCCGATCTGTCGCGTTTGGCCGGCGCCGATGGCGTCTAGCATCCATTCGGCGGGGTTGGCGTCCTCGGGACAGTCGGCGCCGTGGCGACGGAAGTACTCCAGCAGGGTGCGCGAATCTTCGCCAATGTCGCCAAAGTACACGCATTCGCCCCCTCGCTGCAGCAGGAGGAGGCGGTCGAAGTTCTCGAATAGAGCCGAGTTGGGCTGATGAATGGTGCAGAGGATCGCTTGCCCGGCGGCGGCGAGCTTCCGCAGGAACCGAACAATGTTAAAGGCAGACTGGCTGTCGAGGCCCGAGGTAGGTTCGTCCAAGAAGAGGAGTAGCTCTGGTTTTGCCGCCAATTCAACGCCAATGGTCACGCGCTTTCGCTCTTCGACCGACAATCCGGTTTCAGGTGTCCCGATGATGGCGTCCGCGAGGCTTTCCAGTTCAAGAAGCGAGATGATTTCTTCCACGTAGGCGTGCTTCTCCGACTGCGGTGTCTCGTAAGGCTGCCGGAGGTCGGCGGAGAACTGCAATGCTTCTCTGACGGTTTGCATGGATTCGTGGACATCCAGTTGCTCGGCGTAGGACGTTCCGCGCTGGAATGCCGTACCTGGGGGCACGCCATCTACCAGGATGTCACCGTGGATCACACCAATATTCTTCCTGGCCGCGAGGACATCCAACAGTGTAGTCTTTCCTGCCCCCGATGCACCCATAAGCGCCGTCAGCTTTCCGGGCTGCACGTAGCCATACACCGAATGGAGAAGCCTGCGTGTCCCCGATGGCACAGGGACATCGTAATTGACATCTTCCCAGGTCAAGACCGACTTGGACGTGATTTCGATGTCGGTCTCAACTTCCCCGCCTTTCTTGGACTGCCTATTGGCCTTTTTCTCCATCAACCTCTCATTCAGGTCTTTCCTCTGCTTGTTTTCCTTCTGGTAGAACGTGATAGTCTTGCCCCCAGCATCAAACCGAATAACCTCACCAAAGTACAAGTTCATAGCAAGAAAGCCAACAATGAGAGCCATCATGATGCCGAAATTCCGCCACAAGTCTCCCTCCATGTAGCTAAACGTAGTAGCGATGTAATTCGCGCCCGGCACAATGGCGGACCCAGGCTCGCCGCCCGCAAGGGTACAAGCCTGGTGAGCGATATCGTCGTATCCTGGACCGCTGGGAACTAGAGACTCATGCGTGCAGGTCATTTCCAGGCCGCGGAACTCGTTGACCATCAGTGCCGTGAAGCCCAGCCCGAAGGGGTTGATGAAGTAGATCCAACGCAGCCAGACTTGCGCAGCCGACCACTGGACGAGATATCCCGAAGTGATGACGAACAGCGAGATGAGCACGGAAACAAAGTTCATCGCGTGGTCGAAGCCGGGACACAGGCATCCAATCGTCCGGAAGAATACCGTCATGTCGATGTATCCAAGGAAGATGATCAGAATGAATATGAAGAACGCACCCGCGTCGAGGGTCAGTCCGCACATGAAGTACACGATGATGCTGAAGATGATGATCCTGGCGATGGCGAATGTAGCATCCACCACTATTTGCGCAATCCACAGCGCGCTCGGTCGATAGAATGTGAATTGGCTGTGTTTGTTCACCAGAGCGCGCCCCATCATCGTAGACGCTAGCTCCGAGAACGCCTGGAACCCGTTGAAGAGCAGACTTGTAAACAGAAGACCGCCTCGCGTGAAGGCTCCAGCGCTGGTCACTGGCTGCTTAAGCCAGACCGTTCCGAGCACGATAGCCACCCCAACGGATGTCACCCAAGAGACGATCAGTGCGAATTTATCCTGCCATTTGATCAAGAACTGACGCTGCATCAAGGCCCATACCTGCAAGTGGAACGGGATCGAGTAGACGGACGACTTCGAGGTGAATTTGCGTTTCGCCTCCCGGTTGGCGATTTCGAAATTCTCGTAAACGTGTTTTTCATGTTCGACTTGTTTCCGGTACTCGTCCATTTCCTCTGCGAGATTCTGGCTGTAGACGGATTGGTCGAACGCCTCGGCCAGTTCGCTCGGGGTTGAGGGGACTCTGCTAAGGTCGATGCCGTCTTTGTACTCTCGCTCAAATGGGTCTGTGCAGCCTGTCAAGTAGTCGGGCGTGGTCTGGCGTGGCTTTTCTTTGAACCCCAGATTCTCGAAATAAGGCCGTGCCTCGGATGTGGGACCGAAGAAGACCTGGCGGCCACTGTCAATCACAAGGACTTTATCGAATTGTCTGTAGATATTCTCTGATGCCTGGTACAGGGACACAAAAGTGGTGGTCTTATAGATGTTTGTCATGATTCGGAGCGATTTCGCAAAGTCTAGAGCCGTCGAAGCGTCCAGGCCACGCGTACTATTATCCCAGGCCAGCACCGTCGCCGATGTGATCATCATCTCTGCAATGCTGACACGGCGCTTCTCGCCGCCGGAGATTCCCCGAATGAATTGGTTGCCCACCACCGTGTTGGCAGTGTGTTCAATATTAAACATCTTGAGCAGCATGCGAGTCACCCTATCCTTGAACTCCGCCTTGGAGACCCCAAGGGGCCTTTTCCCCGGTGTCTTCGTATCCAGCGCGAACCCTAGCGTCTGCTTGACTGTGAGCGTAGGATCGTGGACATCGTCCTCTTGGTTGTAGACCGCCTCTCCGCGGAACCGTTTCCCAAAAGTCTTCGCGTCGAAAGGACCGTACATAACCTCGCCGTCGATAGCCGTGAAACCAAACCGCTGATTCGTGATGGCCTTGAGAAACGAAGTGCAGCCCGATCCGGGCCGCCCCAAAACAAGCACCATCTCCCCGGGCTGCAGGTATCCGCGGAATTTCGTCAAGATCTCGACCTCTGTGCCCTTCTTACCCAACCCAAGAAGATCCATTACGAGCCCTGGGACGTTGAGAAAGTCGACAATCGCATCGGGAAACGTTTTGATGTAGGTCTTGACTCCGCCGATCCCACGAACACTCAGGTCATCCCATATGACACCTATCCGAACAGTCAGCGCTGGGTAGTTGTCAGTATCGCATACCATTATAATTACCGATGTGCTTGTCCTTGATGCCCGCCTCCATTTCTGCAGCTCGGTCGCCGTGAAGCGCAGTTTCAAGATCCCAGGGTTCCTCTGACTCGGCGGACGTGGCCGATCTCTCGACATCTTCGTTGTCTGCGAGGGCTTTGGACGCCCTGGACGTGTGTCGGGAGAGCCGGTGGGCACGCTGCGAGATGCTCGACAGTTGTTTATTGAGCTCAGAGAACTCCTGCTCCGCTCTCTCGACGTTGACCCCATATTGACGGGCCATCGCCGATTGTGAATGGGCGTTTTTGCTCCATTCTCGACCCTGTTCGGAGTTGTCTACGGTGCTCAGAGTATCCACGTCTGAGCCGCTTCGGGTTTCTGAGGTCGCCAACTTCTCATCCATGGATCTCTTTTTACCGATTTATCCAGCGTAAATAGGTCACTCGAGAGAGCGGTAGAGACAAGACCCTGCAGGTAGCTTCAGACGTCGTCAAAAGGAAGTAAGGATCCCCAAGCAAAAGAAATTAAGTAAGCTAGCGAAGTAGATCCATTCACTAAGACCCGCACAACACCAGTGACGCTCTAGAAGTGAACGAAAAAGAATGAATAAAAAGTGGAAGTGAAGATGAAAACTAGAATTGAAACAGAAAAAACAAAGACAGTTTCGGTATTCCCAGCGATCAGGAGGGGAAGCCGGTTAGCCACGCGAGGAGTGCATCCACATTCCACCTCTACGAGTAGCATCTTCGAATACCTGCCTACCCCCTGGTTAGCTCGCGCCACGGGCCCGTTAGCGAGACATCTCGTCTCAAGGGCTATCCTCGAACTGTGATCAATCGAGCGCCCGGAGCACCAGGTAGCATTGCATTCAACCATAGGCCAATAAAGCCAATGGTCTGTTCGTGACTCTTCCAGACTCAACAGCCATTGAACATGAAGAGGATGGATCGATCGGAATTGCCAAGAATGGCAAAATAATCCAGCATTCCTCCCTGTCATTCTCTATAGGTGAGGGTTACGTTGAGAGATAGTCGGGGTCCCAATCCTGGTATGTGTCACGGATGTCATGCAAACACCACAGACCCAACGGCTGCAAGACGCATTGCCCAAAATGAGATGCCGCTGAAACCCTCTTACTAATGGAATGTGGGAGACCATCTCGAGTGGCTGGGCGATGGAGATGAGGAGCAAAAAGGGTCGGGAACACCCGCCAATACGGGGTGGAGTGGCTTTCTTATCGAATTAAGGGCGAAGCTGCGCGCCAAGGCGTGAAAAGAAGAATGATGGCCATTTCAGCGACAGTTCGTGAGCGACTACGCTCGCTGGTTGAGCTGGAAGTTGAGTGAGTAGAATGAACAATGGATAGACAGGCTGAAGTGCTCAGACGGCGGCCACATCCAAGTCACATGGCCACGGCATTGATATCTGCCTGCCTGGAGAGACGTTAAGAGAGCGAGGTTTTCATCCATACTCTAGGTACGCTACCACGAGTGGCATTTATATCCGCATCTATCCTCTTGGTAGAGCCGACCAAAAATAATAAACATTTATAATGGCATGGATAATTTACTTGCGCCAATAGTCCAGGCCCACCAACCACGATGTGAATCGTCCGTCTGAAGAAGGTTATATAGCCACCGGTTTATCACTATCCATCGCTCTATTGAGGTTCTACAGTTAACAATGATGCCCGGTGATATCGACCAAACCATTGTTCGACTTCTCCCAATGGGGCCCTGAATCACCCGAGGCTCGATGGCGGCATGAAACCCGCGGCTACACCGACTTTTGCGGCATTCGCCTCGAAGACAATACTATTCTGGATTTAATTGGGACGAGGATGGGTGTCTCATCCTCGAGGTCGCATTTTTCACCTGCCAGCCCTGTCGCTATGGCAGGCTAGTCGGTTCAAAGTGCGGGCGCACATTCCTACCATTGGCCGGGCCAACCCGAACGCTCGAAGGAGGACCCGCAGATTATATCCGAAGGGGGGTGGGCGAGTTCCGAATGATGATGGTGTGCAGAACGAGCGGTCTCGTCTCACATGCCCGCATGGCTGTCGAGTGCCTGGAACTCTCTCCCCCAGGGGGCAAAGGAAACCAGCCTTTGTAGGGGCCACAGTCAATCAAATGCATCCATGATCTTCGACCTTAAAGGACCACGTTCATAGGTTGAGTTGTCCTGGTTTGGGCAGGCTTAATCGCGGTTGGGCCACCCTGATTTGTTTGACAGTGACGATTGGTGGGCAGTCCCTGAAATCGAAATGATCAGTTCGATGAGCCAAGACTGTCGGTGCGGCTAGTTCGGAGAACCTGCCTTCGGACGGATCCCCTCCGGGGGAGGGGCCATGCTATTTTTTGATTTTTTTTTTCACTAACCAAAGAGAACAAATTATGGGTCGGACATTTGCAAGGTCTGTAGCGGGATTAGATTGTTACAGAGTATGAAGTAAAGAAGAGATTCAACGACTGGTAGGTAATGTGTGTGATCAGTAGCCAGGAATGATCATGAGATCCGTTTGCAGAATACGGACAACCCAGTAGCATGCCAGGTTGATTCGTTGGCTCTACTCCAATCCAGTTGGCGGGGTCTGGGTTCGAAAGAGACGGCGCACGACTTTAACTTCGACAAGAATCCAAGCCCACGAGAATACCAACGTCTCAGTGGTGGGTGGGTTGAACACCCGATGTCAGGAACGACATGGAAATGCTTGTCGACCGCCCCAAGCCTCCCCCCGGATTGACGACGACCTACTTCAGAATACGGGGTGAGAGCCGCAAGGCGACTCCTCCCTTGCTGCACTGATTGGTGTATGGAGGGGAGTGATCGATCTTCAGTCGCTCATGAACCAGATGAGAGGAAAAATCTTAGCTCCCGTATTATAGAAGTCCGTATTATAATCGTTGTTATTATTGGTGATTTTTATTACTTGTCCACGAGCAGTTGGGGTCTGCCTCCGTTGCCTTTCCATCTCGATGATCCTGTCGATCGTCGGGGAGAAAGAATACGGTTCAATCAGGCGTCGAGTGTTAGCCTGTTAGGCCATATTGATGTGCCGCCCTCTCTTTTCTTTTTTCCCTTCCCTGGATGTCACTGGATATCGACAGTGTGGACATCAGTTCTGTCCGGGGGGTATTACATTCCCCTCCAAAGGGATTAGAGGCGCAGTGCATGCAACCATGGATACCGGACGTTACCCCATTTTCTGGTGGGTTTTGCACCAATGACAACGAATACCCGAGGTTGTCGAGGACGGTGTCGTCATGTTCCAAGCTGCAGGTTGGGAACAGAGAGTGAAATTGAGGCAGGTCTCATGCCCACCACGCAGATCGGTTGATCTCTTGACGTGGGGGAGGAGGGGTTGTCGTAGTGATGAAGTCTGGGAACATCTCTAGGTTCTCCGCATTATGCAGGGTAAGTACACAGACACAGGAAGACAGAAGAGGTGAAGGGTGGGAGAGAAAAAAGAATAATAATAAATCAGGCAAAGGCGGCAAAACATGGAAAAGGTGAGACGATGCCCGATCCAACCCACTATCCCACCATAGGTATAATTCCAAACGCTTGGATAAAACAAGACAGAGACAATCCGATCAGGATGGATGATCATGGGTCAGACTCCATGGTCTGAGAACCGTCCAAGAGTAAGACTTCCATCATCCCATGAGGTATAATCATGGTCATGGATGATCATGGAACGTTGTATCGTCACAGGGAACAGGCCGGGAAGCCGTAGGGGGAAAATGACGTAACAACCCAAGTTGGGGCTGGATTCCCGAGGCCACCGGCCCGTACGAGGAAGGGCGTCTTCAGGATCCGACGAAATCATGAACCAGTCACCGGATCTGATGGACCTGATGATGTTGAAATAATTATAGATCAAATAAATATAATCATTCCATCGGGTTTGAGAGAGAATAGGGAATTAGTACAATCAATCCATGAGAGAATCGGATCGCGGCCCCTCCCTGTCTTTGGACTCCCCTTGGCCACCGGCGTCTCTCGTTGGGAGCTTAACATCCACAATCGACCCACCCACCTGTCGACCATTTCTGGACAAGAGACAAAGTGGGTTGTGGCCAATCCTGTTGTGGGACACGCTGCCCTTTATAACGTCGACGGATCCTGCATTCTGCCTTGGTTGCAGAGAAGTCTCGGACTAGAAAAATCCACCTAATCAATCCGTCAGAGTCGTCTTGCCTATACAAAGGAAGACCACGATTACTTCTATTCTTTGCTGTCTCTTTCAAACTCCTTTCCATTCCTCTTGATTCCGACCGATTTCAACTCTCCCACTTCTCTATCGTCCCTCCGTCGTCATCATGTCACGAACAAGGGTTTTGCTGGTTGGCGCTGCTGGGGAGACGGGAGGTTCGATCGCAAAGGGTCTATTGGAGAACCCGACTTTCGTATGTGATTCTTCTTTTCTTTTCTTGTCCTTCTTTTTTCTGTCTGTTTTCTAACCAGTGGTGGTCTATTATAGGAACTCTTTGCTCTCGTTCGTCCCCGATCGGTGCAAAAACCAGCCATCGTGGCCCTCCAGGAGCGGGGCGCTCATATCCGTCGTTGTGACTTGAGGGGCTCTGAGGATTCTTTAGTGGATGCTCTCACTGGAATTGACGTCGTCATCAGTTGTGTTGGTCCGGCTGAGCAGCAAGATCAAATTCCTCTGGCCAAGGCGGCCAAGAAGGCAGGGGTGAAGCGGTTCGTTCCGTGCGGGTTCATCACCGTGGCGCCTCCTGGTGGGATCATGTGGCTGCGCGATGAGGTGAGAACATTACATTAACATTCTTCCATATTCAAATGATAATAAATGCTGACCAAAATACAGAAAGAAACCGTCTACAATCACATCAAGCAGCTCTTCCTGCCCTACACCATCATCGATGTTGGTTGGTGGTACCAGCTGTCCTATCCCCGCCTGGAATCTGGCCGCGCCGACTACGCCATGACGTCGGCCAACAACGAGATTGTCGGCAGTGGCAACACCCCGATCGCCCTCACCGATTTGAGAGATATTGGACGCTACGTCGCCTTGATCATCGCCGATGACCGCACCCTGAACAAGATGGTTTTCGCCTACAACACCCTGACCACCCAGAACGAGATTTATGCCACCCTGGAGGAGCTCAGTGAAGAGAAGATCATCCGCAACTACGTATGGCTCCTTTGAGTGGTTTTTTCCATCCACAATCGCTAACCTTTCGACTCACTAGATCTCCGAGGAATCCGTCTACACCCGGGTCCTGACCGCCAGACAATCCAGCGAGACGTATCCCTTCGATCCCGTCAAGTTCATCCCGCGATACCTGGCCGAGTACCAGCTGTCCTGGGGCATCCGCGGCGACAACAGCCCCGACTACGCCAAGTATCTCGGCTACCTGACCTCGAAGGAGCTCTATCCCGATTTCCAACCGGTCGACTTCCGCGATTACCTCGAGACCGTGGTCCGCGGCACCGCCAAGGGCGTCTACACCGATCGGACCGTCTCCAAGGCGCACCAGCGAATGTTCCCCCGCACCGAGTCCACCGACTCGCTGTACACCCGCATCTTCCCCCGCACTGAATCCAGCGATTCGCTCTACATGACGCGGTAAATGTCGCAGGATTCACTGGCGGGCACACGGCGTCTTGATTGAGTTTGATGATATCTTTTGCTTTGGGGGTTCTTTTTTTTGGTTCGTGGAGGGAAACTGTGTTTTCTCATGAACGAGATACACCATTTTTCTATTCTAGTTCTGTTCATACTGCTTGTTTCTTGTTTCCTTTTACTCTTTTTTTAACTCTCCCATTCTCGTTCATGCACTGGGGATTAGACGGGCGTTCTCGTTTTGTTATTTTCCTTTATCTTATTATCAAGGGGAATCAGGGATTGATTCAGGATATACCCATTCCACCTGCTAGCAGTGCGGATACGGGGATTTCTCCAGGTCCCCGTGATAGGCTGGCACTACGGACAATACATACCCATCTGTTTTATCTTACTGGTTTTATACTACGTAGAGGGTGGATGGTTTCGGTTGACCTTGTTCGATGGGCGTGGTCGCAATCATGGCTCAACGGATTTCGACAGGAAACAACCATCCAGAGTCCCTTCCACGTCGCGAGTGGGCGTGTCGGCCTAACCACCGACGACTCCCGGAGTATAGGATCTTGAAGGATCTCCCGTGTTCTCTACTTAACCATCAGATTCGGAAGATGGCAGATCACACCTCCACCCCTGGTTCCTCCGGCCTGACTCTACTTGGGAGCACCAGTGGCCTTTTTCCCGTATCATCTCCCAGTCAGAGTGAAGACGGTGTGGTTTCCTTTAATCACCTACGACCTTTCCAAGTCACCATGATCGGTCGGTGCCACTCGTATTTTCCCTTGCAACGGACCATCATAACTTACGACCCAGCAATCGGCGGTGCGATCAATACCGGTCTGATGATCGGGGCCGGGAACGCTCTTGCAAAGTAAGGTAGCTAGGGCTTCCACCACACCCCACTGCCCGAGTCTAGCATTGACCGTTATTAGGGCTGGGGTAAGCCATCCAATATGTTCCCCTTTTCCATGCTGATTTTCCCAGCCGGCATCGTTGTTGATCTCGCATACGACCGTCGGCATGCTGGTCTACCTGGTCTTGTGCGCCCTGGGAGAGGTGGCCTCGTGGTTTCCAGTCTCTTCCACAGTTGCTGGGAATGCCCAGCGATGCTGTGATCCTGCACTGGGATTCACTCTCGGGTGGATGCATGTGGCTCTTTCTCCCATCTATGCTCGTTGCTAACAAACATGCGATGTAGATACTGGCTAAAGTTCATCGTTATCACCCCGAATCAGCTGACCGCAGCGGCGCTCGTGGCATCTTACTGGGTCGATGCGGAGACTCTCAATCCGGGGATATGGATCGCGATCTTCCTCACCGTGATCATTGCAGCCAACTACTGGGGGGATCGGTTTTTCGGCCAATACGAGTTCATCTTGTCGACGTTTAAGATCGTAGTGGTGCTGGGGCTTTTGATATTGTCCCTGGTCCTGGCCCTAGGCGGCGGTCCCGACCACGACCGGAAGGGATTCAGATACTGGAAAAACCACGGCGCCTTTGCGGGGGAGCGGACGCATATCGGACGGCTTCGGGCTATCTGTAGGACCATGCCCTCTGCGACCTTTACTTATAGTGGCAGCGAGCTCATCGGGGTGAGCATCCTGCACAGTCACAACCCCCGACGGGCTGCGGCCCGCGCAATCCAGCTTACCTTCTACCGGATCCTTGTCTTGAACCTCGTTGGGATCATCCTGCTTGGAATGCTCGTGCCGTACAATCTGGACGACTTGGCCCTCACCTCTACGGACAAAGTCACGACCGCCTCGGCGTTTGTTGTAGCCGTGCAGGGTGCCCACGCCGCCGTGCTCCTACATTTTCTCAATGCATGCCTACTGCTCTTTGTCCTGTCATCTGCAAACCAGGCTCTATGGGTAGCCACTCGAATCCTCCACGGGCTCGCTATAGACCACAACGCCCCGGCTCTTCTATCGCAGACTGGCTCCACCGGGACCCCCATCGTCGCCCTGGGAGTGTGCTCGGTTCTCTCATCTCTCGCCTATCTGAATATCTCAGGCGATTCGCGAACCCTTTTCGACCAATTCGTCAACATGAGCACCATGTTCAGCCTCCTAGCCTGGATCTCCATCCTCGTCACCCATCTAGCCTTCCTGCGGGCGCGCAAGGCCCAAAGCGTCCCCGACAAGGCGCTTGCCTTCAAAGCGCCACTGGGAGCAGTCGGTTCGGCGGTCGCCCTGGCCTTCTGCGTCCTGATTATTGTCATCCGATCGTTTGATATCGTCGACCCGGGGGCTTCCATCCGCCGCTTTGATTACATTGCGTTTCTCACTTCGTACCTTACTATCCCGCTGTATGTGTGTCTGATTGCGGGGTATAAAGGGTTTACCCGGTGCGAGAGCGTGAGTCCGTCGGAGGTGGATTTGGGGGTGGTTAAGGATGAGACGGAGGGTTCTGAGGATGTCATTGTCCAGTGTACTCGAGATGTCTCCTGTACCCGTATCCACCGAGACGAGAAGCCCAGTCGACGATCATGGCCACGGGCGAGGAGATCTCAGGCATAGATTCATATTGTTTGTTTTTCCTTTCTTTTATTTCTGCAAACCAATATCCCCTTCGAGAATCAATCAATTCTTCTCCTCTCGCCCTTTAATCCTTGATTTGACAGGTCATCTTCCTCCTTCGTCCTCCGTATTCTGCGTGTAGATAGATGAAGATATTCTGTTTCCAAGGCAACGAACTCAAGCCCTATTTCAACCTCATCCATCCCCTCCAATTCCGAACTATCCTACTATCCTAATAATTAAACAAATATCGAAGAGAATAGATCACAAACTCAGCAATTTGCTAAAGTACCCCCCTAGCTACCTACTATCAATCCACAACCCACCAAGTCGAACCCTGGTTCAAGCCCTGTCAGTGACGGCCCCAACAAACATGCATACGGGCCAATCACTAGCATCAAATCACCGCCCGAGGCGCCCACACTGTACATTAGTATGATGGATGGAGTTTAGTACCAAGTACCTTCGTTGGAGCAAACAGATGATCGACCCCTCCTCCGCTTTTCAATTCATTTCATCTTGTTCAATTCACTTTTCTCCTCTGGGGTTTGGCTTGGTTTGGTCGCCTTTTTGGTGGTTTGTTGAGATTGTCTCTTTTTATCTGTGGTATAAGGTTCTACAGGTATACTACAGGTATACTGTTCTTGGGTGGGTTAGGTTTACCTTTGGTAGGTGTTGGGTCAGAGGTTCTATCATTATAGGTCGAACTAATTATTATACAGCTAACCTACCTACCTATCTACCGTGGACCCGTATTGTACTGGCTAGATGATGCTATCTGATGCTACGTCACTGGCTTAGAAAATGCCCCAGCCCCGAACTCCCCTCCGGAGCGGCCAAGAACTATGCCAGTTAATCGACGAGCTCAACAGTCACTTCAACCTCGACATCCCCAATCCGCTCTTATACTCGCCGTCCGCGGACAGCGGCGTCGGCCGAGGCGATGGCTCCCTTAGATGGCGCATCTACCGCGGCATGCAGCGTCTCTACTTTGATCGCAACGTCGACCTGTACAAGATTATCAACAGCTTCGATGACTGGGATCGTGTCCAGCACCGGCGCGATGACCGCCTTGTGTATCTGCTCAAGCTGATTGACGATGAGGCTTACCTCCGGGGATCGTCGACGTCGTTTTCGTTCTCGTGTTTGGAGACCATCGAGGAACCCCCGCCGCCCCCGCTGCTGCCCCCGCCGTCTGTCTCGCCTTCGAAATCGTTGAAGCGGCGGATCTCTGACGAGGAGGATGAGTTTCATACGGCGCCTAGTTCGCCTGTTAAGCTGCCTGCGGGGTCGCCGATGCTGGTGGATAGGACGCGGGAACTGGAGGAGGATGCGATCATGGGCGGCCCCGTCTACGCCTCCAAGGTGTCCCGCATGGCGGAGGAGCCGTGGCCGGTATCGCGGTTCTCCGATAAGCTGACGGCGTCGATGAACGACTGCCGGTATGATGCGGCGCCGTCTGTTCAAAACCCGGATCACAGTTTCTCAACAACAATGACAACCGACCCCCCGTCGTTTTTCTCCAACCCGCGCGACCAGCTGAATACCTCGTTTAATTCGACCGTCACGGACATCACGGTGCCCTGCTTCGAGACCGAAACCCAGTATGAGGACTCCGTGGCGGACCACATGCTCAGCCAAGAGCACATGATGTCCTTCGGGTCGTCGACCGTCGAGGTCCCGGAGCCGCGCTACTCGCGCGAAGGGGAGATCATGGGGGAGTTACTCGCGAACGGGCCGTTCTCATGGGACCAGCCCTTCCCGGGAACAGTCCCGCTGCGGTACCGGTACGAGGTGGAGAGGATTGGGCGTGCGTGGGACGTCCCGCTAAACCAGATGCTAGTCGGCAGCAGCATCTCGTTCAAAACGCGCGACCAGTTCTGGGACTGGATCAAGAACCACAACCAGCGAGGCGGGAAGCCTCTCCCCGAGAAACCGCACGCCAAAGCCTGGGACGCCGCGACGGGGTCCTTCCAGACAGCCAAGCACTCCGAGGTGGTTGTCCTGTCGGGGGAAATGACCTGGTGTGACAAGTCCGAACCGGGGATCCTCAAGCTGAACCTGCGGCCGCTGAAGACAGAGCGCACCTGTCGCTTCCACCGCCGCTTCGGCTCCGACCGGTTTCTCAGCGTCGTCCTCCCCGCGCCGTCACGGCCCCCGGCCTACCTGAAGATGCCATCGCAGCCGGCGCTGCTGCGCGAGACGCTGGCGCTGTGGCTGACGCAGAACGTGCACCGGTGCGCGGGACGCACGTGGCAGCCGTTCTTTGTGGAGGAGGTCAAATCCAAGAATAAGCGCGCGTCGAGCGAGCCGCGGTTCAGGGTCGACTTTTTCGCTATCGACGGGGTGGATTTCAACGCCAGCTTCTCGTTATCGAGTGCCCTGCCTCCAGTCCGGCAGGAGAGCGAGCACCGCACGCCGATGAGCTTGGACGCCCTCCTCGAGTGGCACATGCCCCGCGAGGCGAACAAGAACCAGACCAACTGCAAGCTGTTCCAGCGGCTGCATCTCGGGCTCTCCAAGACGTTCGCGACTGTCACCCTCACCCCGCAGCAGGTCTTCTACCTGCGAGACCTCCCCAACCGCACCGTCATGAACGACGGCTGCGCGCTCATGTCTCGCGCCCTCGCGCAGCGGGTCTGCGACTCGCTAGGCATCACAGGCAGCACTCCCAGCAGCTTCCAGGGGCGGATAGCAGGCGCCAAGGGGCTCTGGATGGTCGACAAGCATGCATCGCATGTCGCCGCAGGACCCGACGACATCTGGATCCAGATCTCCGACTCGCAACTAAAGATCGGACCGCACCCGCGCGAGTGGCACGGCCCCATTGACGACGAGAAGCTGACCTTCGAAGTCGTCAAATGGTCCAAGCCCCTCCACCCAGTCGCGCTAAACACGCAACTCCTCGCCGTCCTCGAGCACGGCGGGCCCGTCAGGAAATACATCGGCGAGATCACCCGCGCAGGCATCCAATCCCTCTACCGCGACTTCGAAGACGTCTTCCAAACCGACTGCCCGCTCCGCTGCCGGGCACTCGTCCAGAAACTCCGCCCCGCCGCCGCAGACGCCTCCGACACCCGCCGTCTCGACCAGTGGGCCTCCAACAACACCGAGTGCATCATCCGCCTGACCGAAGCAGGGTTTCGCCCGCGCAGCTTCTACCCGCTGCGCACGCGTCTCCGCAAATGCCTCTGCGAGGTGCTAGACCGCTACGTCGACGACCTGCACATCCAGGTCCCGCTGTCCACATACGCCTTCTGCATCGCAGACCCGTACGGCGTGCTCAACGAAGACGAAGTCCACTTCGGCCTGTCAACGCAGTGGACCGACCCCGCCGGCCAATTCGAAGATAACCTCCTCGACGGCATCGACGTCCTCGTCGGCCGCCTCCCCGCGCACCTCCCATCCGACATCCAGCGCCGCCGCGCAGTCTGGCACCCGCAGCTCCGACACTTCAAAGACGTCATCGTGTTCCCGACAACAGGCACAACCTCCCTCGCGCACATGCTCTCCGGCGGGGACTACGACGGCGATACCCCCTGGATCTGCTGGGACCAGAACATCGTGCAGCACTTCGCGAACTCCCCTCTCCCAAAAAAATACCCCGCAAAACACTACGGCCTCACATCCCACTACGTCCCCATGACGAAAATCTCCACAAGCGACGAGTTCCTGCAGAGCGCATTCACATTCAACCTGACCATGTCCCAGCTCGGCCGCTGCACAGTCGAGCACGAGATCATCGCCTACGATAAATCCATCAACTCCCCCACAGCTATCAAACTCGCCTGTCTACTAGGCCACCTCGTCGACGGCCGCAAGGCCGGCGTGCAGCTCTCTGAAAACGCGTGGCAATCTTACCGCAAGACTATCAATCCCAACGGCCGCCGCGTCGTCCCGGCTTACAAGAACCCGTCCAGGGAGTACAAAGTAACCAACATCATAGACTACCTCAAGTTTGTCGTAGCCAGCAACGAACGCTCCCATCTTCTTACGCAGCTTGAGAAGACTCTTAATGATAGCGGGAGTCGCTCAGACCGCGACGAGGATCTCACGCGGCCGTGGCGCGACGCTAAGGCAGCTTCTAAGGATAGCAAGGACGCACAATTGCAAGCTGAATTGGACCGCGCCGAGCGCGAGACAGACGCGCTGTTTAGACAATGGGGCCACTCGCTGGGCAGCAAAGACGAGGGATCGTCCTCGGAACTCGCATGGCAAGCTGCCGAGAAAGCGCGGGACATCACCCCTCCGGTTGATCACAACAGCACAAGCAAGCAGCAACACCCACACCCCCTAATCCACATCTGGCACCACCGACCCGAAATCTGGCTCGAGTTCCTCGCCTCGCTAACCTACACGAAACACCCGTTCTCGGCATTCGTGATCCACGCGTTCGGAGAAGAGCTGTGTCGGGTTAAGACTGCTGCTGCGGCTGTGGGGGCTGGGGGGAGCAGGGCGGTCGTGCATGATGTGCTGGGGTGTTATCGGGTGAGTCAGAGGGCTGTTGCTAGGGCTGTTGCGCTTGATGTGGTTGATTTGGTGGATGGGGAGGTGGCTGGGGGGGAGGGAGAGGAGGAGTTTGATGGGGTGGAGGCTATTCAGGATTGGGTTTCGGGTGGGGGTGGGGGTGGGAGTAGAGATTATGATTGGGATCCTGATGATGGGGGGTCTGTTGAGTGATCTCTTGCTTTTGGGTGGGTTGGATTGGATTGGATTGGATGACTGGATAGGAAAGGATGATATGACGATATGTATGGCGTTGGTGATATGCTAGGTATTTACATATACATGATTTGAATACCATATCAGATATTATGAACCTCGTGTATATACAACAGTATATACTCATCTAAATACAATAATAAAATAAACAAAGTAGAAAAAGCATGAGATGGATAGATAGATAGTATAAAAAGAAAGAAAAAAAGAATAGCATGTCCTGGTTTCGATCCAGGGTCCTCCGGGTTATGAGCCCGGCGCTCTTCCCCTGAGCTAACATGCTGTGATTGGTGAAAGGTTTCTCAGCAGTGTGCTCTATAAGCCAACACTATGTGCGCCAGCACCCAACTAGGTGTCTTACTGTATCTTCTTTCTTTGGTTTATTTGGAGATGATTGTTGTGTTGTTGGTTGGTGGGATATCATTCAGTTTTGGATTTTTGGAGTTATGCGAGGGGTTGAACACAACTACTCTGTCACTGTGTATTTACAACGTACAATATATACGGGGTACGGTAGTATATGGAGTACCCAAGTATAGTATAACTAAGGTAGTTAGTATCAGTTGCCAATAAACTCAAAGCCACAACAGCCACAAATAACCACACACCTGCAAAAAAGAAAGAACCCTCGATGCTTCGGCCTTTTTTACCAAGGGTTATGTCTGATATATCGGTGTTGGTGTTGAATTACTGCTTGGAAGTATGTCTTGTTCTCGGGAAGGCTAACAATATATAATTACTTTTGATGGTCTAGATCTTTAGCATATATACCATTGTAGTCCTGTCCTGTCTTAGCCTCAACATCAAATTGCCGAGAAATCGGTTGTTGATTCTTAATTGATTGATTTATCTGTTTATCTACTTATATGTTGTTTTATTATATAATACCCTACCCACCACCACACTAGACTAGAGCTGATACAAATGTCTAGGAAATATACTACTACCGAGGTAGTAATCCAAGTCATACAAACGACCAGAACTGAATGTTCTTCCCTAGTAGAGGCCAACACGATCTACACATACACCTACACAAATATAACAGAGGGAGAATAATACTGGTACAGAACTTTTCATTCAAACAGTCCTACATAGTGCACCAGAAGCAGAACAACCGAAACGGAATCAATCAGTGACATTCAGTGGTGGGTCTGCTGTCATCAAACGAGGTATCAAATTAATCAATCATCATAAGCCAAAGGGAACGCCTTCCGGTCTTCCTGTCCCATATACATGCGGATATCAATCAGGCTGTAAAAATCATCAAGGGTAGGGAATAACAAGGGAGTAGGTTATGGGAGGGGGGAGGGGAGGGGGGTAGGGTGAACATGTCGAACGAGGAACAACTCTGTACTCCGAAATGATTGCGACGTAAGCGACCAAATGCCGCTGCAGTCAAAGATAAGGCTAGACCTTCTCATCCGTCCCCGTCATCGGGAGATCCTGTGGCTCAGCAATCTGTGGCTCCGAGATCTGCGGCTCGGTGATCGGCAGCTTCACATCGGCCGGGAACGTCCCATTCGAGGCAGGCTGTTCCACGGTGTCCGGGGTCTTCGTGTCCGGGCGTCTCCGGCCCAGACGATCGCACCAGTGCTCCGCGCTGACCAGCGTGTCGTTGACGACCCCGCTGACCTGACCCATCATGTCGAGACCCTCCTGGGCCAAGACGAGGATGCGGTGGGCCCCGAGGGTGTCGTCGGACGAGGCCTCCATGGAGTCGGGCGGGGGGTGGGAGTTCGACGCCACCTGGAAGCGATGGGGCAGGGAGGTCAGGTGTCGACGGACCAGGTTGCGCGCGTTGTCGGGGAGGGCGCCACCGGCGTACTTGGACACGACCTCCACGACCTGTTTCAAGGTCTGCAGGACATCGGCCTTGACGGCCTGGATGCGCTGGGTCAACAGGGTATGGTTCTGGCCGTCGCCGCTCTCCTGCCGCACCGCGTCCCACTCCTTCAGAGCTGCCTGCAGCGCTTGGATGGCCTTCCCGAGCCGTCCATTGGCCCATCGCAGCCACGTCAGGCAGTACTGCAGGCTGCGCAGCGACTCCTCGCTCATCGCAACCCCCAGGCCCGACGTGGAGATCACCAGTCGGCTCTGCCAGGTCGGATTCCGCTGGGAGGGATGGTCCCGGCCGATCTCCTCATAATTGGGGGATCTCAGGTCATCGTACGGTGGGAGGGTCTCTGCCGTGGACATCTCGGACGGACTGCGGAGCGGCTCGTCCAACTCGTCGTCGGGACCCTTCTCCACGTCCGGTTCCGTAGTCGGGTGGTTCTCGCCGCCCACCTTGCGACGTTTCGACCGCTTCGAATCGCGTTCCGAGGGTTTGCGCTGGAGGGCCCAGCGAAGACCGCTCTCAACACCGGTCTTCCGGCCGACGGAGCCTACGGTGTTGGCGACGGGGGAGCCGATGTTGCGCTCGATGAACTCGGCGCTCGACTTGAAACGGGGGGAGTAAGACTTGGAGGTGGTGTACGCGGAAACGGAACCGTGAATGGCGGAGGAGATCAGGGGATGGGTGGAGGTCAAGAGGGAGATGAGGGGTTCGGATTGGGATTGAGATTCGGGACTGAGGGATTGAGTGTGGGAGGAGGTACGGGAGTGACCGTAGTCTAGACGATGCATTAGAAGGGAGCTCCCACATTTGCCTATCCGACGAGATAAAGGATCAGGGATGGGAATTGATACCGGAACGAAGGCCCTCTAAAGCTTGGGCAGCTTCAAGGTCATCCATGGAGAGGACACTGGTAGCTCGACGAGAACGATCTTCCGCCAGGGAGTGTTTATCAATCTCCATCATTGGGGCAGGGGCATGATGAAGGGAAGAGGAAGAAGAAGTCAAAGGGTAAGCGGGGATCGCAGGAGCGATCGACGAGGCGGAGGAGAGTGTAGAAGTAGAAGTAGGGTATGAAGGGAGAGGGCCAGTGGCGCGTGGGACGATCGTGGTGGGATTGGAGGCGTTCGGGGCAGAGATGCCGTCTGGACGTTTGAAGTGGTCCATGACCGACAGACCTCTGACCCGAGAGGGCCACTAGTGGGGAGATGGACGATTGAGCCTAACACGTTCAGAAGTTCAGACCGCGAGACAGAGAGAGAAAGAAGGTAATTGTCGCACCAAGGAGGATAGATGGAGACGAGTCAGTTCAACAGGTAGTAGTTGGTGTATTGGAGAAAGGACAGAGACAGACGGACGATCGCGGCAGTTTAGCGCCGACCTTTACGGTCTGACCGTACGGATACCGTATGAGCTGTCGATTGGGAAAGGTGCTTAATTATTACGGTACTCTATTGGACAGGAGGAGACCGTATAGTGGAGATATGGTACGGTACGGTCATGAACAGGACGGCATCCTTTAGCATGTGAAAAGGATGCCTGATGTAATTAATCAGGTAACAAAACCACAGTTAAGCTGGAAAATTTCAATCAAGCCAAGAAAGTTGAAACTGATACCTTACTGTTAGGAGCAAGTCGTTGAGGGAAACTATGGGCCGACCTTGTTTATCCACCTTACCAACTACTCATGCTTCATTTCTCATTATTAATAGGAATTTAGCCCGTCCCTCGCGCCGAGTCTCTTGCCGGTCAGATCGAATCTCTGACAGATGGATGGTATTCCCCCGCCCAAGGTTCCAAGACGCCACCGGTCTTCCAATCATACCGGTTGAATGTGATTGATCCTGGGAAGATCCTGAACAGAACACATGTGCTTCTTCATCTGATAATGGCCTGAGCCGTTTTCACATGCGTCGGTAATCACTCATAGGTACGAGGTAGTAAGTGGTAAGTAGTGTACCGGATGGACGGAGCTCCCAGATCCGAATTCCTATCTGATAGACGGGAGGACAGACTCAGTACTCCGTACTAGAGGCCGGGTATGTCGATAGGAGGTAGGCCCCAGATAGGAGTAGGGTCAGGTCCAGACTATTGATCGTAAGGAGAGACCTTTGTGGGACATGAAGAAATCCATCCATCCTGATAATTTCCCGTTGGTCCATCCATCCCCTCCATCCCTCTAATCCATGGAGACTCTCAAATTGATCCATCATCCATTGATTCAAGGCCGGACTAGGAGAGAAGCTAGGACCAATGAAACACGGGTACATTATACCTCTTTGGGAGTCGCTGACATGTGACGCTGCGTCACCATCTCGTACTTTACTTTACCTTAGTACAATCCAACAGTGAGTGGTTCAATGGAGGAGACTTACTCTACATTATTCCCCTTTCAGAAGGTGATCGATCGCTGGCCCTGTCGGATCACAGGCTAAGATGTGAAATGTCAATTGAAAGAATGGTAAGGTGGTAATCGCCGTCGATTTCCCGGTCGATGCACCCATACCCGTGGGTGACCGGCTATGCAGCCAGCAATGGCTTCAAGCCGGTAGACCGTTCCCAACAACCTCGAGCCTCGGTTGCCCCTCTGTCATGTCTTAATATGTAGTTGCGATCCCATGATCATCAGATGACTGGGGTTCGACTGTCTCACGTTGGAGGTTGTATCGACAGGGCAGTGGCGGTTGCAAGTTCGGCAGTCGTCGATGGTAAGGTGGCAGATGGTCAGTCTGCTTACCATCCGGCCCAACTGTTGCATTGTGGGATTGGGCCAACAAAGGCCATACACAGTTGAGCTGGCTCATAAAGCACAATACTGAGAGGTCTTTCACCAATCATAGCATGTTAGCTCAGGGGAAGAGCGCCGGGCTCATAACCCGGAGGACCCTGGATCGAAACCAGGACATGCTATTCTTCTTTTTCTTTTTTTTTTTCTTTATCTCTTTGTTTCCTGGCAGAGTTGATCTTTATGTATCCAACACCTGGATATACAATAACCACATAGGTACCTATGTACCTAAAATCCAAGGTAGTGTGTAGTGTATGATGATGGTGAGTGGCTAAATCGAATGTCGCCTGTCGATCACTGGTCTACTGACCTCTTGGGTTGATCGAACCCATAAACCAGTCTATAGCGCGTTGATATTATAGGGTCCGCTACTTAATATAGGGAACCCAAACCTTAACCAAGTGTATTCACTCTCTCGGTGATCGGCTTTAGAGCCGAACCTAGGCATCTCCAAGACATTATTGAATTGCACTTCAGCCTTATGGAATATCTGGAGTCCTAGACAAAGCGTCTCAAATCTCAGACTAGTGGTCAAACTGTTGATACTTCCACTGCATGTGTCGAGTCAATCACTGCCATGTAGCTAATTCAACAACCATGGGGATCTCTACTCGTTGCTGTAACGTTAAGAACCCAGTGGGCTGTTTGTGTCTGTAGTGAGGAAAATACTTACCTAGATCAAGAATCGATTCCCGAGATAATGTGTGAACTTGAGCAAATAGAACTACAGATTCATATTGACTACTCTTTTCAGCAACACATATGTAGAATATGAATTTCCTTCTGCGCAGTACACAAAAAGCAACACTCCCGGGTACAGTGATTGCAGACACCTCGACACACCATGAACTCGCAACTCCCAGAACCAGACCATCGACAGCGAATTCTCCAGTCCCCACAGGATCCAATGAACAGAAGCCAAAGGAAGTCAATATGATATCCAACGAAACCATGATATGGCTATTCCCAACAACCTGCATCCTCCTCTCCCTCCTCTTCATGCTCTGTCTGCACCATTCCACGATCTCGCGCTTTCTTTCCCAACTACGCAGTCCCAGTCAACCAGAACCTCAATACACTTACATCCGCGAAGACACGCCTGATTCCAGCCTAGAGCAGTCGTGTGTCAATTCCTTTTCACCCACACCCACTCCAAGCAATGCAAGCATATCTACTTACACCACACCTACATCCTATCTACTAGAATTGAAACGCCTCCCACAAGTGCACACTCAATGTCAAGATACTTCCATCCCGCCACCGGCCTTCTGGATGACTCCGTGCTAGAGCCACCCTCGCCAGCGACGCCGTCTTGGGAGCAAGAGCTGCACATCCGCGTTGTGGAGGGACGCGGGCTACGTGCGTGGTTGGATAGGGCTGTTGAATATGGGGTGGGGTGGGTTGAGACGTGGATGGTTAGTATTGGCTTTTCTTTTTGGTCGCCAACATTGATTGATTGTATGGCTGAGTGTTGTATTAGGAGGAGAGGGATTGATTGACTGGTTTGAGGTCTGGTTTGATATGTGAGGTGCTTGCTCGGGAAGTAGTAGTATGTATCCTCGGTATGTACTACTGCTGGTTATTTCGATGGGAATTGATTTGGAGGCTGTCGGTGTATGTGGGTAATCAAGGGTACATAGACTCGTCTGATTCTTATGTTTAACAGGCATTAATTCAGTTGAATTGATTCGGCTTGTTCTGATTCTACTTTGGTATATCTCAATCATTCAGGATATATATAGGGCTTGGTGTTACTATATTGAAAACCCATGCAGTCGCATCTCTATCATTTTTTTTTTTGGGGATTTTGTACAGACTCAAGATTATCTGAACGATAAAATAAGGCTAAAGCCACACTGGGTCCAGGTATCTCCGTGACAGCCATAGCTGAGTTAGGAGACGCCACATTCCGGCAGCATCGTTACATTACAGTATATGTTGGGGCCGCTGTAGGCTGCTAGGAGACTGTGCATACTTCACCTGTCGTGAAGAAATGTAGATACCTGCATAATATTAGCGTATGACTATCGTTAAAAAATCCATTAATTGTTTCTGAAGACTATTCAATAAATTAACCATGTTGACTCTCTACCTGGTGAGGTAGAGTAGAATGAGGATATCGCAACCTCAGGCATCAAGGGCCATCCCCAAATATCCTCTATTCCCTGTTTTACTCCACCATCTTCATCTTCTCTTTCCTCCATTTCCTCCACCCTCCTTTCCCTTCGTGGTTTCACCCTCGACATCATCGAGAATGTTGGGGATCCATCTGGAAGATACCATCCCACGTTGGGAGTTGGAATGCTCACTCGGGCCTCGTCCACAACATCCCCTTCCCTCGGGCTCTGTTGAAGAATCGAACCCGCATGGAGCATTGTTCAAGACCACATTTAAGATTGAACTCGATGTGAGAAATATGGCGCCAGTCAACACAATGACTTCAGAATATCAAAAGATCGTGCCCAGATCACTAAGACCCACGACCGCGATAGTCAGATGATAAAGGACAGACTAACCGCATCCCTTCAATGCGACGAAATGTTGGAGGAACGTGCCATCTCTGATCCCATATTGACTGTGGCCGGTATTAAGTTTCCATATTTGAAGTGCCGCCCGTTCTTCTGCTTCGTAGGGGGAGATGATCGGTGCGACATTCCTCGCGTCCAGACAGCAATGTGTGCGCATTCCTCTACCTCATCGGGCCCTTCCATAACAAACGAAGGCGCCCCCTTCCTCAGAGATGCCACCATCCTTTGTCCCGCGATGATTCTGTTCGTCCCTGGCTCTCCTTAGCAGTTTTATCGACGTGAGCTGCGATTGCTAGCCTTGCAAAGGAGACTTACAGGATCATCATCGCGTCCAAGATCGAGCCGATCGGAAGCTCCTAGGGAGTGGAAGGAGGATAGAACTCCCGTGGATGGGTCGACTGCCTCCAACGTCGCGTCAAAACCACACCGCTTCGAAAGGTATCGCTCAATCGAAGTCATGCTGCCGTTGACTACTGTCGTTGCCGTCGCCGTCGCCTGCGGTGTCGTGGTCATTGTAATTGCTGTCGTTGGTACCATCGTCTGGATTAGAATCCGCCAGGAACGTCTCTCTCTCGTGGTTGCCCGAGCAGGCCATGGCTGCATTCGTCCCCACGGTCATAGTCCGCCCTTCAACGAGGAAACGTTAACGGAGATCTCTCGCGAAGAGGGCAGCGCGCTCAGACAATACGGCCAGCTACCATACGGAAGACCGTCGGAATGGGGGTTGCTGGCTTCGCAGGAAAGCCTATATCGGTCACGCCACGAATCGGACAGTTCATCCAACCTAGCAGAGAAAGCTCGTGATTTGCGCCGCTCTTTTTCATGGTCCAAGACCCTGCGGCCATCCAGGAGTCTCACCCGACCGCGCCAAGGGACCTGTTTGGCGCCATTAACAGAGTCCAATGAGAGACTCTCCCAATTTTCTCCAGTTTCACCCTTGAAGGAACCGATTTCGATCTCGGCCGTCGATGGCGCCCTGGAACTGCCCACCGAGACGACTCCTCGACAGACCCCCGAGAAGGACGATGATGGAAGCATGGCGAACCCCGATCCCACTATCACCTACCAGCCATCAAGCGTGTTCCCGTTACTCCGCCAGCATGAACGTCCCAGCGGCCTGTTCCCGCTGATCGAAGTGAGCCATGAAGCGACAGGCCGAGTACGGGGAGGCAGCATCACTGCCCAGACGGCTGGAGCCATGCCAGAGCATCCAGTGCCTCCGCCTCCGTGTGCCTACCCGCCCAATCGCTTTCGTCTGTCAAAGAACGATTCGATGTGCTTTTCTTCGTTGAGTCTGGAGACAGCCGACAGTTCTATACTGGATGAGAGTCGACAGAACTACGCTGCCATGGAAAGTGAATTCACGTCTCCACATCTGCCCCCTTGTCCTACATTTGCACCGTACAGTGCCAACGACGTTGGGCGCACGGAATACGAACGAAGGAACTTGCTTGCGCAGACCACAGGTCCTCCTACGTTTTTCTTCCCTGCAATCTCCCCGACCAAAGAGGGCCGCAAACTCGAACCGGACCGCACCTCGCCACGCCGCAGCTTGACCGCACACAGTCCATCCCAGTCAATGGACCGGATCAGTCCACCCCCACGCCGAAGCGAGTCCCTTTCGGCCAAATCCTACCCAAGAAGAGACACCTCGTCGGTGCCGTACATGGATTTCAACCGCATCCCTCCGCTGAACGCAGTGGGCCAGAACGCGGCCTTGGTGCCACATTTTAGCCAGCTGCAGAGACATTCCATGTATGGAGGGCCGCCACGAGATGTAGACCCTTTCTACGGCGGCGGATACACCGCGTACGGAATTCCCAGGAAGCCAGACAATCTCTTGCTCACAGAAGGCGTTGTGCCGGCCTCCTACGGCCATCTCAGGCCGCCGCTCCCCTCCGCCCTGAAAGGGGGCAGCGGCCCTCGCAAAGGCCACCGGCGACAGAACTGCGTGCGCATCTCTATCCACCCCCCGATCACCTTTGGCGGACCGGCATTCTCCCCCATGGTGGAGGAACCGGAGGACGCCGAGGGGTTTGATATGAGTCGGTCAGAGGTCCCCGAGCTCGCCACGCCCAATACCGCGCTCAGCTCTACCGTCTCCCCAGCGGGTCGCAAATGCAACGGGACTCCAAAAGGGCAGCAAACCACCGAAAGTACCAGTAGCCCCGGACGGACGAGGAAGCACAAGCGCGGTCCTTCAACAGACAGCACTATCGATATAACCATGGCAGCCGCCGCCCCAGGAAACGAGAAGACCCTACCAGAAATTCAGACCACCATTCTGCCCACCACCGAAGTAACGCATATGCCGCAGACACCATCTCCAGACAAGAGCGCCTCAGCATGGATGGTGACTAACTCGGATGTCTCGCCAGCCGCGCCTGAAACCCCCTTCGGACCTAGGAGCTCCCGGCGCTCGATCGTCAAAGGGCCGCGCAGCCAGCCGGCAAAGTCACCGACGCAACGCAACAGAAGTCGCTCGTCAGGGCCACTAGGGGAGAGCACGAGTGCCCAACCTACAGGAGTGGCAGCGGCCTCGCCCGCGCAATCCACCCGCAACCACAGCACGAGAAGGGAGCAGCTGCGGATATCGACCGGCTCACTTCAGCGCACTAGAAGCAACGCGCCGTCCCCGACGTCCCTCCACGAGCGCAGCATCAGCGAACCAACTGATTATTCTGAGAAATTTACCCAAACGACTCAGCACCAATCAAAGCAACAATCGTCATGCCAGCAGCCACAGCTCGATATCCCCAAACCAACCTCCAGCCCAAACAACAAACCCAACAATAGCAACAACATCGTCGTCCCAATCTGGGAAGACAGCAAAAGCCCCGCCCGCAAACCCCCAGCAAACCCCTTCCAGACCGACGAACCCGTCGAACTCCCAGATACATCTCCCCGACGACCCCCCGAACGCACCAAGAGCCGCGCCAGCGCCAGCACCAGCCAGCAGCGCAAGCCGCGCCGAACCTCCTCACGACAGGGTTTCACGACCCCGACGAAGAAGGCTATAGGGTTGGGGATTGGGGCGGCGACGCCTGGGAGTTTGTATGATGGGGATGGGTTTTTGAAGGAGTGATTGGGGGAGTGGTTTGGCTGGTGTGTGCGTTGGTTTGGCATTTTATTGTAGGAGTGTTTTGGCTTTATTGGGGGAGTATGGATGGCGTTGGTGATGGATGGGTGGGTATTCTCATTTTGGCTGTGGTTTTGTCGTTCATTTGTTTTCGTTTTGGGTGTATTCTCTGGCTATGTTCTTTGGCTGTTCTTTTGCGGGAATGCTTGATTTTGATTTTGATATCCACCTGCGCTGTGAATGGGTGCTCCTAAATATGGGGTTGATACCATCTTCGAGTGTGTTTCTTTCTTTGGTTTGCTGTATCCAACTTACACATCTTATACTAATGCAGATATATTTGTTACTACGTTTGATCTTGTCCACGTATTGACACAATTCAATATCATTCAATTATAGGATGGATATATCATTTTCATGCTCATACCATACCATAGCACACACACATACCCAACATCAAACATTAAAAAAACCCAACAGAAGCAAGAAGCAAGAAAACTAATCCGTCCTCCTCCACTTCGTCTCCTCCCCACCCTCACCCTCCCCGCCCTCCCCACCAACATCCCCCATCTCCTCATCCTCCCCTCCCTCGCCCCTCTGCCTCACCGACCCAGCCCCAGGCCCCAAAGGCAAAGAAGGCTCCTCACCCCCCGCAATCCAGTTCCCCTCCTCGTCGAAAAACTCATGCATGTTCTCCGCTGTGATCCACCCCGAGCTGCCGTCCATCGGGGGCGGCATGCCGCCTTGCGCGTTGCCCGCTGAGACGAGGCCGGTGGATAGTAGACCCTCGTTGTCGTATTCGTCTTCGTCGTCGTCGTCTTCGTCGCCGGGCTCGACGGGGTCAGGGTGCAGGTTTGAGCAGGCGGATACGGCGGCGTAGAGGTTTTGGATGGGCGATTCGGGTTCGGATTCTTCGGTGGTGCTGGTGGGATCGGGTGTTTCTTCCGCGGTGGATGTGGGTGTGGTAGGTGCGGACGGAACGACAGTCATGGTGATGCACTCTTCCTCGTCGTCGACGGCTTGCTGCGATGGGGGCATCGCGATCTGCATGTACAGGCCCTGGACTTCGGACTCTGTGTCTGTGGGCAGGCGCAGGCGCTGGATGGCGTGCAGCGAGATGGACGGGTAGGGAATGGCGACGCCGGCGGAGACGGTGGGCGTGGGGTTGTAGAGGAGGAATTTACTGCAGCGTATTAGTTTTAGCTTGAATTATCTTATACAGCAGGAAAACGTTGGAAGGGGGAGGGGAATACTAACTCAGACGTAACCCACACGTCCACACCCTCGATCACCAGCTCGTTTGCTTCCTCGGAGGTGGACCCGTTGACTCCTGCTGCGCCGGCTGCGGCCTGACCGCGAAGAGCACCCAGCGCAGGCGAAGCTGCCAGGTCAGAGTCCTGAATTACGAGCTTGCATGATTTGCTGTGGTAGTGGAGGACTGGGGGGCCGGAGTGGAAGGAGGAGGGCGTGCGCGCTTGGTGATCGGCGAGGAGAACGAAGGAGGAGGTTTCGGGGGGTGTGTGGAGGGATTCCATTTTTTTTCTTCTCTTATATCTTTATTTGTGTTTTAAATTCGAATTGGGTTGGCAGTTCAATGGAATGGCTGTGGTGGTAGAGGTGGTGGTGAGGAAGATGGTTGGGTTTTGCGGAACTTTGGAGCTGCGGCGGAGCTGGGTTTGGAACTGGAGCTCGGGCCGTGGGGCTCGTTTATGGTTTCGTTTATGATTGAGTGTGTTGTACTATAATATGTCTCATATGGGTATTTTAAATACTAGATTTATGCGATTGATTTGATTTAGAGATTGGTTTTTTCATATCCATTAAGTTTTTATGTTGGCTATTCTGTCGACCCCGCGGACCCCGCTACCGCTGGGAGTCTTTGCATAGCTTGAGGGCGATCGATGTGCCCACGTTCGTAACATGCCCCATTTACCAGACGGGCTTGAGAAGAGACTCGCGACTATAGGGATGTCGTCGACTTAGTCGAGTCTCGAGCAACGGGAGTACGCGCCGTATTCGACCCGTAGGACGCGACCTTCGGTGCGCCATCGGCTCAGTGCGCGAAGTGGTGAAAGAAGCGTAGCGTGATAGTTCAAACAGCCGGCCCATCAATGTCGGACCATTGGCCTTTGCAAATGGGACAGAATCCAACCTCGCATGTGGACGTAGCGTACGTAAAGATTGCATCGTAGCAATGGTGATCCCGCCAGAGATAAGTCCTGCAGACGGCATCCAGTCTGACTGCGAGAACACGATCCCACTCCCATGTCCAAAAGGCGAAGAGGTACTCTTATCGGACAGTAGTACTGTCCTCCAGATAGAAATCACCCACCACCCGACTTCAAACCCAAACCCCCAAACGCCCGATCCAGCTCCTCTCCCTCATCACGGGGTTTAATCGACGGTAACCGAGAAGCCCCCGGATCAGCCACGTCGCTACTATCCAGCAAACTGGGCTGGTCGGGATGCGATTGCGACGAGGGCCCGGTGGGCGCATTCGTCGGTCGAAGCAGCTTCTCCTCCCGGTCGAGCCAACCCGGAGCCAGACGACGCTTCTCCGCCAGCTCCCGCTGGGTGATAGACTCTTCCCACGCGTGGATGGCCTGGTCGGCGTCGGAGCGCATCTTGTTCAGGTGCTGCTTGAGGGATTGGCATGAGGCTAGGATCTCCTCGGGAGACGCGGCGTGCTCGCCGCTGGTGGAGATGATGTAGCGGGGATTGGCGTCTGGGTTGTTGGGATCTACCGTGACGGAGGGAGGGAGGGTGGAGGGAACGGATTTGTAGGTGTAGGGGAGGGTGACGGAGGTGGGGAGGTTAATGAACGGGGAGACGGTCAAGGGGACCTGGGCGAGGAGGGGATGAGGACCTGAATGATTAGTATGGAGGGGAAAGCTTCAATCGAGATGGAGACATACGGTAGGATTCATACATGGTGATAGACTGTTGCTATTGAGTTGACTGGAGGGAGAGAGAGACAGAGAGAGAGAGAGAAGAGTAGGAGAGTGTAGAGGGAGTGAGAGAGATGCCTGAGGGGAACCCGCGGCTTCTCCAGATTCTGGTAATTGAATTACCGTAATTTATTTTATAATTTATAATGATCTAATTCATCATTATATCATGGTTCGTTTATATTGAACAAGTTTTGTGACTTGATTAGATTCTGCTATATTATATTATATATATATAAGGTGTCTGTAATAATATACATACCTAATATATATAAAATAGAAGATAAATCATAGTTATAATCAATAGTTCATGGTCCATTTCAGCTCTTCAGCTGATCGGCCAACGAACCACCAAGTATTGTTCGTATCAGCCAACTTCTCTTCTCTTCTCTCTTCTCTTATCCTGTTTCTTCTTTTCTTCTTCTCTCTCTCTCTCTCTCTCTCTCTCTTCTTCATCTTCATCTCTATCTTCCCTCTTCTCTAACCTGTGGATCGTTCGTTCGAATCTTCGTGATCGTACCGGTCCTCATCCCCTCTCCCATTTGCCTCCCTCTTCTTCCCCCTCCTTTTCCCTCTACCAGTAGACCCCTCCAATATTTCTGGTATAGATTCATCTATCCCCTCTTCTCCTGTGACTTCCTCCCCTCCTCTCTCAGCCTTACTCGACCCAGAGTCTCCTGGTCTCTGGTTACCTATCGATTACACTAAACTTAAAAGTCCCGCCGCGCTTAACCCCACCTCCAAACAAAACAACTCGACTGGTCTCTGCGCAATTCCATTCTTTCCTCTTCCCCTTTTTGTCTCTTCTGCCGATTCCATCTTCAGGTGGATTGGTTCATTTTTGCCTCCTTTTTCTCTTTTCCTCCCCCAAACCTCTTCGGTCTTCCTTCCCCCCCCGCTCTCCCCCCTTCCCCCTCATTTCGTTGCCCAAGATGGATCGTTCAATCGTGCGAGCGGTGACAGAGAAGCCCCCGGTCCCGGAGATCGACTTCACCTTACATACCATGGAAGATGGCTCTCAGGTGTCCACCACGGAACGTGTCGTCAAAGGTATATTTCAGATGTGATCGGTTCTCTTTCCATCGTGGCTAATCCCGAGAAGAAGTGCAAGCGCCCGCGCTCAACACCCCGCCCGACGATTTATTTTGGTCTCCTGACGACCCGTCCAAACCGAACCTCCAGTTTCTCAAGCAGCATTTCTATCGCGAAGGTCGTCTGACCGAGGACCAGGCGCTATGGATCATACAGGCCGGCTCGCAGTTGCTGCGGTCCGAACCCAATCTGCTCGAGATGGACGCCCCCATCACCGTCTGCGGTGACGTGCACGGCCAATATTATGATTTGATGAAGCTCTTCGAGGTCGGCGGCGATCCGTCCGAGACCCGATACTTGTTCCTGGGCGACTACGTGGATAGAGGGTATTTTAGCATTGAGGTCCGTTATAACCAGCTCCCCCTCCCCGGAGGATCGGTGTGTTCGCGCGATCGCTAACCGTCCCCCTTCAGTGCGTTCTCTATCTCTGGTCCCTGAAGATCTGGTACCCCAATACGCTGTGGCTTCTGCGCGGCAATCACGAGTGTCGCCACTTGACCGACTACTTTACCTTCAAACTCGAGTGCAAGCACAAGTACAGCGAGCGCGTCTACGAGGCGTGTATCGAATCCTTCTGCTCGCTGCCCCTCGCCGCCGTCATGAACAAGCAGTTTCTCTGCATCCACGGCGGTCTCAGCCCAGAGATGCACACCTTAGAGGATATCAAGGCGGTACGTCATCAATGAGTCCCTTTCATTTTCGTGTGCTGACGCTCCCAGATTGATCGGTTCCGCGAGCCCCCCACCCACGGTCTCATGTGCGACATCTTGTGGGCCGATCCGCTGGAGGAGTTTGGCCAGGAGAAGACCGGCGACTATTTCATCCACAACAGCGTGCGCGGATGCTCCTATTTCTTCTCCTACCCGGCCGCCTGCGCCTTCCTGGAGAAGAACAACCTGCTCTCCATCATCCGAGCCCACGAAGCGCAGGATGCCGGCTACCGCATGTACCGCAAGACCCGGACGACCGGCTTCCCCAGCGTGATGACGATCTTCAGCGCTCCCAACTACCTGGACGTGTACAACAACAAGGCCGCCGTCCTCAAATACGAAAACAACGTGATGAACATCCGCCAGTTCAATTGCACGCCGCACCCGTACTGGCTGCCCAACTTCATGGACGTCTTTACGTGGTCCCTCCCCTTCGTGGGCGAGAAGATCACCGACATGCTCATCGCCATCCTCAACACCTGCTCCAAGGAAGAGCTCGAGGACGAGACCCCGACCTCCGCCACGGAGCCGACCTTCTCCCCGACCATGCCGATGGATGTCGAGAGCAGCGAGTTCAAGCGTCGCGCCATCAAGAACAAGATCCTGGCCATCGGGCGACTGTCCCGCGTCTTCCAGGTGCTGCGCGAGGAATCGGAGAAGGTCACCGAACTCAAGACCGCGGCGGGCGGCCGTCTCCCGGCGGGTACTCTGATGCTGGGCGCCGAGGGGATCAAGCAGGCCATCAACAACTTCGAGGATGCGCGCCAGGTGGACTTGCAGAATGAGCGTCTGCCTCCGACCCAGGAGGAGGTCCTCCGGAAGAGCGAGGAGGACCGACGGGTGGCCCTGGCGCGTGCTCACCACGAAGCGGATAATGACACGGGGTTGGCGACGGTGGCGCGACGGATTAGCATGTGAGTTCTTATCTGTCTTGAACTTCCCCCCAGGAAAAAGATCTAACGCATGACAGGTCGGCGGGTTCGAATAAAAATCGACAACAGCCGGACGCAGCCGACGAATCGTGAGCATGAACACGCACTGTTTGTTGGATGAGCGTTCAATGCAGACATCTTAATATCATGGAGAATTGGCTCCATACTTGTATAGACGGGTGTAGAGAGGGGTTCATTCGCCACGGGACCCCGACTTGGGTCCTTAACCTTGTTGTCAAGGACGAGCGACTCCTGTATGTACTTACTGGCGATGCAACGGGGGACTCCCGTATTCTGCACGGAGCCCAAGGCGTCTGTGACGTCTTGCGTATGAGATGATGAATCGATAAATTATGACTTGCCAGCGTTGACCATGTTCATTTCCAACTCGTAGTATAGACCTTCGATAATTAAAAAGGGAGTATGTAGTACACAGAATAGTTCGAAATGTTTGTCTTGTTGGTGGTGACCGTACATACATACTTCACCCACCCGATCAGTCCCGCCAAGACCTCATCCCCCAAACCTCATCCGCCGCTCGGCCAACCTATCACCAAATAACCTTCCACTTTCCACCCCCCTCACCACCCCCCATCCACAGCCAATGCCTCCAAAAATACGCGGCTCGCTCTCCAAGAGCTTGTCGCGTGCAGGAGACACCACCGCCACCGACTTCTACTGCCCATCGTGCGCCATCCACCGACGCAGCCTCCCCACGCGCCGCATCCGCACCCAAGGGGCGGCGACCACCACCCGTCTCTCATCCACCTGGACCCCGCCGTCGACAGCCGCTGCTGCTCCTCGCCCGGTAACGGCATCGTCCGTCGTCCACGGAGCGAGACATGTCCCGCCGCGCCTGCGCGAACTGTACGGGGGATTGAGCAAACTCAATGACGTTGCGCCGGAGCAGGTTAATATCAGTCGGTTGCAGCTTGCCCTGCGAGGGTTGGAGACGGATCATCCGTTGATTAGAGTTGCTGGTGGGTTTTGCCTTTGAAATGTCTCTTTTGAATGGATGTGTGGGCTGACTTGGGATAGTTTTGGGGTTGAATGATGCTGTGGCTGCGCGCAAACTTGTTCGTTTGCTGCTGGCGGATCCGTTGGGCGAGCAGGAGGGGTGGGAGGATGTTTTGGATGCTACGGATGGGGATGTGACGCAGGGATTGCTGATTCGGTGAGTGGTGACTTATTGACGGTGGTGATATGGAATTAAGGGAGAAGGAAAGGAAAGGAAAAGCCAGCTCGCTAACATGGATGTATTGTGATCGATTAGCTATGGCGACACGTTCGAGTCAATCCCGAACAACCTCCTCCCGACGATTACAGTGCCCTCCCCCATTCTGAAGAGAGGCAATCTCGAGATCCTAATATCGACCGTGGGCGCCGAGACGAAATCGTCCCACTCCCAATTCAGCGCAGACACCTTCCTCGTTCCGACCGTGACGATCCAGACGTCGCACTCGGGCCAACATAACTTCGTCCGGTACCCCGTCCACCGGACCATCGTGTGCGGCAGCGGGATGGAGGGATTACTCGCGTACAGCGGACTGCTCGCACGCTCGGACCTGCAAAGCGAGGCCGAGTCAGTCTACGGGGCCATCGAGCTGCCGATCAATGCTTCGCAGAAACACAGCGACCGCGTCGCCTTCGTGGACGTTGACCAGGCGAGCGATGCCCTGGCCAAGTTCCGCGAATCCGTGCAGAACGCGACCCTGTACGAGCGCGGGTGGAACGGCAGCGGGGTGCAGCCCGTCGTGGACTGGCTGTCGGCGCTGCGGACGCAGTCCGGCAAGCTTGATCCCTCATTGAGGACGTTAATCACGGCTCTGCTCGACGCCGCCGAGGCCGGCGTGGCCGCTAAAGAGCAGCGAAACGCAGAGGAGCTGGAGGCGGAATCGGTATCCGACGCCGTCCGCGCGAGCATGGGCCGCGAGCTGACGACGTGGGCCGAACGGGGCCACTCGGAGCTGCGCAGCGCTCTGGAAGAGGGCTTCGCGAGTAAGCGGTGGAGGGGGCTCGCGTGGTGGAAGCTCTTCTGGCGGGTTGACGACGTGGGCATGATCACGTCGGAGATCCTGGAGAGGAAGTACCTGCGTCGGGCGGAGAAGGAGGTGATCTGGACGGCGGGGAAATTCCAGCAGGCTGGTCTTGACAACCTGCCGGAGATGCCGCAGGCAGCACTTGAAGAACAGACAGTGGCTACATCTGACGCTGCGGCGACAGACCCTCCGACAACCACCCCAGAAAGCAGTCCCTGGCCTACGCAAATCACCCGCAGTCGCACGCGCCTCCTAGAGACGACAGTACCATCTCTCCAAGCACTCGCCCAGCGCCTCGTCCTCTTCAGCATGTCAACCACCACACTGGCGTCCGCACTCTCCGCCCTCGCCTACCTGTCCATCCCGGCAGCCTCCCTATACGAGAGCGGCAGCATAGCAGCAGTGGGTCTGGCTTACTCTCTCCGCCGACAGCAAAAGAAGTGGGGGACGGCGCGAGAGTTCTGGGAAGACGAAGTGCGCGAGGAGGGTCGCACGGCGCTTCTAGCCACGGAAGAGCATTTGGGTACGGTTGTGCGCGAGGGGGGACGTCGCGAGGGGGAGGTCTCCGAGCGAGAGGCGCGCGAAACACTCTCGCGGACGAGAAAGGCGCTGGAGAAGGTGCAGTAAACGTAAACTAGGTATTATAGTTTTCCTCCCGTTAGACTTGTACAACAAACAATACTTACCTGATCTCATCACATCATTCATTATCCTCCTATATATCCTCACAGTAGCGTATAGTCCAGCGTAACCAGACACCTATATACATAAATACATAAATACACATCTACATACACACAACGAGTATAGATCAAGAAACCTCAACACTCCCCCCCGGAACCCCCGCCCAACTCCTCAATATCCTCGCCAAAAACCCCATCACAGGACCCATCTCCTCCCGACTCCGCGGCATCCCATCCCCCCGCCTCGCATACCGATGCACCTCCACAAACTCAAACTCCGCCTGCGTCCGCCTCACAGCGCCGTCGCTCACAACCGGCGAATCCCGCCCCGCAACAAGCAACACCGGCGTGCGGTTCTTGCTGCCTTGCTTTGAGTTTCCGGCGCTTGAGAGCGGGAAGGGTGCGCCTATTGAGATTATTCCGCCTAGAGTGCTGTTTCCACGACCACTACCAGCAGTAGCAGTAGCAGCAGCACCACTAGCGGTAGATAAGTCCAGCTCTCGAGCAGCTAACAGAGCTAACATCCCGCCCTGACCCAGCCCAAAAAGCGATATCTCGCGCAGCGCATACCCGCACTTCCCGACCAGCACGTCGCGAATAACAGCATCGTTGATAAGCCGCTTACTCCGCTCAAACCCAGCATCCATGTCTAGTGCGCCGGTCGACGAGTCGAATGAGATGTCGTCGCCCCAGTGGTAGCCCGGGAGGTCGAGGGGGAGGTGGGTGGGGCTTGGAGGGTGAGGATTGTTGTTTCGGGGAGGTGGAGGGCTTGGGCTAGGCTTGTTAGGGGTGGGAGGGTGTCGCCTAGGCCGTGGAGGAGGAGGAGGATGTTTGTTGGTGTTGCGCTTGCTGGGGTTGAGGTGGTGGTTGAGGTGGGTGGTGGTGGTGGTGGGGTGAGGGTTAGAGTTAGGTTTGGGGGAAGTCGGTGGGGTTGGGGAGGCGGGTGGGTGGCATTTTGGTTGTATTGGTATTATGCAGTGCAGTCGTATGTTGTGTGTAGATAGGTGGAGTAGAAGAGTAGGTGTGGTGTGCAATAGTGGTTAGAATAAGCTAGTAGTAGTAGTAGTTGTGGTGGTGAAATGAAAATAATTCCATACCCGTGTTTTGATATGACGTAATGTTCCCTTTCCTACCGCCATATATTGTACTGTATATAATCCATATCTACTATACTTCAGCCAAGATCTGATATGTACCAATATGACACCTCCGAACTATTTCCAGCTACTCAGCAAACAACAAGCAAAGCAAGAATATCTGCGAGATAAACTCGTCGAATCTAGTATAGTCTCGTGTATGCACTGCAGTCCAGCGCCATCAATGTGACATACTACCTCGCTAAAGCAGACTCGGCATGTTGATCGGTGAGTGAGCTTAATGAGATGAGGGTATTAGATCTAGAGCGTTTAGATTTGCTTTTGCTGGGCTCTCTTAGGTTACATAGCTTATCTCGTAGCGATGGTCGTGGCCATTCGGATGGTTGGGATGTATATGCAGATGGATTGTACAATGACCAGATACAACAGCATGCAGTCCGATGTTGAGCTGGTCTGGTCGATGAGTCTGTGTACTAATCCCCGACTCTGTATCAATGTCCCTATCTATAGTATATGCCCCTATCTATAGTTAGTAGGTAACATGCAGCAAGCTATGACATTAATGACCTATCTTATGTAAGGGCGTCAGATAAAGCCGCGCCAGCAAGCTGTGGCCACACCGGCTTACTATCGAATTGGGAACCGCGATGCTATATCACTTCATCTCAGTCCTTCCAGGCACCGTGCATTTGGCCCATCTGTTTAGCCATAGAGTGGTTTGAAGGCGGCGACCTGATGGCGAGTCTACTACCGCTTCGACCCGACGATCGGCCATAGGGCGAGGACAAGCCTTGGAAGGGGAAGCTTAGCTGGGTTAGACTTGTTGGGTCCACTACGAAATGAAATTGTACTGCGACAGACTCACTAGACGGTTGACATACGATATGTATATGTGATTATCTCATCACTGTGCCGCCTGTATCGGTGTACTACGCACAGTCTCTCCACCCGCGATGTGGCGCCTGTATGGCGCTCTCTGCTGGGGTTGATGTAAGGGGGGTCGGTCAAGGCCGAATGTTAATTCTATGGTGGTTTGCCTCGTCACCGTTTTGAGGAACTCGCCGGTTTGGTAGGTTGTTTGAGTAACGTTGTGCGTATACTTCTTGCAACAGGGCGCGATGGTTTGAATCTATGGCGGGTGACCGTTGCATGAGGATCACGCTGAGGCTATTCCAGCCGTATAAGCAGCGAGCTGGTGCATGGTGCAGTTGTAAACCAGTAGAAGAATGGTTTCAAACTAGAACCTGAATTGAGACTGAGACTGAGACGGTCCTCTGAGATAATATAGATAAGGCGCCCTGTCTGCCTCAGTCAGAATCATCACTCGATTATCCACTCTGCATGTTCCATATACCGTTTCATACTCATGCATTTGACTTGGGGCTCGGATAAGACTTGAGTTGCCTCCCGTGCAGTCCCCGCTTACCAACTCCAATCTTGAGATGTCCACCCGTTGGGAATCCACGGTTTGACACATCCCAACAGGAGAGTTCGATAATGCTCACCAGGTGTATGACAAGAGACACACAAGAGCAAGTTCCCCCAGCTTCATTGGTGCAGCCTCGTTCGAGGTATGAAGCCCTTCGAGGTCTGACCCTCCAAGCGCAAGGAGTAAATACATGCGTACACACACAACGCCCACCCGGCCCACCCCTATCCCCCTTCGTTCCTTTTTTTTAGGGTTACATGACCGAGTCACGTTGGCCACGTTGTCGTGCAGGCAAGCCAGTCAGCCACGCCGTCGCCAAGGACACTCCTGTCGGACTCCTCGGTGGAATTGAAAAGCCAGCCAAGACAAGAAGGGATGGAGGGAGTGTCGCGCAGCACCACGCCAAGAAGAATGTCTACGACATGTATGACGAGCATTAGGAGAACCACACCTCTACGCTGACCAGTCCCATCCTCTGCGCTCCAATCCTCGCGATGGCTGTGCTGGTTGCAAGCGGTGACTTGGTATTTGGGGGGGTGGTTTCGTCCACTGTGATTAGCTGGCTCTCTTTGATGTGATGACGACTGTCTGGAATGGAAGAATACGGGAGAGGGAAGATATCCTTCTCCTCGGACCTCCACTTCTGGGACGTAAGGTTTTCTGGGAGAATTCCTGGGGATAAACAATCTCCACCCCTAGCTGGCAGTTATGTGGATGTTCAATCCAGGAAGAGATAATCGGATCATCCGCTTCTGGATGTCAATCGGAGAGATTTGTTGACCGGGGTAAGAAAGATGACTGCGGACGACTTCATCGCCACTTGATGTTTGATAGAGAAGCAATCACATGCTCTGGCTGCCTGAGGATGATGGGTTCGGAAAGAACTCCGCACTGAGAAACATTAGATCCACTTGTTGGGACTCCACAGTTCCATTCTACAAATAAAGATGATAATAAAATTATAGAAAATACATTAAATAAATACAAATAAAGTAAGCTAAAGTAAGAAACTTATAAAAATAAAAAAAATATGCACGTGTGTCCAACGAGGCCTATCAGAGGCCCTGTTGGTCTGGATTCCCGTGACATGATTGGCCCGTCATTCCTATCCGTCCTGAGGCACCGACAACCCTGTTCTTTATCGTCATCGCAAAGTTTTTGATAGACCGTCATTTGGCGAGATCCTTTTGGGGCGAATTCTTCACTACTGTTTCTTCCTTTTCTTTTCTTTTCTTGACTGTCTCTTTCGTTTCTTCTTCTTTTATGACACCTCATCTTCCACCTTCCCCTCAAATCCATATTTTTTTCCCTTCTATCTTTGCTGTGGGGATCCTGCAGCTCAGACAAACACCAGTGTCACTACGACCTGTCCTCCCCGAATCAGCCTTACAACGCAATCGCGACAGGGTTAGGAAAAGATAATCAAATTCGTCGTTTCAGCTGGGCCTCGGGTGGATTAACCGACGCTGGTTTAAATCGGCTCGCAGCTCTCCACGAGTTTTCTGCCAGGGACGATTGTCTTCCCCTTTTGTCATGCCTGCCCACGTCACGCCCCGTCCAGCATGAAATTTGCCAAGTAGGTTACGCACGCAACATCCGATCTCATTGCTTCGCATCATGTCTAACCTTCTCTTCTTGCGAAAAGGGAATTGGACCAGGAACTCGTTCCGGAATGGCGGGCGAAGTATATGGACTATAAGGTGCGTGTGGGGGAAGCCATCGAGGCACCCAACCTGGTCCCCGCCGTCATGGTCGCACATTAACGGTGACATCTGGTACAGACGGGGAAAAAGAAACTCAAAGCCATCGCGCGAGCCCTGCAAAAAGCCAATCGGAGTTCCAGCCACCCTTCCCTGCCCCATGACGCGACACCGTCGTATGGCAACGACCCGACGGCCCGTTCTCACCCTTCGTCAACCCCGTATCAAGCCGCCAAGGAATGGGAGGCTACCGATCCGGCATACAACCCGGCGGCGACGCCTGCCCGGAGCACCGGCCGCGTCTCCACGCCAGGACGGCGAACCGAGCGCCACCCGTTGCGGGTTCCCGGATCGCGATTCTCGGCCGTCCCGGGGACGTACGGCAGCATCCTGGCAACGCCGCCCCAGCACATTCCGTCGTCGGATGTAGCTTCGTTCGAGCTCCCGGACCCGGCTATCGATCCGGCCGTCGACTCTCACGACCACCAAGTTTCTCCCAAAGAACACGGCCCCAACAATGCGTCCCCGAGAATGCCTTCCCCCTCCGTGTTGCGACACGACAGCACCAGAACCATCCCGGGGGGGATAGCCGGGCCAAGTCCTTCCCTCCGACGCACCGCCACGAACCCAACGGAGAAAGGGAATCCGGGCCCGTCGACCACGAGAAAATCTCAACTTTTGAAGCGAGTCTTCACCCATCCGGATTGGGAATCGCCGGAAAAGCAGGCACAAGCAGGCGGTTCGATGGGGGAGTATGAGCGGCGGCAGGATGAATTTATGGCCTTCCTGGATGGCGAACTCGGCAAGATCGAGTCGTTCTACCAGCTCAAAGAGGAAGAATCCACGGCCCGTCTGGCCGTCCTTCGGAAGCAACTGCATATCATGCGGGACCAGCGCATCCAGGAGGTCCTGGGCAAGGCCCAGGCTCAACCGCAAGGCGACGACAAACCCCAGCCGACGGGGTTCGGTCACTTGGGCGGTCAGCGCATCAAGGGCGCCTTCACAGGACGGCGGATCGGGAAGAACTCCAAGGCGCTCGCGGGGCTGGCCACCCCGGCGGCCTTCCCGGCCCGAGACGCGGAGGGTGCTATGAACCGCAGCGATTTCAACCGCCGAGTGCCGATAGAATCGCCCAACACCGAGGTGTCCTACCGCTCGGCCAAACGCAAGCTGAAACACGCTCTGCAAGAATACTACCGGGGCGTGGAGTTGCTGAAGGGCTATGCCTACCTCAATCGGACCGCCTTCCGGAAGATCAACAAGAAGTACGACAAGGTCGTCGACGCTCGCCCCACCATGCGCTACATGTCTGAAAAGGTCAACAAGGCGTGGTTTGTGCAGAGTGAAGTGACGGAGAACCTTATGACGGCCACGGAGGACCTCTACGCCCGCTATTTTGAACGCGGGAACCGGAAGATTGCCGCCTCCAAGTTGCGCCGCACGGTCAAGAAGACCTCTGACTACTCGCCCAACACCTTCCGCTCCGGCCTTCTCCTGATGGCCGGCGTGCTGTTTGGGATCCAGGGTTTGATCTACGCCGGCCAGCACCTCAACCATTCGGATGCTACCATCAAAATGCATACCAGTTATCTCCTCCAGATCTATGGTGGCTATTTCCTTATCGTCTTTCATTTCTTGTTATTTTGTCTAGACTGTCTGGTCTGGACGAGATCCAAAATCAACTATGTTTTTATATTCGAATATGACGCGCGATATGCCTTAGATTGGCGGCAATTGACAGAAGTATGATCCACCGCAGCTCCCTTTTCTGATGCTTTCTGACTCGTGCTAGCTCCCATCGTTTTTTATGTTCCTCCTGGGCCTCATTATGTGGCTCAATTTCTTGTCGCACAACGACTGTTTTATATACTGGCCGGTGATCCTGGTGGGACTGACAGTATGCATTATGTTTCTGCCCGCGCGTGTGCTGTATCACCGAAGCCGAAAGTGGTGGGCCTATTCCAATGTACGTGCTATATTCTCCGTAGATAGGGTAATGCTGACCAGATCCAGTGGCGTCTCCTTCTCGCCGGATTCTATCCAGTGGAGTTTCGGGATTTCTTCCTCGGGGACATGTACTGTTCCCAGACCTATAGCATGGGGGTGAGTAAACCCGACAAGGTCGCGACGGCCGGCTGGCTGACTGTGAGCAGAATATTGAGCTCTTCTTTTGTCTCTACGCACACCATTGGACGGATTCCCTGGAGTGCAATTCGTCCGAGTCCCGGCTCCTGGGATTCTTCACGACCGTCCCATCCATCCTGAGAGCTCTGCAGTGCTTGCGCCGATATGCCGACACGAGGAATATCTTCCCGCACTTGCTCAATTTTGGAAAGTACATGTTTGGCGTCCTCTACTACGCGACCTTGAGCATGTATCGTATCGACCGAGTATCCCGGTTCGAGGCCCCGTTCATCACATTCGCCCTGCTAAACGCGGTATATGTCTCCGTCTGGGACCTCGCCATGGATTGGAGTCTGGGAAACCCGTACGCCAAGCACCCCCTTCTGCGCGAGGCGCTCGCATTCCGGAGGGTGTGGGTCTACTATGCGGCCATGGCCCTTGATGTGGTCGTCCGGTTCAACTGGATATTCTACGCCATATTTGCACACGACGTGCAGCATTCCGCGGTCCTCAGTTTTGTCGTGTCGTTCTCCGAAATCTGCCGCAGGGGCATCTGGACGATCTTCCGGGTGGAGAATGAGCACTGCTCCAACGTCCTCCTGTTCCGTGCGTCGCGCGACATCCCCCTTCCGTATAAAATTCCGTCCGCGCACGCTCCGCCGCACTTCCTCTCTGGAGATATGCAGCTGGAGGAGCAACCCCCCGCCGTGGTTGTCTCTTCTGCCGATCCGGAGCAGGGCGCCCCGCCTACCCCCGGTGCTTCGATGCGGGCGCGCAACATCTCCCGCGTGGGCAGTCTGATCACCTACGCGCACACGCAGGATTTCCAGCGGAGAAAGCCGGCCGGCGCCGCGTCCCCTGCCGTTGCGGCCGGGGTTGAAGCGGCGGAGACGCCTGACGATACGAGTGACGAGGATGACGGCTCGGTTGTATCGGGAGCATATATAGACGCTGACCGTGCTATTTCCGAAGAGCTCCCGTTTCGAGATGCGGAGGTGGGGTGATGGACGTTGGACGGCTACTTGATGATTTATCGTAGCAATATCTTCTCAGTACATAGTAGCAATTACTAATCTTTTAGACACTATCTAGATTTAGACACGACCATGACCATGACCAGGTTCAGAGAATTGATCAATGGGTTTAATCATTATAGGTGAATCATTCTAGCCACTGTAGGCATTGCTACACCGAAGAAGTACTTCAAAAGTAATCAGCCTCACAAGGTTGACAAAGAGATGGAAACCTGCCTCAGGCCAAGACAAGAACCACCACGTGACCTTATCCGACGTCACCTGCCCCAGGCGCCTCCCTCTCTTGCTTATCACCCCCGTCCCATCACTGATCGACTCTTCATGCATCTCCTCCATCTCGAGAACCTCTCGGATTAACGACGATCAGCTTCAACACGTAGCAACATGGCTGCGAACACCAGATACGAGGCAGCTCCCCAGCGGGACTCCTTCGAGGACGACCACTACACCCAGCCGCCGCCGTCTTATCAGGCAACCGACATTGGCCATGAGCCGGCCCCGCGCAGCGAGGATGATAATGTTCCGGATGATTTTAAGGTTGGTTTATCTTTTGTACATGGGCTACAGGGGTGTAGGGTGATAAGGCGACTTGACTGACTTGCGTCTAGTTTGGGGGGATGGTTGCGGAGGGCACCCTGCCCGTTCGGATGCAGTTCGTGCGGAAGGTTTATGCGATTCTGTATGTCTACCTCATATCCTCTTTCAAGTCCGGCAGAGATGCCTCTACCGTCTCCATGCAAGGATAGATGAGAAGAGAAAAGAAAAAAGAAAGAAACTAACACCCCCAGAACAATGCAACTCCTCCTCACAACCTTCATGAGCTCCATCTCCTTCTTCAGCGACACCTACCGGTCCTGGATCCAGTCCAACTTCTGGCTCATGATCGTCTCCGTCTTCGGCGCCCTCGGCATGATGCTCGTCACCTACTGGAAGCGCAAAAGCTACCCGGCGAACCTGCTCTTCCTCTCCGGCTTCACCATCCTCGAAGCCTACTCCATCAGCGTGGCGGTGTCCTTCTACGACGCGCGCATCGTCGTGCAGGCGCTCGTCCTCACGCTCGGCATGTTCGTCGCGCTGACGCTCTTCGCGTGCCAGACGCGCTACGACTTTACCAACTGGATGCCTTATCTGTTTGGGGCGCTGTGGTTCGCGATCCTGTTTGGATTCGTGGCCATGTTTTTCCCCGCTAGTGGAACTGTGCAGCTGGTTTATAGTGGGCTGATTGCGATTATCTTCTGCGGTTATATCCTTGTTGATACGCAGATGATTATGCGCCATTATCATGTTGAGGAGGAAATTGCTGCTTCGATCGCGCTTTACCTGGATATCCTCAATTTGTTTTTGGCTATTTTGAGGATTCTGAATAACCAGAGCAATAACTAGTTTGCCACCATCGCCAGCAGAACCAGTCTGGACTTTTACCCCATCCATCCATCATCCCCAGATTGCGATTGATTGATTGATTACTTCTACCTTATTCTATGGGATCTGTATGAGTTTGTTTCTATCGATTTGCTCATTCTACTATCAACTCAACTAAAAAACTAATCCTCCTCTCCTCTGTTCTGTTCGCTGACCCTTTTCTTCACAAGCACTTACCCATGTACTTCCTTTTTTTGTCTCATTCCATAGGATGAATCCACTCCGTAACTTCTTAGCTTGTTGCCTGTTCCTGCAGGTCTAATGCCATTTATCATTTCCATGGATCAGTTGATATAATAATTGATGCCATGTAGCTAGCAGCAACCGACAATGAAACAATATAATACTTTAAAGGTAACGAGCACGCTAGACAGTAACCAATAGTAAACCCAACCCTAGAACGGGTGCATCGTAATTCTCAAGTAATAAGTTAAGCAGAAAAACAGAATTGAACGTAATGGATTGCTATGACATTCCTTGGCTTGATGATCTCAATAATAGAAACGACCCTCTTCCCTCCCGCTTAAACGCCTTGTGTACGTAACGCAACGCAACGCAACGCAACGCAATGGTATAGTGGTATTGGACTTGAATATAACGTAACCTGAACCCGAATCTAGATAGCCCAATGCGTTTTGCCCTGAATAAATAAGATGTGGGTAGATTGTTAAAACAGAGAGGAAAAAAATAAAATAAATAAAATAAGAAGGGAGAGGGTAGATAAAGGCCAAGGATCGAGTCGTCACCCCCAGGTCGCCCCAAGGCGCTAAGCTAATGATTTGCTACTCTCGATCTGGCTCTGGTAATAATCGTGATAACACATTGTAGGTGAATGATATCGTCAAGAAGATCTAATGTTTAAACCGTTAATGTGACGCGATAAAGAGCGAGTTCGTAACCAGACACACGACCATGACGACGACCCCGTACACCACGAGCGCTAGACTTAGTTTCCGCAGTAATCCCCGGCGCCAGTGGCGGGAGTTGCGGCCGAAGAAACCACCGTCGGTAAGTGGGACCTGGGCGCTCTCGAAGTCGTCGTCACTGAGGTCGTCGTCGGAGACCATCGTTTCTGCCGCTTCGTCGTCTTCTTTCATCAGACGCTGGTGGTGGAGGGAATCAGGGGACGAGATCTTGTAGTAGAACAGCCCTGGGAGGATGAAACTGATGCTTGTGCTTCCCGTGCTGCCGACGTAGGCAAGCACTGCTTCCAGCGATGAGACGGTCATGGCGACAATGTAGCTGAGGATGAGGATGGAGGTGGTGATCACTGAGAACCGGAGGTCGCTCATCGGCTCGGCCGTTCGGTTGCTCTTAGCCCCCAGGAGCGGGTGTCGGTTGGTGGAGTTGTCGTTGCTATTCGTAGACTTTGGTCGCCAGCGCGAGACGGCGTCGACAGAGGCCCGACACGGGTGACACTGGAGCGGGTAGGAGAACATGACGAGAATGACAATGGCCGCACGTCCGATCGTGGCCCATACGCCCGGGGGGTACATCCCCACGATGTTGCCGCCAACGTTATTGCCAAACGTGAGATAACCGGTGATCGCGACCAGGATGTAGGTCGCAGCAGAGCTTCCGATGCTGGTGAGGACCACGCCGGTTGTCCTGAAGTGGCTGTTATTTTCGATTTCGTTCAAGATCGAAAACATCTGCCCAGAGTGTTAGAAAAATCAAATGACATCCGAAGAGTGGAACACATACATTCTGATGACATGTGAATGCAAAAACAATGACCGGGAGACTGCTCAACATGGGAACCGGGCCAGCCCAGTGAATCACACGAATCGGGCCTCGACCGGCCACCATATCTCCCGCCACGAAGTTATAAACCACCAAAACCACCAGGTATGCCATCGAGACCAAAGCCGCAATGCTCGTGTACTTGAGGGAGTCCAAGCGCCGAAGATACGAGAGAGGGATGACAACCAGCCTGCGACACTATCAGTATACCCGACATCGAATTTGCAGCCTCCAAGCACGTACATAAAGGCGGTTACCCAAAAATGCCGATCCAGCAAAAAATCATACTCCGGTTCCCCTCCAATAAATCCTTGGACTACACCGGGCATCAAGTCTCCAATGATGATGAGGTAGCTGACGCCAACGCCGAAGCATTTGATGGCGATCGCAGCGTCGAAAACGACAGCGGCATTCGGGTACGTGATCTGCGAGAGGGCGAAGAACGAAGCGGTCCCTCGCTCCAGGTACTGCGCACATCGCGACTGGAGATATAGACCGAACCCTGCTGTTGTCGCCGACCACAAAACCACCACAACGCCGAGGACGATTCCCATATGCGACATGGCAAGGGGCATGGCGAGGACACCGGCGCCAACGACTGGGACATGATTAGGGAGTCATCTACCAACTAAACCATCAAGCAAATACTCACTCGTATTGACCAGATTGATCACACAGCTAAGAAAGCTGGCCTGGCCGTGAAACCCGGCATCTCGTTTCCCTCGTAGTCCATTTCTAGAGACCACGGTTGCTTCCGTCAGCCACGACTCGATCAGAGGAGGGGTTCCCATCCACGACGCATAATTACCTTCGTGAAGCATGTCGCGAGGCACTGACCGGACCAACGCCGACAGTTGTTTCGTCGTCCAACATGATTTAAATGTGGGGAGTAAAGACGCCGATAAGGGTGTTTGACCACGAAGGCAGAAAAGTTGGGCTACCTTATCATCGAGAACGCGACGAAGGCATTCGGCATAACAGCCACACGAGCTACCCAGAAAGGAGTCGATCGGTGAGCAGAAGGGGGGTCAAATGGGGTGGGAAAGAGACGATCCCGACGAAATATGGAAATAAAATCAAAAAGAGAGAGAAGAGAAGGGAAGAAGGGGAGAGGGGAGAGAGGAGATGATAAGAAAGACCAGCAAACAAAGGCGGTCACGGGCTTAACTAAGAATCCTGTACTTCTGTCCGTTTCGAATGGTGCATTAACACGGTTGTTTTCGTCCACTCAATTCATCCTCTGTCGCATCTCTTCAATTTAGTGGAATATAACGGAATAACACAATGTGAAAGGTCAGGAATGATGCGAATTCCTGGAGAAGTCGATAGACGCTGTGGCGAACCGTGTTCCGATGGAACCTCTGGAAATCCTAGATGCCAATAACGCAGTCGCATCTGCACCCAAAGACCGGGAGAACCGGGGATTTCCTGGTTACTCCTGAGATCGACCCATTGGCGCATTCGGGCTGGATTGGTCATAACCTTCTTCATGCGGGTGCCGGGTTCCTTACCGTCTTGATCCACTGCTTCGCGTCGCGCTGGAGACTCCCAGAACGGTGGAGATGAAGCCAAGAGCCCATTCCCCTTGATGCGGTTCTGAAGTGTCATCAATTTCACTACGACAGGGGAATCTATATTTGGAGATATTTTTCACCGGAAAATATACTGGAATCCCGCAGGAAACTCGAGCTTGCAATGCAGTGTTCAATCTATACTCCTCGAGATATACAACATCACGCAAGACATGATCATCATGGTCGTCACCTCACAGTTTCGAATCCCCCCATCTTGGGTTAGACAGCAGTCCGAAAACCTCGTCATCCAGCTTTCCTTTGTCTGACGCAGTATTTCCTGCTCTGCCGTGGGGCCCCGGGTCATTGTACGCGGTGACCGGTCGCACCTTTTTCGACACCTCCAGAATGGTTCCCCCGCTGACGGGAAATTGTGGCCCTTGGCCCTTCGTGTCTCCAATGATCTCGCTGACCTGGTCTTGTTGGATTAAGGCCAGCATGACCTCGGCGACCTCCTCGGGAGTTACCCACTCATCGGCGGTCGGGTCCACCATCTTAAGCTTTTCGGGATGGTCCGTCCACAGAGGAGTCTTGATCACACCGGGTGCCACCGCAGTCACGCGGATCCCAACTGCGGTGTCGAGCTGGGCCAGCGACCGGACTAGGCCACTGATGGCATGCTTGGTGGCTACGTAGATCGGAGTGCCCAAGACAGCGCTCTGACCAGCGATACTGGAGATGTGGAGAATGTGCCGGGGTCGTTGGCTGGCGCGATGGCGAAGGAAGTGGGCGATAGCGAGCTGAGTCGTACGGATGGGATGTGTCAGGTTGATATCCACCAAAGCATATCGGCCCCCGTCGGGCGGATCGCGACTGTCCGCTGTGCCAGGGGGACGCCAGAAGTTACTCCAGTGCTGTCAGGCGTAAGATCGTGTCAACAGGAGAACCAACGAGGTGGTGGGAAGCATACCGGTTCGTAGACCCCAGCCCCGGGGCATACAATGTCAATTTCCCCAAATTCTTCCTCCGCCACTTCGAATGATCTCTCCAGCTGCCTCCAATCGGTGACATCGGTCTTCTGGAAGACCGCCCGAGGGCTCTTGTTATAAGTATCGACAACCGCCTGCGCCTCAGGCCGAAGTGCCAGATCAGCGATCAGAACGTTACACCCATTTTCCAAGAGGAGTTTGGCGAAGCTCAGGTTGATTCCTACGTAACTTAGTGATGGGTTGCATGGATGTTCGAGTTGGTATATACGCACCCGAGCCTGCCCCAGTCACGATAGCAGTCCGTCCCTGGACGGAAAAGGACATACTGGCTGAGAGCTTCGGTTTGATGGAGGTCTAGAGGAAAGTTGTGTTCTCAATCTTTGACAGATCCACGGATTTATATCCCCTCACGAGGAGCTTCGAACCCCTCATTCTCCATTGATGTGCCAACTGGGGCTGCACACCCAATCAATTGAGGGAATCCGTGGGGGTCACTGGAGCGGGGTTGGAGGTTATGCATGTGGAAACGTATATCCATCGGTTTATAGAGTAGTACAGTCCAGCCAATTCAAATCCTTTTGCTCCTGATAACGTTTCTATTGGCTTCAAACGCATTTGGTCAACCTTCTGTGGTATCGCAGCATTGATAATGATTCATTGGGGTAGTCCCGGTCGAGTAAACCACGAACCAAAGAAGCGCGTACGGTGCCAATCGAACCAAAGTTTGATCTGTGGAACCCCCACACCGAGACAGCTTGCCCACTAGGAGCCACATTTGGTCTCGTAACTGGCAGTATTGTTGACATTCTGACGAAACTGATGCGGTCCACGATCTGGTGTCACCATTGCCAACAATGCTGTCCGTCGCCAAGACAGCCATCGAGTCGGCGGACGTGCGATCTATGGGCGTCCAGGCCGATGCACCTTTGATTCATTGGTTGCATGCGGACGAGATCCACCTCCTGTACCTCCAGATCCCAGGGATTCCTTCTTGTATGTTCATATCACTGCATTGGCAGTGAGGACCAGTCAGAGCCATCGTCATCGCAAGGATTCTCGCCTCGATTGCTGAGCCAGGTCTAATGCAGCCAAGGACATGTGTCACAAACGGCTCGAAGGGGAACAGCTGTTATTGGGCCATGCAGAAGACCTGCTTTAGTTCATGCTATCTTTTCTCTTCTCTTGCTAGGCATTAGTCACAGCTACATAATGGATAGTGTCACATCAGGGTCCTGGATTTCAGATTCAACTCGGGCCATCATGGTAGTGACGTGTAGCAGTTGGCGCCACAAACACACCAAGTTGAACTCGAGAATAGATTCTCCATAATCAGACTGCTGGATGAGTTGTAGCCAAGAGGAGACGAATATAGAACCCCAGGGTGTTTGCATATAAGCTACTATTAGGGTCAACCAATCCCGTGCATCATCGGCATCACCGCCTCCAGTAGTGCCAGTATACTGCCGCTCCCCAGCTCGACATCACAACAGCTGGATCTCTCTCCATCCTTCCCCATCCTTGCTTTCTCCGCCAATCCCCCGCATCCTCAAATGACCAGTTTTCGCCCGAGGTCATAATAATGCGGCTCCAGGCGACGCTTCTTTGGCTCGCCTCCTGCGTTCCCTTCACGGTCGCTATCTACCCGGATGAGGTCAACCATGTCGATTTCCACCACGCCCTCTTAGGTGTCCCCACCCCCGAGTCGACCTTTTTCCTGAGACCCCCGTCTTCCTCAAACGCTTCCTTACTTTACACCCTGTCGGAGGACTCCCTCGTCGGTGCGATCAACCCCAGAGATGGATCGCCGCTTTGGAGGCAGAACGTTTCGCGATCGTCGCAACCCGACCATGGGCCCGGCCTCTTGCGGGCCTCGGATGGGGTCAGCTCCATTGTGAGCGCTGTCGGTGACTATGTGTCATCCTGGAGTGCTCTGGACGGTAAGTTGGTCTGGGAAAACTGGTTTGTGGACGAGTCGCTGGTGGACCTGGAGTTGCTCCACCTGGCGGACCCTCATGCGGCCCCATCTAGCAAAGACACGGTTGCCCTGTTCGCGGGCAAGACCGGTGTTGTGAGACGATTGGATGGCGAGTCCGGAGACGTGAAGTGGGAATACAAGGATGAGAGGTTGGTGTCTGGATTCTTGAGTGGAGATGGGTCCATAGGCTAACTGTCAACTGGTTGGATCTAGTGGTGAAACTCCCTTTCAAGTGTCGTCCTCTTCCACCGAGGTCTTCTACATTTCGCTCCAGTCGGGCCTTCTCAAGGGTACTAAAGTGAAAGTCACCTCGCTAGACCCCGTGACCGGCCGACAAACTCGCCAGGTGACCCTGAACTCGGAAAGCGACGTGTCCGGTCCTGAGTCCATTCTCTTCGTGGGTGCAAACACTGCCTCCCCGTTGATCGTCTGGGCAGACAAATCGCAGAAGACGCTCAAAGTCAATGTGATTGGGTCTAAGAAGGTCAGCTCAGTCAACATCGAAAACACCAGCGGCCAGGAGATCCGCTCCATCGTCGTTCACGCCCCCCACCAGCTCAACTCGCTACCGCACTTCCTGGTTCACTACCAGACCGAGTCGAGCTCTTGGGCCGAGGTTTACCATGTTGATCTGATAACCAAAGCTGTCACCAAGGCTTACAGCCTACCCCGCGTGCAGGGATGGTCGGTTTTCGCAACTAGCAACAAGGACGCCAACGTTTTCTTCACCCGCATCACCGAAGCAGAACTCACGGTGGTTTCGTCCGCTTCTCACGGTATCCTTGGAAGGTGGCCCCTTCAAACCCCTCCGCAGGGGCGCTTCTTGCACGCTGTCGCCGAGGTCGTTGCCAAGGGCGAGTCTGTAGCTGTCCGATCGGCTGCTGTCCTGGAGTCAGGGGACTGGCAGCTCATCCGAAATGGACAGAATGAGTGGACCAGATACGAAGCTTTGGCTGGTGCCCAAGCTGCGAGCTGGGCCGAGGCAGACACCCAGGAGGAACTGGCCCATCAACTCCAGGTCGAAGGCCATGAAACTATCTACGGTGCTTACCTGCACCGCGTCAAGCGGCATGTGAAAGACCTCGAGCACCTACCAGAGTGGCTGAAGGAACTCCCCAAACGAATCCTCACCAGTATTCTAAGTGATGAGGTGTCCAACCTTGATGGCTTTGGGGTCTCCAAGACTGTGGTCGTTGCTACGCGAAATGGACGGGTCTATGCCCTCGACACTGGCAACCACGGAGCAGTATCTTGGAGCGTGAAGGCCTCGCAAGGAGAGATGTGGAACGTGAAAGCGATCATCACTCAACCAGGCTATGCTACTGTCTACCCCGACGATGGTAGCTCGGTGACTTTCAATGTCACTTCTGGTGGCATTGTCAAGCGTACCTCCGCTACGACCAAGATCCGCTCCGTTGCTGTTGTCAGCAATGATGACACTCCGTCCACGATTGGTATCAACGAAAAGGGCGCTCCCCTGGAACCATTGAGCGGGCCTGGGTTCTTTGTCACTTCGAGTGACGATGGACGTGTCCTCGGGTGGGCCGCCTCGAACAACAAGGTGCCCGTCTGGGAATTCGCACCGGCCCCCGGGCAAAAGATCGTACGCGCCGTTGCACGTCCCTCCCACGACCCGGTGGCGTCCATCGGCAAGGTCCTGGGTAATCGATCGGTCCTCTACAAGTACTTGAACCCCAACCTGGTTCTCGTGACTGCCGTCGGGGGAAGTTCCGCCACCTTTTACCTCCTTGACGCCGTCTCCGGTAACCTTCTATACACCGCCACCCAAGAGGGCGTTGATACCACCCAGCCTATCGCCTCCACCATCTCCGAGAACTGGTTCGCCTACTCCTTCTTGGCCCACCCCGTCCACCCCTCCGATGCCATGGGCTACCAACTCGTGATCTCCGAGCTGTATGAGTCTCCGATCCCCAACGACCGCGGCTCCCTCGGCTCCGCAGCCAACTTCTCCAGTATTCACGACCTTCTTCCCCTTCCTCACGTCATCTCCCAGGCTTTCGTCATCCCCGAACCGATCTCCCACATGGGGGTCACCGAGACCCGCCAGGGAATCACAATCCGCCAACTCCTCTGCTACCTCCCCTCCACCAACTCCCTGGTCGGCATCCCTCGCCCGGTCCTGGACCCTCGCCGGCCCGTGGACCGCGACCCGACAGCAAACGAGGCTGAAGAGGGCCTGATGCGGTACAGCCCGTATCTCGAGTTCGACGGCAAGTGGTACCTCTCGCACGTGCGGGACGTCATCGGCATCAGCAACCTCCTTTCCAGCCCGACGCTGCTTGAAAGCACGAGCCTGGTCTTTGCCTTTGGCTGGGACATCTTCGGCACGCGCGCGACGCCTAGCCAAGCTTTCGACATTCTGGGCAAGGGATTCTCGAAGCTGCAGCTGTTGGCGACTGTTGTGGCGTTGGCCGTGGGTGTGGTCTTTTTGGCACCAATGGTACGTTTTCACATTCCCCTAGTCTATAATCCATGCACCACTAGTGTAGACGAAACCAAATAGCTAACTGATTTTCTACTTCAGGTCCGACGGAAACAAGTCAACATGATCTGGAATTCCTAGACTTCCAAACGCAGACACGAGGAAGAATTAATTGGAGTTGGGAGTGAAATACGCTTGAAAAGAAGTATAATATGATAGTTAGCCTCACGGTTGCCTTTTTCTACCCATGTATTTATTGTATTGAATGAGATTTGAGCTTCTTTCTTCTTTCTTCTGCACTATGTTGTCAAAAGCTGTGAAGTAGGCAGTTCACTGCACTTATGGGCTAAAACAAATAAGTATTTTGTATTGTCGTTTTCTCCATGTCTTGGGTATTCCCAACCCACATCCTTCAACCATACCATCAAGTAAGCCCAGTGCATGATTCCACCCCCTCAATCAATCACCAGGTAGGTCAAGTGTATTAGCTACGGAAGAACAAGACCAGCAGAGTCTTCCACATAGTTGAGCAGACAGTTGTCCGCATTGAACATCTTTCTCGCCTTCCTGGTTTCGGCGAAAGTGAAGCTCCCATCTTTGATGATGCCATGCCATGTCCCGCATAGTGCAAGAGCATGCTTGAGGTTAAGATCGCTTTCAGTCTTTGCTTTGCATTTTTTAACAGAGTCCAGGGTGGATTTCTCGTGTTATCCAAAATGGCATGCGGGAATATAATATCATCCTGACAAGGCGAGGGCAGCAATGTCGCTGTCGCTTCTGTTGTTCTGCTGGGACGGCTAGACTGACACAACACACGCATATTTCGTCTTTCACCCAGCGTGATCTATCCAGAAAAGAAAGCATCGTGTTGATTACCACCATGCGCGTGGATCTCCTCTTGCTTCGTGTGTCGGTGACAATGATTGCGTACACGATGTTCAACGCGTCCTACTCGAGGGAGATATGAGTAGGTTCGTTTTCTTGCCGTTCTTCCTGCTGTTTGTCCTGCTGTATTTGCCACTATTTTTCCAGTGGGAAGTACGCGAATGCATCGATTTCTTGATTCATGATCAGCACCCGAAGACATCTTTTGTAGGACCTAAACGAATCGTCAGCGAAAACAACCTTAGATTAGAACTGTAATAGCGTACATGTCAACTTGGCTGCACCCTCTACGCTGAACTCACGACGGTAGAGCCAACTCTGTGGTATCGAACACGGCGGCCAAATCGACGGAGGCCTCTTCTGCGGAGAGCATGAACCCCCACAATGTCAACCCTGGTTAGGAATGCTGGAATCTTCTAGAGCTCTTGTTCGTTTTTGTTAGGAACGGTCGTAGTGACCCGAATTGGAAGTGCACGAAGTACTAAAGGATCGACGCAGCATTGGGAGCATTTTGTATCCTCGTTCCGATCTATCCAGGTCAAATCTGCCAGTTCAACGTTCACAACATGTGTCTGTTCAGGAACGGCTTTCCTGGCGGAGCTGGAGTGCACTAAATAACGGAGGCACTAGCTATGAGCGACGCGTGTTGCACACTGTATCACATACGAACTCGAACGTCGACTTGTAGTCATTCTGCCTTTTGTGCCAGTAAATTTGATCATGAGGCGTTATAGCGAGAAAAATAGAGAGTACCAGGGTCTTTCAGAAGCAGTATTCCAGCTCTGGTTGTCTGTTGGGCCAGGGAATTGGTCAAGCTGAATAATATGCCCCCTACTTCATTTGTCAGAGGTGAGGCCTCATTCAAAGAGCCAGGATGTCGTATATTACCCATAGACAAGACCATAGGATGGACTGAAGAAGCTTTTTGCTTCGAGTGGATCACAAGTAATCAAGTGCCTTTCTAGGCTCATGTAGTCCTCGCGCTCATTATGCTGATCAACCGAGCTTTTTTCGTGCTTTGTGTATCGTGGCAATAATGGTGTAAATAGACTACCTGCCATGGGTGGAGTGAGCTCCAAATCACGCAGGAGCAAAAATTGCTTTTGAGGAGTCTGAACGCCAGCAAATGCTGTAGGTTTTGTCGTTGATAAGCACCATGAGCAGAAGCCATATAGGCTATGTCTTGGAGTAGGTGTAGGTATTCTAGATAACATCCTGACGACTCTTGTCAGACACAGGCAATAACGCGATAGAAGACGGAGTATCTAATTAGGCCATAAATGATATTATGACGTTTTGGGGTTCGTAAGTAGCCCTGCCTTCGTCACAACAGACAACTTGACTTCCGGCTTCGAGGACCACTTGTCGAGGTATTAGGGTGAAACGGCATCAGAAGACAAGTATATCACGATAACCGAAGAGCAGGTCAGTTGGGTCCTGGGAGGTTTTGGATTCATGGGTCTTTGGGTCCTAGGGTACTATGGGTTCCGCGAACCACCTTCTTCGTGTCCACTTTCCAGTCGGTGTTTTCAGGGTTTTGTCCCAATCCGCGGTCACAATTGACTAAAAATCACAAAACTCTCCAGCTTCCTGTTTTGCTCCATGAATGATCATATCTGCGGTAGAGCGGACCAGCTGGACTTGCGAATTCGTATATCCGATATAGACGAGCCACCCTAGCTTATTGGTAACGAATGTTTGCCTTAAGCTTTTTACTTATCTGAAATATGAAGACCAAGCATGGGCCTGCCGTAAAGGTCCACGCGACAACTCGTCCTTGGGTCTTTGGTTCAAAGGGGTGGATAACAGCGGGAGTTGAGTCTTTCAGCTGCTGTAAATGTCACCCTCTTTCAAATTTCTCCTGGCTTCATGTGTATATTCCGAGTGAACAAAAACGGCCGCAACACATGGCTCTTCGGATCAGCCGAGGAAGATGTGGTGTCAGATATTCTGTTCTTTTTGGTTCTGTATGTGATCGGCTTGGATAGCCTAGTTTGATATATATCAACAGGAGATATAGCTGAGCCGGTGATACCGTAATGATATATATAAGGAGGATAGTATAATCAATGTAGAAATATCAGGGTAAAAAGAGAACCGAACGGAACAGAACATTCTGTCGTGAGCAGAAACCTCCAGCGAGACATCATTCAGGATTTTGTCTTGATTATCATTGCATTCTTGCAACTTTCGGTCTTGGATTTGGATTTGATCAACTGCTTGTGATTCTGAAGATTGGCTGGATTGATTTATATAAGGAGGATGGTACGTATGTTGGATAGTTGGCCACGGTGTAGAGGTACGTAGGTTGGTGGATGAGGGAGGGGGAAAGTCTTGATTTATATAACCTGGAAATAAAAGTCTGCTTTGCATTATCTACTAAAGCTAGTGAATGAATGAATGTATGCGCTATTTGTCACTTTGTGAGTTGAGTGATGTCCTTTGTCTACCTTCTCGCGCAGTTGAAGTTATTGTGTTTCATACATGCGTCAAACAATCACTCCTGGCTATGATGTGGAGTGATAGACAAATAGATAGTCATCCCTGCACCAGCTTTTAGTAAGAAATGAGGCATATAATTCAGTGACAAGGATTCTATTCAGACAGATGTTTACAGAGCTCAAGCAGGCTGTGTAGCACATCCTCCCTCTCTGACAACCAGTAATCCAGAAAAGCTTCACTAATAATATTAATCTAAGTGGAATATTAAATGCAGCGTAGTATCACAAAGACGATACTCAATGAATCAACTGCTTGCATCTTGTAGTAAGGCGGACTCTGACCATGCACAACCAGCATACAAACACCAAAACGGAGATAAACGAGGGTCAGAAATAACAAAAAGTAAGACCGTAGACCAATAGCTATAAGAAATCATGTCTGACACGGTGACTCTTTGCTAGTTTCAGACGCTGTAGGTTTGGCAGGAGGCCCTTTTCAACATATGCAGGCTACCGTGCATCTAACAGAATGGTCAGATCATTCTCCATCCGGAAGGCGAACCGTTCAAGATGCGAAAGCAGCAAAACTCACATGTTTAATAGGCTCCAGCTAAAGCTGCAGCTTCGAGTTGTTCTCGAATACCGCCTTCGAGTTGGTCTTCGTACCCCTCGTCGTTGTCGGTTCCATTGACATCGACATCGACATCGACATCGACATCAACATCGACATCGTGGTCATGGTCGTAGTCGTATTCAGGGACGACCTCAATATCATGGTCATAGTCATAGTCGTAGTCAGGGGCGATATCGATATCGTGGTCGTAGACATATTCAGGCTCGATGTCAACAGCATCAATATCCTGGTCGTAATTATACCCAGGGACGACATCGACGTCATCGTCGTGGTCATCAGCTTTGGCTACAGCTTCAGCCAAGTCCGCCGCCTCGGCCTCAGTGTCAGGGGTGTAATCGAGCTCCTGTCTCTTCACCACGGGAAAACCTCCATATCCAGCCGCGGCTTCAGCTTCAGCTTCAGCATAGGCTGCTGCCTCAGCTTCGGCGGCAGCTACAGCAAAGTCGTGTCCATCAACACCGGCATCCACATCGACATCGACATCAACGTCGACATCGACATCGTGGTCATGGTCGTAGTCGTATTCAGGGACGACCTCAATATCATGGTCATAGTCATATTCGTAGTCAGGGGCGATATCGATATCATGGTCGTAGTCATATTCAGGCTCGATGTCAGCAACGTCAATATCCTGGTCGTCCTCATACTCAGGGCTGACATCGGTATAGTCGTCATCGGCTTCGGCTACAGCTTCAGCCAAGTCCGCCGCCTCGGCCTCAGTGTCAGGGGTGTAATCGAGCTCCTGTCTCTTTACCGGAAGACGCTCATTCACAAGTTCGGCGATCGCTTCGGCCTCAGCTTCGAATTCCTCTTCAAAGCCCTCTTCAAACCCCTCATCAGTCTTCTCTTCAGACTCCTCCTCAGCCTCGACATCCGCATCGTCGTCGACATCAATGTCAGGGACAGGGTAAGGAATATAGTCGTGCGGCCACTGTCTCTTGTTCAGCATTTGACGGCCGTTAGCCAAGTCGGCAGGCATGGCGCGCTTGGCGTCGACCGCATTTTTGGCCGCCCTGTTAGGCTCATGGCTGACGGGCTGACTGGAGGCGATGCCCGCGGCCAGCGAAAGGGCTAGCAAGATATGGGACTTCATGTTGGGCTAGGTGGGGGACTGAAACGATGGGGGTAGAAGACAGGAGCGGAGCCTTGGGCGGCAAGGCGTCTGAGGGAAGGAAACGATTGGCACGGCCCTGAGAAAGATCTGGTTGGGAAGAGTTTTAGAGATACGGAGACTGGTTTATATATATATATATATATATATTGTCATCGCATCGAATGAGGAGAAAGGTAAGTAAAGAGGTAGGTGTTCCCGTCCTTTGTCCTTGATCTGGGTTATCGGGGCCCGTCAAGCATGTAGACGCAATCAAGTATGTGAGGTGATCGCATTCTATACAGGTAAGGAGAGCACGAATCCTTTCTGCTTTCAGTTCTGGTTGTATGTGTTACTACACACCTGGCTTAGCAGTATCTATAATTAAGGCATTGAAAGAATGATCTGCCGTGAGTAACCCTTCTTTGAAGTTCGCTGGGGCTAGTTTTGATAGAGGGCTCTTTCATCAACATATTTCGAACGCTTTCGGTATCCCGAGTTCAGGGACTGGATGCCACAGGGATGCGGAATATCATGTAGCATGGTTACCATGGTCAGGGCGTGAAAGGGACAGAAAATAGTCGGATAAAAAAAAAAATGAAAATAAGAAACCGACCTACCTAGCATTGACAAAGACAAGCTTTGAGACGGCACCAGTCGGTATTGAGAAAGGAATATTGTCTCATATTCCAGAATGCATCGTCAAGCCTAGTGTGACTCTCTTTGCTGGCTTAAAGGATCATGTTTCGGAGGTGAAGAATGCGTTCGTACCAGTTAGCTGGGATTCCACATTCCGACCCCTTCACCTCCACTACTAGCTTGGCTCCGTTCAAGGAAGGTTCTGACCGATCAGCATGACAGCATCCCGAAAAACAGTATAAAGTATGTTGATCGTCGAAATCGACATATCCCAACCCCGTTCTGGTGGAGGGACGACCGGAGTCACGTCATGTTGGAATTGGGAACGGGGATTCTAGGGGAGTGGGAAGGAATTCCGACCCAGATACACACCTGGGGATTGAAGGTGTTGATAGTCAGCTACTTCTGTTTTTGGAATTCAGGGTGATGGACAATATCGCTTCGACGAACGATCGAACCTCCCATTCCACGAACAAACAGACACCATAGGAGACCATAATCTAGAGAACACCCTCTACTCAGTGTCGGTACAAGAGTAGGAACAAGCAGTGGATCTCCCGCAGTATAGTGCTCTAACAGCCAGACTATATCAAGATATCCATGGAATTGACGTCTCCAAGCGATATGATGACAAGTTGAAGGATCAAAACGGAATAAACTGGTCAGCTGATCGATCGATTGGAGTATACCTCAGGCTTCCACAATTACCAAGTCAGCACAGTTGGTATCTATGTAGTCGGTACCTACTACAAGACTAAACGTTTATTGACTTTCAGTTATATCAAGAATCATTGGCAAAAAACGTTCGGTATCAAGACCTACCCACCACTCGCCAATTGATGTTTTTGTGTCGGATAATCAAGATAAAATGTCAACAAAAGGCAGGGAGTATCAGGCGATGGTCACAATAGCATATACACACCGCGGGATTGCATACACGAGTAGACCCGAGATTGCGATACCTAACATTGTAATGATCCACTTCAAATTGAAAGACCAAGGTTCGCTCTACAATCTAGAATTAAGCCTCCGTTGAACAGGTCCTAAAAAGAGATACCCGCCCACCTGTATATCCATCCATAATCGCCAAACCTTATCAAATGAAACCTCCAGAAAACCAGTAAAAAAGATAGCACAAATATCCAGGTAGAAACGAACCCAATATATTAAACAACCCACCCTCCCCACTAGTCGCATCAGTACGCGCATCGCAGCCGCGCGATCGACATCGACACCAACCGGCGCGGCCTTAGTCACGCGAAGATCCGTGGATCCTGCCCCAATCGCAGAGCATCCTGCGATCGAGAGATCGTCGGGGCTGGGTGTCTATCATGATGTCACGGGTTTTGATATCTGGGGTTTTATTGCTATCTAGGCATCTTATGTACCTGGGTGTCTGGGTCTTATGTACCTGGGTGTCTGGGGATCTGTGGATGGTATTTTTGGGTTCGTGGGTTTTTTGAGGGATGAGGTTTTTTTCTTGTTTGGGTGAAGGTGCTTGAGGGTTTGAAGCATGGTTTATTCCCCTGCTGTTTGAACGTCTCTCTTTACAAGTCCCTTTCTCGAACGATCGGCAGGCTAGTGTAGATTATTGTATTGATTCTATCGAGTTTCCTATCGATTCATCCAGTCCTATCCAATCCGTAATATATGTCTGTATATATCGAGATATATACCGGTGCAAGCACCTGAGTCCGAGGCAGCGGATCCATGGCGTATGCCGAATGGCCCGATGCGAGTCGGTCAATGTTCGTTGTGCTCGTGGTCGCAGGCACTGTTCCTCCTCAACGAGGAGACGGATTGGCCTGTCAGGATCAGTCCCTGGTCCGAGATTATCTGGACCGATCGGTTGGGATGTCGTTCCTATTCGTGACCACGGCGGACTGGCGTCGTACGGATGTGTGGTGTCTAGTTGGCGGTTGTTTGCCGCAACTCTTGCTGCGATGCATGCCATTTCCCATATTGCTGGGGTGAAGATAAATTCAGGGCGACTGGCGCACACCACTACGCCGCATCGTGACTCGATGTCGAGCCGGAGTCCGGCGCCTGCACACAGACCAACTCGAGGTCGATCTCTTCTTTGTTTTTCAGGGCCAGGCTATTATAGGACGGCCCGCGACTGAAGATCGCCACGGCCACCTGCTCCGCCTGCTGATGATCGCTCATGTTGTCAATATACCAGGTTTTCCATGGGTTGCCCGAGGAACCGGAGGGCTGCAGTTTGGCCGATTTGTCAACGTCGATTTCCTGGGCGAATTCTAAATAAGGTCAGAGAAGATCAACAAACGAGAGTAAAACCACACGTACCAAAGACCGGGAAATCCTGGACGTCGAAAAACTGAGGCGGACAGCTGCGCAGATACGGCGGATCGAGTCGCAGCTGACTGATCACCGTGTTCAACGGGTCATCGTAGTACTCTCCCTTGACCGACAGTTGGTAGATCGCTTCCTGGATCTCCTCTTTCAGGTTGGTCGAGCATTGTGACCCCCACACTCCATCGCAGCCGTTGTTACTGCCGGACGGCGTGCCCGTCAGGTTGCCCACGCGCATGGCGACCTCCAGTGTCCGATTGGAGTCGATGATGGAGTTGTTGATGTGGTGCACCTGGTAGTTAAGCCAGTACGACACCTTGGTCATGGGTTCGTGACCCTTCCCGCGCGAGTTGGCATCGTAGCCATAGTAGAGGGTGAGCTGATCCAGGAAGAGAGGACGGAAGGAGAAAGAAGCGGCGGTCTGCGCTAGAGCATCGAGACATCCTCCATCCCAGAAGGAGCAGATCTGACTCGCTGACGACGGTACCGCCATGGTCAGCATCAGCACGACCGCTGACACCATCCCAGAAATACGGGCCATTGGGGGCCTGCGAAAGTGGACGTGGTGTCCAAGAGTAACCGGGCAGAATTAGATGCGCGAGAATGGGAGAGCAGCGGCCAGGTCGACTGGCATGCTCGTGGGCGGGTGGTGGTTGGAGTGTCGCTGGTTGGTCGGGGGTCGACGACGGAAGGGATGGGAGACAGAAGACCGAATCCGGTACTCTTCACGGGCGTCGAAGGGGTGATGGCTATAAGTGCATAGGCGCAGCGCGACGGTTGATTTTGCACCGGTCGGAAGGGCGAGGGAACCAGCCTAAGCCGCTTCGGCGGTTCGTCCGTCCCAGAGGGCGTTTAGTCGAGGATTTGTCTCTTGGAATGATCCGTCGCGTATCCGTGATCGAAATATGCCGTCGGTGTTACTTTTCCTTCGCTGCTTCTCTGTCTTTCTTTCTTCCTTTCCTTTCCCGTTCTTTCCCTGTTCCTTTAGTCTTATTTCTTCTTCTTGGAGTGACTTTTGTCCTGCACCAGTCCGTCGAGTTGTGAGGAACCCTGTCTGTCACAAGAGGGGATGAGAGCGATGATGGGTGGGAAGGAAGAGGGTGGTGACTGGTGGGAGAACGAATCCGGCTCGGATAGATAGCTCCGACAGGTTTGAAAACAGCGGGTGATTGCTCGAGTGGGTTGGAAAGTCGTCACACTGGAGAGAAAGAGGGGTTCAAACCAGGACAGGGATGGAAGATCGGGTAATCCGAAGGGAGTCCGTGAGCAACCAAGAGGGAGAAACAAAGAAATGGTGAAAAATGAAAGCAAGAGGAGACAGAAGAGAAGGAAGAGGGAAAGAGGAAGGGAAGAATGGAGGAATGAAAGGAAGAATGAACCGGGAGGTATGGGAAGATGATCCGATCGATAGAAGGTTGGGAGGATGAATTACGGTGGACTCAATCCTCTGGTTGGTTCAGCAGGAAAATGGAGTTTGTTTCTAGTAGTTGATCTGGGTTGATGAAACAGGGAGTTGGGCTCAGCAGACTAACTCAGTCTTCAGTACTCAGTACTCACTGGACATTCTTAGACATTCTTGGCTTGGCCGCTAACAGCCAAGTCCCCGCATACCTAACGCCGAAATTGGCAGTTCCGGCGGTTGATCAAGCCAGGAGTCCAGCATTTCCAACCACTCTCGTCCCTCGATTTCTTCCCCCCTGGGTTTTCACGGGTTCTCGATTCATTCTTCTAGATGGTTGATTACATAGCCGGTATTCTTCCTTCCAATGATACCGGAGATGGTTCTATGGTGGTTTTACTGGTTCGGATAGGACAGATCCAGAGGACGCCCTTATTGAACGGAGATGGTTGATATATCACAATACTTTCGAGGGAGTGTACCTACAGACAATACACTCCTATCCTTAGTACTCCGTTCTCATGGGAATGACGGTATCGTGGAAACTAGAGAGTCAGTCAGGATTAATTAATGACTGAAACTATGTCTTGATGAACTGCTAGTATCAGCCACTAGCCCATGACCAACGGGGAGAATCTCCACTCCCAGGGTCTTTCTTGATTGACCCTAGCCAACTTCAATTGTCGGACTCCTGCGCCGGTTGGTCTTATAGGCTAGTGTTCCAGGTTGATATCTAGCGGTCTCTCCTCCCCTCCCCATCGGAGACTCCATCGTCTAGTATGATCACTGTTCTATTGCCGCCGTGGACCGTTGGATCGTAAATAATCGACGGGGGATA